TATAAACGTAAATATCGATTATATAATCTCCTCCTTAACTCCCTAAGTCTATATCTATCAACTAGCTAACCAACCCACTAGTTGATACCAACTCGCTAGTCGGCTGACCAACTAGTCAGTGAACTTACCAGTTCACGGTGACTGACCAGTTAACTTATCCAACCAACTCCACACTCTAAGTCTGTTCACGAACTGGTCAACCGACTAGCCAGTTGACTATTGACTTATTACCTATGCGTCACACGATACTTATCTACTTCGATCCTAGCCTCTAAAGTATAATTAAATTAGATATATCGGGATATATATATAGAGAGATCTACTTATAAAAGTAAGACTTAGGAGTATAGAAGCCGATTATATTCTACTCTAAGAAGATAATCCCTATATAAATAAACTATAAAGTAGGCGATTAAGAAATACTAGCTATTATAGAATACTTTAAGGAATAGTAATACTACTTAGAGGATAGTATATATTAAATTATAATAAAAATAGACTACGTAAATCTTATAAAATTTATAAGTACTAAGAAGCTCTCCCGAAGATAAGTATACTAGATAGAATACTTAGTATAGTATAACTTTATTATTATCTTCTATATAGGATTATAAAACCTAGTAGATATACTAAATAGGAGACTAGACTATAAATAAGAAAATATAGAGGATATATATAGTAAAGACTATCCTAGAGATCTTATAGTATAACTAAAGTAATATATCCTATAAGAAAGAGAAATATAGGATCTTCCTATAAGAATATTTATACTAAATATACTATTCGAAGAGAAGATAGAGATAAAAGTATATAGAGTAATAATTAGCTAATAAGCTATAATTATAAGAGCTATAGGAGAATTATCTATAATATAGATATTTCCTATACTTTTTACTAAACTAATCTATCTAGCCTAAATATAGAATATAGAGTTAGTTAAGAAGAGATAAGAGCTCGAAAGAAGAGACTAGATAATAGGAGATCTATAGAGTATCTCCCTAGAGAATAATCTACTCCGAAAGAGTAGGAAAATATATATCCTAAATAAGCTAGTACTAATCACGGAAGTTATATATATATACTACGATAACCCTATAATAGGATACTATACTATAAAATATACTAGGGAATTAATTAAGTTACGTTTCTAGTAGATAAATATATATAAGATAATCGTAGAATATATTAGCGAGTACTATATCTATTAAAAAGCTATTATTAAGTAATACTAGCTATATAGGCTCCTAGAACTACTACTAGTACTATAGAAGCTAATAGAATAGATAAGTATCGACTTTATTATAGATCTATCCCTATCCTGCTAGAATAAAAGGGTCTACGACTCTATTATAGTAGCTATTAACCTATTTATAAAGTACTTACTCTATATCCTATATATAAAAGATATAGATATAGAAGGACTCGTAGAAAAGTTCTATAACTATATAATCCTATACTTTAGAATACTAGAGAATATTATAAGCGATCGCGGAAGCGTATTTATAAGCGAATTCTAGTCCTACTTCTACTATCTACTAGAAGTAAGAAGATATCTATCTACCGCTTTCTATCCGTAGATAGATAGCTAAATAGAGAGATAAAACTAGATCCTAGAATATTATCTCCGGAGCTATATTAACTAGAAGTAGAATAACTAGATAAGATAGCTCCTACTTATATAAATAGTCTATAATAACTCTATATATAGTATATATATAACTATATCTATATATATACTTATAGATATAAGGCTAGACCTATAACTTTTAGTCTAGATATAGGAGTAGGAATAAGAAGTAGAAGATATAGCTATATATATAAATAAGATAGTTATAATATAAGAATAGTTATATATATACCTATAATATATAAAGGAAATTATAAAGTATAATATAGATAAGAAGTATATAAATAAAAACTTCTAAGTAAGCGACTAGGTCCTACTAAGAAATAAGAATATTATATAGAAGTATCTAGTAGGAAAGATCGACTACTATTATATAGGACTATTTTAAATCGTAGAAAAGATCGGATAATAAGTATACCGACTAATTCTAACACTATAATACTATATAATCTATCCTATAGTCTATATCTTCCTACTTAAGCTATACTATAGTAATCTATATAAGACGAACTAGTGACTAGATCTAATATAAGTCGGCGATACTACTAAATAGCTTATAGAGTATATCTTATAAGAATTAAAGGATAAGAAGTACTACTATATTAAATAGATAGACTATAGAGATAAAGAGAATATATAGGAATCGCTTATATATATCGAAGAAACTATAGTATTCGATAAGTTTATATTAAAAAGAGCGCGGAAATAGGTAGAGAATATAGATAAAATAGTGTAATAACTAATATAAATATATAGAAAATACTAGTTCTCTATAAGAAGAATATTAAATAGTAATAAAAGAAAGTATAATAGGATAAGTCTACTTATAGAAAGGACTATCTCGCGTAAGATATATAAAAGATATATAGGAATATCCTATATAGACGGCTTAAGAATCCTAAATAGAATAGCGATCTACTATAAGAAAGAAATACTATAAGAAGTAGATATACTAAGCTAATATAATAGCCTAGAACTACTAATCTATATCCTAGCCTTATTATACTATAATAGAAGATACGCGATAGTAAGACTTACGACTCTAATAACGAATAGATATACTATCTATAATATTAGAAGCTATTATACCTTAGTAAACCGCTACTCTAAATAGCTAAATAATACTATATCCACTAACTAAAGTATCTCCTACCTAGTTATAAGTATAATAGAGATAGATAACTATAATATAGAATTATTATATAAGGAAGAAGGTATATTATATAAGGAAGGAGATATACTATCTACTCTAAAATTAGGAGAAGAAAGAGATAGAAGTAGTAGAGAAGAAGATAGAGATAAAGAAGAAAGGAATATATTAGGATCTATAAGGACTTTATTCCTCTAAATTATAGCTACTAGATATAGATAGATATCTCGAAACTCACGAAGAGTAATAGTAAAAATAGTACTACTAGTTAGAAGAGTATTTAGAACTATATTCGTAGAAGTACTAGTATATAGATCGATCTATATAGATATATAAGTTAGATAAACTCCTATAGAAGATAAAGAGGACTTACCGAATAATAAGAGTAGTATCTAGTAGAATAATATAAGTAGATATACCGGCTAGTAGATATTATATATTAGTATTAGGGATTATAGCGTAATTACTTAAGATAGCGAATATACTATATCTCTACAGGATTCCTAGGGATATTCTAAAATATAAAGTTCGAAGATATTATAAGGGACTCTAATTAAGATAGAGAATAAGATATAGAGGAAATATAGTACTCTTATATCTCTATAATAATACCTAACGATATTATAGAATAGGGAGAGAGGGATACTTAAAGAAAGAGCTATAACTATAAAAATAGTAATATCTAGGTTAAAGAGTAATATATTAAAGAAGTAAAACGCTTACTTCTATACTTATATATATAAGATAAAGATAAGAAAGATATATATAGATAAAATATATACTCCTATATTTATATTCCCTAAGATAAAGATATAAACTATATAATAGGAGAATATATAGGAGGATAAAAAGATATTACTAAGAGAAGCTACTAAGAGGAGTATAATAGGCTATAAGAATATAGCCCTCTAAGAAGGAAGATAATATTATAACCTAGCTATACTATATATATAGGACCTATAGGCTACTATAGTACTTTCGCGTAAGATATAATTATATCCTACTATACCTATAGGCCCTAACTACTTCTTATAGGAGTAGCTATCTTAGTTCCTTAGCGATTAGTCTAATTATATACTAGGAGTTACCCTAGGACCTTTACTCTAATCCGAACCTCTGTAGGACTAGACAGATAGTCCTAATAACTACCTTAAATACTTAATATAGATAGACTATAGGAAAGTAGTAGAATCCTTATAGAAAGTCCTAGATAGGAGGTTCCCCTATAGAAGTTAATAGAAAGATAAATAATCCTTAGGCTCTAGCGTATATATACATAAGGCTCTAACTATTAATAACGCGTAGATACCTATCCGATCTTATAAACGCAAATATCGGTTATATAATCTCCTCCTCGATCCTCTAAGTCTATCTCCGTTAACTAGCTAACCGATTTACTAGTTAACCCTAACTTACTAGTCTACCGACTAACTAGTTAGCGAACTCACTAGTTCACTGTAGCTAACTAGTTAACTCCTCCATATAGCTCTACTCTCCAAGTTCGTCTGCGAACTAGTCAACCAACCCACCAGTTAACTATTGACTTTCGCCTATACATCACAGAGACCTAGTCGATAGATTATTTCATATCATCTGCCCGCCAAGCTTCCGCCTATCAGCCTCCTCCACTAAGGTCAGACTTTGCATCTGTGCCCTGAATTTAATACAGGTTCCAGTCTCTTCGCGGATTACTTGACAACCCTCGCTTCACGATAAACAAGCGTAATTTAAGATCAACGATAGTTGAAACCTCTCCAAGGAAGGTTGGATGCGTATCGGGTATATTATTGTGAACTACCCAACTCGAAGATGGCAATTAGGGCCTTTGTGTAGCTTCAACCCGTTAAAGCCATGCAATCGTCAAGTGAAAATCCTCGTCGTGATTCAAACATTTTCAATATTTCCCTGGGGTCCTGGATCGAGGATAAAGACAGGAAAACCCTAGTATTCATCAAGTCATGCATGGAAGATACAACCTCGATCGATCTACTGAGTTCAATGAATGACTCTCCAGCCAAATTAGCCAGCGCGCCGAGGCCTTCAGTTACCTTACGTAGCTGCCAGTTACGTGAAATACAGACAATCACAATAGTTCTTGCTATATTATTTTATCAACTTCGAGCCCGGTAGCGGCTACTCAACAATAAGCAGTCCATCCCTTGTAGAACCAATCTCAAATTAAAAAAAGAAGAACCCCATTCGATGACTGCAGCTGCATTCGCACTAAACATCGACATGCAATAGGTGTCGGATCCAGCCAACAATTTGCTGAGGATAGTTATCCGAAGGTCCCAGTACTCTCTGAGCTGATGAGCGCAGGAAAGAGTCATAAAACGGCGAGCCTCGCTGGTGATCAATGGTCTGTATCCGCTCTTCGAGATAGTCCGCCCTTTGTCGCGCCAAACGAACAAGAATGTCTCCGTTGATCTGAGTGTTGTCTTTTGTGGAGTCGGTCCACGTAGATTTTCTGCGCTTTTCCCGTGCGGCTAGGGATGAGCAAAGGGCTTCATCTCTCTGACATAGATCCTGCAAGGCGAGAAGAAGACGTCTCTCGTCCTCCCGAAGGATAGTAAAGCGGCTGACCGACCCAGTAAGTGCTATGCCGTACACCGAGCCGCCTCGATGCCAGGCCGTTTCGGGCAAGATGTCACCCTTCAGGTTAGGAATGAATTTCAAGACGGTATCCCATACGACAGCCTCGTCTGGGGCAGGAGGTACAAAAATTGGAGCGGTGTGGAGACCCGTATCGTTTGAGAGCCTGCCAGCGCGAATATTACCACCCCGTGCGCTAATGAATGCCAGTGAAGGCTCGGTGGGTGTGACGTAGTGAGTGAGTCCGTCGAGGGGAAGCGAGTCATAGCCGCGCAACTTCAATGAATGACGAGTTCCGTCATTGAGCACCTCCAAAATTACAAACCCATGTCGGGCTGTGCTGATATGAACGAACGGTTTTGAGACAGATATGGTAACCGCAGGGGAGGGAAGATCGATCCAGCTATTAGAAGTCCATTTGATCGATGCTCCCCGCGACGCAACGGGGCGAAGAGTCTTTCCCGAACAGATAAGGAGCGTGTCTTCATACGCCGCTATTGAACGAATAGGTCCATGAGCAAAGTCTTGCACGTGTTGAGTTTTCAGTTGGGCTCCTGTCGGGCTGTCCAGACCGGGAGAATGGAGCAAGATGAGCCGTCCGCAAACACTGCCCCTCGGCTTTGCAGGAAGGGAGGTTCCAACCGCGATGAAGTGGTGAATATTACCGTCCCTCTGGGAGCTCCAATCCATCATGCATAAGATCCTCTCGCCGGCCGATGACCGTGGCATTTGCGGCCATCCTGCCGGGTTGACAGGTTCTTGCGTGTCAGCATGTACAAGTGCCAAGCAAGATCTTGAAAAAATATCAACCGGGCTGCTCAGGTCTTCGGCCTCGTTCGTATCGTAAGCTAGTAAAAGTTTTCGAAGATTGGGGGAGTAAATCATTTTTCGAGCCGTGCCTGGGACGCTAATTCGACGCGGCACTATCTTGCTCTCAGATGACAGCGAGCAATTTAGCAGTAAATTGTCCGCGAAAGAGAAAAGTGGCCCGAGAGCATGAGCTGTCCCTTGGCTTTCCTGTCTGACCAAACCGAAGCTATGAACTCGGGCAGGAAAGTAGGCGGGCTGCATAACACATTAGCAATGAAAAAAGTGTGAGGGCTGCCCGGGTGACAATACATTTGATTGTTCTGTGATCCAAACTCTTGACAGGAAGCAGTCATTCAGATCACCATCGGCACTGGTAGTGACTTGCCACAGTTCGTGGTCACAGACAAGCATGGCAAATGTGCCGTGATCTTGCAGGCGAACTGATGTCATCCCTATTTGCTTTGATGGGCCTTGTAGAAGACCTGAATTGAAAGTCAGCCTCTCACACTGTGTAGTAGATGTTTGCGATGAATGTCATTATTTACCTATCAGCGTGGGGGCATTGAAGTCGATCTTGAACGGGATCAAGACGCCGCCGCGAAGACCACAAAGCAGATGAGCTCGCAAAACTCCATGATCGATATGGCGAATCACGGAGAAGCTATCTATTGCTCGAGAAATCTCGTGAACTGATTCCACCGACACAGTGGTTTCGGAGAGATAATTCAAGGTATCTTGCTCGACAAAGAACACGGTGATAGTGCCATCGCTCGTACCCGAAAAAAGGAATTCGGTATCCCCCAGCAACTGAAGAGAAAGACAAACGGGCTCTTTCTCGATTTGAACGGGCATACAGGTTCTGAGATTGATAGCCGAATCCTGCAAGACTATTCGACTCAGTGCAAGTGTCAGACCATTCGTCGACCGATAAGCAACGACCATAGACGAATTCACGTCATCAATAGCGACGGCGACCACGGTCGCCTCTGGTGCGTGAGATACGGAGGTATTCAACTCAGGACGAAGAGGTACAAAGAAATTTGTGCCATTCTGGGTCGCTTGGATGAGGATGCCGGTAGGTGTGAAGCCAGCCGCAAGCGTTAGGACATTCTCAAATCCCGTTTCACTTTCGTCTACTGCGCAAATGATGTCTTCGTGGCCTGGGTTCATGAAAAGAAGCAAGGCGGATGTGGGGTGAGAGAAGAGTATGTATGCACCTCCGTTGGCACCCTCGCTGAAGGCCCACATGTCTCGTACGCCTGAAAAGTCATCCAAAGAGACCGTATAGCCAGCCTGTGCCTCATAACCATGCCTCAGCTCATGAATCGCACTTCCTCCGGAACCAGATGAAGCAGAGCAGACAAACAACCTGTCTCTTGATACGTCGCTGGTTGCATTGCCATGTTTCTCTGCACGAATCATGACCGCATCTGTGACCGGGGCCCAGTTGAGGAATCTTTGAACACACCGGGGCTTGCTGCGAGCCTCTTGAATGAAAAGACCCCCATCTCCCATGCTTCCCGCAGCTAAGATGAAGTCACCACCTTCATGACCCACGTCCAAGACATCAAAAGCGGAGTCAACATCGCAGTGCAACTGACCCAAGCTGGTCTGAGATTCAAGGCCGCCTTCATTACCAAATTCCAAAAAGTAGATCCATCCATCTTCACGGCACATGTAGATCCCGTCTGTCTTCCGACTGTACAGCCAATTTCGAGCGGGACGAGCCCACTGCGTCCACAATGATGTTTCCTTGAATTCGATGTCGGGTGCGATAAGAGGATACTTCATTGGACGGGGATGCGTAGAATCAGATGGATAGACAGCCATGGATTTGCTAGTGACGACCAGGAAGGAAGACTCCTTGGTCAAGGGGACAATCATTGTGGGCAGTCGATCTTCTTTGCGGAGCTTGAACTCTACAACGTTCGGAAGAGCCGGTCTCAAATCACAATCATCCCAGTGGTATATTCTAGCGAACGAGCCTTCAGGCGTTGATGTAACCACCAGGAGAATGATTCTCGTGTCATCGGCGGCTTTGGGGTACAGGAACTCCATGAATTGGATGGTTCCTTCACATCTGAAGAAAGATTCCTGCAGAATTCGACTAAGCAGAGTTGGCATCACAGTTGGAAGTGAGATATCTTACACTCTTGATAGGGTCAAGCCTTTGTTGAGACATTTGCTGCTGGATTGCGGCGGAAGACTTTAAAAGGAACAAGCCAAAATAATGCCGCGAGGCTCCGACAGCAATAGCACGAGACCTAAGTTGATGTTAATCCACGTTTGCTTCAAAAGAGTGGTGTCAAGGGGATGCTGGAGAGGGAGCAACTATCATCAGACTCACTTCGGGTCTACAGCGATGTGCTTCCCGAACCTTTCTGCTAGGTCCACGTCGACCGGCAAGGGTCTGCGGTAGGTGATAAATTTCTTGTCTCCAGACATTGTATAGTACAGGAATTGAAGTTCCCTCATCTCGAGTGACAGGATAAGGATTTGCGAAGGAAGATCTTGTGCTGTGTAGGCAGACCCTTCCGCTGAATCGTCATCGATGGTTGTTCGTAACTGAGCCTCCCATGGAAGTTCAGTGTTCACATTGATAGCCTTGACCCCAACGATGGGGTAGTCAAAGTCATTCTTCTCAGTCACATCGTCCAAGAAGCCCCGATCAGAAGCCTCCTTGACCTGAATGCGACGCTGGCCCACGAATACGACATCGTTATGATGTCCGCATCGAATCCGTGCGGGTAAAATCCACTGGATTACAGGACTGGGCAATACAGTCTGGGTTAGAAGACCAGTGAGCTCACGCGTTCTTTCAGGGAAATATTGGACGTTCTCCATCCTGTGTCCCATGTGGGTGTCGCAGGTAGTAAGAGGCTTGAAATTCTGAGAGCTGCAGCAATGAGCACAATCAGAGAGAACTCAGACCCTTTTCAAGTACAGAGTGAGGCCGAGGTTCAAAGCGCCATCTCAGTTGGATGAAGCACTTCACAAGTTCACACATAAAGGCTCTGGGGCGGCGTATGTGTTCCGCCTGCGGGGAGGCGTGCCCAAGCTCACAACCACAAAATGGAGAGTGAACACAGCAGTGAGATTGCATGTGAACTTTCACAGTTTCTCCAATATTGAAATCGGTGGTCGTTCTCAGTAGCTGCTGTTTGACTCAAGAAGGTAAACATCGAATGCCTCCAGTGGATGGTTTGGAGGAGCGCCAGATCACGTTTTTCGGCGCCTCAGGCGCCGAGGTGATAGGACTGCCATCGTTCCTCTGGCCCGAACTAAGGAGCGAGAGCACCGAACTCGCACCTGACGAGAAGAATCTCGTGTCCAAAATTCGACGGCCTGAGAGACTCAAAGCTGCTCGCAAATACAATTTCTGATTCCTGCCCTGCTCTGGGACCTGGTGGCTTGAATGGTGTTGTCCTCAATCTAGGTACCACTGAGGCGTCGGCAGGGCGATAGCCAAGACCGGAGCGTCGGGAAACGATTGCACAGTTGCAGACATCACTTTTCCATCATCACAGAGGGTTGTTAAAGCATCAGAAGCTGATATCGTTCAATCATATTAAGGTGCTTCTTGAGCAATTATGGAATCATCAGATTATCGTGCAAGCCTTCCCCCGAGGAGTCTGGATTCATCCATAGCGGGCGCGGCGTCTGCTTTGTCAAGACCCTTGGCTGAAGCTGAAAACGTAAAATCTCCCTCGGCGGCTTTGGATGAGAAAATTGCCGCAATTCGTCGCGCTTGTGGCGATGGCGATGTGCGGGCGTTGGTTTCGTTCGCCACAAGTGAAGGTGGCCTGTTAAATGATGAATTGAGGCAGGCAGCATGTATGAATATACGGAACTTCGCCGAGTGGTGTCTAGTATTAATGGGATGTCAGGGCCGATTCTGCTCAAATGCACTCAACCTCGATCAGTGGAAGAGCTGAAACCCTCTAGCGACCTACCGCGGCATTCGGATGAAGATCAAGTGCACCTCGATGTCAACCGTGCTTTTGTCTATTACCCTAATGGTGGGCACCTCGGCAATGCATATCCCTATTCCCTGTTTGGAGCTGAAGACGACTAATATATCGATTAGTGCCTGAGGAGGATCTATTGAAAAAGAAAAGCCAACTGTCGGAGCTGATTACGCGGATCCTGCGCAACTATCCCATGCTATGCTATTTCCAGGGATATCACGACATTGCTCAAGTGTTGCTGCTTGTGCTGGGCACTCATGGTGCCGGGCAAGCCTTGGCCCGAGTCTCACTGTTTCGCATCAGAGACTACATGCTTCCATCGCTCACTCCTGCCCTCAAACATTTGCAGTTGATTCCTGCTATAGTCGGCACAGTTGACCCGGAGCTGTGGGAACACCTCGCAAACATTCAACCATTCTTTGCGCTTGCATCAGCGCTAACACTCTATGCACACGATATTGAAGAATACAGCGATATCGCTCGCTTGTTCGACTTCCTTCTCGCCCAAGAGCCGGTGGTTGCCATATACCTCTTCGCAGCCATCATTCTCTCGCGCAAGAAGGAGTTGATCGAAATCCCGGACGACGAACCGGAGATGCTGCACTTCACTCTTTCGAAGTTGCCATGCCCGCTGAACTTGGAGGACTTGATCTCAAGCGCTGTTGATATATTTAAGAATCATCCGCCGGAAAATCTCCCTTCAGGATCTTGGAGTAAGATTCCCAAGCACAGCGTCCTTAAAACATCCCGCCACCACGCGCCCATTCAAGATGTTGAGGAGGCAGTCCAGATGTTTCATCGCCAGGCCCGTCAAATTCAAAGAGAGGAGCAACGGAAGCAAGCGCTTGAGTCTGCGTCGAGATACAGGAAGACGATCGGGTCTGTTGCCTTCGCAGTAATTGTCGGTGTCGTATCTATTTATGTCCGCAAAAGGGGTCTTGATTCTTCAATGTGGCTTTATGCAAGTCGGCTCCGGGCTATGCTCGGAGTCTAGACTCTAGACTGGTTCCCAGCTGGTCTGTGATGTATCATTACGATTAAAATATAAGTCACAGAGTTGTGGTACCCATTATCACGTCAGAGCTAAGGTGGACTGTTAGACTCTTAAGTTACTCTAGGAGTCTGAGTATGGGCTCTCAGTGCTTGTTTGCTCTCCTCAAGTGAAAAGAGACAGTTGTGGAGCAGCGAGGAATGGAGACGTTACCGGACGGGAGAGCTGTGCCCTTCGGCCCATACGTGTGGCTCTGCAAATGTGGCGCTCCGCCGGGGAAAGCTGATGTGTACTCACTCTCATTGCCCACTGAGTTAGCCTCCAGCTTCCATCAAGCCGACCAAACTCTCCGCTTCCTTCAACAACCCTTGACACTACCAACCATGGCAACCCGTGGCTATGATGTGGTCGTAGATGTGGACGCAGAAGTAAGTCAGAACAATTGTATCACTGTCATTGTCCCTCAATCTCTAATGGTTTCCCCGTCAGGGCGATTTGGGACACACCGACCTGCAGGAGGATCTCGAGTTCCACCCTTCCAGTGAGTTATTGTCTAGAAAGAAGAGTTGCGAAGTCCGACTTTGCCTGCCAATTAACGCGCCCTGACAAAATACGCATTCAAAGATTTCGAGAATGACCAGCGAAGCGCCAAAGTCCACGGAGATTCGGCTCCATTCTTAGGTGGCAGCTCTTCGCGACGCCGCGACCGATCTCCTGGCGGCACGCCGACAAAGCACAGCTGGTGGTCCCTCCACTATTACGAACAATACTTCGACGTCGACACAAATGAGGTTTTGCGGCGCTGTATGGCCGCACTCTATCCGCGCTCTAACTTCCTCGACGTCCTTGAAGGCAATGCCGACCTTTACGGGCCCGTTTGGATCGCAACGACCGTCGTGGTCATTCTTTTCTTGACTGGCACTATTTCGCAGTGGCTCGCCAACAATGATGAGCAGCACTTTGAATACGACTTCACATTACTGTCAGGCGCAGCAGGGTTGATTTATGGATACACAGGCATTCTGCCTATTGCGCTATGGGGTGCCCTTCGCTGGTTCGGGAGCTCCACAGCAGACTTGATTGAGTGCTGGGCGCTCTACGGATACTCAAATCTCGTGTGGATTGGAGTCGCCCTTGTCAGCTGGAGTCCATTGACAGCACTGAACTGGGCCCTTGTCGGCGTCGGTTTTGCCTGGACAACCTTCTTCCTCCTACGGAACTTGTATCCGGTCTTGAACGCGACCGACGCCAAAGCGAGCAAAATCTTGCTAATCTTGGTTGTCGCTCTACACGCCGGCTTGGCTATCGCCATCAAGATTCTATTCTTCGCGTATGTTTCACATCTTACATTGTGCTGTGATCTAGAAGGCTGACATTTCTCCAGGCACTCGAGTCCCGTCTCGAAGAAGAACAAGGATGAGTAGACGAGGTGCACGGGTTCGAAGACATCGTATTACCAGGCAAAGAGAAATAATGATCAACATCTGGCTATGTTTCACGCGCCAATGAAAAATCACACTAGGCGATCTCCTCAGTTACAATATCCAATGATGTGGTTGAGGTGTCGCTGGCGCAAGTGTAGCTATTTTACTGTCAACCAGGGAGGTCTCTCGGGATGGAATGGCCACGTCGTCAGTTAATGACGGTACCGTAACCAATGACGATCTATCACTCTCTGATCTTCTGGTTGCATGAATACAAGCGCTTTTTGGTACATTGACAAAACAGTCGCTCAAACAAGGAGCCTGGAGTGAATCCCCCAAGCTTCCAATTCGTGCCTCCAAGTACGTCGAGGATGGTCCAAGATAGTGGGAGACCAGAAGCTATCAGTAGTTTGGCAGAACTGCCTTATTGATAGTACTATTTGCCCCTCTGTCACTAGATTCGCGAGCTCAAAGTAGAAGGCGTATAGCGGCAAGGGAAGACATGAGCCAGGCTTTGATCAATCGTAAGCAGTGTGGCTAAACGGAGCCTATCAACATAGTACGACCTGACACTAGCGCTCTCGTCAAGAAGGCTTGAGTGTCCGTGTCAAAATCATAGATGCCTTGTTTTGGCTTCGAGGAGTTTGAATGGCCAAAGGTCCAGGCTCTAGACCAATATCACGTCATACGTCGAGTATGCTCAGGGCGAGACCTGAATTTCGCACAGGGAGAGAATTAGATGGCGAGAAAGTTCAGTACGCTTACGCCATATATACGCGCATCGAAAATGATGGGACCATGAAGCACAAGCGGACAAGAGAGCATTGAAGACTCATTAAGCCGTAAGTCATTTGGAATATCTGAACTTTTACTTCATTTGAGCGGACTGCGACTTGCAAGCCGGGAGGAGTCAACTAAAAAGAGTATGACTGTGGCTGTGATTGTTTCATCATTTCTAACGCCATATGTAGACCTCTCCGAATCGCGATCCTGTTGAACCCCAGGCCTGGATTCTGTACCACAATGCACCGAGCGCAACACCGACAAGGCGAATCGTCTATTTCAGCTTCTTCTTGGGGCGGAGCTGGTTGGTGTGTCCGCACTTCTTCTTACGGCAGTTGGTGGCACGGGGAGGGAGACGAGCCTAAAATAGTTCCAATGTTAGTTTCCACGAAGAATTCGTCAAGATATAGCGATAGTGCGTGACACGTAGGAGGCGCCGAAACGAATCGGTTCGTGTTGGATCGCATGGTTTACAAGATGAGCGAAAGATGACGTACATAGCACTTGCGGCAGATAGACTTCTCGCAGTTGTACTTGGAAGCGAGGGCCTTGAGGGAGGGCTCGATAATACCACCACGCAGGCGCAGGACAAGGTGAAGGGTGGACTCCTGTAGAATTGAAACCGTCATTAGCCGACCGTATGTAGACCGGAACAGATTATCGATGTTGGAAATAAGACGCAAGTTTATTCTTGCGTCCGATGAAGGCATGATTCGAGGGTGTCGCAGGGTCGCAAGTATAGTCCGTAGTCCAGCAAAGATGCGACCCAGTCGATATCTCACTCCATGTCGTCATCAAATTCGAGTGACTCGGCAGATTTTCGTACCTTCTGGATGTTGTAGTCGCTCAGGGTGCGGCCATCCTCAAGCTGCTTGCCAGCGAAGATCAGGCGCTGCTGGTCTGGGGGGATGCCCTCCTTGTCCTGGATCTTGGTCTTGACGTTGTCGATGGTGTCGCTCGACTCGACGTCGAGGGTAATGGTCTTACCCGTCAGGGTCTTGACGAAACTGCATTGGAACGCATTAGTCCCAGCTCGATAAACGTATTTCCATACGGCGTGTCCTCGAATTGGTATATGTGTCGGTCGAGAGGAATCACGATCGCTCGAGGATAATCGGATATCGCGATATGTTCGGGGAAACCTACATCTGCACTGAAGAGACGCGGAAAAAGATGCATATTAGCTTTCGACTTCGTGGGGAGCGTAAGGACGCGTTCGGGGGCTTTTGGACGGAACGTACTGGTTGCGATTTTTCGTTGGTGTCGGCAGTCGTTCGCTGAGTTCCAGGCGGAGGAAGCGATGACAATTTGATGATTCCTCGCTTAGCAGGAGGTGGGCCGAATTCTGAGCACGGGGTTACCCTAAGCCCTAGTGATGGCCGTTTGAAGTAGGTCACGTGATGTAATCTCCGCTGCCGTCCCGCGATTGGAGATGCATGATCTATAAGTCGTCGTCTGAAGTCATCGATACTCAGCCATGAAAGTGTACCGCATAACAGGAATCAATCGCGGACAAAGGACATATAGCGCATATATCGCATATTTTCGCCTCTTAAGTGTTTTCTCTGCTAAATATTTTGAACCCAGCAACACTTCCATACAGTAGAGAAATTGACAAGTTGGCACTCTGTGCTCTATGAATCTGACAACTCACGAGAAAACTCCGGATCGCCTTGACTCGAGATCCACCTGGTTTCCCCAGAGATTCCATACGTGTGCTGCATGAAACTACCCCTTAGACCACCAATCCGGTCAGCTGCTCATCCAAATTGTCCATGCCATCGATGCTCTCATCATCCCCATGACCGTCCATGTCCAGTTCCAGTGCTTGGCTGAAATAGTCCGCTCGTCTTTTGTCTTCGACGGTTTTTACAATTCTGTACTCAGTGACGCTCACAGCGCGCAGAAGTGTTGAGAGTGATACAGCAGCTAGTTGAGCGGCCAGTTCGTAGAACTGCTTAGCCGTCTCGGGAAGTTGCGCCTCCCACCGATACCGCCAGTACCATGATCCTGGTCGGCGGTCGTTCTCGTCCAGATCGGGGTTTGGCTCATTCATTTTCAGTCCTTGCATCACTGTTTGAAGGAGCGAGTACAAGGCTTCTTGCGGACCAGTGTCCGCCAACGGCCCAGATGGTTGCACATCCTGTGGAAGATCAGGACCCTTCGCTGTGCGAGCGGTTGGAAACATGTCTGCCACGGGATTCGTGACCCTGAAAGGATCCAGCCAGTTGCTTTCATACCAATCCATATACTCGTCGAGCTGACGGGGCATCATATTCAGCACATCCTTTTCGGTTAGGCGGATGGCCTCTTCCTTGGTAATCGTCCCGTGAGATTGTTCGCGGCTAGTAAAGTGAGCTTGGACGCGAGCCCAAACAGCCCAATCCATAGCCTGCGTCGCTGGCTCCTTGGCCGTGGCAGGAACTCTGGCTAGATCGTCAAACGGAAACAGCAATTTTGTGGCAATCACAATAAGGGTCATGATTTGCAGTTCTGGAAGATCAAGTGCGCGTTTGAGCTTTGCACTCGAACCCCCACTATCGAAAGCAAAGTTGAAACCAACAACGCTTTTCAAGAATTGAACCATTTCATATACATCGACTAGACTGAGATTAGCGCGAGTCTTGATAAGATTTGTTGCCTGCAAAAGGATCTTACTTGGAAGCGCCAATCTTCTCAGATGGCGGTAAAGTAAAATAGGTGCATTCAAGGGCGGGACTGTGATTTCGAATCGTTTTCGATACTGCAAAGCAAGATCTACAAAGGCGCGGTGCAAGCTTTCTAGCCGAGGCAATTGCTTGACAACAAGAGTCAGTTAGGTTTCATAACAATCAGTGCGGTCGGTCACTTACATGCACTTCGAGCCTTGCCAGCAGCTCAGGAGGAAGTTTATCCCTCATCTCGAAAGGGATCAACCTCGCAACCCTGATGTATGGAACATCTTGACGAATGACCAAGCTGCGTTCTGTATTTTAGCAAATAGCAAAGTAGGCATGAATTCCATAGCATCATACCGATGAAAGTCGCTCACAGATACAGGCAAACGCATCAATACCGCTGCCAGATAGCAGAGACCAAGGGAATCCAGCAGTCGTGGCCACGTGAGATATCGTCCTGAATGGGATTTGAATCCAAGGTCGTCAGAACTGTCCGTCTCGGGCTGAGAGCTGAAGAGCTCTCGATCTGAATCGTCTTCGTCATCTATCGTTGCATTGATGCGAAGAGTAAAGTCCTGTAGCCTCAGGGCCCAAAGATCACGAACGATGGCCTTGCGGGTATGAGTACTGATTCTCAGATCAACTTGGCAGAGCTCATACCTCGAATTGCTCTGGGAAGCCATGATTGTGCACCAGGGCGTGACACTGTTTCCACAAAACCAGTTGGCAGACTTGCAAAAAAAGAGTATGGGCTTTGCGGCCACGATATGCTTAGGGTGCTAGTCAGATTGAGGGTCCAAGAAACCTTGCGGGAATGTCATACTCTTCCTGGATTTCTCTTCTTTATCTTTTTTAACGCGATGCCTCTTTCCTTGATTGCCAAAATCGTCTGCGTCCTCTTCAATTTGTCTCCCCTGGTTGGAATATGAGCGCTGTTCCACATCCGACTTCTGACAGCCTTGTCGTTCGCTTCGAGTGTATCCCTTCGAGAAGAGCATGGACCGTGGATGCGACATACCTCTTGCAAATGTCCGCGCCGGCAGAACCACAGCCCATTATCAAGGTAGTATCGTCGTTCGCGACATCCCTCTTGGCCACAAACCCCTCGGGTGACGTAGTCCATCCCGAAGCAATGTTATCATACTGCTTTCGCGTGAGGTTGGAAAATGCTTGTCAAGGTGATGTTCCGTTCCTTGGGACTCGGACTTGTTTTTCTGCCTTTTGCCCTCGCGACCGCCGCCTCGTACCGACCTATCTGATCTGCAACTTTTTACCGACTGATTGCTGGTTTGAATGACGCGAAGGTATGTACTAACAATTCACCTGAAAGCTCGTTACCTGAGGGAAATTGACATTTAGGAATATTTCTGGCATGATTTGTCGTGGAACTGCGGGCGGCCTGTCCGACAACGGGTGGAGAGACCGAGAGAGTCTACTAAGCCTGGTATCCGCTAACTTAGTCGATCTAAGGTCTCTTTAATGCAATTGCTAAGCCCAACATACTCTTCTAACCCCTTTGCATCAATCGTAGTCGTATATCGAGAGATATGACAATTCGGAGAGTTACGAAAGTTTAATCATTCATCACACTATCATGAGATGCTGGGACTCAGAATTGTCCTTCAGACGACACTCACGATGTCAACCAAAGCAATTCTTCTTGTCGATCCAGCCTACATCCAAAGGCTAGATGGGGGACACAGCCTAGAAACAACATACAATGGGCTGCCGTCCACGGATACTCTGTCCATCACTGAACCATTGAAGATGGGGTTGAGGGGAGCTGAGCCCCATTTTTGAAACATAACGGTTGACATAAAATGTGAAAGATCCGACGACCAGACATTCGGTGAATATTTAGCCGCTCTTAGGAGCCTCCTTGGCCTCAATGGCGGCCTCCTCACCCATGGCGGTCTGGACAATGACGTCTAAAGCGGGGTATTAGTCTATGCCAATTCCCAGTGAAGGTTTCCGGGCCCTCGGTATACTTACTGACTTCCTTGTCCTCCTCGCGGAACATCTTGACGATACGGGCACCAACTTCACCTTCGGGAAGCTTGACATCATCCTTGGTGTCACCGTCATCCTTCATCAGGGAGAGGAAGTCATCGTCGGTGATGTCAAGCTAAGACGAGATAGATTAATACCATAAGATCAAGTGGCGGTTGTCAAAGCCGAGTGGGGTAACGGACGACCGGCGCACGGCCAAGGTAGGGAGAGGAGGTCACTCACGAGGGTGTACTCCTTGCGGTGGACGTGGGGAACATCCATGTTGTGGGTAGAGGGAGACAGATCCTCAAGCTTCTTGCCGGTGAAGATATCGGTGGCGACAAGGTGGACCTTGGCGTGACCGTGCTTGCCAGTCTTGGAGGTAGACATGTCGATGATCTTGCAGGGGCGGCCCTTGATCACGACGTGGCCGTTCTTGCGCAGAGCAGAGCACTGCATGGGGAAGGTGGTGGACGCACCGGCATCGGTGGTCTCGAAAGTGTGCTCATGCTATGAGACAAAGTTAGTGGACCGATTGTCTGATAGATATATGTATGCGCAACCCTCCTCTCCTTCGAGATATGCATCCCAAAGGACGGTTTGCATCTTGCATCGGTTGACGAAAGAGGGGAGGGCTCAGGTGCGGGGCTGGTGAAAAAGCCCAGGCGAGCGGTTGCAGGAGGATGGGTTCTGGGTAGAGAAGCGCAACGATCGTAGATCGTCAAGGGGTTCGCATACCTCGTCAGCCATGGTGAGAATTGGGGGGGGGGGGGGGGGGGTATACAGGGAATAGGGCAAAAAGTGAATGAATGTAGCAAGGTGGAGGGATAGAAAGAGGAGAAGAAAACTTCGAGGAAAAAAGGCTTTGTGGTGGGGGGCTAAGTCGCTAGGACCTATTTAGGTTTAGCGTCTCTGGGGGCGAATGATTTGGGTTGCTGCTTGGGTCCGGTGGACTCTGCTCGGAGCACTCTAAGCAAAGAAGGAGAAAGAGAGAGAGAGAGAGAGCCGGAGCGAAGCTGGCTACGACGACATCAAAAGACGGACTGCTGCAGCATCTTCGATATGTTGATTGTTCCTGACATAGGATAGCCATTGACCCTCGTGATCCACAGAAACAGATACTTTGTCCCGAAGACTACACGGATACACCACCCCCTGATGCGACTCGTGAATTGACTGCTCTTTGTATTCCCCGGTGCACCTTCGCTCTCTCATCTCATGCGCTTGTTGGCCGCCGTCCATGCAAAATGTGGCGCGACCGCATCTCCGGCCAGTCCACCCCGTCCAGCGTGAATCGCGCACCATCGTTACCTCGGCGAACTTCCTCCCAACTGCCGCAAGGCCCCTATGGTAGCCGACCTCGTACCAGTTCCAGGGCGTCGTCTACATCCCTTCTCGTAACGCCGAACGAGTCAACTACCACCCTCGGAGGTCTGAGCCGAGACTCCAATGGCCTTGGATTGAGACAGACTAGTAGGCAACGCCCTCGGCCGTCAAACGTTCCTGACCCGACGGAGGTCTTGCGCGGTATTATTGGAGATCAACCATCGGACTTTGACGATTCCCCAGCATCAAATGCCCCGATTGTGAAACCGCCGAAGCTGGTCGAAGCGATCGACTTTTGCGACTTAAGCTTAGAAGCTTTTGCGGCCGATGGCGATCCATCACAGCTGTCGCGTGACACCAAGCGCAGTCAAGTCAATGCGCGAACCGTGGAGCAATTCGAGCAGGAGCAAGGCCGGTTTCAAGATCTACACACTGCCATCCTTGGCTGCGATGATGTGTCGAAGTCTGTCGAGCAATATTTGAATGATTTCCAGGCGGAGCTTGGCGCGGTCTCTGCGGAGATTGAAACCTTACAAAGTCGGTCGACTCAGCTCAACGCGATGCTTGAGAACCGACGGAACGTGGAGCGGCTTCTGGGCCCAGCCTTGGAGGAAATCAGCATCTCGCCCAGAACGGTGCGCACTATTGTGGAAGGTCCGATTGACGAGTCTTGGGTGCGAGCTTTGAATGAGATAGATGCTCGGTCCAGCAGTATCGAGGCAAAAGCCTCGTCCTCGGATGGCTTCAAGGCAATTGAGGACGTACGGCCTCTTCTAGTCGATGTAAAGAACAAGGTACGGCTGACTGAGAGCAATCCAATGACACCCAATGACGCTGAAAGTGGGACTCGGAGACTGATCAGTGACTTTGAGAGTAGGCGACCGAGAGAATCCGCGACTACTTGGTCTCTCAGATTCGGGCAATGCGGTCACCAAACATCAATTCTCAAATCATTCAGCAACAACGACTGGTGAAGTTCAAAGATCTTTACACTTATCTATCCAAAGCACATCCCAGCCTCGCGGGAGAGATCGCTCAGGCTTATGTGAATACTATGCGCTGGTATTATACATCCAATTTCACGCGTTACCTGCAAGCGCTGGAGAAGATCAAGGTTTACCCTAGTGATCGCAATGAGGTCCTTGGAGGCGATCCATCTTCGCATCGCTCAGGGAATATTCTCCCCGGCGGCCGAGCCGGGTCTGCAGCTCATGATCCATTTTCCCTCGGGCGGCGCATCGATATCATGCGAAACAGTAATCAACAGGCTCTCTCCTCCTACCTGGCGGAGCAGGACTCATCCTACCATGGGATTGAAGTGCCGTTTCGAAACTTTAACGTCGCATTGGTAGACAATGTCTCCGCGGAGTACTCCTTTCTGACCGAGTTCTTCTCCCCCTTTACGTTTCATGAGATCTCTCGCAAAGTGGTGGAGATCTTCCAGCCCGTCTTTGCGATGGGTCAGACTTTGACCAAGAAATTAATTGAAAATACCACTGATTCTCTGGGCATTCTGATCTGTGTGCGTCTTAATCAACATTCAGCCTTTGAGCTCCAACGGCGTAAGATCCCAGTCGCCGATGCTTACATCAACGGTATCAACATGTACCTTTGGCCCCGATTCCAGGTCATTATGGATCTGCATGGAGAATCCTTGAAGCGAGCTGGGACCAACACTGGCCGTAGTGCCGTCTCTGCCCTCTCTCTTGTTGGGGGCGATGATTTGAAACATTCATCGGCACCTCATTTCTTGACCCAGCGTTTTGGCCAGCTACTTCATGGAATTCTCGTCCTAAGCAGCGACGCCGGAGATGACGAACCTGTTGCGAACAGTCTAGCTCGCCTCAGAGCCGAGTTCGACACTCTTTTGACGAGACTTAGTCGGAATGGAACGGACGCCAAACGAAGAGAACGATTCTTGTTCAACAACTATTCCTTGATCATGACCATTATCAGTGTACGCATCAAGCATACCCACATCACTCGAGCCAATCGCTTACACTTTGAGCAGGATACTAAAGGGAAATTGGCTGCTGAACAGCGACAGGTGATTGATTCAATCCGTTCCTTCTCGTGACATAAGAGTGCTGACTGACTTTTCTATTTTAGCATTTCGATGAAATGCTCAAGAACTGCAGCAAGCGCTCGTGATCGCATATCGGTCGGTATATCCTTTTTTTTTTTTGGCGGCCTTCATCCTAGAACATAGACAGCTTTTAATTTCCTCATCAGCGCTCGCGTATATCATGATGATTCAAAGCATGCGATGAGCAAATCTTCCGCGTTTTCTTTCTCTCCAAATTTTAAGAACACACATCCCCGACCTGGTTCTTTTTCCATGTAGTCCACCCTTCCATTGTTCCCAGGGTTGTACCGCACTTATCGTTATCCACCGCGGCTCCGCCGGGCGGGGCCCGGCGATCGGCGTCCACGTTCTCCGTCACGGCTCTTCCGCGTTATCTTGGCGGTTTGATTGCTGCCGTCAGTCACATTGAATAAGCATCTCAACTCGTCATCGCTTGCAATGATTTTGCGCAGTGTCACATCCAAGCCTCGGCTACTTTGGCGCAGCTTTTCGAGCACGCGAGCTCAATGCGCCGACTTTACACACGCGGTCAGTCAGAACCTCGCACAGCGACACAGAGACCGCGATGGAACTGCTTCCGCTATGATTCTCCAGGCCGGGTACAACCATAGAGCTACCAGCTGACTTGGACAAGGTCATCGGCGCTGGCGTTGTCGGCTTATCGGTCGCAAGACAACTAGCTGCGCGCGAAGGTACTTCGACGCTTCTTCTTGAGCGGCATGATGCGCCAGGAACTGAGACAAGCAGTCGCAACTCGGAGGTGAGTCGACCGTCGAAGTTATCGAAGTTCGGCGGCTATTCCGCGGGTACATGGTGGAGGCTGAGAAGTTGCTTTCTATTTCAGGTGATTCATGCGGGTCTCTATTACCCAGCCGATTCTCTCAAGACCAAGCTCTGTATTCGCGGTCGAAATCTTCTCTACGACCTATGCTCCAAGCATGCCATTCCACATCGCAATACCAAGAAGTGGATTGTCGCGCAGACTCCAGAACAATGGGAAGCTGCGTTGAAATTACACTCCCATGCTCAGTCACTCGGCGACGTCCCGACTCGGCTTATCGGCAGGTCCGAGGCGGCTTCGCGTGAGCCCGACGTCAAGGCAGAAGCTGGAATCGTCGAGAGCCAAACGACAGGCATAGTGGACAGCCACTCACTAATGACTTATTTGCACGGAGACTTTGAGGAACGCGGCGGTGACTGCGTGTTCAAGACTCGGGTGACGGGCCTGGAATTCATAGCCGGTGGCGGGTACAAGATCACAGCGGTCTCAGATGAGGATGGGTCCGAGACAAGCTTCACTGCCGACGTGGTGATCAACAGTGCCGGACACGGAGCTTGCGCGATCAATAACCTCTTGCTCCCGCCAGAGCGTCATCGCGCCCCATACTTTGCCAAGGGAACCTATTTCTCGTACAGTGCCTCCCGACCTCGCACGTCGGTGTTGGTGTATCCCGTCACGATGCCTGGACACGGTGGGTTGGGGACACATTTGACGCTGGATCTAGGCGGGCGAATCCGCTTCGGACCGGACGTGGAATGGGTAGATGATCCTCACGATCTTCAGCCCAGCAACGCCCGTTTGGCGCAGGCCATTCCCGAGATACTGTCTTATATGCCCGGTGTTGACCCTTCTGCTATTTCGTTGGATTACTGTGGGATTCGGCCAAAATTGGGCCGTGGTGGTGCAGTGAACAAGGGCCAAGGTTTCCAAGACTTCATCATTGAAGAGGAGCAGGGCTTTCCAGGATTCGTGAACTTGTTGGGTATTGAGAGCCCTGGATTGACAAGTAGTCTTGCGATTGCGGAGATGGTTGAGGAAATTCTGTATCGTTAGGTAGACACGGCCTTTTCCCAGTCTTCCCACTGGTTTGAAGTGTATTTAGCGTTGCACCGAGCGAAAATTGCTGCCTCTCATTGAAGAAAACATCATTTGGCGTATGCTGGCTTTATGCATGTATCTCGTTTGGGAAAGCTGATGGTATTCCGAAGGCGCCCGTAAACATGCATGAAAATGCGTAAGGTGGTCTTCGTAACTAGCATTTGGCATCGAATATCCGAATCAGGATTGACTACCAAGTGTGCACACCATATGAAACGACAGCGCGATAATCAAAATGGTATTTGCTGTACATTAGTCGAGGCGGTCGATGAAGTGTTCCTCTCAGGAAACAGACAGTAGTCAAGGGGACGCATCCCTTTCACTCCGCATCCATCAAGACATCACTCATGATCTGAAGTACGTATGAAAGCTTCTTGACACCCCACTTGCCCGACTGACGTAGTATATTTGCATAATCAAGGAATATCTGCCGCGCAGGCTGATATCCTGCCCGAATAGGCACACCATGCATGTACATCGTCCCCCCGTTGCGGATGAAGTCAACGACTAAACACCGGGCCGGAGAGCCAGGTTGAATTCCAGGAGGGTCTAAGAAGCTGGTGAATCCTTCTCTGTCCACTTTCTGCCAATCAATATCGCTCATGAGCTCGATGGCAGTGGCGTTGGATGAATGACCCTCGGCGATGGGGACCATAAATGTGTAAAGACCTAAAATGAGACCGGCCAAAAAGAGCGAGAAGACAGAGTGATAGTTCGGAAGTTCAGATCCTTTGCGATTCAGCATGACCTTGTAAATTTGCGCTGCATGCAAACACGCGCGTCGAGCTGCTGCCGTACGTGACCATTTCGCGATATCATCGAGTGCTTCTCGAGCAGGTCCGGGGCCAGCTCGTCCAGCAGCAAACTCAAAGACTTGAATATCGGCAGTGAGCATCATACACATGTGGTGCCACATCACGATGGTATTGGGGTTCATCCGGTCCATCGCTTCACCGTAGCAGGTGGCGATTTGAGCTTGCAGGGAAGAAAGACATCGAGCACGCCCATCCATCGCGTACGTATTGCAAGGTGCCAAGGGATCGCTGGCTCTATTGGAAAGTAAGCGATGGTACGCTTCGGATTGTCGTATTTGGACGATGGCCAGGACAGTCTGAATACAGAATTCATGCATATGCCCTTCGAGGCTAGGGACCTTGATGTTGTCTGACGGTGCCAACATTGCCGGCATCATGCTATGCTTGCCGTCTTGGGTGAGTTGATTCCATTCTTGTGAGGTAGGAGCAATGTAGAGAGACTCGTCGCAGGGGAGATGGATCTGAATGGAGTCTGGCACAATCACAGGACTCGTAGACAAGAGCGCGGAATGCCAGGACTCTACCAAGATCAATCCGATGATAATTCGCTTCGTGGTCTCAATCCTTGACCACGCTTTCCATCGCATGTCGAGATCCGGGAGCATGTCGTACAGACTTTTCTCGAGGAGTTGACCCTCGATGGCAGCAAAGAGGCCGTGCCGTTGGGTAATCTTTTCAAGTCAGCTTGAGGCACCATCTTCCAATGCTCGCGGTATGCACTGACCGACATCAAGTTGACATAAAGTATTTGACACTGCTCTAGGTGTGCCCTCTCCTGTGAAGCCATTATGTCAGATATTGTCAGAGTCCCGAGAGAGAAAAGCACATACCTCTGTCAACACGGCGAGATTCAGGAATAAAATTGCCGTCGCAAACGTTGAGATTGCAGCTGCTGGATTTTCTGTGCCCGTAGTGCATTGCGCTAGGTCTATCATTATCTTTTCAAGTGTAAACTATAGTGCCAGTTAGCCTTGAAACCGTGAGCAGGGTGTACACCGTACAGATAGACTTCTGGCATACTTGAAAATTCCTCGACACAAAACTAGCTGCTCCATCGCTCCCCATAACCATCATGCCGATCAGACACATCACCCATAGCAGAGGTGCTCTTGCGCTCTTGGCGGAAAATGTTGGAAGGTGCACAAAGGGCAGCAATGGATGACAGGTACGAAAGTAGAGATCCAGCGCCAAGTCGAGGAAGTCTGCCTGTGGGAACTGGTTGAGAGTGGGAAAGGAGGAGTCGGGTGCTAGCGATGACTTTATCGTCTGGAAATGTGACTGAGTCTGGGAGCCGACAAAGACTTGGTCGAAGAGGAAACGGAGACGATCTCTGCATGCCTCGTCTATGCCTCGGCGGGACCCTTGGGATAGACTGGCCCCAGATACCAAATACTCGGAGTTTTCTGAGAGTAGATTTTCTGTCTCGCTACTGACAACGTCATACCACAAGCGATTCATCAAGCGACCAGTGCGGTTGGGCGGTGCAAGCCAACAACGCTGAACCTTCTCAAAGCGTTCCGAGGGAATACGTGTATGGCCTCTGTTAACATTATTGGATGCTAAGTTCGCATTTCCACCACTGATCCTGCTGGCGGCAAAAGGGCCTCTCTCGTGGAGCGTATCGGGCGTGCTTTGCGAAATGCCACCCTCGATCGGTGACTGAAGCCAATGTTTCAGCACGGCAGCTGCTCCACGTCCACCGGGCGAGCTATTGCCTTGGAAGGTCAGATCGGTCGTGGAGGATGCTGAAGCATTCCATCCATAATAGGACTGCTCGTCCTCAGTCATGTGGCTATTCACATTTGGCTCTGGACTGTGGTGTACAGAAGCCTTTGTGAGATAACCAAACGATAATGGCAATACACCAGGAGGAGGGACCGCCTCGCTCTGCGGTGCAGCAATGTTGGAAACTCGAGCTTGACCCGCATCTGATGCTACATTTGAACCCAGCGATGCCTGATGCTCAGGACCATGTAATTGCTGCGGCGCGCTCACACTGAATCCTGCTGGTTGAACCGATTCCTTCGCAGAATCATTCTGGGCCGGCAACACGGAGACATCATCTGATGGACGGATGTGTCCTCTCATGTGCCGACTCAGGACATCACTGAAGTAAGTTTGTCAATCATCTCGTCTCTTCATCTTCAGTCTTGTCAAAAGAAACCAGTAAGGCTCGGCCGCTGGACTGCCTTCGGGCCCACTGCGGATCTTACCTGCGGGAGTAGCGCTTGTGACACACGAGACATGGATACGGGCGCTCATTTGTATCTGCAAAGTCATCAGTTCATCCGATCCGCCAATTCCACATCACTTTCACTTCAATCCCAGTTCCGCGACACGTGAACTGCACGTTGAAACTTCCACCAAGCAACATGAAATTCACGTTGGAGTCGATGCTAAATCATGCAGATACTCACGAGAACGTTGATGTCGCTTGAAATGTTCACTTTTCCCATACGATTTCCCACAGTCATTGCACACAAAGTGAGCCATGCTGAGAATCGACTAGACGAGTAAGCGAGTACTCATCTGCAGCTGACCGGTGTGAAGCGGCAAGAAGTGATCGAAAAGGGAGAAGTTAAATGGCCTGAGACTTATTGTTTGATTGGGGATGTAGTGCATGGACCATGGGCAGCGGAGGGGGCCCGGGAAAAGGAGCGGTTAGTCAGCGCTGATATTCGGGCGCGTCCAGTACTAGAGTTGTATCTGGTAGGACTAGGTACTGGTAGAACTGAAGGCCACTCTCTGGTAACGAGCTTGAAGTCCAGCTCCCAGGGTCAGACGCCGAAGAGGCAGACTTGAATACTTCCATGGAATACAGTCTGTGGTTGAGAACGCCAGGGTTTGGTCAATCTCGCTGCTGCCGCTCCCTTGCGAAGCTTGACCTTGTGGCTGGCTCCTCTAGGCTCCTTCTGACTGCAAGTTCCTGGTCCACGGCCATTTGAAATAAGCATCTCCTCAATCTAATTTAAGTGATCTTGGATTTTGGCTCATTCCAGTTCTAAACTCTCCAGTCTCTCACATGAGTGTTCTTTCGTGTGAACTCTGTGAGACCTAGGAGAAATCCTTCTGCGGTCCAGCGACACCATTGCCCTATCCTGGCCAGTTCAATGTGGGGAATGGATGCGGGATCCAGGCCAAGCGGCCTGAGCCTTCATCTTCAGCGTCGTCCATGACTGTTTCAGCTCAAGAGTCTATTGGGTTTAGGGCATGAAGGACACTTGGATGGCTCAGAAGAGCTTATTATGAACAGGCGAGTCGGCTTCAGTTTTGGCGACCGCACGCTTGCCTGGTCAACGGGGTGTATCGGCTTCTCACGCAAATGTGGAGAACTGGACCTGGAAAGCATACGACGACGATGCTTGCGCAACAAGATCCCAATCGGATAGAAATTCAGCTTGGTTCGCAGGATTTCTGCTGACACTGTCCTTAGCTCAATCCTTGCTTGTGGAAGAGCGTCCCACCGAATATGTTACTTCGCTGATGTCCCGTGCGGCTGGACAGCTATTGGGCTAGCTTTCTTTGCAACGCTTGAGGCTGCACGTGGAATTGGGGGCAATACGTCTTTGACTCAAATGAGATTCAATCAAGGCCTCAAACATTCATACATGAGATCTGCGAATATCTGAATCTAACCCTGAGTATGGAGTCTAATGACGAAGAAAGAGATATGAAGAAAGAGATATGGCTCAAGTCGGACGAATCCACCAAGGAGCCCTGTCCTCTGAAGTGGATGACCTCGGCTCAGTTGAAATGACTCAAGATCTATATACATCGTGATGAGATTTACAGCTCCATCAAGGGCATTGCCGACCAGTCGCTTGAATTCTGTGCGGGAGCTTCCGATGCACAGCGGTGACACTGGCAAGTGAATCGGAAAGATTTGCGAAGATGCTCGCGACGCGAAGTCAAATTGATGTGTTCCGTGAGGTCAAAGTACGATATACAGCATTCTTGGCCAGCCAATATGTCCTGCGAGGCGGTAAAGATCATACGGCCACTTTCGTCGGGTTTGTGCATCATCTTCATGGAGATTAATTGAGATTAGTCTCGAAGGAGGACTGAAAAACAGCTGGGAAAACATGTAAGAGGCGCGGGGAGGAGTGACAACTTACATTTGGTATACATGAATGATTCGCCATTGCGGCAATTGGATACACCGCAGCGGCATATTGCTCTCCCCTGTCGATGGGAGGCTCCGGACAAGGGTATATACCGGTTTCCCGTGGATAGAGACCGAATGAATTGGCCTCTTCCTGACAGATCAAGTGCAGCACTTGGTCAGGCGTCATGTCATGCGGAAGAACAGCGCTTTTCTGGAGATATTTCTTCACTAATAGCGTCCAGGAACGAACTTGCTCATGAGACCAGGAGTCCACGGATCCACATAGTGACTCGACTCCACGCCAATCACACTTCCATTCATGCATGGGTCGGACCTCTTCATCTTCAAGCCGGGTTATGCGTTCGACATGCTGTGATGCCAGAAGCCGCACAATCACCCACGACATACCAAAGATATACTCTCCCCATTTCTTGCGGATCGGCACGGCGTACCGTTTCAGCCAGTTACACTCAAAATTGTGGTAGGCCATGTTTGAGTCCCGACAGGTGGTGCTGCACCAGGCCACGTCTGATAGACATGACTTTGAGCATACAACCCGGCTTGCTGGAGCACGCAGTGCCCGATTGCACGCCCTATTGCTGCAGAGAAGGCCCTCATTTGTGACTGGGTTGTCCACGACGGGAATGATTGCGTAGGGGCAATCGATCAGGATGCAAGTGCCCGCGGGGATATCCTGTGAGGCCCTCAGTTGCCGGCCCTTGATCGGGTCAATGGACTCAATCAAGTGGGGATGAACCCAACGGGACTGTTTGCCGATTATCTCCTTGTCCGTTGCGGCGGTAGATAAAGCCGATAAAGAGAGTTGGGGCGTGCATGTGACCTTGGTCACTGTGGTGACTCTAGACGGAGTGTTGGCCATGCTTGAATAGTCAAATTTGATGTGAGCCTTCTCTGTCTATCTCAGTAACGATGTTCGACAGGGCTTCAGCTTGTCCAGGGCAGCTACTTTTGGAGACACATGATTGCCTCCCTCAACACCATTCAGAGGAGACATAGTTTTTCCTTTCCGCTCGCTGTCCACCTCCGGGAGGCCAATCTATTGCGAAGGAATAGTAAGGAAAAAAAATCACCTTGCGGCGTGCAACCAAGTATCTGATTGGCTGGCAGGGAGTGGATTTCAAGACTGCAGAGAACGATATGCATGAGTCTGATCCAGCCAATCATGGTGACGATATATTCAAAGAGGATCGGAATGCTCAGAATCATGCATCTCATTGGTGTAGGTTTATGCACTACGTTTGCCTGACCAAACGCAATCTCGGTAATGAAGGAACTTTCTGCTTCTGTGAACAACGCTAAGGTTGTTGAGAGATCTAGACCAAATGACAGCAGATATGCTCGCTCATCATGTCTTGAGTACGCGGTGATCGCTTGAGGTTGGTGTAGTACCTGTAGCGAAAGAACTCAGCAAGCATGTCATGCAGGATAGAGTTGAGGGGTTAACCGCTTCCATCCATGCCGTTGAATATGGCCGTGGCCCAGCAGGCTAGCCTCGATATATTGAGGTGCTTTAAAGGGGCATGCACGATTGAAAATACCTGGCCCTTCGGCCTGACACATACTCTCTAATCAAACCTACCAAGGTAACTTCCACCACGTTCAATTGATCCGGAGGAATCAAACAGCCTTACAGAGCTGAGAGCAGACCCAATTGTCCCTGGCAAATCTACACTACCAAAAGTAAGGCTCAGCCTGATTAGACTTATTTAGCCTCAGCACCCTGCATTCGTTGGAGCCATCCCCACATAGGGCAAAGTCATTTGTCTCCTGGATGTCCAGTCCAGTAAGAGCCCTTTGATCGTGCTGTGGCAAGATGCTGGGAGAATTACACTGCCGCAGAAAGAATCGAGCATAGTAATCAATGCTGTGGAAAAATTTCATACCTGGTGCTAGAAGCTCGCGATGCAAGGATGTCTCCACTTGCGCCCTAGAGCCCGAGGTTGGATGAATCTGCTACAACTTATTAGCTGGACGCCCGGGATGGACCGAAAACCTGGATCCATGAAAGGAAGTCCTAAAGCGAGCTTTATCTTGTCCGTCGTGCTTGCAAGATTCCATCGGTGGTCTTGTTATACACGATTGTTCAGGCGCAGCGAGTGAGGCTTGAAGAAAGAAAACTCGAGATAGCCAAATCAGACCGATCACGGGAGTAGAATTGATTGACCGACGGATAGTCACAGGTGTCCTTCCGGCGCTTTGGCCGAAGATTCAGTGCACAGCATGAAATTTACCGGGCTCGAGGTTCTAAAGCCAAGAGAGTTCCAGAACAAGTTAACTACGACAGTGAACAGATATTGGCATGGCAAAGGATTTCTGATCAGATTCATCGATGCAACTAAAACAAGCATAATATTGGAAGCATGACTAGTGATCAGCATCACTGTGAAATCGGTTAACAAGACTCCTCATCGTATCTGCTCCCGACATAAAAGAGAAGAAAACGAAGAAGAGCCAAAGCACCTTTCAGACCTCCTCGACACCCACCAGGACCAGCCGACCGAAGTCAGACACCGAGACCAGGTCAAGATCATCACCACTCCCTGGACCAACACACAGACGCCGAAGCACGCGTGTCAGTCGAGTCGGAAGTCAAACGGTTTCACTTTAGGGCATCGAGGACATAGCAGTCATCAGCAAGGGTGAAGATTCTGTGGCTCGTTTAAAGAACTTAGAAGTGGGACGTCTACTCTAAAGTGATTCTTTGAACTGTGGCAGAGAAAGATGTGTTAGCAGGTGTTACAGAGACAGTTGACGCAGTGCCTTATCTCTTGAATAGAGATGGTCACTGTGTGGGGTGGGAATCACATACGTAGAGTCGCTTGAAGGAAAGAAAATCCCTGCGAGGGAGGACGGGCTCTTATAGTTGCTGGAACTGAACGGCCCCACCAATATGCTGAGTCAGCCAAGTGAAAAAAATTTTGCTGATGTCTCGGGATGCCGGCTGAACTTGGCTCCGGCTCAGGTACCAATTGGTCACGCGCTCAGAAATGGGTCATTCAGAGTGGGGATCTGCACGGATAGTGGAACTATTGATTTTGATGCTTTGCACCTCAACTGGACCAGCGGGCAGGATTATACGAATGCAGATTCTTCTATTGTGGAAGGGTGCAAACTGCAATTGAGTCTCAGTGACAGGTCGGTCTTGGCAGGCGGTAGTTCTTTCAGACAAATTCCTTGACATCTTGAATGGCCAGTGCAATATTTTTACCAGGCCAGAACATTACTCTTTAGAAATTAGCAGTGCTAGATTGTGTATTGTGTCAGGTATCTGTGTCCACTCGAGTGGGTCGAGTCTGTCGACTGTCGAGAAATTATATCTCTTGGGCTCCAAATTTCTCATAGCCTCTACCTCTGATGGATCCGTCCCATTTCCATGTGTCTTCTAATTCTGCTGATTTGGCCCCGGTGTGTAATCATCTGCAAATTCTCTCGGCTCATCGTACTCTTCGGGCGTCAAGCGACGCAGGTATCCACCGCCCAACAGTCCCTTGACATTGGTATAGGTCACATATTGGGTGCCTCCACCGGGCTGCTCAAACCAAGGTGCAATCGGACCCTCTCCGACCACAAAACTCTTCGTCACTTCATAGACATAATAATTGAAGGGATACGCCCCATCATAAGTGTCCAGGTTGCTCGGCGGCAAAGATCGCTCGATATACGGTGCCCCCAAGGGAGCCAAGAAACTACCATACTCGGAGCCGAAGCGGTCCAGTTTCTGTCCCACGGGCAAGGTGGCATTGCCGATGATGGGATCTCCCGTCGTGGTGGTGATGAACCCGTTGGCAGGCGGATACTGGTAGGTCGCGTTGGCACTGGTCGATCCCGCCCATTTTTGGAGGAATGAGGCTGGGCACAGATTGCCAAAGCGCTCGTAGCTTTCAAGTTCATTGTTCAGTGGGAACATCGTGGGGGCCTTGACGGGACCCAGGCGTCGATCGCCGCAGACATAGGTGCTGTTTTGGAAGGTGATTCCCTCGCAAGGATTGGGCTGGCAGTGATCGGGGAATTTATACTGTGTGACAACGAGGCAAGATTAGGATTAGTGTCTCTCGCACGGCCCCCCATAAGAAACAAATTGTGTGATATAGGGTAGTGTATTCGAATAAGAAGAGAGAGAGAGAGAGAGAGAGAGAGAGAGAGAGAGAGAGAGAGGAATCCAAATTGATCTGAGATAGGATTGCAAGTGCAGAATAGAACGTACATCAAATTTGGCTGCGTTGTGGTGAGGCAGAGCCACGGATGGCAGCACCAGGGCGCAGAGTCCAACAAACAAGGTAGATCCCAACATCATGAGGAAGCTTTCAGTCGTAGTAGGTATAAATTGACGCTGAGATGCTGGAGGGAGAGAGAGAGAGAGACGAAACAGCAAGCCTCAATTAACTACGAAGCTCGTGTCGAAGCAATCACGTCACGATGTTAGTTACACTCGACTCTCGACCTTCCAAGGGGGGAACCATCGACTCAATATATACGGAAGACTTCATAGCCACGGTGGAAGAAAGATCATCAGATGATATTGAGGCACGCTGACTTCGTCTCCCACTCCCCCCTTGCGTGAATGGATCATCGTGTGTATACAGACCGGCTTGCAGCGTACAGGCAGGCCACCTAGATCCAGCTGGACCTGAACCCGTGAGAGGGGCTTGGAAAGGGAGAGGGACAACAATGGTTGCATTGCAGGACTTGGCAAGCAATAGCTTGCTTCCGCAGCACCGCCGATTGGGTTCGTTTGTGGTTTCCGAGATTCCCGACGCATGAATATCTTCAGCCCGACTCATGCACGTACATATCTCCGCATTCCAGCTGGCCTGGCTACTGCAGGTCGCAGCATGGATACTCCGAGCCGAGGTCGTGACCGAGTCTGCTTTGCTGATCAGCCTCAGAAGATCCCATGGGCAAAGGTGAGTGGGAAACCTATCAGTTATTGACATTTGACATGTCCTGTTCGCTTGAGGAGACGCGGTTGCCGAGGAGCAATTCAAAAAACACTCAACATGTTCACTCCCGAGAAGAGACTAGTTTGGCTGATGCGACACTTCCTGGACGAGCTGAAGGAACCTTATCTGACCTTCAGCAAAGCCTTGTCTATCCGGGTTTAATCCGATTTGCCGCGAGTGTAGTCACGAGGGAATTGAAGCTGCATCTTTCAGGCCGCCACAAAACTCCATGCTGCAGCTCCTCTTGCACTTTACACGGGTTGAATGAAGCGAGAGAACGTTTCATATGATCTAAGAACTATATGCGCCGGTGTGGGGTCGTGGGACAGCTAGACGTTGAGCTGAGTGGCTTTCAAGACCCCAACAAGTACAACAACTTTCTTTCCAGCTGTGGCGTAGACACGAACATGCTTATGAGCATGTTGTCTGGTAGTTTACTCGTTGGGATTCTCATTTGGAGGTCTTGCGACGTTGGAAACGAAGGTACAATGTCATTTGGCGACAAGGAGGCGTCATGGGCAAGAGGCGGGTAGCCGTGGATCAAGGGCCAATGAAGCTCCCGGACTTTCATCGAGATGGTCAAATTTCATATTTGCACAACGCCAACGATGGGTAAAATGGCGGAGGCGCAAGAGATCAAGTAATTTGTTGATGAATCACGCAGGGACTTTGTCCCCTGCGCACCGTATGAGGAATATCGCAGAATGAAGTATGGAGGAACCACTCTTGTCCGATGTTTTTGCCTTCTGGCAGAAGGCAGTCGCCAGTGATGATTTATCTCCCTGAGCTAGATCAGCTTGCTGCTCTCGAAAGACGCAGAAAGAAAAATCGTCATAATCCGAACATCAACGCATGGTATCAGCACCGAAGCCCGAGACGACCGGAGATAGATGGACTGCCATTAAGCATCAATAGATGCCGATGTGCAAGTCATGGGACGGTGACAAAGTCACCTTTGCGTCGAGAGACAATGAAATGCTTCTTCCAGCATTGCTGACAGAGTCGCAGGTAGTCGCAAGCTCCACTTCTCCAGAGCTATCTTCTTGAACTACCTGAATCTTTGGGGTTGGTGATGGTCAGCGGCCAACGCCCGGATCCGAGAGTCCGGCTCCGAAGGGTTGTCTCCGGGAGCGCGGTATACTCCATGATACCGTCGTCTCGACTCAATGGCATTCTTAATGAAATGGAGCGGGTGTGCCTGTATGGTCCGTTATATAAAAGCTCAGATCTTTCTCCTTCATGATCGTCTTCTTTCTGAACAATATTACGACCAAAACACAATCTCGCCAGTCCATTGATCGTCTTCGCCACGGCTTTTTAATACTCTCGGCCCCAGAACATCAATCACCAAAGCATTCATCTCCCCTGCAAAACCTCTTCTCCTCTCAAGATATCGTCAACGAGAATGCACGCTCTTATCATCGGTGGAAGCGGCCGTACTGGCAAGCTCGTGGTCGAGGAACTTTTGAAAAGAGGTAAGTCAAAGCATCATTAAATCACACCCTTCTTCTTGATCACGCAAGCCAGATTCAAGTCTAAACACTGAATCCAGAACATAGGGTGACTGCTCTCATTCGCAATCCAACATCGATGAAAGATTTCGGAAGGATTGATGTTGTCAAAGGTATCTCCTTCCTCAGTGTTCAACTGCACTCCCTTCGTATCTCAATCTCTTCACCAAAGGCTTTGTCTCATCAAGCTCACAATTCATTTTAGGATCACCCACCGAGCTCGCAGACGTCAGACAAGCCTTTGCGCATCGCGTGCCAGACGTAGTCGTGGTCACGCTGAATTCCCCCCGCGCATCAGAAAGCCCATTTGCAGCACCGGTCTCGCCCCCCAGACTCATGGCCGACAGCAACGCCAACGTGGTCACGGCAATGAAAGAATTCGGCGTCAAGAAGGTGGTCATCATGCAGGCCTTTGGAGTGGGCGCCTCATGGCCGAACATGGCGTGTCTGCTTCGTGTTCTAATGAGTAAGACCAATATGAGCTATACGTATGACGATCACAATATGACTGATCAGGAGGTTCGAGAGAGTGGTGTCACCTATGTCATGGTTCGGCCTTCGCGTCTGGTGGAGACGGAGATTGAAACGGTCAAGGAGTGGCCGGAGAATGGCAAGGGAGTGCCTATGATGGCAAGCACGAGTCGCAAGAGCGTTGCGCGATTCTTGGTGGATGCCGCGGAGACTTCTCGATGGGATAATACCGCACCCGTGATCTCAAACTGAGTACTGAAGTCAAATTATGACTGTTGTATTATGTTCCATGAAAGATTTGCACAAATAGAGGGCATGAGACAGCATTATCCCACGTGGAAAAGCTAATTTAATATGATGCTCTCCACCACCACAACATGATTGCAAACATCTGGGAACAAGACAAGACGAACAAGAATGGAGGCTGAACAGCATGCTCTACTTCATCGCCTTCAAAATAGATGCAGTGTGCTGGTAGACCGGTTTATCATCGGACCATATCCAGCCAGGTAGCGAATCGTGCCGCGTGCTCATTGGTATGTTGATCATTTTTCCCTCTTCCGCTTTGAGCACGACTAGTTCGTTCACAAATTCCACATGAACGAGCTGTCGTCAAATGAGAACAAGTCCGATACGAGATCTTCAAAATTCGCCGTCGACTCTAGTGGCACTTGTGTGAAGTCGGAATTCTGCGGGTGTGGGGTTGAAAGACTGTACGCTGAGATCCCGGCAAAGTTGGGTAAATTCTCGTGTGGGCTCTACGTTAATCATTAACTCTCTCTCTCTCTCTCTCTCTCCCCCCTCTCTCGTGCCATGGATCAAGGAGTAGACTCACGATTTGCTCTTCGGCCCCAATGTTACCAGAATTGGTACGTAGAGAAGCCATGGAGACTAGATTTCGGCGACAAGCGACCATTGTGTCCTTGGCACCTTGCAGCATTCGTTGCTGCCTTTGCTCAGTCGGTGCGCGACTTCGAATGGACTGTATAACAGCAGTCAGCAGCAGAATGTCCTTAACATTGCTGCCTCGTCGATGCGACTGTCGTATGAAAGTATCCAAGGTGCCGTCCAGTAGACGGATCAAGCTGGCCTTGCTTGGGACTTGACCATCACCCCTGCCCGAGTCAACGGTGTTGTTCAAAGAGGAAGACACCGTGGATGTGTGATTTTGCGTTCTCAAGAATTCGCACAGACTAAGTACGGACCACAAGAGATCGTTATGACAATGTGAATAGAAAAAATTCCAGCAAGAAATCACATCTTGCGTGTCCGATTCGGCATAGAGAGGGTCGAAGTAATCTTGATACGAGATGATCGCTAACGAGGAATAAAGACAGGCACGGCGAATCAAAAGGAAAGAAGGCTCATCAAGACCGGCGTTCGTCACCGCAGATAAACAGGGACGAAGAAGGTGCAAGAGTGGACGACGAATGAAGACGTCGAGAAGAACGTTGCTCATGATAGACGCAGGGCGAGTAGTAGACTTCTCATTGCCGGGCTTTAGTTGGTGCGGCATGCGAGTCAGATACTCTTCCAGTTTTGTGCTAAGCTCAATGCGTTCGCCGAGGCTATCGCGTGCGCTTGTGTACTGTGCCAGTCTCATCATCTTCATACGATGAGCCAACGATGTCGCAAGCGTAACCTGCGCAAGTGAATCCGTCTCTTCCTCAATTTCTGCAGCGACTGGTGGCTCCGAGGTTGACTCGTCAAAATCAGTATCGTTCAGGTTCAGCGGCGTCAGAGGGCCGAGATCCATCTCTGGCGCCATCATCGGCATTCCCGATACGATAGAGATCTGCAGGTCTAGCTCCAATATAGTGACCCATAATCGACGGCGACATTCTTTCTGATAGAAGGATAGTTTGGTAAAGCGAGAGAGATCGACATGTAGCCCCATCGTCATGCCCGAACGCACCAGGGATCCGCTTGCTTGCCACATCTCGTCCACAGGCGTCAATTGAAGATATTCAGACAGAAGTACTAGTGTCTCGACCTGTAAGGTTGCCAAGTCATTTCGCTGTTTTCGTGATATCTGATTTACCCAGGCGTGCAGCGCCCTGGTGGCCTCGTGAGTGAAGTATTCTCGAGCCGAGTATTCTTCAGACGTGAATGCATCTGGGTTGAACAGAGCAGCAGCAGCCAATACAGCTGTCAACAGAGGTACAAATTCAGAGCAATTTTGCTGTTCATAGTGATCCCAAAACTTCTGGTACTGGCGGTGGAACGACGGACGGTGAATGACTCGCAATATGCCCTCAAAAAGAGTGGTATAGACTCGCAACATCTTGTCACACGTGGATTTGGGAGGAAGCCGGCGGCCAAGATAGTGCAGCTCAGGGAGTCCTGCCGACTCTGGAAGTGAGTCTGGCGATGCGACTGGAGCCGTTGATCTTGCCTGAAGAGATTGAACCTCTCGCGCGAGTCCGACGAGCTCGGCATCCTCGGTGCATCGGTTGATGAATTCTTTCGCATCCGGGAACTTTGTGCACGACAGTCAGCGAAATGAAAGAATGTCTTCAGTCTTTTGGGGTTGAATACCTGATTTAGAAGCGAGATACGGCTATTCTCTCCGTGATAACGAGAACGGGAGCCTTTTACCGCTAGGGTGCCTGGATAAGGCAGCGCGAGAAACGCAGAATTATGGTGGACTCTGCGCAAAGGAACAATTCTCAACGAAGGATGTCAGTCTTGTCACCAGACTCTGCAAAAAAATGAGGCAAAAGCAAAGTTCCCTACAAACTGACCGTGATACACCAGTGTGCGTTGCACATATTGGCCTCGGATCGCTGGCATCAGACCGCACAGCAAGCAGTTCTTCCAATCTAGTCACGCGCTGCTGCAAATCCTCAACTACACCTACTTCATGGTGTGATGTAGGTCTCGAGTTGATGTTGTCTACATCGCTTGGAACTCGTAGCCTCCGGGGGTTGGACCCTTGAGACTCGTCTGCGTGCATGCGTGTATTGTACGCGCATTCCTCGCGGCAACCCGCTTTGATGCAGTTCTGACAGGGGCATGTACGGTCGCACTTTAACTTTTTCTCTCGACAACGCAGACACGAGACTACTGGTCGCGGTCGCGGTCGTTTACGCGGCACCGTATGCTCCATCATCGATGAGATCAACCGAATTGGCCCCTTTCAAGTTGCCCCGTCTATGACAACATCTCTCAGACTGCTGTTGGCTTCGAGCGAGGGGTTGCTGCTGACGGGGCAGTCCCGCCGTGGAGTAAAGGACGTTGAAACCTTAAGCAACGTACAGCCCTACTTTGCCACGAAGGCAATCATCATAGGCTGCGAATCTGAATAGCCCCCAAATTGCGAGTCCCGTCCCCCTTTTCCCACCCTGAACAGGCAGTTGTAGCACTAAGCTGTAGCTATAAGATGAGCTTTCTGTGACTACTACTAGTACCATTCCAAGATCTATAGACTACGACGACTTGATCCGCTAGTCCTCTTTGCACATCCGGTCAGGCAGAGAGCATGGGTGAAAAATTACATACTAGCAAAAGAACAAACGAACGGTTTGGATTGTAGGGATTCAGTGTCAGTAGCAGACAAAATTCATACTAAATACTAAAACGTACGGATGCTTGTGTTGAACAAGTTCCTGAAAACACCCAAGGGCAAATTCACTGGATGTCCATGTTGGATAGACTCGTCCAAAGTCAAACACCAACCATCCTACCTGCAAATGACCGTCGCCGAAGCGCCGATTTTGTCAGTAGTCGTCCCCGCGACTGATGATTTCCTTACCAGATTCGCGGACGAGGAAGGTCTAGACAATAATTAGCCAACTCAGAACGCAATGGAGGGTTTGACTTCACTCACGTGTTCGAACTGAGCGGAGTATGATCCCGCGACATCCATCAAGGGCGGGTACATTTCAACCACGCCCTGGGAGATGAGATAGTTCATCTAGATTCACTTGTAAGAGCAGCGAGGAGACGATGAGGCTTCAAAATCACTTACGCCTGCGAGGTAACGATCAACACCCAAGCGCTCGAGGTATCGTCGGCAGAACACAAGGGTGCCGAAATTTTCATTGATGGTCTGGTACAGAGATCGCGCGGAAGCAAGAGGCGCTGTAATCTTCTTAGGCGCATGAAGATCCTTGCCGTAGCCATAGACGCCGGGCTGAACACTGCGTGAGCTAAGGAAGGGGAAGACCTGGGTATCTTCATAGAATCGGGGGGAGCTTACACCGTCAATAATTGAACCTCTGCCCGTGGAGCCGAATGTCTCACACGCGAAAATCTCCCCTTCCTCCATCTTGGTCTGGTCTCTGGTCTTGACAAAAGGAATGGACTTGCCGCCGTGGATTTGATACTGCTTGATGTTGTGCCCTGAAAGATTGCGTACAGGCTTCACAGGGTAGGTTTTACCATTGATTTCAACCTCGTAGCTTTCCATGGCCTCCTGGATAGCAGCACTGACATCGCTGATGCGAACATCAATCCCGGCATTCTATGTATCGTCAGCTTCAAACGACCTGTAACGAACATTAAGTTAAAGTTGAGTTGCCTTACTTTGATACCAGTGTTTGTCGCGTCTTTGACAGCAGCAAGCAGGTTATCATAGGTGGGATCAAATGACATAGTAAAAGCGCTATCGACAATCCAGCCGTTGATATGAACTCCAAAATCAACTTTCATGACATCGCTTGACTGCAAGGCAACCTCTTTTTGTCCTGGGTTTGGAGTGTAGTGCGCGACACAGTGATTGAGAGCCAGGCCTGTTGGGAACCCGAGACCAGAGACAAGACCAGCACCTGATTCAACTCCGTTATTGTCAAGAAGAGCTCTCACGCCGTTGTCAATCCCTTCAGCTATCTCGGTGAGGGTTTTCCCAGGACGAGCAGTTTCCTGAGTCCATCGACGAACCTGTCGGTGGACCTCGGCAGCTTTTCGATAATCATTCAGAAAGCTGTCGTCTTCAAGATGGGTTCTCGCTTTGTGGCGATGTTCCTCAGAGGTGATTCGGGCAGTGTTCTCCACGACTGGATGCTCCTGGAACTCCCCTGTTGGATAGCGACCTGAGGGAAACAGTTCCGCCACGGGTACCCGTGGAGGCGACGTTTGAGTGAGACCCGTAGCTTTCTTTTTCGCCTTCTTCCGCTTTTTGTTCTTCTTCTTGGAGGCCCCTCTTTCGGCTGAAAGATGACCTCCCATCGAGCAGGTCATTACGGCGGCATGACTGGAGTCTTGACCCTCGGCATCGCCGTCGCCGTCTTCAGATGATTCGTCGCCGAGTATGCCATCACCGTCGCGAGCAAGGTGTGCTCCTCGTGGCTCGCCGCCGGTGGCATTGGCATTAGCTGAGCTCGACGGCTCATCTGCTGGATATAAGTATCAAACATATGACGATATTGGAAGCACGTACCTCTGCCGTTTCGACCTTCGTTCTCGGGTGTTTTAGACCCCATCTCTCCATAAAGGTATCTTATTTGTTGAGATTTGACTGTCAGGGGTTCTTTGGCTCGCAATCTTGGATAAACATGCGATGTTGAGGAGATGTCAGCTTGAGTGGGTCTATCACTCTACTATACTGTCGCATGCCAAGATCCAAGGCGGTGTATCAATCCAAATTGTGTTGTGCTGTCTCAAGTGGCATGTATTTGATGAACGAGAAATCTGCGAATGACTGCAGCGAGCTGCAGTGTCGTGAGAGAACTGGAAAAGAAAAGCGCCGGGTGACTGCGCAAAAATTTACTATATGATGATTACCCTAATTTTTACGCCCAGCCTTTGCAAGACTCCCAATGCGAAGTGCCACAAGGAATCTTGGGACTCAAGTATTTGAGAATTGCTTCACGAAAGGTGGAGATTAGAAATAAACATGTCATGTCGCATTCACTAAACACCAGTACGTGCCACTCCTAAAAAAGAAAGCTTTTCAAACCGAGGGATATCAGGATTGGGAGGGGAAGAGCAAGAAATAGGTAGGGGTGATCAGCGGTTGAAAAAAGGGAATAAAAGGGTAAAACAGAGTTCGTCGTCAAAACGTGCATTCAGAGCGTTCCATATGGTGCAGAGAGCAAGATCAAAACTAGTCTCCCCGTCCTCGGAAGCTGTCAACTGAAAAGAGTCAAAGTCATTTAAGACTTGTTCTCCTCTGATGAAGCCTCCTTAGCAGCCTCCTGAGGCTTGGCCTCACCGGCTGGCTCACCATCGCCCTTGTTCTTCATGTACTCATCATAAACATTGAGAGCCTCGTCGACCTTAGCGCGAAGAGCTTCCTCGTCATCCAACCTGAGATAGCAAACAGTCAGAATGACGAACGCAAGCATTGAAAAGAACGGGTTAAAAACTTACAATCCGAGAAGCTCGGTGTTGTCCATCTCCAACAGCATACCAGTGATCTTGCCGGCAAGCTCAGGCTGTTGAGCCTGAATCTTGGGGTAAAGAGCCTCGCCTAGCATCTGCTTTTGCTGGGCAGGGGGAGCGGCGCTGAGAGCCTGAGCGGTCAATCCAGTACCAGCGGGAGCAGCCTCATCACGGCCGGGCTGGCCAGCAGGAGCGGGCTGGCCACGACCCTGACCACGACCCATCTGGCCGGGAGGACCACGGAAGCCACCGCGCATGCCTTGACCCATAGGCATACCAGGGACCTGGCCACGGCCACCAGCACCGCGACCGAACTGACCCTGCATAGGGTAGCCCATGCCGTTGGGCATACCACCGGGGCCTTGCATAGCCATGGGCATGCCTTGGAAGTTACCGGGCATCTGCTGGTTGGGACCCATGCCACGACCACCTTGCTGGCCAGGGAAAGGACCGGGGTACTGACCAGGGCGTCCACCAGGGATGCCAGCCATGACCATACCGGGCTGAGGGGGGTATGGAATAGCGCCGCGCTGGCCGCCAGGGATGAAGCCCTGCTGACCGGGGGGGTAGAAGACGGCGGGCTGCATGTAGGGCTGGGGCATACCGGCAGCGGCAGCGGCCTGCTGCTGACGAATGGTATTGCGGGCTTGGATGCTGGCCTCAAGCTGGCTGCGGCGGACATCCTTGCGCTGAGCCAGAGCGACGTAGAGGGGCTTACCGTTGACCATGCGCTGGTTCATCTCTGTGACAGCCTTGGAGGCTTCGTCGGGGCTGGAGAAGCAGACGAAACCGAAACCCTTGCTCTTGCCGAGAAGCTTCTTCTCGGACTTGTCGGACTTCTCGGCATCCTGCTCCTGCTCACCCTCCTTCTCTTCCTCCTTGTTTTCATCATCCTTCTTCTCCTCAGTCTTCTCGGCCTTCTCGGCTTCCTCCTTAGCCTCACCTTCCTTCTCGGTATCAGAGGGGCTGCGGTCAGAGAGAGAGTCGCGCATCACCTTGGCGGAAGTAATAGTGCCGTAGGGGCTGAAAAGGTCACGCAACTTCTCATCATCAACGTCGTCGGTCAGGTTCTTGACGTAGAGGTTGACTCCCTGGTACTTGGAGGCCTTCTCCATGCGGGCAGCCTCGTATTGCTTGCGGAGCTCCTCCTCGCGCTCGTGCTTCTTCTGGGCACGGCCAACGTAGAGCTTCTGAGACTTGATTTCCTTCTCGTGCATCTCATCGACGGCGGCCTGCGCGCTCTCATGGGTGGAGTAGTTGACAAAACCGAAGCCACGGCTCTTACCCTCCTGATCGTGGCTAAGGGTAGCAGAGGTGATCTCACCAAACTTCTCGAACATGACACGGAACTCGTCATCAGAGATCTCCTGATCCAAGTTCTTGACGTAGATGTTGGTGAAGTTGGCCTTCATCTCTTCAAACTTGCTCTGGCGATCCTTCTTGGAAATGTGGTGACCGACGAAGACCTTCTTGTCGTTGAGAAGCATGCCATTGACATGCTTGATAGCGTTGTTGGCCGCCTCGGCAGTTTCGTAGTGGACGAATCCGTAGCCCTTGGAGTTGCCAAACTCATCCTGAGCGACCTTGCAGCTGAGAATGTTGCCAAAGGCAGCGAAGGTGTCGTGCAGAGCCTTGTTGTCAATAGCGTTATCCAAGTTCTTAATGAAGACGTTGCCCTGGCCAGTCTTGCGCAGCGCGGGGTCACGCTGGGACCACATGATGCGGCAGGGTTTGCCCTTGATGAGAGTGTAGTTCAGGTCCTCGAGAGCACGCTCACCATCGGCGGTGTTGTTGTAGTTGACATAGGCGTAGCCCAGAGAACGACGAGTGACAGCATCGCGGCAGACACGGATAGAAGCGACCTGGCCAATGGAGGAGAAGAGCTCGTAGAGCATAGCCTCAGTCACGGAGGGGTCCAGCTCGCCAACGTAGAGGGAGGCGGAATGAGGCTGGTTGTTGGCGGCAGCCGCGGCAGCCTCCGCAGTGGTCTCGGCAGAGGGGGCAGTCTCCTGGGCATTGACAACCTCGGAGGCGCCGTTAACTGGAGCCTCGGCGGCAGGAGGGTTGGTAGCGGTCTCGGCGGACATGATGAAATTTTCTTTTCTGGTTTTACTGTTGGGGATGTTATTAGTATATGATTGACCATAGCAAGGAAGTGTATCTAGAGAGACACTCGAGAATGCCACGGCCGGTCCTTGAGATACAGCGCGCCAAGACCGGCTGCTTCAAAGAAATGGCAAGGATGGAAACCATGCGCGGTTAGGTTTGCCCTCATAACAAAGAGCGCGCTGGCTACTTGGGCCAATCGGGGAAGGCAGCGAGGAACACAAAAAGCCCTCCACCAAGATTTGCAGTGCACGCAAGGCAGTCATGACAAGGCCAGAAGAATCCAGTATAGGCAAAGTGTGGCTGGGGAGAATATGACCAACCTGGATGAAAGATAGATGGGTGGATGAAAATATTCCACACACCGCACAATCGAGAGGGGTTGTGATAAGATAAATGGGTGAGTTTTTTCGAAGGGGTTTTTCGGATTTTTTTGCGGATTTTTTAAAGCTTTCGAAAACGAGATCGAAAGGAAATGTTCCTCTAAATAGAGAGAAAGAGGGGGAAGTGAAGAGGATTGGGGGATGAGAGAAAGAAAAAAAAACTTCGTCCACTGGAGATGGCGTCCTGGAAAACTCAGAGAATAGAGGGACGGATCGCGCTAGGCTTCAAGAAGTAGGCGGTGACTCGTGATCTCAGGGCTTGCCGTCGGGGCCGATACGATAAACAAGTCACGGGACTTTGCGGGAGGACATCGATTCTCTGGCTGGACCTGTTCTCTCTGATGAGGACTTGCGCGCTCAGTCGTTGAAAGATATTCAGAACTGGATTCTCGACCTCGAGAGATTGTGAACGATGTTTGTTGACAATTAACAATTGATTGATAGATACGGCTGGTCAATATGATCAAAACCAAGTTCAGTTTGGGTCTTAGCCCACTGCTCCGTGCCCCGCACACGTGTATACTTATATATTGGACTGCTCCCGTCGAACGCTTAGCCGCTTGGATCATCTACCTGCCTTAATGTAGGAACTAGGTAACCACCCAACGTCGTTCTTCAGTGAAAGGCCTTCGATTCCACCTCGTGGCGTTAAGGGGACTTAATATTCTTAATTTCTCCCAAGACCCGCATGATCTATCGGGCAGCTTCTAATGATACCGAAAAAGATGTCCTCTACTAGATGCACAGGCGGGAAGATGCAATTATCAAAGGCCAAATTGACAACTAGGCATCACGGGCATGAATAAAATGTCTTTAATTGATTGACGCCGTGATATGCTATGGGTGCAATGTAATAGCGATGATCATGACCTACGGGCTAATAGCCTCGCAACCTAAGGGAATGGTTGGTAAAGGACATGTTGTTTCCGCAGAGCCATCCCCCGGGACCGGGCTTGCTGGATGATGGAGGGTATTAGCTCAAATCAAAGCCTGCGCCGGAGCTCACGGCATAGAGCAGCTTGTTGCGCAAAATCTCGGCCGTTGAGTAGCGTGGGAGTTTGAGCAGATTGACACAGGTGCTTGTGCTCGGTAGACGTTCCTGATCGTCGCTGGAATCTCGGATACTGAAGTGCGGATTGAGATGGCTGAAACCCAGCAGCGGAGCACGCGGAGTTGAGGTCACAAAGCGAATGACTTTCTGCCGTTCTTCATTGTTCATTTCGCGCATAACCTTCCAGAAGAGCTGAATGGTGGGGTGTTCCTGGTTGTCATCACCAATCGCATAGACACCGCCGTACTGGGTGTTACGTCGGAGATCCTCCACATCAATATCACCAGTCTCGCCGCTAACCAGGGTCTGCAACTCGGATTGATTGAACATCGAGAGCCAAGCAGGCTGGATGATCTGGCCCAAGCCCTGTAGGAATGCATTAGTCTGGAGCGCGGGCTGAACTTGTAGCCGGTACCGCGCGACGTAGGAGATGTAGACTAGTCGGTTTTGATTTGTCACTGGGATTTGAGCGCCATTGTATCGTAGCTCTTTAGTTATTATGCGAGACTGGCTTCCAGGCACAGGTATGTTGTCGATGACGGTGAAGTCAAGAGAGAAGTCTTCAACATCGCCAGAGTAATTCTTGAGTTGCAGCTAGAGATTTGCAGTCAGGAACTGAAGATAAATGGCAATTTAAGGCGACTTACCAAGCCTTGATATAGGCCTTGATCGAGATCTTTTAAATCGTTCAAATTGGCACGATAAGAGGATTCCCTCAAAGCTGAGCTGATCCCACCTGTCAAAGCCCACTTAAGAAGAAAGAAGGGCGCGAAGTTGACATCAACAAGAATCCCCTCGTAAAGACATTTGCCAATGATACGACCAAGGAACTCGTATCGGCGCAGAAGATCTCGGATTCGCTCAGACCATTCTAAATCTGACTCAGCCACTCCATCTTCGCGCATACGAGTCTTGCATTGCTCGACGACGGTAGGATTAGGATACAGCAGGTGCTGATCGTTGTCGACAAACATGCCAAAGTCCCCCGCGGTCTTGAAGGCTTCACTCGTGATACTCGTGAGGAACTCTTTGGTCACACCGCCACCATCAATACCAGCTTCAACAGCACCGAACTGGTCGATGAAGCTTATCTGGATGGGTTCTTTTAAACCTTCGCCTAACGGATAGAATTGTGCCATTGCATCATCGAAAACGTTGTCACGTCGAATCTCAGCTTGGTGCCGGGCCAGATTATCTCCAATCCCTTGATGTCCGTTGGTCATCTGAGCCATATTTAGCTGGGCCAGGGATGCACGCCATTGGTCAGGATCCACATATCCGCGTCGTCGACGGTATTGATCGTGGTAGATGAATTCACGGAATATTTGCACTCGCGTCTCAAACGGAATGAAGAATGGCATGTTCCTCAAGATCTCCAGTCGCGGTGCGATGGCCGCTAAAACTCTGCTTCGAGCGACTTTCTGCTGGTGACGTCGCAATGATTCGAGTCGAATGGTGTGCTGAGCATGGCTAGTGCCAGCCAAACCAACTGGTAGACTCGATGTGTCTTCTGCTAGATCTGGGTCTCCCTCTTCTTCAGCTCGGGCTTGGTACTCATGCCTTCTCTCCTCCTCGCCAACGACGGTAGGGATGAACCCCTCCATATCGAAGCGGGTAGTCATCAGCCAGTGGTCTTTAGGCAAAAATTTGCGACGCGAGCTAAATAAAGTCTCGGGTCAGCAAAACATAAACTTTCTCGTTGGCTAGGGTACTTACTCTCGCTCATGTAACATTCGCAGAAGACCGGTTACAAGACCCTTGAAGTAGTCAAGTGGGATCCCAGTCACACCAGGTAAATTGTTGGGTTGAGATCTTTGTTCAAGATCCGAGGTGCTTTCGTCGGCTTCCCCAGAATTGGACCTATGGTTGGCACTGCTGAAATAGCTGCTCAAGCTCACCCTTGCTTGGCCAGTTTCCGTGTTACTCAAGTCGGCCGCATTCCAGTAAAGCGTAAATGCGAGGTTCTTCAGGAAGATGGTCATTTCTTGTACCTCCCCAAGTGGCAATGCACTTTCTCGTGTCCAAGATGCCTTGGCAGTGTCTGAGACCGTAAAGGAAGACGAAGTGGAGAAGAACTCATCATCATCCATGACCTTGAGGACGAAGGTATAAAGCTCAAGGAAGAGGAGGATAGTCGTCCATTCTTGATCCCGGTCATCTTGTGTCAAATCAGAAGTCTCCTTTGACTGGTGAGATGACTGCACTAATAACGGAAGAACGTTCATGGAATCATTACGAATGACCTGGAAGATGCGGCTCGACCTAGTCGCGCGCCAGAAATATTTGATCGCGGGTATCTTCGCACTCGAGTCGCTGAGAGTGTTCTCGGTGGATGGCGCTGAGCCCAGAAACAACCACATACGAATATCGTCGCCCCGTCTTGGAAATATCCGGAGTAAGTTCAAGGCAAATTTGGCAAGGACTCGAGCTTCTCTTGAAGATTCGAGGTCACGTCTTGGTGAACTGTACTGGGTGGGAGGAGATGAACTAATGCGAGAGAGCAGACCGGTCACGCTACTCTGGGTGATGAGACTATTGACTTGATCCCTGATGAAGGAGTCTAGGGGGCGTCCAGCTCGGGGTGTAACATTGTCTGTTCCCTCGTCTGTCTCAAGACCCTGCACCAAGTATGCGGCAGTGGAGGTTAACAAGTCTGACACGACAGTCACGAACTCAAGCTCTGGTGCATGTGAGGTATTGTGAGTTCCGGATGTGTGTTGCTGGAAATAGATCAAATAAGAGAGCAGCCAGGCTTGTGCTTGCAATTCCCCTGGTTTAAACACGGTCATGGAGTCCGAGCGTGAGGAGATGGCCAGCGCCAGCATCCGGTAGTTTATCTGTCCAGCAAGGTGATCCATGTTTCCCAGATAAGATTCGAGGCTCGGGATCCTCAGATAGGAAAATGCGAAGGACTCGTATGCAGACATGGTCTCGGAAGTTATTGGGCGAAGGAGAGCAAGGACTGCTTCTTGAAGGAGGTGGGCAGGAATCCCAGGGTGACTTGGAACAGATGGACACAGAACTGACATTCGAGTTGTCAAATGTCCCATAACTTCGTAATACGCCTCTGCGAGCGTAGCCATCTGCTTCGGGAGCAAGCTTGTGAGGAACATCGTCGCTCGCAAAAGGATCTCGATGGCCAATATCGGTAATTTTGAATCTGGGGCTGAGCGTAGTACAAACAGAATCGTTCTGGCAAGCCGTTTCAGTAGGCTGGTCCATTCTCCGTCCACGGCAATGGTGTTCAAAGCTCGAAAAGTACTTTCAAAAGCGCCAACAAAATGGACGAGTCGAAGGACATCGTCGTTCCTTCTGCTGGAGGCGAATTGAACCAGTAAACGAAGCTGAGTTAAGCACTGGTCCGCGGTCCCATATGATGTGGTAGGGTATGAAGCAAGAACCGTTTCGAATTCAGAAGAATTGATGGCACGCACAATATCCCCATCGTGCTTCATTTGAAGCTCGTTCTCGTCCCACTCCACCCGCCATATGCTATGTGTGGCTTTCCTGCTGCGATAGCCCCGCCAACAGCGTTGAATGATCCGGAGCGCATCACGCCTTTCCCGCTCACGTTGTCTCTGAACGCGTTCTTGTTGAGCGATCGCCACCGCACTTTGAGGGAGGCCGGCGTGAGGAGAGTTTCGATTCGTCGAGCTTCCAGGAAAGGCAGCAAATGGATTATTGGAACGGCCACTCAAGTTGACTTGCCTCGGACGGCGAGAGCTTCCTGTGAAGGACTGGAACATGACGGCAAGTATCCCTGCTTGGCTCCAGAAAACTGCAAGACTGTCATCGAAGTTACTTTAAGGGGATTTCAAACGCAGAGAGCACACCGAATTTCGATCGCATCACACATGATCGGAGTAAAGAGATGAAATAAGAGCAACCATGACATACACTCGCCCGATAACCGCGAGACACAGCAATCTTATCGGGGTTCAACGCACGGACCATCATGCCGGCAAGCCGGAGACATTTGGCTCTCGTGAGAATATCTTCGCGTATATACCGGTCCCAGAAGTCAAGCTTCCTCACAATTGAGAAGCTAGTGTATGATCTATGAACGAAGAAGTGACTTGAAAGGATTTCTACTCAGTATCATGAAAAATGGCAAATCGCTGCAGACTGCCAGGCGCAAAGACCTTACGTAAGGTACTAACCTCTGGAGCGAAGGGAAAAGACTACTAACTGCTGTACATAGCCCCACAAGATGTCTGGAGAAACCAAGCACGACCATGAGACATTGCTCGAATACTGTGGTGATATACATATGATAGATAGTAGGTATGGTGAGCCTGCTAGCAGGGTCGCGGTAGGACGGGGGTATTGTGAGCAAAGGATGTCTGGGCACGAAAGAAAAGGGAGGAATTCATCACCCTAAGAATGATAAAATGGTCAGTCTCTCGGTGGCTGAAGGGTTGGAGAAAGCGGTCTCGGCTTACAGTCACGAAGTGTTGGAATGAATTTTGAGGTTGCAATAGATGTAAAGTCGAAAAGGTCCTTCATGGCTTAGGGCTCCTCAACCCCTCGACAGCCTCTTGCTCGGCGGTTTCACGCGCAAGAACCTCATCTGGGTTACTAGAGTACCATTGCTCAAGGTAGTCCGTGCCCTTCATGCCGTCAATTGTGGAGTATGTCCTTCCATTTCGTTCAATTTCTTTCTTGTATGCGGACGGCGTTGGGTTCATGCGCTTGGTGACAAATGGAGTAAGCTGCGCGATCGTGGTTAGAAACAGCCATTCAAACGGAAGCGCATTATTCCAGTTAGAAGGGCTCACCTTGAAGGTATCAAGACCTTCAGGAACAACATAAGTGCGGACCTTCGTCCAGTCGATCACATAATTGCCCTTGGAGTCGAAGTGCCCCATCGACCCTGTACGGGTACCTTTATAGTAACCACCATTGACCTGCTTAGTGGTCAGGCGCAGACGCGCCAGCATGGGTTGAGACGGTTTGAACATCTTCAACAAAGAGAATCAATGCCAGTATCGTAGGATGATGATAGATTGACCTGGTCCGACGGTAGGTCAAGAGATGAACGATCAAAGGCGGTCGGCCCGCGCCAATCTCCGCGCCGAGAACTTTTTTCTGTGACCCCCCCAAAAAAAGTTCGGAGCGTCGCCCGAGTTGCTTTACACACTCCAACATCTTTCGCGTTGAAGAGATCGGGGCAGATTTTTTCTCGACTTTCTACGTTCCTTTTGCAGAGTCATTCTGCTTTATTATTAAGGGAAACCTCAATCACAGCTATGCCCCGCCAACAAACGCAATCGCGGGCTCCGAAAGAGCGTGGTGCGCGGAAGCCCCCGACTCAAAGGGTTCCCAAGGGCCGCGGCCTCGACGCACTTTCCCGGGCGGAGGAGCAAATACCTGTCAAACTAGGTGTGCGCCGTAACCGACTTGGTGACTACGATGACGGTGAATGGCGAAAGCGGCCTACAGGTGGCGATGATGACGACGACGATGAGGATAACGAGCCTCGCCCGGACTATAAGCGCCGCCGAACCGAAGTCTCAGATGAGGTAGGCAGTGATGGTGAAGGTCACCGATGGACGCTCGGGCAGGTCGATAGCGACGATGACGAGTCGCTGGACAGCGACGAAGCCCTGGGTTCAAGCGACGAAGAACGTTTCGAAGGCTTCACTTTCCGTGGCAGTTCCTCAAACAAGTCTACGGCAAAAGCAAAGCCAAAAAAAGCCGATAAAAAGCAACGATCCAAAATTTCCCTGTCAGAAGAGACTGACGGATCAGACGACGACATGACCGGCATGAACGACGAGGACGAGGATGATGACGAGGAGGATGGGATCGATCTTCTCACTGCCTGGGATATGAACACAGCGGCCGAGGAAAGGGCTGCACAAAAGGCTAGCGAAAAGGTCAAAAGGACTGCGGAAGGTGAGGATAGTGACGATACGTTTGGAACCGACGGTGACAGCGAGGATGATCCCAGTGAGGGCGATAGCGATCTGTCGCTTTCCGACGTCGACGACGACGCCGAAGCCCAGGAGAGTGGGTTGTCCAAACTTCAAGATTTCGTCAAGTCTATGGAAACCGATCGGTCAAGGAATTCGAAGCAACGGTCGCAGGAGCAGGGAGTTCCTACCGAGTATGGACTCACATCCTCCCGCAAGCTCACTGTCGCCGACCTCTTGCCATCCATCACGGACTCTCGTCTCAAAAGTTCTCTCAAGCACGTCGACGCTGCTCCCCAAGCCACAAGGACAGGAATTACGGGAAAGCTCGATGCACCGCTTGCGAAACGCCAGCAGGATAAGCTCGATCGCGCAGCCGCTTATGAGAAGAGCAAAGAAACTCTTGACCGGTGGTTGGAAACTGTCAAAGCCAACCGCAAGGCCGAGCATCTGACCTTCCCCCTTCCTGATCCCGACGCGCAACAGTTCCATCGGCTTGATGTGGTTCAGCCCAAGAATGAACTAGAATCTACAATTCAGGAGATATTGGTTGAGAGTGGCCTTGCGGAGGCCAATGGAAAGTCTGCGGAGGATCAGCTTCAAGGGCTCGAGGAGCTCAAGGCACGTGCCTTGCCACTCGAAGAGATCCAGGCCCGTCGAGCTGAGCTCAGAAAAAGACGAGACCTGCTTTTCCGGGAGGAAGTTCGCGCAAAGCGCATCAAGAAAATTAAAAGCAAAGCTTACCGTCGTGTTCACCGGAAAGAGCGCGAAAGGATGGAGCAACAAGAGCGACAGGCTCTCCTGGAATCCGGGGTGGATATTGATGAAGCGGAGCGGGACGAGAACGAGAGAAAGAGGGCCGAAGCGCGCATGAGCTCGAAACATCGTGACAGTAAATGGGCTAAGAGCAATAAGCAAACTGGTCGCACTGCTTGGGATGAAGACGCTCGCAATAGTGCAGCTGATCTCGCCATGAGGGAAGAGGAACTGCGTAAACGCATTGAAGGAAAACGTGTGTCCCGGGGAGACGAGGATTATTTGGGTTCCTCAAGTTCAGAATCTGAAGATGAAGACCCGTGGGCATCCGACGCCGATGAGCGTAACAACCGCAAGTTGCGTGCGAAACTCGCAGCCTTGGAGCGTGACTCATCCGACCATGAGGAGAAAGGCCCGCATTCTGCTCTCTTCTCGATGAAGTTCATGAAAAATGCCGAAGCCGCTCGGAAGGAGCAAAACGACGCCGAGCTTCGTCGCCTCAACCGTGAGCTGGAAGGTGAAGACTCACAGTCCGAGGCAGGCTCCGAGGCGGGTCGACGCAAATTTGGCCAAGCTGAAAAGACGCAGGCTGCTTCTCGACCCAGGGTGCTAGCCAAGGACGAGCTGGAAGATGCTACCGACTCGGACGCAGAGGATACTACCTCCCGTCGACCTGAAGAGCGGGTCGCTACCGCCGTAGACCAGAGCGCAAAACAGAAGTCTACGGCAGTTTCTCACTCTCAGAGTCGAGCTCGGACAACGCAGACCATGTTTGATCAAAAGTCCCACACTACAGACAAAGAAGAGGAAAACCCTTGGCTTGTTCAGACCGAAAGAAACAATCGCCGGCGAGGTGGTGCGGGCGCTGAGGAAACTCTCGACATTGCCCTCGATGCTCCTCAGCCTCAAGCCTCTCAAGTCAAAGAATCATCCAAGAGCGGCAAGCCTGTCAAGGCCGCGTCTTCACGTCAGCAGGAGGAAACAATGGACAGTGATGACGAAGAGCAAACGCCTGTGCTTCTGAAGAACCACGATCTCGTCAAGCGAGCATTTGCTGGTGACGAGGTTGTACAAGAATTTGAGCAAGAGAAGATGGATACGATCGCTGAAGAGGGAGATAAGGTTGTGGATAATACCCTTGAAGGCTGGGGTAGTTGGGCCGGTGATGGCATCAGCAACCGGGAGAAGAAGAGACAAAAGCGCAACCTCACCACTATCCAAGGCGTCAAGCCGGAGAAGCGCAAGGATGCCAAGCTTTCTCGAGTCATCATCAATGAGAAGCGCATTCAAAAGGTACGTTTTGTCCACCGAGGTCTAGCCTGCACCCACTAGATGCGCATCTTTGTTACTGACATGATCCTTTCTTTCCCTTCTCTAGAACAAGAAGTACATGGCTAGTCAACTGCCTCACGAATTCGAAACCAAGGCGCAATACGAGCGATCGCTTCGCATGCCCATCGGGCCAGAGTGGTCTACGAAGGAGACCTACCAGTCAAGCACCAAGCCCCGTGTCATGATCAAACAAGGCATCATCAAGCCTCTCGAAAAGCCTCTGCTATAGAACACCTGATCGCCATGATGAATCTCCTGTGCATGATACATTTCTTGTCTATCTGTTGTCACCACTTTCCGCACTGTACATAGAATGAAGTCCCGGCCTGGTCCATGACCCCGCTGTTGTGTCGTGTCGTCTTAGAAGACCAGGGCCACAGCCATGCATGATTGATTTGGGATGAATTAGGAATGCTTCATTAGGAGTTAACATACAGTATAAGTTTAGTGTTCAGCGTAAAGCGTTTGTGGTTCGTCCAGCCGATTTACACGATTTCCTGACTTGTCACGGTGGTTACATTCTATGTTATCAAGCTACCCGCTTTTTCTACAAAGTGGTCGTGCAGTGACAGATGACAGTTTGCAGGTGACAGGTGACCACGCAACCTTATGCATGCATGGAAATGGATCACTTGTCGGGGCTGACAGTCGACGTCCACTCCGCCGGAGCTGATCTTCCCTCGACAGCTCTCATCGAGAATCTTCAATGCATGTCGCTCCCAACACGTGCCTGTCATGACTTCAGGTCAATGGATGACAATGTGTCGGAGGCTCGAAGACGGTCAATCTATTGAGGAGGTTGGCCGTGGTAACGCACTGGAATGCTTCTCGTGTACTACGCCTCCTTCAAGAATGCTTGAAGTAACTTGTCAGCCACCTGGCTGGCACAAATGATTTAGGTCTCCACAAAGGTGTAACGAGGAGTGCCAACGTCTCGTGAGAAGATCATCTCAGTGACATGCAGCCATCACAAGTGTTCGGTTCCCCAGTGTCGCGAGGCGTGCTGTTCAGAACTTGCCGCTGACTCCACATCCTTGGCGAACGGTCAACAGTCGTGTCACTTACCCACGTTACCACACTGGCGCCGTTCCCAAATCAAAACATACGCGCTGCGAGACTATTTATTCGACTGCTTAGAGTCTCTCTGAAGGCTCATTCTCACAATCATATCCTGAAAATCGCGTTTGCTGGAGAACCCGGCGGGCTTATTGCACGCTTGGTTGAAGACCATTGACATTCCGGTAGAGCATTCTCGGATGCGGGAATAACGACCATAACTGCCCCGGAAAAGCACCCTGTCGATCTGATTGGAGACCGCCGTTGCCCATCGATGGTGAGAGTCCTACATTGCTGAGCTATTCTTTTTAAATGCTAAAACTCCACCAAGGACCGATAGTTCCAGCCACATTGCGGGACTCTCTGACCATTAATATTGTATACGCGAGCTTCGACCTGGTCCAAGGAGGATCGACATCTATGAGAGTCTCTCCACAAGCCACACACAGGAACTCGTCGAGAGAGTTCCAACCGCTTTGAGTTTCTACAGGAATTTCAGACGTCTCAATTGTAAGTTATGGTTCCCTCGTCACCGCGGTTCCATGCCGTAGCAGTGCGTGGCTGGCTCGTGGCTGGCTCCGGTATAATGGGATACTGTTCCATTTGGCATTTGATGAGTTCGAGACGAAAACTCCTGCGGAAATCAAGATCAACAGATAGAGCCAGATTTTGGACTTTCTGAAGTTCATCTTGTTCAGCAATCTTCCCCAGGAGCTCGTTTGTTGTCTTGTTGATTCGAACCTGCAAGCAAAATGGCGACTTCACGGAAGATCTCATCTTTGCTAACATGGCTTCTGGTTACAGAAGCAATCAATTGCTTACCCCAGCCAGTGAGCAATTTTGTTACGGGAGTAGCCACCTCAGAATCGGACTCATCCTTGAGAACTCAATATCCTCCGTCAAATCAAAGAATCGCCGTCCAGACAGCTACACCAGTATGCTCATTCTTTCCCTACAAAATACTTACAGCAATTTCGATGGGTTTGAAACTAAATTCTATACATTAGACCTATCGTGTCGCTCTGGACTTGAGCGGGCATTCATCGCAACTTCCCTTCCCCACGCTTGACTTGAGTGACCTACTTGGCGGTCTTGACGGGCTTCTGTCTCCTCAAACCACAGTTTCACCAACTGCATCCTATCACGGAGTCACCTCGGGCGGTGATTCTTCAAAAACGGACGACGACCCGTCAGGCTCAGACAACAGCTCTTCAGACTCAGACGATAGCCCGTCAGAATCAGAAGGTAGCCCTTCGGAGGCGACGGCTTTCGAGACAGGTACCGAATTGACGCCACTCAGGCCATTTGACAGTCCTGTGACTGACAAGCACGACATTCTCATACCACAGCCACGCATGCTACCGATACTCTTACCACCGACCCTCCCACCGCTGATACTCAAAGTACTATCACTTCTATAACCACCATGGGGGAAAATATCTTTGAGCCGATTGGAACTGGCGCGGTTCCTGCCAGTATCAAGACACGGAACGATCACCCTATCCAGAATCAACATGTAAGTCGGCATCCTCGTATATTGCTTCAATGGAGTACTGATACACGACAGGCCAACTCGACAGCACCGATTGAAACGAACAAGTTTTATGCTGGTTTGTTCCTCGGTTCGCAAACAAATGCGTCGTTCACGCAGCCTTACTCTCTCGCCTGGTCCAAAGGCGGAGGAACGCTGAAAAGTTGGGGAATGGCTGTTTCTCACGTAGAAGACAACTTGCTCGCTTACGGACCGCAAAACTCAAAGCTCCCTGGTAGCCCAGTGAGCTACTACATCAATCCTATCGGCCTTCAACATGTCATCTTATCCGCCACTGAACTCAATGAGTCCACTGTGCTCGTAACTGAAGAGCCGAAGGCATTTTCTGCCCAGGCAGTTCTCAAGAGGTCCGCTGGCTCCTCGCAAAGTATCACCTTTCCTATTGTTCAAGGAATGGGTTACATTACAGGCGTGTATCGTAACCTGCAGCCACAGGTACAAAGTGGCACATTCTTCCGCAAGATTGTGGACGCTGGATCGCCCAAGCCGGGAATTTTCAAGTACCAGATGTATCTGGAGGATGGTACCACCTGGGTGCTATACGCCACGCCTGACGATGGAACAAAGCCTCAATTCAATTTGACGACAAACACGAGCCTCAATGGACCAGCTGGATACAGCGGAACCATCCAGGTCGCTAAAAATTCTGCTGGTCAGCTTGGCGAAAAATTCTTCGACAATTCAGCAGGAGTCTATCCTGTTGCAGGCACTGTTTCTGGTGAGGTCAGCGGTACATCAGGTGCCTACAGCTTGTCGTGGACTAAGGCTGGCAAAGATGCTGATCAGACTCCTCTCATCATGTTTGCTCTACCTCATCACATCCAGTCTTTCGACAATGATACAAGGGGACGAGCAACTGATGTCCAACTTCGCACTACTACCAAGGGCAATGCCACTGTTGTCATAGGAGACCACTGGATCATGAGGGAGTCTAATCTGCCAACGGATATGGGATTCTCCCCCTGGTCACCATTGACGGGCAACATCGCAGCTCTTTCAGCAAGTGCCCAGAGGACCATTCTTCAAGTCGCACCCTTGGAGCTCCAACAGAGCATCGAAAATCAGACCAACCTCAACAGCATGTACTACAGTGGCAAGGCCCTCAGCAAGTTCGCAACACTGATATGGACCGTCAGCGAGCTGGCCAACAGCCCTAACAGCACTCATGCTGCTTTGCAGGAGCTGAAGCGATGCTTCGCCCGCTTTGTGCAGAATCAGCAGCAGTTCCCTCTCGCCTATGACTCTGTCTGGAAGGGCATCGTATCAACTGCAGGATACAAAGGCGACCTAAACGCGGATTTTGGCAATACCGCTTATAACGATCACCACTTCCACTATGGCTACTTCATTCAAGCGGCCGCTATCATCGGCACCCTGGACCCTAGCTGGCTAGCTGACAACAAGGAATGGGTCAACACTCTAGTTCGTGACGCAGACAACTCGATTGAACACGATGCTTTCTTCCCATTTTCTCGCTCCTTTGATTGGTTCAATGGTCACTCGTGGGCAAAGGGTCTCTTCGAATCCTTCGATGGCAAAGACCAAGAGTCCACATCTGAAGATGCAATGTTCGCGTACGCAGTCAAGATGTGGGGTAAGACCATCGGAGATGCCAGCATGGAAGCTCGCGGCAATCTGATGCTGGCGATCTTACGACGTTCGCTGAAGAGCTACTTCCTCATGCAGAGCAATAACACCAACCAGCCTGCCAATTTTATCGCGAACAAGGTGACGGGTATACTTTTCGAGAACAAGGTGGACCACACCACTTACTTCGGAAACAACTTGGAATTTGTTCAAGGCATCCACATGCTGCCATTGCTTCCCAACTCGGGCTATACTCGCGATCCCACATTCGTCGCTGAGGAATGGCAAGCGATCTTCGCGGAAAACGCATCAACGCCTGCATCTAAAGTGGAAGGTGGCTGGAAGGGTGTTTTGTTCGCGAATCTGGCTTTGAGCAATCCTCGCGCATCGTGGGACTTCTTTGCCCAATCCAATTTCGACTACAACTGGATCGATGGCGGTGCCTCTCGTGTTTGGTATCTTGCTTATGCTGCTGGTAAGTCTGACAATTATACCCCACGCCCGTCATTGCGGCGAATATCGACACTAACACAACCCAGGGCTTGGTGGTAGCCCTTAGTGACCGACACGAATGATTCGCAGTCTTTCTTCTGCATTTACACCTCCACACATAATATACTTTATTCTTTTTACGACAGCGGGTGGACTCCGAAGCATTGCTGAGCAATGGGTTTTTGAAAGCGTTTCGTTGAGCCTGGTGTTATCTTGCCATCTGTGTTCCTTTGAACTGCGCTGTCGGCATTGGTTTACTTCTTGTATCTTAGCTTCTATTTATATGGTCGCCCCCCTCTAGCGAAAGATTATTTCCATACATGTATTTCTCATGGCTGCCCGTGATCGAGCAAATCGCATGTTCTTTACTTGATAGTGTTCAAAAGAATTATCTCCATGCAAAATTCATCATTCGTCCAGGGTGTTTGTTTACCCATCGTCTCCACCTCATGCCTTCAAGAATGAGATAGAGTCAAACTCGACCTGCACAAAGAACGTCCACCTCAATCGCAAAGCACTTTTCCGCGAATTATGAGCCCCTAAGCAAGCAGGTCAACCAATTGTGCCACCTTCGAAATGGAAGAACTGCCATCTACGCATTCGCACTCGGAAGGTCGATATCCACCAGCCAGGGTGCATTGTACGGGCGATAAGTTAGCGTCATGATACTAGCGTTTACAAAGAGAGTCTCTTCACCCACCCGCAAGGGCTGTGGACCGCTAGAACTGACATCGCAAAAAGCAGCGCGACGATCTAAGATATCATCTGTGTCCGTGGGTACATCCTCCTGCCTGATTCCGTCCGGTGCAGTAGCATCCCACCTGCCTCGTCTCGCGCCCCATCCCTCGTGAATATGTCCGAAAACATAGAGGCGAGGACGCGCACGACCCGCTGCTCGAAGAAGGTGTTCGCATCCCACTCGGCGGACGTTTTTTGGGTCCAACCCGACAGAGTCCATTACATTCGCTGGCGGACCGTGCGTGAGCATGATATCGATGTCAGGGTAGTCGGGAACTGGGTTTGCCGGCGCAGGCTTTGACGAGCCGGGGGCGGGCAGATTAAATCGGTCTTTTGAGCGGTGGTAGCCAAAGGCCCAGGCACCGTACATGGGTTGATATGGTGAGGCGTAAACCGTCAATTTCGCGCCGTTGGATAACGTGAAGCGGTGGATCCCTTCCTCGAGGTACCGGATACCTGCACCGCGGGCCGAGTCGTTGGTGTAGATATCTTTCATGCGATGGGCATAGTTGCGCAACAATTCTTTCCTCGGAGGTTCGTCGCCTCGGATGGCACTTAATATCGCTTTCTCATCCTCGTCCAGAACAATGTCTTTCCCACCGAACCATTCGGGCCGTCGATGTCTCCTGTGGCCGAAATCCGTGAAATGCTCCTCGTCGAGGGTGATGTCGTGGTTCCCAGCGATGACAAGCTTCAACTCGGCATCGGCAGCTTTGAGCATTTGTACCATGGTGTTGTGTTCCGCACTGTAGCCGACCTTGGTGAGATCACCACCGTGGATGAGGACGTCGGCCTTGGGGAGAGGGCTACGATAGGCATAAGTGGTTTCGGAGGCGGAGAATGGAGATGCGGTATGGGTATCAGAGATCATGCAGATGCGAGTTTTGATTCCGACTGAGGTGGAAGCCATGTCGGCTAAAGACTGTGAGACGCAACCTAATTCAGAAACGAGAGGAAATGCGTGGACGGCAAACAAAGTTGAGCGTCGTGGGATGAGTGTTGTTGTTGATCATTAGATTAGGAAGGAGGTCGCGGGGAAGACCCAGACCGGCCAGCGGACGACGTCAGCGACAGGTGATTGAGATCCAGTGCGGACTCCCCGCAAATAGTTCGGAGGTCTACTCGTACGCATTACTACGCGATATTCTAGTGATGTCTAAGAGAATGCTCAATGAAGATTCTCTTCGTGACGGGAAGAAAGAACAGATGAACCGAGGGATGCAAGAAAGAAAAAAAATAATAAAAGAACTTGTAGAACAGCGAAGTTATATGAACGTGAACAGGATTCATTCCCATGTGTAATTGACGGCTCAGAGCTCTACAGACATTGCATCCGTGGATGCCCAGATCATGAAAATTTTCTGGTAAACATAGCTGAAACTCCGATAACCACCCGTGCAACGACAACCCATGCGGCTCTCCTAACCGAATGGCTTTCCCTTTTAACTTTTTCGTTTACTTGCGGATCGCACGCTGGTAGAAGGCCAGCTCATCACCCTCGAGGATGTAACCGTCAACACGGCCGGACTGGCCGGGGCGGGAAGAGACAACAGCGAACAGACGACCAGACTCGAACTGACGCTCGATGGCACCCTCAACCTTGCCCTGAGCGGCGTAGCGGGCGGCCTGCTTCTTGGTGACGGACTTGGACTTCTTCTCCTCGGTGGTCTCAGCAGTCTTCTGCTGGCGTCTGCGGCCGATGCTCTGGCCGTAGTGGGCCTCGTACCACTGACGGAAAGGAGCAGCGTCGATCTGGACAACGGCGGACTTGGTCAAGGTGTTGGTACGGACCAGCTCGTTGTTGGAAGGGTGGTAGGAGACACCGATGACACGGGTCTTGCGGGCAACACCCTCAGAGCCCCAGGAGAAGTTACCGGACTCGAGACGGAGAGCACGGTACTTCTGGTTGCCACCACGAGTGCGGACAAGGTGGATACGCTTGGTTCCGAGACGGGTGTTGGCGGGCTGGCGACCCTTCTCGAAGGCTCTGTTCAAGAAAGAAAATAGATGGTAAGAAACATGCTTCATCGAATAAGATCGAGATTGCCCAAACTGGTTCGCCCCAATTGCATGCATCCCCATCAACCGAATCAATCCACACAAAGGAGAGAAATTCCCATCGACGGGGATGCGTCGGGACCATGCCAAATTCAACGGATAGATGAGTCGTACCTCTTCTTGCGGTAGTAGGCACGCTTAGCACCGGTGGCGCTGCGCTTGTGGCGAGAATCACGAGAGATACCCATATTTGCGATTTGATGGAGGGGTCTGTATCAAGGACGAAGCAGATGATTAGAATTAAATTCGTCCAGCGCGAACTCTCTCCTCGAGCCCCAATGCTTCCAATTCAATCCGAGTTGACGTTGCAGGGTTTGCCGATAAGGTTAAATATCAAGGGTTTGTTGAAGTAATGAGTGAAAATTTGTTGTTGCGATCGGCCTTATTTGGTGCGAGGCTGAGCGAGCGATCGAAAGGCGAGACAAGACCGAGATATTTCAATGTCGAAACCAACGATTGTACCCAAAGATCGATATGTGTGTCGAAAAATACCCGAACGTGCGACTCGGACGAAATTGGAGAAATTGGCAAACGAGGGGATTGATGAGGCGTCTTGCGAAAAACTCACCTCTAACCTGCGGCCCTACACCAAAGAACACGGATAGGTTGTCGTTGGGTGTCGTTGAGAGTTGCGGTCGTGGAGTCCGTTGAATTTCGCAGGACCAGTGTGTTGCTCGCTTGTGCGGTTGCCCTAACTGACACTAACCCCAGAAGGGATTAGTGGATTTCTGGGTCCCCACGGGTCACATGATGACAGACTCTGTTGGCTGATTCAGCATAAGCGCGATCACCTGAGGTGTCGTCCCGGGTGCCTTACCCACTTCGGATGGGGCTCTTGGTAGTCGCTGTGACTTGATGGCACATGATGTTGCCTCAGGCCTGCAAGCCTCTATCGGGTTCAGATCAAAAACTTTACATGTCGATTAAGCGGAGATGCGGGAGACATTGGCTGCGCACGTATAGCTGGAGATATCAGTTGCGATAACACCTGGCTTTGATGCTGGTATCTTTTCTCTTCGTGGACCTGGAAAGATTCAAATCCTCGATGCTCCTATCTTGGAATGGAAGTTGACTGAATGCGACAAATTCCATGTTTCACCGCTGCGTAGGATTAATGTGTGATTTCTCCATTCTCTGCATGATTGATGTCTCCATTTCGTCTTATGATTTGCATCTGGAATGCGACAGTGTTCGGAGGCCCAAACTATGTGTTATTCCAAAATAACGTCAGCTATGCCGAACTAACTTAGGAGCTATATGTCACAACTCCAAAGCTTTGTGTACAAAGAGCGCAATCCCACAAAATAACCGTTTCTGCACAGGCCTGTAGCTTATACAGATTACAGAATGCACCATATCGATCAAGTATTGAGCCAAATCAATTATCCCAAGCATTGGTGGATAGCTCCAGGTATAAAAACATCCCACTTTATCAATGTTAACATTGCTAGGTAGTACCGTAGTACCGGAAGACCCGAATTACTGCTTAGAATAGGCCGTGTTGCAGATGCGAGTAGCTTGATTGAACATATCTAAATCGATTGATAACCTTACCTTAGGTCACTCTCTGGACATTGATGTAGATGTACCGCAGGTAAAGCTCGAGTCGGACGTGCTCACAAGTTCTCAGTCCTTGATCTCCCTACTAACGAGGAAACTATCACTGACAGTATTGATCAGCTACATATAGCTCGTGGTGTGGTCAAAAGACGATGCTCAAGGTTGTTTCCTCCCGTCTGCGATCCATTCATAGGTACCTGGTACTTGCTGGATTTGAGCCAGCGTGCATTTGTAATTCAGTCGCCATGTGTGCCGCGGAGACAAACAGCCAAGCGATTCCTTGCACTATGTTGATATGCTACATGCTTGAAACACGCTGTACCTTATTCCCTCGCATGGAAGCTTTAACCGTTCATGAGAGAGCATCTCTGCCCGTGTATATACATATCTGCCTCCCCAGGCTTTTCATTCGCAAAATCCACAGAATCAATGTTTCTTCCCATTCTTCTTCGCTCTCTCCTCATTCACAATTTGCCTAATTCTTACAAAAGACCCAAAGCCCTCGATGAAACACGAACCCATCCAGATCGCCCATAACTTCGATCCAAAAGGCACACCAAGAGGCTGCAACCTCAATACCGCCAACGCCGCACTCTCAAGGACATGAACTCCCAGCACAGCGGGGAAGAAGACCGGCCAGATCGTATAAATGAAGTGGGTGAAATCTGGGAAAACCCTGAAACCCATGTTCTCGTAGACGAACGAGCCGGGCAAAAGATTGCTGCGCCTCCAACACGTCACATACGTGAAGAGCACTAGGCCAAAAATGACAGCTTGGAAGCCACGGGGAGGTCGGTACTTGGTGAGGGTCACGTCCCAGCGACCCAGGCGTTGAAGGCTGTCGTTGTTTAATGCGATGAGACGCACGCGGGCTTCGGTGTAGTCTTTCATGGGAGGTTGGATGGGGACGCTGTAGCGGGTGCCGTGGGCGGAGAGGATGAGATTGGAAAGGGTCAAGTCCTCCAGGGTAGCACCCTTGGCTTCTTTCGCGGTGATGCCATTGTAGGCTTGTAGGTAGAGCTGGAGGGAGTCGGCATGGTCGGCATTCATATGCTTGATGATGAAGTCCTTGGAGGACATGATGGGCAGGTGGGATTGCAGATTGTGGCCGAACCTGGAAGGCGAGGATCTGCTGTTGGAGGTGCAAGTAGTGAAGGAGATAGAGGTCAAGCCTTTTGAAATGTCTCAGAGGGCTAGTGACCTAGACCCTTGCCTTGATATGCTCGCGACGTAGCCAGAGAGTTGTTTATGAAAAGGTCCCAGTTACCCGCAGAATCGATGGGTAGGATGCTGGCGCGATAGGTCGATTTCATGTGCTGATCCCCACATGACGCGCCAAGGCCCCGAGCCTCGGCTTTAATGTTGCTTGAGATCAACAAGGGCGATCTTTTTCTAGATGAAAATCCAATTTCTATGACTGTAGAATTACAGTCTGTGAAGGGCAAAGAGACCTGAATTCCTGAGAACAATGTAAAAACTGTGCAAATTAAAGTATTTCAATACGGCCTAGCACCGAGTCTAAAGCCAGATTAATTGAGCCCAACACCGGCGGCATTGCCATGCTTGAATCCTAGTAAAAGGTTCGAACTGCCTTCGCAATATTGACCCTGCACTGAGGGTTGTGCAAGTACATAGCGATATCGGCCGATCGTCATGAGCTGTATACGTATCACGAAACTCAACTTGGTCGGCCAGCAAGGAACAGGGAGACCACTTTATCAGGGAGGCCATCTAGCAGTTCACCATAAAGACCCATTGGATCACTATGTAGCTTCCATACTACCTAGGAGAACGATATCTGTCGCAGAAGACTGGACTAGATAGCACTCCGTGTCGGCGTGTCCTCTTCAGTATCGTAGACTCACTGCTCATAATTCAAGTCACATTTGCATGTCAGCTTCCTTCGAGTATGACTGAGCATTCAGCTCCAAGGCTGTTCCTTGAGCTCTGTGACACTAGGTCTCAAGGGATTTGTGGCCCATGGTCACTCTGCACCTTAAAGTTCATACCTAAAACATGTACAGTAGATCCGAGTACGCCGAACAGGCTGTCTCCGGGTGACTTCCCTGATAATGCGTTTAACAAAGCTCGAGGTTAATTGTCCGGCCCATGTTTGTCCGTAGCATTGACGGTTACTAACCCTCAAATGCCTATTCTTAGATCTAAATGATAGTACTAGATTGAAAACTAGTTGTAGTGATATAGTCTTGCAAGACGAGCTGGCCACGCAGCTAAAAAGTTGATTCCATTTGGTGACCTACTGTAGAGTAAGACTCGGGATGGGTGGATGAATGAGTAGATGCACCAGAAATGTTCATGATGCAATAGAATAGACTATGATTTTATCCTGTCTGTCAGGATGGAAACACCAATAATGTCTTATCACAAAGAGAGCCACAAGCTGGCATGAGATCTAGACTAAGCACACTGCTCACCTTTTTATTCCACCGTTAAAGAAGTTACAAGGCAGGGAGAGATTACGAACGAGCGATACCTCACGCAATTATATTCAAAAGATCCTAAGGTTTCGGTCCCGATACTCATTTGAAATTCAACTTAACCCGTAGTCGTGTGTTTGAGCAAGTTTCATTGTTCTGGGTCTTACTTCCATACCCAGGTAGTACAAAGTACAAACCATGAAGGGACTTTGGTAGCATCTTTGACCTCTCACTAGAACAATGAATCACTGGAGAGTCCATCTTTATACCTAGTCAGAGAGCTACGAGTTGGCCCGATTTAATCAATGTCCATCGCAGTCACCCAGTAATCAATCAATCAGACAAACCCGCTCCTACATCCCGCGATACGGACTCGCGAAGAAGAGATGCCCGTCCGAGCGCTTTCCATTCCACCCGGTGCGTTGACTGAAGAACAACCCGAGGTCCCACTACAGTATTTGTCTCTCAATAAGCGAGACCAACCTATTTGACATTTGAACACGCGCGGCGGAGTCGTATCGGACAGAGGTATAAACTGCTTTCTTCGAGCTACCTAGGCGTATCTTCCACTCCCTAGTGTCAATGAACTGCTAAGGGGTGGCTGTCATCCCGTGTGTGCCGACTTTGGATCGGCCCCATACTAGGGTATCCTGCATATCTCTCTGGGTCGAAGCTGGGTGGATTATGGATGAAACCCATGTGACTCGTGGGCCGCGAAGAAGCGATGATGAAACATCGCTGAAGTTGATCTCCAATTGCTAGTAATTGACATTTCATGATGGATCAATGCCTTCTCAATCCGAGGGTGATGTCTTGTCCATGCTCTAAAGTTGGAATAGTACTGGGCCAAAATCATGTGACTTGATTATTGGATGAAATTAATATACATCATTCGCAGGAATTGAAATTAGAGTCATGGATATAGCACTCTCGTCAGTGTAGGATACTGCTCCCCTCGCGGAAATTGAACAACACCAGGAAGTCTGAAACCACATACAAACGCATTGATAAATGAATAGACTGTGATGATGAATGGGAAATGCCGAGCGGACGTCAAGCAGCTGTCTCGTCAACTGCCACAAAGAAGTAAGAAAGCAGTATAGAGACTCGACGCGGTCACTAAGGAAACGACTAGGGCTCTATCTGTTGAACGCAGGATGAAGCAATACGAGATATAGAAAATGACAGAGACGGAATCGAGATGAAGATTGGTGGCATCGATCGTAACAGTCATGAGCGGGTTCGGGGAAAAGGGTGGTGAGTTGGGAGCGATCAGTTCGATATGGTGGTCCTCGCGTCGGGGGGGGGGGGGGGGGAAGGGGGAAAGTGATAAAGGTCGATGGAGTCGAATCGGTGGCGTGAGATACAATGTTCTTAGGCACTGTAGTCGGGGCAATCAACTCCTAATTCACGTTGAGCAAATGGTGTCCCGGACAGAGAGTGAGGGAACCAAAAGGGAGCAGAAGGGCAAAGTGCCAAGGAAGGGAGAAAGTCGAGGACAGTATGGGAATCACTTACATCAGTGCGATGGTCAAATCGCCGTGAATGCGAGCCTTGAGCTCGATTTCGATCTCAAGATTCAGTTCGAGCTTCAACTTCATGCCATCCTGGTCGGCAAACGCATCGCCGGTCTTTTCTTGCGGAGCCATGTTCATGCCGCCGCTGGGTTTCTCGCCCGACGAGCCCTGGGACCACGGCTGCATGGACTTGCCCTGCACAATCTCGTCATCGTCGTCGTTGTCGTCGGAGTAATCCTCTTCGTCGTCGAACTCTTCCGAATCGTACTGGTCATCATCGGAGTAGTCGTCTGCTTCTTGAGGCTGTAGACGCCGACGCTGAAGCTGCTGTTTCTTCTTGGGAGCAACATCTTCTTCCTCATCGGAGTACTCCACGTCGTCTGCACTGTCATAGTCCTCTTCCGAGTCGTATTCGGGCACTTGGAACTGCTTCTGCTTCTCCTTTGTCTTCTCGGCGGTTGCCATAGTGCAAATAGGAATGTCTTGGGGAGATTGGTCGGTATCGAGAATGGAGACGAGACGAGGTTGAAGAGCAGGCGACACGAAAGAGTTAATACCACCACCGTTGGAGAGGTTGGATGGAATACCTAGGCGGCAGGTATTCAGCAGGGAAATTGACGAGAGATTGAGGATAAGAGGCCAGCGATGATCTGATATTGGGTCCTGGTCTGGAGTATGATACCGTACGTCGATTGTCTCACGAAACGGCCGGAGAGCCACTCAGAGCGAACCGAGCCCGCGACTGGCGGAGCAGGGGTTTCTGTTTTCTTGAGAAAAGCATCATCCGCATCGTCAGTTAGACTTCTTGCTCAACATGACGTTGGCGGCGGGATGCACCGCAGCTCCACCGTGGAGGGTCGTGGCCGCGCAGGAGGGACCGGCGGCCTGGGCTGCAGCCGGGGCTGTGTGGCTTGAGTTTCAGTAAATTAAACCAGCCGTCAAGGACGTGACGATGCACGAAGACCAGTCGCGCTGGTCGGTGAGATGCAAATCACGTCATATTCCGGTGGCTTGGCTCCTAACCGCAAGGCGTTGGAAGGATAATGTGGGAAGAAGATGACCGGGCGTGGGTGGTACCGTATAAGTCGTACGCTACGTTGGCGCCGGTGCCATGGGCGGTCCAGACATGATGCCAAAGTGCCGCAAAAGGTGGTGGTGTATCGGTCTATCTCACATGATTGTTTTATGAATCAGACGCAGTCGGGTGGTCGAAAGTAGTAGTGTTACTGTGATGCTGTCTAGTGTCTACAGTCAAGTCGAACTAACTAGTCACCTGACAAGACCTGTCCCAAGGTCTGTCGTACTACTGAGTACAGCAATGACCTGAGTTTGCAATCCATGTGGAGGGTAAAGATGCGACTCTACTACGACGACTGCCTCCTTCTAGTACCTATTACCTAGTGCCTTTTCAATTTTGAATGAGACTCCTCCCCCCAAAAATTCAATTCACACCAGACCTGTCATACCTGCGCACATGTGAACCATGGCTGACTCTGTTTCACTCGGACGAGGGTGCCTTTTGCGTCCAGATACCCCCTGAGGAAGACCCATGGATATCGACTACTGGCCCTCGTGGGTTTCCGACCAGTTCGGCTGACCACTCTATAAGCGAGCTCTTCACCCCCGAACAATGGAGTCGTAGACAGGTCGGTTCCGCCAGTATAGTAAGTAGGAAGCCTCGTTCAAGCCTGGTTATTTTTTGGGAGGGGGTGACAGCATAAATTTTCCTTCCAATGTACCGTGGACACCGCTCACCTCCGCCACCTGTCATCCCAGCACGTTCCAGCCAGAACATCGGATTTCGATATGCAGTGTAGAATGTGGATGACCCAGTCGGGAAGATGTGGCTGACCGGTTGTCAGTCAATCCGGTTCGAGCGCATTGCCTGGCCAAATTCTTCCCGCGAAGTGTGGCGTCATGTTGACTCGCCGAGCTGGGTACTGGGTGGACCTTCCACCCTGCACCGTATCATATATAGAAGCCACTGGTTGGTAGACAGTCATCTGCAGTCGGTAGTCGCCAACCTGATCACTTCAGATTGGGTACGTCTGTACTCTGTCGTCTGTCCAAAACCTGTCTCTTACGTCGACTTTAATCTATAAAAGTGGAGCCCTCGAGCCCGGTGGCTGAAGGGCTGGAGACTGGCTTGTAGCTGCCACGGGCCATGCCAATCTTCCGGTTCTGAAAAGTTCTGGACTCCATCGGTGACAGGTTGACGAGATTCGGAAAAGGGATTGCCTAGGGTCGATCATCGGCGGGTCGGGTATGGACAATGCCATGACCGTCGAAGTCGCGGATTTGTTGTACCGTATGACTGTATGACTGGGCTCAGTGGGTTTAGTTGTACTGGGTTGTGCTCCCATCCTGGGTGACACGGTGACACTTTGACAACTGGTGCTCTTGTCACTCGTCAATTGTCATCCTGGTGGTGTAGATGTGGTTAGATTGCCTCGATTCTGGTGCAGGCATCTTGTGTCCAACAAGAGGAGCCTACATCCTCCTATGAGCACTGTGGCTGGGAATACACAGGGTGTTACTTAGACACATCGTATTACAGTATCATTGCCGCATCATACAACTGACAAGTATGCCTTTATCCTTTGATTGCACTTTGCCGAAGGGGACAGATCTGTCCCCTCTCCAACGTTATCCGTCACCGGAGAATTTTCTGGAGTGGACTCGGTGAAGACGACCAAAACCGAGTCCAAGAGTCCGATAGACTTTCAACCGCTTTTCCCAATTGTTCCCCGCGAGTCCGCCCTGACGTCACCATGCGGCTGTCCGTCCCCACTGGGCTGGGCAGTGACCAATCAGACGGACTACTAGACTCGGAAGTTTCTCCCCGTGGGTTTCTTTATTGTCGTCTGTCCTCTGGAGTCTGGAGTCTGGACCTGTTCGGGAACAGGTACCCTCAGAGCAAGTTCTGTTCTGGTCGTTGGACTGACTTGTTGCTGGCAATGGGATCCCTCAGGTACCATCTATGGAAGTCCTGAGTAGTACTGGATGTCAATCATGCTTTCCAGCTACCCAGGCCCGGTCTCGAACAAGCCGAGGTGCGTCGTCTGCCCAGTGCCCCGGACTCAGTGCTCACGGCTCACGGCTCACATACTGTAGTTATAGTAAGGCCCAAAGTATGGAATTTGTACTCTCGTCTTCCCACTCTCTGGTGACAGATGATGATCGTTGCGTGTCTTCAATTTAGATTGGAGTTGTACTGTCCTTTTCCAGGCCTATCATAGTAAAGTAATGTACAACAACTATCCATGTAATTGATCATTCCATTCCCTCTTAGTCTCTCGGCTCTTCTTAGTCCTTACTCCTTTACAATATGTACCACATACGCAGGGACTATTGATAGATTAAACTCCGACTCCATCTGACGTCGGGGGCGCCAATCAACACTTCATGCGATGATCCATCCATCTTCATTTGTGCTTCGCTTTTTTTTGGTTTTCTTTTTTTTGGGGGGTTTGCTATTCTTACTCTGTGTGTAATTCTTCCGTTTTTTTTTTAAACAAAAAAAGAGTAATCAAGGTTGAACAACCACTCGACCCAAAGGACCGCCGACATCATAGCCAGCCCTGCTCTCCACCAGCCACCTGCCACCTGCATTGGGAGACAATCTGACCGGGCCATGACACACCTTATACCTGCACGATACCAGTGGAGGTGGTACTTCGGATCGAAAGAATAATCATGAAACGGACCTGCTCAAGTGAGTCCCCCTGTACATGCCGTGGTTCCTGGTGACGCGGTATCCTTCATAACCCCTCCGAGATAGTCTTCTGGGATCTTCATATTTCCCCCTCTTTGCCCACCTTCGCCATCGATTCTTTTTTCTTTCTTCTTCTTCTTCCTTTCCTTTCACCATGGCCGATAACGAAGCAAACTCCAACCCGACAAAGCGTACACCTCCTAAGCTAGGCAAGAAGTCGCCCGCCAAGCAAGAGCAGACCCCCCCTCCCTCCGAAAAGGGCCAGGAAGAGTCGGAGAAGCCCGAAGAAAAAGAGGAGAAAGCAGACCAAGAAGCTCCCGAAGACGAGGACCAGGACCAGGATCAGGACAAAGAACCTGAGACTGAACAAGACCAAGAAGACGAAGGCGACGAGGAAGAAAAGCCCGAGTCTCGCAAACAGGAAGCCGACTCGGACGACGAGCCAGCCAAGGAAGAAGAACAGGAAGTCGAGCCTGAGCCCGAGCCACAGCCCGAACCCAAGGCGAAGCCTGAACGACGCCGCAAGTCTCGCCGTACACAAGAGTCAGACGTCGAATCCGTTCCCCGAAGCAATATGGAAGGTCAATCGGAGAAGCGTCGCCAGCGCACGCGCCGCACCCGTCAACCCCAACAGCAGCAGGGGGGTCAAGACGGTGGTCCCCTCGGCGGTCTCGGTGGTGTCGACCAGGCCGGTCAGTTGGTGCAAAATACCGCTGGCAATGCCCTAAACGGAGTCACCGGCTCTGCCGGCAAGGCCGTGGGTGGTCTGCTTGGCGGCGGTCAGAAGGAGGGCAAGGATGATGGTGGCAAAGATGAGCAGCTGCGTCTGCGTCTGGATCTGAACCTTGATATTGAGATTCAATTGAAGGCAAAGATTCACGGTGATTTGACTCTGGGCTTGTTGTCAGTATTCCCTCTTCTATTCACAGCCCCCTCGACATCTGCCTTTTTTTCTCTCTCTCTCTCTCTCTCTCTCTCTTCGCCCTGTCATCGCGCAAAAGCTAGACATATTCACAAATGTGTATCCTGATGAGAACACTTTTTGACTGACTAACTGACTTTACAGGAACTAATCTGGTCACTATACAGTAGCTAGACGTCTACCCGTCTATGCGCTTCGTTATTTTTTTTTGTTGCCATGATTACGCCATGATACGTCTGTCTCATCTCTTCTTTCTTCCCGTCTTGTTCCCCTACAACGTCCTTTTCAATCATCGAGGGCCCAAATCCGGCCTGAACTCGACTCATTGCAATAACGACCAGATCTATCTGTTTCTCCTTTCTCTCACGCATATGGGACGACGCGACGATGCAGAATCAACGCTGCTCAACGCAAGGAATCTATTGACCCTCCCATATTCTCTATCTTGTCTTCTTTGCCCATTCCTGTCCTGTGAACTTGTTGTTGTTCACTACCACCATGGGGTACATGATGTGTGTGTTATGCCTTTGACGTATTCCCTTCTTTGTCATTATCATCCTACTCGAAATAATCTAAGAATCGTCTCCTCCTGCCGATCTTTTCGTCCTGGCCTATTCGTGAACTGCTACTACCTTAAACTCCGTCTCGAGCTTCTTTCGCGGCTCACTCTAGAATGCGATCTGGTACCGAGTTCTCATAATATGTTTGGAAGTTGTTCTACAGCACCGGACTGGGGCCGTGACTGATTTGGGTTTGATATGGGAAGAGTGTCTGATATTCGATGGAAGTACCCCATCAAGACCTGGATCCACTCGCTTAGTGTAGGTACTCTCCAGCTGCTGAGAGGTTGTCATCAGCCCGGGATCAGAGCCAGAGGCGGGCAAGGCAGGACACCTAGTGGAGCGCACAGTGAGATTTCTCTCTGTTTGAAATACAAAGAGCAACAAGCAATCCGGGGCACAGGGTGCGTATTATTTGTGTAGAGCATGTTTGATAGAGAGGCTGAAGGCTGATTATCTCCGTCTTATGGCTTCTTATAAAATTCCAGTACAAGATCGACGAGACTGCAATGATCCCGTTTTGGGGATCTAGCGCCGAAGACGTACAACATAATGTAGGTAGAAGAGGGCAACCAAAAAGTTCAAGACCACAAACTTAAGCCAAAGGGGAAAAACACCGGCCTCTCCAGAGGAGATTGAATTCGGTGAGATGAACAACGCGCCTCCGAGGGCCGACCTCGCATGCATTCATATACAACGGACCACACGAAACGAAGACCCCGAGCAGAAAGGCGGATTGACCTGGGCATCGCCAAACGTAACCTTTTCACTTTCCAGCTCCCTCCCCTAAACACAACAATGTAAAAAAAATCTCATCAAATGCCGACTACCTAGAGTCCCGCGACAAGCATAAGTCCATAACCAACAGTCACAATCACCACAAAGGACATCAGACTTGCTGGAATGCCTCGAGTGAGGAAATGGCGGACCTGAAGGTAGCGCTGGCCAGTCTGTGGAACCTCGGTCATGATGGCAGCTATAGAAGAAGGGCCATGTCAGCTCGATTCTCAACATACTCAAAGGTAAATCAAGATCGTGTAGAAATGAGATGGCCACACGGGAAGGAGGCTTTGGTTCGAACAACTTACTCATATTAGGGAAGCCACTTGTGGGCAAGGCCATCGCAACGGAACACATGAGAGCGCTAGCCATAACAAGCAGGTTGGGATGAGGCTCCTCCATACCCACGCCGATCTGGCGAACAAGAGGCAAAATGATCAAAGCAGCGACGGTATGCGAGATGAATGTAGCAATGACGAGAATCAGTACCGAGAAGACGATGAGCACACCATAGAGACTGAGGTGCTCTACGCGCGCCGTGATCCCGGATGCGATGGTGTGCAGCAGACCGGAAGAGGTGACCGCCTTGCCGAGGCAGAGACCACCAGCGGCCAGGATGATGATAGTCCACAGGAAGTTGTTAAAGTCCTCCTTGTTGAGAATACCTGTCCCGAAGAATAAGACCAAAGGGATAATGGCGATCACTCCCATATCGCCAAAGACATGCTCCAACTGGTGGCTGGCACACCAGAGCGCGATCGTCACTAGAGTTACCGCGCTGATGAAATACTGGACCCCGGTGAAGCGATCCTTCACAGGGCGCATGGGGATCACAGTGGCATTGCGGCCAGGGTTGAAAGTCACCAACAGGAGCACCCAGATCAACAAAATGGAAATGATGCACACAGGCAGGGAGATGAAGAACCACGTTCCCCAACTGATGCTAGGATACATATTTTGCAAAGCGATAATGTTCTGCGGCGATGCGATAGGAGATGCGGCACCACCAACGTTGGCAGCCAATGCAATACCGAGCACCAGCGCCTTGGCAAAGTCTGAATCTGGCGAAAGGTTGCGCAACAATGGTTGAATGATCGAGTAGCAAAGCACGGGAGACGCAACATTGCTGATCCACATGCTGAGGAACATGCTCACAAACATGTTGGTCAGCAGAACAATCTTGGGCTTGGATCCAGCTTTGCTCAGGACAAACATCGCCATGCGTCGTGCGATATCGTATTTTGAAAGAGCCGCAGCGATAGTAAAGCCTCCCAAGAGTAGCATGATCACCGGAGTCCACATGGATGCGAAAACCATCTTCGTTGCCTCTTTCGGAGGCAATCGCTTGTACGGTTTGCCATCCGACCGCATAATACCTAGAATGACCACCAAGAAGGGAATCAACAGTGAGGTGACGAACAGGGGAATGGCCTGGGAGAGGGGGAAAAAAATCAGTATAAGACACCATACGTATGACCAAAGGCCAATCGTTCTTAGAGACTCACTTCAGTTGCCCACAAGATGCTGACCAGGACAAGCATTGCCAAGCAATTCTGTTGTTCAACTGACTTCATGATTGGAACAGAAAGCAAGGCTCCAAACACTGCCAAGCTAAAGACGAGGGCACCAAAGCTCAAGCTACACAACCACAAGGGAAATTCTATGCGGCCAAAGGGAGTTTTGAATTCTGTGGTGCGAATCTCAGTTTTGTCGCCTTGGCGAATAGCGGTGGCCGGGTCTTCATCGGCTCCTAGCAGGGTACGACGAATACCGACGTTGGCCGCTTGAGCACGACGTTCAATCTCGATCATTTCACGCCAGACAGTGTTCCGCTCCCATACTACATGCTCACGGAGATGTAGTCGCAGCTCGCGGCTGGCTAGCTCACGATTTCCTTTTGTGACAACGTCCGCGTACGCGCCCTCAACTTTCTGAATATAGTTGTCGACCGCAGCCATCGTAGAGTCGGTGAATGGTTGAGCCGGGTGTACTACAGAGGCCAGATAGTCTCGACGAGTATTGCGAAATAAGGTTTTGTCGTACTTTTTCAGCGCTTTCGAGAAACCGGTTCTATTCAGCTCGATGAACGATCTCAACTCACAGAGGGAGACGTATGATTCTATCAGACGCTTTTTGAGAGAGACGCCTGCATTATACAGGGCCAAAAAAGCCTGATCATTCATGTCCGGGTCTCGAAGCAAGCGGCTGCCCGATTGGGCAAAGAAATTGGAGTCCGACATGTCGCCGTGGCGGTGATCATCATTTGTGGATCCCCCATCAATAGACGCCTGTCGAGCGAGGCCCATGACTGCAGTGGCGGGATTTTCGTCGTCACTGTCTGCATCGTCTTCACTGACGCTGGACCGGCGGCGCTGAGTGTTGCCATAGCGCGAGTTCGAGCTCAGTGTTCGCGCTTTGATAACAGTCTCGCTGACCGGGTCCATGTTGACCCCAGCAGTCTCTGATAGATACCCCATGGCCTCATGAAGCAACTCGTCCGTCGTTTGGAAGATCTCAGCCTGCTTTTGCTGATAAAAAGTGCATACTTTGTCCAACTCCGTGTCCAGCGCACGCTTGAAGACCGCGTCTGGGTTGTTCACCTGGGCGCCTCCCAGGAGCGGAGCAGACTCCACGTCCGCGCCTGACTGTCCATCAACATGGTTGGCCTGTTTCTCGAGGGTATAAATTCTATGTGGTGACCGGAATGTAGAGAGTCAGCCACTGCTCGTCTCGCCCTGCAACCGAGCCGCCGTCCACAAGCAGGGACCAGCGGTCTCCCACACATGGCTGTGCAATGTGACACATGCACAACAGCACCCGCCCAGCGAGCTCGAACTTACAATTTCTTCAAATTGCTGTAGGCAATATAATTGGAGCTCCAATCTGGCACAGCGTTGAACTGAATGCTGTGCGAAAACTTCATCTTGGCAACCTTCTCGGTTTCGCTGACGCACTCCTCTGCTAACCGTCGAGTTCGACTCCGAAGCGCCTCAGTCCAGTATTTGAGTCGTGTGTTGCGAGGGGCCCGAGGGCGATGACTTGCAAAGGAAACCTTCTCGTCCTTCCAGATCGCAACCCAATCAAGTCCCGCAAGAGCTACTGAACTGGCAGCGGGCTTGAACGGCCGAACGGTGCCTCCGAATCTTTGCGCGGAAGTGGATTCGAATTCGGATGCGTTCGTCCCGCGGTTGCCGCCAGTAGCGTTGAAGTCAGTGAGCTCGTATGAATCACAATTCTGGGAAGAAGCCAGAGTCGCAAGAGGGCCGGACAGGATTCGGCCTCGCTCATATAGTCTCGTCGCAGGTAGGAGGGGTGCGACCGATAGGCAAATGGTTTGTTGCGGGGCGCCAACAGCCGATGGAGGTAGTTTGCTCAATTGCGGCTAGTTGGGTGGGTTTCGACCGTGGTGCGTTCTGATATGAGGCACGTGTACTCGGACTGGTTCCAGTGTGTAGATTGCGTAATGGCGAATACTTTTGCCTATGGAATAGTCGGTTTAGGGTGATGGCGCATCCTCGTGTTCTAGAGAACTTGCAAGGCGCTTTAGTCGGAATCCGCGACTGCTGCGTAGGTATGGAACCCTGAACGGCTCGCCCAATCGGGCATGAGATGAGGTCTGAGTCAGCGCCTTTTCGAGACGGCCAGGCCTCCATCAGACTTTACAGTTTACAGGTCACACTATCTAGTGCCTTTCGTACTTGGCACCTCAGCTAAGGTTGACATAGTGGGTACTTGGTACCTGTTTAAGCCAGAAGTCAGGTGCAAATAAGTACAACTGATCAACATTGACGTAGTCAGGAGACATCGACTGAGCCTGTCGGGTCATGTGAAGGCTCGCGTGGTTGAATTCGACCACCCAGTCACGTGCGGAACTAACTTTAAACAGTGCCATGACTGCCACCGAGTTTCTGAATGTAGGTAGTAACAATCAAGCGACAAGAGGCTAGTACTAATGCACTTGGCAAAAAGCCCACGAAACTTCGTCTTGAGACTATTGGGCGAAGCTTCATATTCGTAGATGCTCTCGCACATATCCTCTTGACCGAGTTACCCTAACGGAAGGACCCTGAAACATGATAGAGACCGAAAGATCGCATGATAAGACAAAAGTTCGCAATGTGCGATTAAATGTTCATTCTTTGCAGTTGGAATTGAGATTGCCGAAATAGATCCAAGTAAAAGGTACTAGCGACGACGAGGCGCGAGACCCAAGTTGGCACGACCAGAAATACCAATCTTGTGCTGTTGGTCTCGGCGGTCCCAGACACCACTGCGACCCTCAGCCACAGCGACCAACTCATTGGCGACGCGGTTGGCCAGCTGCGCGTCACGTCTCTTTTCTGAAGCATCCAAGATCCACTTGATCGCAGCACGACGACGCTGACGCAGCGTCAGAGGGTGGGGGATCTGCACGGCAGTACCACCACCGGCAATACCCTTCTGTTGGCGGATTCGGAAAAAGGGGGGCCACCGAGTCGATGATGCAGGTGAGGTAGCGGACAGGGTCCAAGGGCAATTGGGGTGCAGGAGGCCCACCCATGAGAGGGCGACGAGGGTTGATATTAGGGGGAGAGGATGTGCGGAGATGGTCGAGGATGATGGACATGTTCTAAGAAGTCATTGGAGTTCAGCATTTACACCCTTGAACAAAGCCATGGTCTCAAACCCCCAGTGAACTCACCTTTTGGGCGCGCGCCAGCTTTCCATCTTGCATCAGCATCTTTGTGAATTGATCTTGCATGGAGTCGTAACGCTTGCGAAAGTTCAAAGTCTTCTTCTCGGACGGCAGCATGGGCATGTCGAATTTGAGCCCTTCGGGCAGCTGGTAGTTTGCCTCATCGTTGACTTGCTTGATCATATCGGCAAGAACAGCGGCAGAGATGTCGTCCTGGGAGCCGATTGTCTCCATATCTTGCTGACGGCTGCGAGATGAGGTCGAGAATGAACGAGAGCTGCCGGCGGGTTTCTTTTTCAATTGGTCTTGCATGACCTTGGGCATGTGCTTCAAGCCTTCTTTGTCACGCTTCAAGATCTACTCCAAAGAGCCACTCGTGAGTCAGCCCTTCAAATCAAGCTAGTCGCACAGTACAAAGCCAATGCTCCTTCATAACTCACATCTTCAACCGGGCTCCCTTGTTCCAACTCGGGACTTGACGGCTGTCCATCGCAGGTCTTCTCCTTCTGAAGGATGCGATCCATTGCCGAGGCCTCCTCATTGACATGAGGCAGCTGATCCTGTGTCGGGAACTTTTGCTCATCTGGCGAGAGAGGCTTCTTGTGGACTGGCGATGAGTTCCATCGTTTCTGAATCGGGCCCGCGTGCTTGCGAGATCGGAGAGGCAGAGCGACGCTTCGCTGCGTGTAAGAAGCAGCAAATGGCGGGCGGAATAAGGCGGCCGCCCGAGTTGCTGTCAGTAAAGTTGTCGTGGGGGGCATTTTGAGTAGTGAGGACCACTCTGAGTCCAGCAATGGGTGAGTTGACGGTGTCTTGACGACCGGTGATGCCTCGTCGGCGTGCGGTCTGCAAATTTCCCGGATGTGCTTAGTCAACGGGCGCCGCGGCCGGGGGGCTCTTCATGAGACGGCAATGATGTAAACGCTTTGCAGGAACACCCGATCCTCAATGCAGAGCCGCAGAACAAGGCATTGGATTGGTGTGGATTTGCAAGGATGTTGATGACTGGGTGCAAATTTTGCGTTTTGCTTCCCTAAGTTCTCGTCGACGAAGCTACTGTATACATTATTAGGTAGGTTCACTGACGACGTCCTACGTCTCGTTCAACTTGTCCGCTCGGTCATCTATATATATTGTTTCCACCTGCAGGTGCTTGATCTTCGATACAACTTTCTGCTTTTCCATCCTCTTAGGCTGGGCTTTGACCGGCAACCAAAACGAGTGAAGTCAGCAGGCAACCGACACCGAGTCATGATCATCTGAGACAAGCGAGACATGGAAATCGTTAGAATTGCATTCATTACCTGCTCAAATCCGGCATCATGAAGTTTACGGATCTTCCGCCAGAGATCATATGTGAGGTGGTTCTACACCTTCCCACTGCAAATGCAATTGCTCGGCTGTCACAGACATGCCGCCAGATATATAAGGTCCTCAAAGCGGAAGAAACCCGGCTCTTTCGGGTATTTGTGCAAAATAAGTTCCCATCAATTCAGACCCCTCCGTTCTGGAAAGATGCAGCATGCGCCCTCACCTCCCGCTCACGCGCTCTGGATCGACTAGGAGTCATTGGGCGGTTCATGATTGTACCAGAGACGATCACCCGTATTGGACTCCAGGGGGAGACCCGGCAGGATAATCCTACACTGGGATACAGACCCCCCATCGACTCGTACGAGTTCTGGAATGGCGAATCCTGGGCAGCAAGAAAGGAAGTTCTGGCATGGGGTGCCGGCGAAAAACTTCTGATGCGAACCAGGCGAAGAGGAAAGCAGTGTTCAGACGAATGGGTCTTGTTCAACGACGTTGACCAGCCGAGCAGTCACGATGATATATTGGGCCTGCACTTGTTGGACGCCGAGCATGACAAGGGGAAAGAGACCGAAAACATGATCTTTGGACGAAGACGAGGGGATCTTCGGCATGTCGCACTCTCCTCACATGGCACCTCCTATGAATACAAGAAGACCTTCCATACTGAAGGATTGGAGCTCAGCGAGACGGATTTGTTCCGAGGAGCTGATGGGCCTATTCTTTGCGCTCAATTTCTTCAAGGCACAACGGCATTATACCACGTGGAAATACAGGATGAGATTGTCCAACCATTTGCTTGGATTCAACCAGAGCGTTCCTCTCGAGGCCGAAGTTCAAAACTTCTCTCCTCAACTCGGATCGCCGTGGCTACCATGGACGAAACGGACTCGCTGGTCATATCGAGAATAAGGCCGGATGGGGTATCCACGGAAGAAACGATCGGTTCCGGCATCTTGGCTATGGATGGTCATGTCCGGAATCATTACGCTCGCCACGCAATCAGCGCCATTGAGCCTCTCAATAATCATCCCTTGGGGGGTCACTCAGGCAGTGTATTCCTGGCAGCGTGGGGTGACAGAATTGTTCGGTGAGTATCTCTGTGGTAGAGGGTTATTGATGAGGAAAATCATGTAAAATCAAGTAACTGACATTGTGCGCAGTCTCCATGACCTCAGGTCGCCACGGCAATATGAGATAGCGTACGAGGACCCAACCGACGACAACTCCGTGTACAGCCTCAAAGCCTTTGGTCACGATCGATTCATAGTCGGCTCAGGCGGCAATGCCCTGATCAAACTATTCGATCTACGGTGTACGAATTACAGCTATCTGCATGCTCAAGGCTCTCGCCCAAAGGCCCCTTCAAATGCACCAATCGCCCATAACGAAGGGCAGTACCCAAGCAAAAATTTCAACATCTTCCTCTCCGCACCATTACCGGCCAGCTTCTTCACCTCGCCGACGGCTCAGTCCCGTCGCCGCACCCAAGTTCGTCCGTACAGAGGCCCAATATACAGCCTGTCTACACCATCGCCTTCTTCACCAACTGTTTACACGGGAGTGGCGGGGGGCCTGATCCGGTTGGATTTTGCATCAACAGACGATCTGACCGGACCGGCAAAGCAATGGTACGATCGGAATCTCGATCTCGGCCTCGACGAGGATATGACCCCAGGAAGTGGGACGGGATTTTTCACTGTGGCTGGGTACGAACGACCCAGTCCAGATGATTTAACTACTACCTCGAAGCTGAGAAAGCAGCAAGAGACTTGGCAAGCACAATATGATGATGCCCACAAGGATGTCATGTCTGGTTGGGATCGGCGATGGGAGGCATTGGAAAGACCTGGAGTTTGGCGGCGACAAGATGGATAGCCAGCACTATGTAAAAAGCGAAACACAAGCCATTGCCGACCTTTCATATTACATCGAAAAAACTTTTCATGGTATTCCAATAGATGTAAGCAAAGATGTAGACATAGGTAATTACAAAGTTTCAAATTCCTTTCGAAGCTCCTTGAGCGCCGTGCTGTGGGGAAGAGAAAGTCACTCATTCAAGTTCAGCGAGAAGAATGAGTCTTGACGTGATGTGTTCGAGACAAGCAAATCAGTGTAGCCAGATGAACAGGGTAAAGAAAAGGGAAGAGGCTTGCATAGAAGTCGATGAGATAGCCTCTTCTTTCGAAGAAAAGACAAGCAAATTTGAGATCGTCCAAGTTTCGGTGCAGGTCAAGCCATGAATACTCCCCAAACGAACACATTTGGAGCATCACCGCGATCGAGGGCACCTCACTTTAGTCCTCGAACTTGAAGGACTTGCCACCGCCGATATCGATGGGGCCGCCACGGTAGGATCCGCGCTTCTTCTTGTTCTTCTCCTTGGTGAATCCTTTACCGCGAGTGACTGACAGGTCGGCATAAGCCCGCTCTGCATATGCGTAGGGAACGTATTCGTTGGAAATTGCGTCATAAGGCTGTTGACTCAACGCGGCAAGAGGAGTAGGGCGGGCACCTTCGTGCTTCTTCTTGGTCGCGGTGTTCGCAGGCTTGCTCTCGGCAGCAGGGGACGCAGACATCGTTGCGCTAGTATCAGAGGCACCGTTGGAAACCGAAACACCACCAGTCTTTTGATCATCTGAGCTATCATCACTGCTGTCGGAGCCGGACTCGGAGCTGCTTGAGCTCGAGGAATCGGAAGATGTTTCGGCAGCGGGCTTCTTTTCGCTCTTTGAGTTGGTCTTCTTGGGCACTTCCTCCTCGGAGTCGGACGAGTCGGAGGACTCAGAACTCGAGCTGGAGTCGCTCGAGTCACTTGACTCGCTGGATGAACTGGATTCGGAGCCGGACGACGATTCAGAGCTGCTACCGGAAGAAGATGCTGCCTTCGATACCTTGACCTTCTTCGTCTTGGGGGGCTCGGCATCGGACTCGGACTCAGAGCTCGAGTCAGACGAGGAGCTGCTAGACTCTGCCTTGCGTTTCAACCCCTTTGATGTCTCGATAGCAGCATCAGGGGAAGAAGTCGAAATCTTTTCATCCTCGTCGTCCTCGTCGTCGGCGTCACTGTCGGAGCTCGAGGAGGAAGAGGAGGACGACGGAGAGGTGGAGCGAGACTTAGCAGCTTCTCCCATGCTGACATCAGAATCACTGTCGTCGCTCTCGCTCTCAGAACTGCTGTCGGAGCCGCTAGACTTCTTCTCCCATGCCTGGAAGACTTCAATCAATGAGGGCGCAGCTTTCTTGTCGGCAATAGTGTTTCCATTCTTCTTCAATTCCTCGGCGAATGCGGAGCTCGTAGAGGTGAAGCCGTTCTTGGCCAAGAAAGACGAGATTGCACCAAGCAATTTAGGGGAAAGAGTGGTGGTCTTCTTTTCAACCTATAACTTCATCCTCCCGTTAGACCCGTATGCTCTATGTCATTGACTTGCATCAACTAAAATACCGACCTTCTTTGCTGAGGCCTTTTTTTGAGCAGCCATGGTTGATAATATGAGGCAGGGAATTGTGTCAGAAGAATTCAGAAATAAAACAACCCCAAGCAGAAGCGTTGCAGACAGAATTTAAGGATTTGCTGCTTGTTCTGTCAGGAACAGAAAAAAAAGACCAGCAGAAAGCGCCTACAAGGCGGTGAGAAAACAATTCGCGACTATTGGTCCAGACCCAAGTATATGTAAGAGGTTCGAGTTATGTGTTCCTAACACGTGACCCAACTTTCTCACCAGAGATCCCCAAGTAGTAGTACTAAGGTACGGTAGGTATTTTGGCGCGTGCAACTGTACACACTACACTACACAGTACACACTATACCTAGTGTCAGTATAACTACACACAACCACGAATTGTTTGCTATGTACACGCCTCAGATTTGAATGGTTACAAGCGTGAATCCCATAGAGACTGGCATAAACAAAACATACTGTACACGTTCGACTTGGTCACACATTGCCTGTCAGCGTGACCAAAAGGTTCTTCGAGAAAATGGGCAAGCGCGGTCCCAAAGTTCTGTAAGAAATATGAAGCCGGCAATGCTTGTGAAAGACAAATGAACCGAAAAGGATACTCCACGTCGAAGCTACATACCGCAGTTCGGCAATTAGGTCATCTGAGTGGGCGCTGACGCAGTCGAGAGACTCGAGACCATTCAATCGGCTGAAGAAGCCAGTGACTGCTCCACTCTCAACATCAACTACACTCATGCCCCACACAGTCTATCTACCAGGTCAGGAATGATGGCCCCCAAAGACAGTACTGACGCAAGACGAAATACAACGTTCCAGAGGTATCGAAGGATGACCTGCAGCACGGTCCGACATTTTGTCTGAGAAACCTCTTGCCTTCTGAAGGCTCTGCCAACTATGAGCACGCTGATCAGCCCAGAGCTCATCCCATCGACTTCACTCCACGAGCCTGCCTAGATCATATTACCAGGCTTCAAACTTCGTGGAGGTTCTGCCTGGAAGAGGCAGCTTTTGGTGAAGCTTGCTGAGGCAGCCGGGGTGAGACAACCTAGGGCGACATCAATTTCCGGGCGGGTGTCAGCAACGGAGCTAAAGAGGTCTTCGTAGAGTTTTGGGTGCCAGACCTCCTCGGAGTGCAGAGAGCCATGGTGGGCGACAGTGACTCTCTCTTGCCCACGCAAGTTTCGAAGGTTGACGCCGAGGATTGTCGCGGCTATGGCGGACTGGTATAGGGAGTCGAGCGGGCCATAACCGCTTTCCACTCTGCGCCCCGGGGTCAGTTGTTGGCCTCGGACGTCTCTAACTCCCATAGCATTTCGTCACTACTCGGAGAGCGAAATCTTCGAGCTTGATCACCCCACAGCGTGCAAGGAGCGTTATCATGGTGGTGTCATACGCCCCGGCTGCTCGCCTTTGTCCACCGGGTGGAGGTCATTCTCAATCCAAAAGAGGAGCTTAGGAGCCTTGGCGGAATAGGTAGAGGCAGACGAAAGAGGAGCGAAAGTAGAGAGGAGGGAAATTGAGAGCGAAGTGAGAGAAGAGGGAGAGAGAGGTTTTTGCTGGACGCCGCTACTCTCGGCAGGGAGGTCGTTGACAAAGCAGCCACGGGGTCAAGCTACCTACGGTCTGTACGCTTGCCCGACTCAAATTGAGCAAGTGCGGATCAACAAGAAGGCAAAATCTGGGCATACAGGGACAAGGGAACCGAGACACTCGCATCAGATGTACTTCGCCGGTCAAATTGGGTCAAAGTCTTGTACCAATTGGCCGCGAGTCAGCGACGACATGACTGAAGTCTTAAGCTGAAACCATGTAGAGCAATGGGTTTCCTGAGAAGGTCCAGTGAATCACCAGTATGACCGTGTCGGACGTTCGTGCTCTTGCACGAGATGTTAAGATGATTGTTCATGTCGTCAGCTCAGGATGGACTACTAATCGGACGCCATTTTTGGCAGGCGACAACTCTGTGAACTGTACCAAGTTTAGACCAATGAACAGCTCCCACGAGCTGTCTCCGCCCGCAACCCCCAAAACATGTCATGAGCTTATCTCAATGCACCACCTAGTCCGGCCTGAGATCGCATTTCCTCGGCCCCCGCAGCTTGTCCCTGCTGATCGTGATCAGCGTTCCTGATTCAGCTCCAGCTTGCGGGTGTGTGCAATCAATCTCCGGCCAAGCCGCGATCGAAATTGCCAGGAACTCCGGATCAGGCCAGACCCCGGCAATGTCCCCTTGATTCTTCTTGACGCCGCCACCCCAAAGATCAATGACACCCTCCTGAAACGAGAAACATCGCAATGTACGGACGTCGCCCGCCGGGACCCAACGATGTGCGACCCGGTGCCGAGTCACGCAGTGGCCCGGCATCTGGCCCCGGATCTAGCGGCGGAGACACGCCCATGTCCAGGGCCGAAAAGTTCGAGGACGAGAAGAAGCGAATTATCCAGAGCTGCTACTCCAAAAAAGATAGCGATGGCACTTGTATGTGAAGATTTGAATTGGATCCTGGAAAGCAACAGGATGCCTCTGCCCTGACTCCCCGCAGACGGCTGGAGAGGGCCTCAAGCGATGAAACAACGCAGGGCCCGTGTGTCGCCTTGGGACAGCGCGATATTATGTCTCTTAATATACCGATATCAGGATAGCTGACAGTCTTGACTCCACAGTGATTGAGTCCTATATCACACACGTCCGAATTACCGAAGATGCGGCGCATCCCTCGACACCAGCCCCGCCGGAATCGTCTCCGGCGAACAAGAAACCCCGCGTCATCATCGTATCTGTTCGGAGATCAGGTCGGGTTCGAATGCATAAAGCCCGAGAAAATGGCGACGGAACTTTTTCCATTGGCAAGACGTGGATGCTGGATGACCTGACTGGTATCCAATCCTATAGCGCATTCGTGCCACATACGCCAACAGAGCAACAGCACAAAGAGTGGGCAGGAAGCGCTGGCTTCGTGGTGATTGTGGGGAAGCCATACTACTGGCATGCTCGCAGCCCCAAGGAAAAAGAGTTCTTCATTGGCAGTCTAGTCAAGATTTACAAGAAGTACACCGGAGGCAAAGTCCCGAACCTCATAGGGTTCGACGAAAGAGAGAGGCAGTTGCTCACTGGGAATCTCAACCCTCCGGCGCCTTCTGGACCACCAGCTTCAGCCTCACGAGGGGGCCCCGAACCCTCGCCAGAGACTCACGCATCTACTCAACGGCAAATGCCACCACAACAACCGCCCTACAATCGCAACCCCAGCCGCGAAGGGTCCCGTGAGCCACGGCGGAAAGCCTCGGACGATCCTCCACTTCGGTCACAGAAGAGTCGGGAGCAGATGCCGCGCTCTGCTCCCAGGCGAGCACCTTCACCCTTCGGTCCACCCCAGAACCCGCCGCCAACTGGGCCACTTCCGCGCACAGATCAAAGGAGTAGAGACCCTCCCCCAACCTTTCTGCATGTTGGTGAAGAATCCGATAGGGAGTCTTCTCAGGGAGACGCCCGGGGTCCTCCATCTCCAGACACTCGTGCGGCGCCAATCCCGCCTTCACTTCTCGCAGCTCGAGGTTCCGAGGCCGTGGCCACGGAGCCAAAGCGAAGTACAGAGGCTTCTCGTCCCACGACAGCTAACTCCTCTACCAGTGACAATCGAGGTGCAATTCAGAGCGCTGATGGGACCCAAAAGTCCACTCCCCACGACGTTCCTGACCCTGTTGCCGTCGTTGCCACACCTCCGGAGCCAACAGTCGAACCCCCGAGTCACCCAGTTGTCTCCGAAGAGGCAGGCTCATCTTCTCCGGTTACAACAATACAAAACCCACCAGTCCCTACACCTGCAAAGTCTACGGTAGACCCTCCCGCTGTGCCTGAAGAGGTTGCCACGTCCAAAGCTGCAGCTACTGTTGGCACCAAGGATGAGGATACCACTGATAATCAAAAGATCGAAGATGAAGGCGCAGATGGAGAGGCACATCGACCTGGTCTTGGTCCGATGATCAAGAAGAAATCTACGAAAGACATTGCAAATGCGTTCCGAAAAGCTGCCAATACATATGGCGCGTTCAAGCCCCGCGCTGGCGGAGCTGGAGAGCGTCTCCTGGCAGCTGCGAAAAAACAACAAGCCGCGACAGTGGGACCTGATGGCATTACAGCGGTCGTCCCCGCTCCATCCCGGTCAACTAACGACGTCTCGAAGGTGGGTGCAGATGACACTGTCGAAACAGAAACCTCGGCAGCGTCAACCATTTCAGCACCTTCAGCACCCACCACTGCGCAGACCGCGCAGCCTGTGACACCGACGCTTCAAGTAACGCAGCCCGAAAATGAGGTGTCAATGCCAACTGCAAGCTTTGCAAACGAGACAATTGAATCGAGAGATACCCCTCCAGAGAATGTCAAAGTTGAAGAGCGCCCAAGAAGTCCCTCCCCGAGCGCCCAAAGTCATCGGAAGAAGCGACGCGAAGACCATACCGTCAAATACTGTCAATCCTTGGGCATTGACCCAAGTGTACTTGATGGACGCGGCATTGATTTTGACGATATTCTGACGGATCTTGGATGGAATGGACGACTCGGCGACGAGCAGAAGCTTGAAGATCTGGAAGCGGATGTACGCCGGGAAATTGGCCGAGTCGAGGCTACCAGCTGGCTGGGCAACCTTGAACAGCAGGAAGGAAAGGTCGAGCAGTTGGCAGTATTGATTGACAAGACCATCGAGGAGTGTGAAGAGCTTGATGGTCTGCTGACATTGTACGCGCACGAGCTGAACACATTACACGAAGATGTTGCGTACATTGAGGCACAGTCGCAAGGCCTGCAAGTGCAGACTGCGAATCAAAAACTTCTCCAGAACGAATTGCAGAATCTGCTCAGGACTCTGTCTATCTCACCGTCGGACGTGCGCCCCTTGCGAGAGGCCTCTCTGGCCAACTTGGATGGATTGAAGGAGACCGAGCACGCTCTGGCGACGCTTTACAAGGCAATGCTGATGATTGATGCGGATATTGGGCAGAATAAGAGAAGGCAGGCCGACGCCAGTGTCGGTGTTTACGCCAGTACCGAGATTGGCCAAATGCGTGCGATCAGGGAACGCAAGGACGAGTACCGCCAAGCCGCCCTGACGTTCCTCCAACGTTTGAAACCCTTCATGGCTGTCGCCTTGAAGACGGCAGAACAGAAACGAACCGATGCCGTCACTGGTTCACCAACAGATCCTTTGAAACTCGATGGCTTGGCACGTCAAAAGTTCCGCGAAGAAGTGTGGAGGTACAACACATTGATGCTATTTGCAAAGGAAGTCAGCATTTCGGAATGGCAGGATCTTGTGCTGCTTTACGAGCAACAATCCAAGCCGTCATATCAGAATGACCTCCGCGAAAATCTAGCGGCGTGGAAAAAGGTAGCGCGCAAGCCCACGGGTGATGAGCAAGAACTGCTTTTCACTCATCAAGAGAAGGAGAAAGAGGCGGAAGGAATCACGCTGGCTGCCCGTAAGCTCACCGTCCGACGTGGTAAGACGATTCGTGCAGCTGCTGGCCTGAGACTGGGCTCGGGCGAGAAGAAGTCTACGGCGAAGGTGGAGCCCTTCGAGGCCTTTGGCTCGAGTTTGAGAGAGGCACTGCAGTTGATGACGCACGAGCAAAACTTCATTGTTCAATTCTTCCACCTCGACTCCCTTGCCATTGCCGATTTCTCAGAGCTGGTTGCTGCGGCCGGGCCGGAAGCTCGACCCTGCCCCAGTTTCACCGCCAAGCAAACTCCGGACGCTGATCGCCAGGCGGCGAAGCGTGTAGAACAGATCATGGACGATATCTTCTCCTTCTGGCCTAATGACTTACAGAGTACGGTCGATTGGGTCGTTCAGGCAGATCCTATGTAAGTGCACCTCGAGAACATCACCCCTGTATTTGGGGATATGAATTTCGCAGGCTAATATCTCTTGTTTGTTCTTTTCAGGCAAGGAATTGGTATTCTTACCTCTCTGGAGTCCGCTATCGTGCAGCTCGACGACACCAATCAGGAGTTCATCGTTCACTCTCTGCAGAAGATCCACTCACGACTGATGGGATTGTTCAACCGATTTGTAGATGAGCAAATACGCGGCATTGAGGACACGAAAGTGAAAGTCAACAAACGAAAGGGAGTGATCTCGTTCATGCGGGTGTTCCCTAATTTCTCCACTGCCGTGGAGAACATGCTTGCCACCTCCACCGGGGAGACGATTGATATTCGTAATAATGTCAACGATGCATACGATCGTATCAATCGGGCAATGTGGGAGAGTTTGAAATTCATCGCCAAGGAGGCACCTGGACAACCTCCCGGCGTGGCCGCCAGCGCTGGGGACCCCGAGGATAAGGAGATTCTGAATTACCATATCTTGCTCATCGAGAACATGAATCATTATATGGAGGAGGTGGATGCGCACAACCTGCCTGTTTTGCAACGGTGGGTGGATCGAGCGCGTCAAGACTTTGAGGAGCACATGCGATTATACCTCGACGCGGTCATCCACCGGCCACTGGGCAAGATGCTGGACTTTGTCCAGTCGATCGAGAGCTTGCAGGTCAGTGGCAACCCTGCTGAGATTGCGGCGCGGGCCAGTCACTCTCGCATGGTTGCCAAGAAGATTCTGTCCGCGTACGACGCCAAGGAAATCAAACGCGGAGTGGAAATGTTGAAGAAGCGGGTCGAGAAGCACTTTGGCGATGCCGACGACCCTGGTCTCAGCCGTAGCCTGGTCTTGAAGGTCCTGCGGGAGTGTGAGCTTCGTTACGAGAATGCTTGGGATCGAACCCGGCGCCTCATTGATACCGTCTACGAGGGTCAATTAGAAATGGAGTGGCGCAAGGAGGATGCTTTGAACATGTTCCGAAAATGAGGTCCATTGTGATTCTGCAGCCCCTAGGTGGTTCGTCTGCGCGAATTGTTCTCAGTGATATGTTCCGCCTTGATCTTGTGTTACATGTTACCCTTGCTCCCTTTCTCTGCTTCCAACACAATGTCACCACACACTCTAATATGTCTGTTGCTAACTTGTCTACGCGGACACTCATCCCGCAATCGACGAGCTTCATGTCACGCCCCTCTGTCTCCGTCGTGCTGCCGAGGATCACTCCCATCGATTCTGGAGCATGGCCTTGGTCGGTTGAATGTTGGGACCTGCTCTTCTTGATGGTGTCAATACCCATGTGTTCCAATGTGCAATGATTGCGACTTGAGCTCTTCGTTACTCCCTAGATTTGCTTCCTCGCCTGTTAACGATTTCCTCTTGACCGGGTCAATTCCATGTTCTCTAGATAGTCGAAAGTTTGGCCGGCCCAGACGAGATGCTTCATACCATAATTGGATGTTTCCCAGCCTTTTCTCAGTTTCTCTGTACCATATTTCTTTTCCTCGGGAGCAGACGACCCGTGGCTGATAAGGCACGGGGCCCACTACAGCACTATTTCCCGGGTTGAGGCTGTTCTTGAGCTCCGGTTTAGAGACCCTGAACTGTCGGGGTGCAGTCTCTGGTCTGTGCTTCTCTCGGCACACGATCTACACTTCTAGTCTATCACAGGACTATGGGGTCGATGGACTAGGGACTACAGTATGTGTATGGAGTTCTAGACTGTGGAGCATGGAGACATGGATCACTTCAATGACCCTGATTCTGGTGTCACGTGCAGCCTAAACACTTCATGTCTTGTTGCGTAGTTGACCACTAAGTAATTAGTTCGTATACCTTTTTGGTAACAACTGTAGAATGGACCCATTTCGGACTTCTCAGATGCGAAGTGTCATTTACAAATGGCGGCTCACGAAGTACCCTACTCAGGACCGAGTCAAGCAGGAGTCGGACTCGGTGGCCATCGGCACCAAGCTGCAGAGCCGCATCCAGTCGGCGGTGCGGAAAGGATTAGGGTAGCAAAGAGCACTCCATCAACTGGATCCGACCGGTCTACAGCTCTCTCTCTCCCTGTCTGACTGAAACCCCGTGACCCAAGGAAGACAGACATACTGGAAGGTGTGTGGAATATGAGAGTGTGCTCCGTGAATCTCGATCCACAATCCGTAGGACTAGGCGGTAGTAAGATAGTCAGATCAAGCAAGTCGAGGTCCATGGGCTGGAACAACAGCACGGCGCTCGCCAAGTTCTCGTCGGATGATTGTTATGCGGACGGTCAGCTACCTACCTACCTCACTGATATCCGTGGCTGGTCGGGGGTAAATCCCGGTGAGCGGAACATGCATATACGCAGAATGTTGCGTTCTCGACATCTGCGAACGTAATCTTTGATCTTTGTAAAGAACAATTCCCTGGTGTTCGACTAACTTCCCGATGCAATCTTGAAACAGGTCTCCATCGGGACCAAGTCTTGCACAGGTTCGGATCAAACAACTCGACCCGTCGAAGCTCTCCGGCAGGTCTGAAACGCGACGAGTCTTGGAGACCATTGGTGGAGATGGGATGAACAGTGGAGATGTGGGCGAGAAAGATCGACAATAGCAGATCTCTGTTCTGGACTGAACGGGAGCAGTGAACTGCTGGACCGTGGGGCGCGGACTAGGTGAAGAAGGCATAACATTTCTCTGATTTTCTGATTCTCCTGATGTTGGTCCAGTACATACTGTAGAGGACTAGTAGAGTTGAGTCACAGAGTGTAGATAGCTGGTAACTTGTAAGTTGTTACTACACAATCCACAGGTACACACCCCCCCGGGACCCGGGATCACTCCCAGGCCGAGTTCACGTGAGGGCGCTGCCCAAACCGTGATTTGGGGCGTGACCTCGTCGATCATTCACGGTCAAGCCTGTAGTCTGGAACTCTGTCCTTAATCTTATACCACTCTGATCTGTTTGTATTGTAGTGGCCAGCAAGTACCGCTTGACCTTGTGCCAGGCTGTGGATTTAAGCACTATACTTTACTCGGACGAAAAGCTGACCAGATGAACACTGGAAAAGTACGATCCGCCACTATTTGAGATACAAGATCGACAGAGTACAAAGTCCTACACCGACAGGTTAGTATTGCTGCACGCAATGCTCGTGGACTCATGCAATCTTCCGATCATTCAACTGTCATGTGCATGTCCTGTTCACCTAACTTTCTGACGTTAGACCAACTTCTCGATCCTCGAGCCTCGAGCCTCGAGCCTCGAGCTTCTAAAACACATGCCTGTGCTCCCTCCCCGTACTAACCTCCACTCCACGGCTGGCCCAACCGACCGGGACTCCTTCAACCGTGCTGATCGAATCTCCTTCTGGTCCAAGCCCCCCCCCCCCCCAAAACAGAAAACAGAAAACAAAAACCCACAAGCCCACACGGCCGAGGACTCGAAAGCCAAAAGCCAAAAAAAAAGAGTAGGCTGCCCCTGGTTGTTCTTCCCCACTGTCTTCTCGCCAACGCGCTGGACATTCACCCAACTTCGGGCTCCACCGCGCAAGAGGGTTCGCAAGGGGGAGGGGAAAACCAACCATCCGATTGCGCCTTTGGCATACACCCTCTCCAGGCCATTGATGAACGGTGACCGTAGGACGCATCGTGGTGTCGAGGGGTCCTTCTTATTTGCCAATTCGCCTTCAGTGCCTCGACTCTCAATCGCCGTCGTGGTCTGCAATCTCTCTTTTCATCGCAAGCTCGACGCTGTCTCCCCCCCCCCCCCCCCCTGCTGCTAGTCCGTAAACAACCATCACCGGCACCGTCAGACGACCACCACAATTGCTATTACCTCGCAATTGTGACGACCCTCCAGATCTGGAGACCTGGACCTCTCGCTATCCGCACGCCTCATTAATACAAACTTAATCACAACACCAGTCATGTCCTACTAGGTGCGGATAGCCTTGTCGCAAACTCTCCCCTCGCTCCGCACGCGACTCCTCCGCCGTATTCATTCCTTACTATTCGAGTCTGGCGCAACACCTCAAGTCCCTCGATCTGCATGTCGCGCGTACGCCGGCGGATTGACACCAGCGGATTGACATTCCACCGTTCTCAACCTTGCCTCCCCCAGAATTCCTGTGATCGGAATTCCACAACCCACCTGGACATCTCGGAGACGGACACATCATCCCCAAAGCTCGATCGCGTGGCCGCTCATTCGTTCACGTCCTCCTCCGCCGATCCAGACCGGCTGTCGCCTGCTACCTGCCGCCATGCCCTGGCGGCCGCTGCCTCGTATTGCATTCGCGGTAGCCATCTACCCGTTTCACCCGGCCTCCTCGGCCGACTTGCCGCTGGAACTCGGCGATGAGCTGTACATCATCGAACAGGGTGGGGTGGATGGGGAGTGGTGTCGAGGGTATCTGGTAGCGCCCCCTTCCTTGCTCGCCGGGTTGACAAGCACAAAGGGGCAGACACTAGAGGCTCGCGTGTTCTCGGGCATTTTTCCTCGCAACTGCGTTGAGATTCGGGAAGTACTGGGTGACAATGATGGGTATAAGGCTTTCATGAACGGCGATCGAGCCAGCTTCGAGCACTCCTCAGAAGTCCCTTGCTTGTTGGCGCCCGACACGGACTCGGTATCACGGAACAGTGTGGCCTACTCGGTTCCCGAGTCCCAGAATGGTGGCGAAGTGACGGAGGTTATGGTCGCGAAGAAAGGAAAGCCCGCGCAGATTGTCATCCGCAAGCTGGATGACTCGGACGTCTCGAACCCACCATCGGCGCAAACCTCTCGCACGGTCTCTATTCCACACACCCCGGTCACCATTGCTCCCCGCGACCCCGATGCGCCCAAACCCCCCGCGCCAGTCCCAATGCTCAAAATTGGCGACGAGACCCCCACGTCCCTTGCCGAACCTTTGGTGGACGAGATTGCGTCCTGTCTGCGAGAATGGCACTCGACAAACCTGCATGAATTGCTTTTGACTCGCAAATACGATGTGCTAGACGAGATGTCTACAATTGTCCAGGAATTGGATCTAGCTCGACGCCAATTGCTGCATAATGTCCTGACGGGCAAAGAAAAAGAGGCTCTTCGCGACCAAACCGTGTGGAAGTTGGTGAAAGCGAACAAGATGCTCAGTGGTGATACAATTGTGCGAGACCCCGGTCAGCGCGGCCGGTTGTTGACGGGCGACGATTCCGCAGTTCAGCTCGCAAAGCTCCAGTCCGAGATGAGCATGCTTGATAGTAGCCCCGTCGCCTCGTCCGATTCTACCGCCCTGAACCATCTCCTCTTGGAGATCAACGCAGTGTCCGGCAATGCCCCCGGACCTGTCTCTCTAGGGATTCAGCTCTATTCTCGGTCCGATGCTGGCTCATTAAACCCGATGTCGGAGACATACAGCCTCGATATCCCGTCTCCCGATAAATTTGTTAGCTTGACACAAAGTAATAAACTGAAAACAATCTTCACCGAGCTTGCCGGCACCGATATAGGAGACGGATCCGCGAACGGTCGCCAGCTTTACGTCGTGGTTGCCGTACGCGCGGTCGAATCCCGAACGATTCCTGACAACCCCGCCGTGCCAAGATCATCAATATCCCGCGACGGGGCTGCTGTGAACAAATCGGCCGCGGCCGGTGGCATCCAACCCTCAGTCAAGGGGAGCTTGCGGACGCGGCGCAGTATGATGTGGAGCTCCAAGTCTCGGAACACACCGCACCAGGATCAAGCTCCCAAATCTGCCTCTTCGGCGCCCCCTCGCTCCTCTAGTAGCTCAGCTGCCCCCAAGGATCCCAGTCCTTCGTCGTCTGCTCCCAAGAAGGAAACGTCCGCAACTCGAACCATTGGAGTTGGTGTGCTGGAAGTCTCTTCGGTCTTCCGACAAGATCGAGACACAGAGTCGATAATCAATCTATGGGCATCCGTGCGAGAAGGCGAGGAAGGAGATGAAAACCCCGATGGGTTTGGGAAGCTCGTTCAGTACTTCCTGCCTTGTCCCACGGGACGATACGTGCGAGCCGATACTGCTCGTCTGCACGTACACCTGCGCTCGTTCGTTAGCACCGACTCCGAGCTACTGGTACGCCAAAACCCAACGATACTACAAGACGTCGTACAAACCCGTCGCATCGGATTTTCCAAGGCACCAACGAAACCTCGATCTGATATATATGTGACGATCGCGCAAGCGGTTTTCCCAACAGATGCACTCTTATCCCACCCAGTCGCGGGTCAGATCCCTCTACAGTCGTCCTCCGAGCTCCGCAATCTTCAACTTACCTTGGAAGTCCGCGATTCCTTGGGTGCTCGGGTGGACAAGTGTGTTTTTCCTTCCTCGGCGAGCACTTCACATACGGCATGGCGAACGACGATTGCAGAGAGAGGATCACCATGGCACCAAACAATACGCCTCAATATCCCAGCAGAGAAGATCCCTGGCTCACATGTTATCATGAGCGTTGCTGATGCTCCCGAGTTCCCTTTCGCATTGGCGTGGATGCCGCTGTGGGACCAGCAGGCCTTCATTCGGGATGGTCAGCATTCTTTGCTACTCCATGCTTACGACAAGCAGACGTCTAGTATGGAAAACGGCAAAGGGGCTTACTTGAATCTTCCATGGAGTGCCTTGGGCAAGAATGAGTCGGCCAAGGACGAAGCGCTAACTGGACCCTTGGCCACATTGCGCCTGCAGACCCACCTTTGCAGCACAGAATACTCCCAGGATCAAGTCATTCTCAGCTTACTTAGCTGGAAGGAGCGCTCTGTTGATGAGGTTTTGAACACGTTGAAGCGATTACCTTTCGTCTCTGAGATTGAAATCGTCAAGCAAGTTCGTGGCGTCTTTGATGCGCTTTTTGGCATCCTAGTGGAGAACGCTGGCAACGAAGAATACGAAGACTTGATCTTCAGAAATATTGTAACAGTACTGGGCATTGTGCACGACCGGCGATTCAACCTGGGTCCGTTGGTTGACCACTACGCCGATGAGCAGTTCAATTTCCCATTTGTCACGACATGTCTGATTAGGAGCTATCTTCGTCTTCTTCTGGCCGCTAATGATGTCCACCAATCCCGCAACCTTCGAGCCGCTTTCAAAGTTGGTCGACACCTGCTCAAGTTTATCATCAAAGCGCGTGAACAGCAAAAGACGAAAGAAGAGGGAATCGGAATTACAGCAGTCCAATCGACCTTCAATCGTGATTTGCATACAATCTTCAGGACGATAGAGAAACTCATGAAAAACCCCTCTGCAGCTTTGGTTGGAAGCAAGACTCTGATCGTGCAACATTTCCACGCTTGGCTTCCAGAACTCTCCAAGGTCCTCAGTCGGGACGAAATGATTATGATCGCCTTGAGTTTCATGGATTCTTGCAGGGACGTGACTGGGATGTTAGTTCTCTACAAATTAGTTCTAATACAGAACTATACTCAGTTTGACATTTTTGCTTCAGGCGAGGAGAGGAAAACGCTCATTTCCAGCTCCGTGGGCTGGCTAGCCCCTTATTGGGGCTCGACATCGAGCGTCACAGATCAGTACCGTGATCAGGTCCGCCTCTGCAGCGCAATTATTGCGCAACTGTTGATTAACCCGCACCCAATGCTCTACGAGTTCATGCCAAGCATCGTTGCCTCTTACTGTGCCATATCCGCCGAGGGAGTGGAAGAGACGGAATACCTGTCCCTCCTTTTCAGCAAGTCCTTCCCGTTCCAGATCAAGGTCTCAAAATCTCCCCAAAGATTTGATGAAGGTCTGGTCGAGTTATCCGCCATAATGGGATCCTTGTCAATGATCGTCTCCCCGAAGTATCCCAATCTGAAGGAGCTTGAGCTGGCAACATTCATCGGGCAAGCCCTCGAGACGCACAACTCCATCATCGACTGCGAAGCTTACCCAGAGACCTGGTTCAGTATCCATGTGTACAATCATCGTGCCGCCGTGAAGAGCTTGGAACACCTTGCGCTTCTCCTGATGGAGCGCCTACTTCCCGTTGCCGATGATGCGGATGAATTCGACACCAAATTATGGGAGACTTTCTTCACGACTCTGCTGAAGGTAATTTCGAGTGAAGCCTTGGCTCTGGAGACTTTCCCAGAGCAGAAGCGCCGTGCGGTCTGGAAAATTGCGGGCGACGTTCGGGAACAGGGTGCTGATCTCCTGCACACTGCATGGGAGGCGATTGGATGGGATACCACTGATGAGGAGCAAGAAAGATTTGGACTCAGGAAGCTGGGAGGGTACCAAGTCCAGTACGTACCAAACCTTGTGCCTCCCATTATTGCCTTGTGTTTGAGCGTGCACGAGGGCCTTCGCCATGTTGCTGTTCACATCTTACGCACGATGATCCTGGGTGAGTGGGATCTGAACCAAGACATTTCAATCATTGAGACCGAAATCATCTCGAGTCTAGATTCTCTGTTCAAGACCAAACAGATGGGCGAGAGTGTCAGCCAGAAGATTTTCGTCGGCGAACTGCTCGTCTTGTTCGAAGATGATGCGAGTGGCGATGAGAATCTTCTTACAGCTGTCAAAGGACTGATTTCCACCATCGACGAGCTCCTCGATCTTCTTGTGGCTTCGCAGAGCAGCACATCGACTCAGAGCTTGCATGCTCTCAAGCTTATGGAGTATATGAAGGATATGGGCCGCGAGGACATCTTCATACGCTATGTCCACCAGCTCGCTGATCACCAAGCGGCGTGCGACAACTTCACCGAAGCAGGTTTAGCTCTCCAGTTCCATGCGGATCTTTACGACTGGGATGTGGGCAAGCATCTTCCTGAGATAGCGAACCCGGTTTTCCCATCCCAGACCGCGTTCGAGCGGAAAGAAGCGTTGTACTTTGCCATGATCCAGCACTATGAGAACTCCATGGCGTGGGCTCCTGCCTTAGCCTGCTACAAAGAGCTCGCAGCTCATTATGAGAGTACGACGATGGACTTTGCCAAATTGTCCCGAGCACAAACCTCTGTGGCCCGCATCTACGAAGCTATCGCTAAGGGTACCAAACAGTTTCCCCGATATTTCCGCGTGGTATATAAGGGTCTCGGTTTCCCGGTCGGTTTGCGAGATAAAGAATTCATCTTCGAAGGCGCATCGACTGAACGTATGGCGTCTTTTGTCGATCGCATGCAGCGCGAGCATCCAGCTGCGCAAATCATGTCTTCGGGTGAAATCCCGGACTACGAGGGTCAATTCTTACAGATCAGTGGAGTCACTGCCCATCGTGATATCTCGCACCCTGTGTATCTTCGATCGAAGGTCCCTAGCTCGGTGAGGGAGCATTTGCTCATATCTGAGCCGTGTCACTTTTCAATCACATCCAAACGGCATACAAGCAGCCCGGACGTTCGTGAGCAATACGTCGAAAAGCTGATTTTCACGACGGCTGAGCCTTTCCCGAATATTCTGCGTCGCAGTGAGGTTGTCTCCGTCAAGGAAGTCTCGCTTTCGCCCTTGCAAACTGCCATTGAGCGGACATGGCGCAAGACGCAGGAGTTGCAGATTCTCGAACGTCGAGCGGCTTCAGGGGAAGACCAAGGCTTTTTAAATTTGACCGAGGCGCTGGAGCAGCTTCTGGAAAATCGCCCTTCCCCTTCAAACTGTGTGGCAGTATACCGAGCTTTCCTCACTGGCACCGGCAAGACCGAGAGACCGACTTGGGGCGAACGAACAGCGGTTGAAGATGGCGAGGCTGAGGTCGGTGGCGAAGAGGAGGAAGAGGAGGCACTGGCGACAAGTGATCCCATGGAGGAAGCTCTGGCGGTTGCTCTTGTTGACCACGCACTGGCTATCAAGCATGCACTGTCTTTGTATCAACGCCCTGCTCAGCAGGCCACGCAAGCCGAACTCTACCGCCGGTTCGAGACGGCTTTCCGGCCTGAACTGGCCGCTCTCTCCACTGCTCAACCAGAAACATCTTCGTCGACGCCGACTCGGCCCAGTCGTCGGACGCCGTCTGGTGAGATGCGCCGCAGACAAGCCGCGCAGAGATCTCTCAGTCCCGAACACGATCTTGTCCGGACATCTCGCGAAGGGACACATAATCGGAAGCGTTCCGATCGCTTGTCCGTCAGTCATCGCATCAGCGTCATGAACCCGTTCAAGCGATCTCACGGACCAAGCAATTCCATTTTCACCATTCAACAGTCTCCCGAAAAGGCCTTGAATGGCCAGATCGGCTCCAACGGCCCCGAAGAGCCGGAGGAAGCCGTCGAGGACGACACCGCCACAGTCCATAGTCGTGCAACAAGTCACTCTCGAGGTGGGAAAAGCGAAAAGCGACGCAGCTGGTTCTCCAGTGACAAGATCAAGCACGGCTCCTCCCCGTCCTTGGTCGCGGCGGGAGCGGGTCCAGCCACCACAGCCGAGGAAGGTCTCGACCAAGTCTTGAAGAAGCATCCCTCGCGCAGTACTTCGCGTGAACCAATTGCCCCATCACATGATGGACGTAGCCGTGCGGGCTCTCAACAACGCACGCCCTCTGCATCTGAGCGTCAGGTTCCTGCATCAACCGGGGGATGGTCTACGATACCACCCACTCGGGACTATCCACGGCCCGTGACTCGAGAAAGCGCGCACACTGGACGCGATCTGACGAGCAATGCCAACGGGCTGACACGAGCGAACAGTGCGGCGCAATCGTCTCACAGTCCGACCAGCTCCAGTGGAGGCCGTGATTCCATGTTTCGACGTTTCAGCCTGCTGAAGGGCGTTGGCCGGAAGACCAGCCGAGTGGACTTTCAAGCGTACGGTGCCTTGGCCGAGGAGTGAATTGATGCCTGCAATCTGGTGAATGGGTTTCAAGGTTGCTTCGCGCGGCTTCCTTGCAACGCCTTCTTCCGAGTCGCTCGTACATTCCTTCATGACTTCACTGATTTTCTCTCGCTTGCGCACTCCCTCCCTAACTCCGTCTCGCTTTCATACTTCTTTTTCCATGATACGCATCAAGTCCTTCCCTCTTGTATTCTACTTTCCCTTCATTTTCGATCCTTTCGATGCCTGTCCATCTCATCTATTGCAACTGTTCTGTTGAAGTTTACCCATGAGGAACCTCTTATATCCGACTTTTGTCTTCACATGTCTCCTTGGTCTCTTTTCACTATCTGATTGTTGTTGCCCTTGTGGATAGAGTCCCGTCTACTGTTTTAATTTTTTTGTCCCCCTCGGAGCTGAGGGTTTTGTTACGAGAGTGATACCATCGTCATGCATACATTTAATTTTTTTTTTCCTGTTCGTTCTTTTCTGTCTTTTGCCGAGTGGACTGATACCTGTGCCTGAATGATAATGGTAGATCATCTTAAAAGCAAGCTTGACGATTTGGAGTTCTCTGCCAAGTACTGGCCAAGTACTGTGGGTTTTGCAATGTGGAATTGCTTGTCATAGCATCCAGACTCCAGCGGAATGCTCCAGTCCTAGTATAGACTACAGTGCCCACTGCCCAGTGCCCACCAGATTATTGTTCAATCCACCTTTGACACTAAACCGCTTATGGTTTTACCGGATCTGTAATATATGAACAGTCCGTTGATCTTGTCGTATGCAGTGACACTTCCACAGCTCCTGGGCTGGTCTATACGGGAGTCACGTAATTGTAATATGTACGGAATGTTGATCATTCACCACTGACGTGAACTAAAGGTTGAACAATTAAATGGTGGGCACTGTCACTGTCTATACTATATATACTAAGTGGAGTCACATGATGCTACAGTTCAAAGGACACAGCAATGCAGTGACTAACTACTAACTAGTAGTAGTGAGTCTAGTGAGTGCTTCTGGTGAGGGCTGAGCTCTGTGCCGAAAGGTCACCTGACTTTGGCGGTTCCATCCACGGTAACGTTGTCGGCTCACTCCGTCATGATTCCCGGCCTGACGAGTCACAGAGAGAGGTCATTTCTAACGAGTGTACCTGATCACCACGGTACTGGTGCATAAGCCCCAGGTACTGATAGTAGATAGCAGATATCATACTGATACTGATCGTAGACATCTACTCGGTTCAGCCATTCTGTACAGTATACTCCCGTTGATGATTGGCGTGATGTGAATGCTTTTTCATGATTGATCGAGTATTTCCAACGTACTCTCCATCTGATTCCAGGGAGGGTTTGAGTTGGGAGTCCGAGGAAGACTCTTGTTTTCCTTGTTTCAGGTTGTGCATTACAATTTACGACGTGTCTGGGGTCAGTCTTGATTGACCGTACTGTAAGTCGTGTCAGAGAACGACGACTTGATTCCGAAACATCAGTGGGGGACTTACTATTAGAGAGGTACTTTTACCAGTATTTCCTAGTTAGTTACCTGCTCCTGCTAGTGACCAGTACCTACTAGTACTACCTACCTAGTCACTGCCCTGGTCAGTGGACTCGGTGGAGCGTGATAGATGGCCGTTCAGTACATCCTTGGTGCCATTTCCAATGAGGATTCGATTATGAAGTGGCAGCTATTATGTGTCACAGTCCCCCCCCATTTACCGCATGCAGGATATTCTCGAGACAACAGACCATCCGATGCATGATGCAATATGCATGATGCGTGGATGCATGACCTTTTGCTGGGGGAAAGAGTGTGGCGGTGCCAGTCTTGGCCCGGGAGGGGGGGCGGACCCAATCATCGGGAGCAGAGTGGGTCGTGCTCGCGTCGTCATCGTGGAAGCTCGGTAGGCCCAAGCTTTTCTCTTGCTCCCTACCCATTTCCACCCTTTTGGCAGACTTGGAGGCAGAGAGAGGTTGTACAGTAGGAATCATGGCGCAGGTAAGAAGTGGTATTTTATGACTCGATGGATGGACTACGAACCTACCGCAAGGAAGCATTCTACTGACCACTACATATACATCCTAAATAGTCAATCCTAACTCAGTACTCCCTGAGTCCATAGCTATGCGCCTCACACATCGTATCAAGTGAGACCACTACAGCTCTTGATCATCTCTGCTTTCTCAGTCGATAAACGAGTACGATGCGATCTTTCCTCTCCCCCACTGCATTGGAACACATCCGAGACCCCGTGTCGGTTCCAAATCCCAAAGCTGCACCGCACGACGGCCACTAGTCTCGTGACGTCCAAGAATGGGAACCACCCATCGAGGCTGTGCTGGGAAAAAAAAATCAAAACAAATCCAGGTGGCACGGGCTCCACCGAAAGGCACTTGGAACCATCCATCCGGAACAGCCTGGAACCAGCGCCATCATTGACCTCACTCAACTCTAGTCCTCCAGTCCTCCAGTCCTCCAGTCCTCTACGTTCGCAGGAGTAGTACACTCTGGAGTCTTGACAAGTTGACTCTAGCCGGTCCCGAGAAGAAAGACCTCGCCCATCTCCTCCACCCGATCCAGCACTTGGCACCGACAGCCCCTTTCGGAGTCTCCTCCATTGCCGAGGGCCCCTCTGACCTGCTGCGGCGCTGCCCATTCCTCACTCCCTCCTCTCCTGTGATCGTCATCTTGGCCTCCAAGCTGTCCCTCGAGTGGCTCGCAGAGATTAATCTTCACTCGCTTTGGGAAGCTTTCCCTCGCGTGCGAACTACGAACGGACAAGTGGACGACACCACGACCGGACTGACAGAGATAGATAGCCCTACCACGTCGTCACTCGTGGAATGGTCCATGACTCCATCGTCAATACTCCATTGCTCCCCGACTCTCCGACAGACCTCCGGCACCCGGCCACAGTAGTACTTTTACGACTTGACAGTTTACCCACTACCGCACTCCGCTAATACGCAGTGGTGCCCTCCATCCGACAGTCTTGCTCTCGTACGCGGTAGCGCCGTCCGACCCTGTGAGTTTCTTGGCTTCGAGTTCGACGCTTGGCTCGTGGCTCATTCAGCGATCCACCCGCCAAACCGCGCCCCCAAAAGATGTGTAAGTTGCGCCAGCGCTTTTTTCTCACCTGCGTTCGGGATCCAGAATCCCAAATCCAGAGGAATCGGTCATTCTGTATTCCACTGTGTGACCCGGACCAGTCATTGACCACTGGTTCCTGTACGGAGTCTACGGACTATGAGTACGGAGTGTCCGCAGTGCGCACTACGCACTACGCACTACGCACCTTTTCTACTCCCCGTCTTTCCTCAGTTTTTGGGCTTCCCTCGTGGTCCGCCCTGATTTGAGCCCTCGTCGACCCCATACTTCCCAGTCCCCACGTGAGAGTGCCGGTTCCTATGCGATGATCCTGCGCGAGCGTTGATCAGCAAGGAAAAGGAAACCAGAAAAAAAAATTCAAAAATTGATAGAATTTGAACTCTCCTCCTCTCCTCCTCTCCACCTTGCCCTTTGGATCGATCCGTCTCTCTTTTCCTTATTAATCTCTCTGGCTCTTCTCCGATCCCCCAACTGACCGTGCCTATTGCGCTCTCTTGCCTCTCTAGCGTCCGTGGGATTTCGCTCGCAGGTGCGGACCCATAGCTTCGGCCCATCCAGACAGATGAGCTCCTCCAACAGTACCCGCGTCAATATGGGTGAACGGACGGCCTTGTTGGGTCATATCGGAAATGGTGCCACCGTCGACGAAAACCACCCTGGGGAGCAGGCCGGGCAACATCACCGTCCCAAAGATGGTCGCGTCTGGGTGTGGTGGCCCCGACATGTTGCGCGGTTGACCTGGTTGACCCTCACCCGCGACTATACGAACGCTCTCTTGATCTTTGCGCCTTTGGGTATCCTTGCCGGTGCCCTGGGCTGGGACGCGAGCGCGGTGTTTGTGTTGAACTTCCTCGCCATCGTCCCGCTGGCCTCGCTGTTAAGCTTTGCGACAGAGGAGCTCGCTGCGACCATGGGCCAGGCGCTAGGCGGCCTGATGAATGCCACGTTCGGCAATGCCGTGGAATTGATTGTAAGACTCTCCCTGCTTTGCCCTGTTACACAGCACAGCAATCAATGCATCGCTTGGAGCGATTCCGCTTGGAACGGAGGGGGCGTTGGCTAACCCCAGCTGGAATCCCATGACAGGTCAGTATCATTGCACTCAAGGATAAACAGATTAGGGTCGTCCAGGCCAGCATGCTGGGCAGCATCTTGTCTAATATCCTTTTGGTTCTGGGCTGCTGCTTCTTCATCGGTGGCATTCGTCACAGCGAACAGTCCTTCAACAGCACGGTCGCCTCGACCATGTCTTCCCTAATGGCCGTAGCGTCGGCGTCTCTGATCATTCCCGCAGCCCTCTACGCGGTGCTGTCCAAGTCTGCATCAAGCGCCCACGACAACATCCTGATTCTCTCGCACGGCACCGCCATCATCCTGCTCATCATCTACGTCATGTACCTCTACTTCCAGCTCTACTCGCACTCGGAGCTCTTCGAGGAGAGCAATGAGGCTGGAACCGATGAAGAGGAAGAAGAGGAGGAGGAGAGATTGCTCAACCCTGTCGCCGCCACCGTCGTCTTGATCGTGGTGACCATCCTTGTCGCTATCTGTGCCGACTACTTGGTGGGCAGCATCGACAGCATTGTGGAAAAGACCGGCATGAGTAAGACCTTCATCGGTCTGGTCCTGATCCCCATCGTGGGCAATGCCGCCGAGCACGTGACCGCTGTCGTCGTCGCCTGGAAGGACAAGATGGATCTTGCCATTGGTGTCGCCATCGGCAGTAGTCTGCAAATTGCTCTCTTTGTCACCCCCTTCCTGGTCATTTTGGGATGGATCATGGGGGTGGAGATGACTCTGCACTTCCAGACCTTTGAGACGGTGGCCTTTTTCATCTCTGGCTTGGTGGTGACCCTGTTGATCCAGGATGGCAAGTCCAACTACCTGGAGGGTGGCATGTGTCTTGGAATGTATGTTTCTTCTGTCTCTCCTTTTGCAGTTTCCATGGTGGAGCGATACTAATCTTTGCTCTTTATCCCCAGGTACGTCATTTTGGCTCTCGCCTTTTACGTCTACCCCGACGATGTCAACGAAGGGATTGGTGGTATCTTCAGTAAGCTGAGCAACTAAAAGGGGAGAATTGCCCCCGACAGCCCCCGACATTTCTGCCATGAGTGACTCGCTTCGGCCTCATGGGGGAAAGCCTCGGCTCATTTCGCGCTTTTTGAGTAATCTGTCTTTCATGCCGTGTCTTGAATTTCGTGTCCGCTTGCCTGACATGACGGGTGTTGTACATCATCCTCACGTACAGCTGTCGCTGTGAAATTTCCTTTCAACTCCCTGTTCTGCTTATTTATATCTCTCTGTCCATACTTGTCTCTCGTAGCTAGGCTGTGGCGCCGCAATCTCATTGTATTGGTACTCTTTATGCACTCCACAAAATACATATCCAATGACCTCTCATCTCCAGGATATGACAAAGAGCTGAGATTCCACTGCATGTCTAACTGAGTCACCAGACCAACATTAGCCAGGTGTGGGCAGTGAGGCAGTGAGGCAGTGAGGCAGTGAGGCAGTGAGGCAGTGAGGCAGTGAGCAGTGAGCAGTGAGCATTCCTCTTATCGCCCTATCGAGCTTATCAGTCCGCGTGACCGTAAGGTCAGCCCTCTCTTCAACTGTTGTACTTTCAAACATCCTCTATCAAAGCCACTGCGGGGCGAGATGATCATTACTGCGGCCATGACTGGCTGCACCCCAAGTGTCGACAACCACGGCATCTCCACAGGGCGCACCTTCCCCATCACTTCGCCTAGGATCAAAGAGGAAATTAAGCTGAGAACTCACTGAAAGGTGGATCGTCAAGAACTCAACAGCAGGAGGATATTCAAACTCCGTGGGTCATTCGATTAAACTATGTGATCCAACGGATGCGGGGTACGCGCTGCGATAACCAGCGCATTCGCTCTTCCGAGATACCGCACTCCTTCTACTCTTTCTCATCCCTTCTGCTATATAATCTGGGGATCCCAAACAGAAGGCCGAGAGGTCTTTTTCGATTTGAAGTCTTCTGGTCTTGCTAAGGCACGGCAAGAAAAAAGATAGCTGCTGCTACGATCTTGCATCATGCCCAACACTATACAATGGGTCGCCGTTCTGTCAATCCTCGCGGCGGTCGTGTATAAAGGCATCGTCTACCCGGCCTTGATCTCACCGCTTGCGAAGATTCCAAATGCGCATTGGAGTGTGCCGGTGTCGCCCGTATGGATGTTATGGAGGCGCTTTCGGATGCAGAATAATCGGACGATTCAAGCGGCGCACGAGCGACTGGGTCCCGTTGTAAGGCTGGGCCCTTCCGAGATCTCCATCAATTGTGTGGATGGCGGGATCAAGTCCGTATATACGGGCGGCTTTGAGAAGCATGAGTGGTATCCTCGAGTATTCGGGTCGCTTGGGTGAGTGACAAGGCAGTCCGGCTCCAGTACTGCAGTAATGGCATTTCGGGAAGAGGGAAAAAAAGGAACCAAGGCTCTGATCCGAATCTTTCCATCTGTCTAGGACCGTCAGCATGTTTACCATGATTGGGAGCAAGCCCCATTCCATTCGCAAGAGAATGTTGTCCAACATTTACTCCAAATCAACGCTGCAGACGTCCCCAAACTTGCAACTTGTCTCCAAGACAGTCATCTTGGACCGGCTTCTCCCGCTTCTCCAGCAGACTGCCGAATCGGGCGAATCCCTCGACGTGCACGATTTGAACCAAGGTCTCACAATGGACTTTGTATCCGGTTATCTATTTGGCTTACGAAATGGCACCAACCATGTGCAGGACCACTCATATCGTAAACATTGGTTACATATGTACCTCTGCCGAAAGCCGTTCGAGTTCTACCACCAGGAAATGCCTTACCTCGACGGATGGATGAAATGCCTGGGCCTTCGCGTGATCCCCAAGTACTGCGACGAAGCCAACAGTATGCTCGACGCGTGGGCTCTTGACCTTTGCAACAAAGCGGAACAGTCCTTGGCCTCGACGGACCCAGCCATTGAACCAATCGTCTACAAACAACTCAAGCAGAGTCTAGACAAACAAGCGGCCAAGGAAGGCGTAACGCCCAATCGCAAGCACCAATTGAATGATATTGCCTGCGAGATGTACGATCAACTGACCGCTGGCTTTGAAACTAGCGCTGTAGGCCTGACTTATCTCATGTGGCAACTATCTCGCCATCCCGAAATCCAGAACCGTCTGCGCGAAGAACTACGCACACTGGACCCGGTCATCCGTATTCCAGGATCAAATGAGCTGCCGTCCCCCAAGTCCATCGACAGCCTGCCTCTGTTGGACGCCATCATCACAGAGACATTACGGCTTCACGCTCCCATACCAGGCATCCAGCCCCGCGTCACCCCGGTGCCATCATGCAGTCTAGCCGGCTACGACAACATCCCACCCGGCATTCGAGTCAACGCACAAGCATATTCTCTGCACCGGAATCCCGAGGTGTTCCCCGACCCCGAGTGCTGGCAGCCAAAGCGCTGGCTCAAGGCCGAGAATACCCCCGAGGAATTGGAGGAACGACGCCGCTGGTTCTGGGCCTTTGGCAGTGGAGGCCGCATGTGCGTGGGGAGTAACCTCGCATTGCAAGGTGAGCAGTTTCTTTACAAGCTTTGATTGTTGATGTTTGTTTCCCAAGGCCATGCAGATGAGAGGTTGATTCTGACCATGGATTGATGGGGTCCGCCCCCCAATCAGAGACCAAACTTGTTGCTGCGGCAATCTATTCGAATTTCCGCACGACAATTGTGAATGACGATGGGATCGAAGCCATTGATGCGTATACGGTGCATCCTCGCGGTGAGAAGCTTATCCTACGCTTCGAGAAGGTCTGACGCGTTCGACCACAAAGCGCAGCTTACGTGCGAGGACGACGACGAAAAGAGCATGTAACAAGGGTCGGCCCTGGATCTGGAAAAGTCTTGAGATTCTTCCGTCATAGTCGTACATTTTGAATTCTTTTTCATATCAAGAGGTAATGCCACATCTCTCAACGTAGGTATCAGTACTGTACAGATGCAAAGCTGGAAAAAAGAAGACATGACCGCAGCGAGGGACAAGAGAACAAAAAAAAGTTAATGATAAAAACAAAAGTAAATCATGCATGACCAACTCCCATATCACTTCAAGCTGGACCATACTATCACGGCCCTGGCTCAGGCTGGGACCGCGCGGTACATTCAAGTCTTTGGGGGTAAGAGTCGCTTAACACTGCGCTCAAACCCCGTCCCGTCCCGTCCCATTTGATCCCCTTGCACGGCGGCCAGCCTGAAAGCATGCGATCCCTTAACTCCAGCCGAAAAGAACAAGACCAGTTCTTCTCCGGCCATATATCACAAAAACACACTCAGACATCGGTGCCCAGACTCATGAAAGGGATCTGTTTAACCCAAGACACCGTCCTTCTTGCGCGGACCCACAACCTTGGGGTACATTCTCATCAGGTGGTAGTTGACGGTGTTTTTCTTCTTCTCGTGGGATTTCTGCACGAGGGTACGAAAGACAATTGGTTAGCAAAAGCGTTCTCTTTCCTCCTCGCGGGGTTGGAAAACCGAAGGCGGAACGTGAACGGAGGCCTGTTATCGTCCAAGACGTACCGGTTCATCCATGCACTTGCGCAATTGCGCCTCGAGGGCGGCGCATCCTTCGACGCCGTATCCTTGGGAAGCCCAACAGTCTTAAAATCAGAGGAGTGGTCAGCCGATTTGAGCTCGATAAAATCAATCAGTGCGCGCTCCGAGGAACGGACGCGACGAGATGGCGGCGAATATGCGCTCAAGCAGGTATTTATCAATCTGAATCCGGGCAAGCACGGTGCTTTTGCGATCCAAGATATCCGGGTGGCCAGTGTATAGGCGTCATTCACGGCTTTCCGGGCGCGACCTTCCAGGAACCCGTTCAAAGAGGAGACAAAAAAGATTCCACGTACTCAGCATCGAAGACATGACCGTTACGCAGGCATTCTGCTCATATTGATTGGGTCGTCGGACTCGCAGGTGGTTGATGGTGTTGAGACGAAGCGGGTTCAACCGCGTGGTCACGTTTCCCTTGGGAGCCATGGCGAGAACACGAATTGACACCTAGAATGGGAAAGAAGTCAACTGGCAAGATGAGAACGAGAGAAACCCCAGATAAAGGCGGGGAGAAGAGCTGGACCAGGCGCGGCGTGAGGTTCGTTGATTCGAGATTTTGACTCGGTCGTGCTGACAGCGAAGAGGCCCATCAAAATCCCCTCGAAAGGGTTTGGCCTCCGCGGAGGTGGATGACATAATCAGCCGGTGACCCTTGCACTCCATGTGGAGCAACTCAGGCGGTCTCATGATTGGCTGGAGCCAACGAGCGCGGGATACCGGGAGAGCTCCGGAGTTAACAGAGAGACAGAGAGCGAGCTCGCCACTTCGCAAGCTTTCGCTGAGAGTTAGTCTTTCTCAGCTTTGCCTTTCACGGAGAAAGAACTGCTATCATCGGCTAAGCCAGCGTGACTAGTAGCGATCAAGAAGCATTCTACAATGTCTGCGCATCAAGTTTGCAGATCCAGCTTGGGTCGAATGGCAGTGAGCGCGCGGAGAAACACCACGCCTACGACAACATACTTCACGACATCATTCCAACATCGAGACCAAAGCTCGACATCCTCCAGCGCACAGAGTGAGATCAAGTCAAAAACCGCCTCCTCAGATGAAGCAGAACCCTCAGAAGGAGCTATGGCCCGTCGACTTTCACAAATGACCGAGGATGCGATTCTAGAAGGCGGACGAGCTGCGCAGCGCAATATTGAGAATGCTGGCTTCTCAGAGGATCTCAAGCGACGACTGGAAGAGCGCGTGAAAGCAGCATCATTCAAGAGTGAGCATGCCGCAGCGCATTCGATTCTAGATATGCCGGTAGGCTCTCCGATTTCTTAAAAAAAAAAAAAAACAACGGAAACTACGACACCGCAAGAGTACATCACTAATCTACCACTGCTCGTTCAAATGATCTAGTCCAGCGCCGGTCAGGGTACTCGAGAGACAGCTGCGGCTCCCGTCTGGACCGGAAACGAGACCTTTCAAGATACCGCTTTGCGCATGCTTGACGACGCCAGCAAGCCGATTCGTACCCCGTTCAAGATCCCTCGGCCTGTGAACCTGCAACCCGCCGCCAAACCTAAACGATCGACCGGAGCCCGCCTGGCAGCTGCCAAGGATCGCACGTCAAAGTATACTCTGAGCCAAGCACCCGATCTCTCCGATGACCAGCGAGCTGCGATCCGCAGCGAGATGCAGGAGAAATTAATGCCGGGTGCTCAGGCGATGCCCATTTCCCTTCAAGGGCTGGCGTCACTGGCCAATGAGCGGATCGAGGATGCCATCGTGCGAGGGCAGTTCGATAAAATTAAACGAGGGAAAGGCGTCAACACAGAGACCGATCATAATGCCAATAGCGCGTTCATCGATACGACCGAATACTTTATGAATAAGATCATTCAGAAGCAGGACATTGTCCCGCCCTGGATTGAGAAACAGCAGGAACTGGCGTCGGAGATCAGTCGGTTCAGACAGCGTATTCGCACCGAATGGAGGAGGCATGCTGCTCGGTTGATTGCCAGTCAGGGCGGGTCCTTGGCAGCGCAAATGAACCGAGCCCGGGGATACGCTGCCGCCGAAGCACGTTTGGCCGAGCAAGCGAGGATAGAGGCTGCTTTGAGGGACACCACAAGCGATGAAGTGGTTTCAGAAATCGCGTCTGATGGACGGATCATCCCGAGCCAGGTCGCGGCAGACCATCCACCAGGTGATGTGACCGAGTCGCAGGACGAGATTCCTCATCTGCCGCCCCTGCGAGATGAAAGTTATATTGCCATAGAACGATCATACCTCGAGCTGGCGGTGAAGCAGATCAATACCATCGCCCGCTCATATAATCTGCAAGCACCCCGCTCGGCTCAGAAACCCTACATCAACCTCGATCGCGAGCTCAAGGCCTGCTTCGCCGAAGTCGCTCCGCAGCTCGCCGAAGAAATCAGGAGACGCGCATCAGAGCGAGCACGCCCGTCATTCATCGCTCCCGCACCCAAATCCAGTGTTCTGGGCTCCTTTGGAACGGCACAAACGGTGCAGGTTTACGAGGAAGATAAGACTAATGGGTACGGAATGAAAGAGCTATGGAGAGACTTGTTCTCCAAGAAGTCATAATTATTGTACAACAATTGTCAATACAAATCACAGGACAGACAAACAAGCGAGTGCGCTCTTGCGTAACAATCACCAACCTCTGCTGGCAGGTATTGACCGCATTCCGACGTCGATGACCTCCTCATGGAATGGGACCTGTAGGCTCCTCCTGCTCATCGCTTTTTTCGATGACAATCCGATAATTCCTCCGCGATGGCAGCCTCGGTCCGTGGACTGCCTATTACACTGGAGTCCAACTTGCGAAAGGACGGCGCAACACCCATAGAATCTCCCCAGTCAGCAGTGCGGAAATCCCAGACACAACACCAACACCAGCTAGCAATGCCGGGGGTCAGTTTTGTCGCCATAAATCCTGCACACGCGTATACACTACTGACTACACATCGTAGCCGGCGAATATGATCGCAAGGCTGGCAATCTTATAGAGATCCGCCGTCATCTCTACGGAGACAGTGAAGAGCACCTGGGAGAAGACCCGGAGACCTGCAGTGATTCCTAATGCATGTCCAACCCAGTAAATGGACCAATATACCTCGTACATGAGTAGTGTGGCTAAGAGGAGGCTGGATCAGAAGGAGTCTTTGAGTAAGTGGAAAGCCACTAGGGCTCGAGCTTGGGTCCTGATCTTTGCTCAACTTGGAAAGAGAAAAGCCATAGCAGACGATTTGGTTTGGTAGAGACAATCTACCTCAGGCTGGAGTTACGGTTAGAGATTAGCGAGACTTTGAGAACATAATGTGCCATAGCCAGTTGCGAAGGAACAGAAGATGAACACGTGTGCGTCCCGACGACAGCGTGACAAGGAGGAGGAGGAGGAGGAGGATGATTATGATGATGATATCCCCGTACTAGGGAACGGTAGCAAATGACCAGTACCATCGTATGAGAGAATGAAAACTACTCCGTTAGCACGTAAATGTCCAGCTTGGGATCGTATAAAAGTCATGTGATTTTGATGCCGATAGACTGCTTCCGAGTCAACTCAGGACTGCTCATGCATGGTACCTTAATGATTGACCTCAACCACCTTCTTCTTGATAGTATTCACGCATAGCACACTGCAGCTCGCGCTAGCACGATTGCTTGACCTTGGTAGTGTGTCTCGATAAGCCCTGGTTCCTCGAACCGGTCTTTGCCCAATTGTTCATCAGTTCATACTGCACCGGTGCACAGTGGCACACTAAAGTCTGTCAGTTCCTGACTCCGTTTGTTAGTGCTTGGTCCTCCGGCCAAATGCCCAGATCACACACTTGAGAAGTTGAGGCACACTCGGCAGTGTCCTCTACGCTTGTGACTGGCCGCCCGCTGGTGATTATCGTGCATGCGGGCGCTTATTGCCAACCAACGACAGGCCTCGATGGATACCGGCAGGCGAGCTTTTGGCCCTGCGGCCTCGACACCCGGCTTCAAACTTGTCACATCCGGTGGCTCATCGACTCTTTTTTCTTATAGCGAATTCCATCCCCCAAAGGCCTGCATCACCTTGTCAGCTTTTTGCACACAGGATGCACTGCTTGCTTGCCTTCAGATTCGACCCGTATCACCGGTTCGATATGTCGATCAGCCCAATCTGACCGCAGATTGCCCGCTGCATTGGACTGGCCTTTTCTTTTTTACTTTCACCTATTGAGAGTCTACCCCGCCGTGATTGCACCTGTTGGGTTACAAAAAGTGCCCGAGATGCCTTCATCCGTGGTCGGCCTTCAGCTTTCCTTTTCTGTCTCTCTTCTTCGCCCCCTGATCCTCTGCATGTTGGCCCCGGTGGTTGCGGGAATAGAGACAGATCCCAGCAAACGATCTACACCAGATCAGCCTTCGCTGGACAAGGCGCTGTTGGGAATCCAGATCGGTAGCATCGCAGGGGCTTACTTGGTCTTCGTTGCAGTCCTTCTTGGGCTTTTGCTGCTCGTTGGGCGCAGACTTCGTCGAACCGTCCAGTCGTCCAACTATTCTCTTCAAATGCATCTTCTACAGCCAGTGAAGCAGAACCTCAATCTAGATCCCGACCCCAGATTCCCCATGTCGCACCATCCCCCCGGTCAGGCCGCTGCCGGTGCGCAGCAAGCTTCATGGGGCAATTTTCCCAGCGCAAATCGGCCCTCGCAAAACTCGTCCACCCATGGCAGTGTAGTCACCATTGATGAGTCCGTTGTGGCATCAGATCGTCAGAGGGCACAAGATCAGATGGCGATGCTGTATGCTGCCGTGTTGGAACACGATGCACAAAAGTCGATCAGGGACTCCGACTCACCGGCACACTCTCCGGACAGCCAGTATACGAATCCTTTTACAGATCGGCATGCATCCCAGCAACCTCTGGGGGATTCGTATCGAGAGCCGCTCAAATCTCCCAAACCGAGTGGTTCCCGTCTGACCAAGCTCTTCAGCTCCAAGTCTAGCTCGCAGCCCGACGGGGGTAAACTACGATCCCCACGGTTTCCCTTGCGAAAACTGGGCATCTCCTCACCGCTCGCATCGCCAGACATGCATGTCTCTCATTCATATGGACTTGATCAAGTGCCTCTGTCGCCGAGACTATACACCCCCGGTCCGCCTCCAGCGGCGCCTCGTGCAGCGCCTCCCGTCGCACATATTATGCCACCACCGAACCGGACACGAGCGGCGCCGGCGCCTCTCAATCTGAGTACGCCAACTTCCCAAACGCCCTCCAGTCTGCCCTTCCGTGAAGCATACCCGTTGCAGAGCGCACCGCCCACCAAGACGACCATCTTGGAACGTCCAACCAAGACTCGGAATGGCCCGATGACCGGCATGCCCACTCCGTACAGTGCTTACATGCCGTACACCCCGGTGACGCCCTTTACGCCCGGGCGGATGGTCACTCGACGAGAGCGTCGCCGGGAGGAGCGTGAGAACGGACTCCGAGTGTTAAATGAAGATGATCTGGTCAAGGATGATCAAGATGTCTGGGGGTGATCATGCCAACTGGGCTGATCATTTGACCCTGGTTTCGGTGTTACGGCGTAAGATCCACTACTTGTATATCCCTCCCCTCCCCCCCGTGGCGCTTGAGTACACACTACATAGTACACACTACACACTATCCAGAATGTCTAGAACAGATCCCCTGGTAATGAAATCATATACGCAAGACTCAATGTCTTCGTTACAGCAGCAGCAGCAGCATACCCCATAGTTGAACCGGAAAACGGCAAGTGCATCAGAGTATCCGGACAAGGCTCCTATCAAGACAGAGGTGAAATAGTAAATAGCTTTCGGACCGAAGCTCCTGTAGAGTGTAGAGAGAAAATTCCTGTGAATGGTCAATTGGAGTTTGTATGGAGAACACGACGCGGTGTTTGGCCTAACCTCGGGATGTTTACGAGAAGTGTACAATACATCTCATTTCCAGTGACATCAGTGTAGGCGAATGCACGTGTTCTTCATTCTTGTGGTCTTATCGTCTCAAGTCCAATACGTTCGTTCCTGGGCACGCTTATCGACTGACGTGCCTTGACAGCATTCCACGGGATGACTGACTTGTCCTTCTCGGTGATGTTCTCAATCTGTGTCGGACCGGGCGGGACTTGCTCGAGAACAGCCACTGCACGAGGTCGGATCCGTCGACCGGATAAAACCAGGGAGTGGTTCGAGAAAGGCAAGAATCAAAAAATCATTCCCCCGAATGATGTGCAGTATGTCGAATCTTCTATTGGCATACTCAGATACTGTGGTCTCTCCACCCCCTCCAAGTTCAACTTCGTTTGGGTAAAGATGCTGTGCCGCGCCAGGCCGCATCGAGCCTCCCAGTGCCCGCTTTCGGGTTGATGAAGCTCGAGCGTCCAGCCCTCCGGTTTCACTCCTCCAACACAATCACATTCAATGCATGACCCGGTCGTGATTCTCTCACTTCTTGGCCTCTGGTGATTTTCTCTCCCTTTGCGCCTTTTCGACACCACAAGAGTGATCAGCACCCGCCGACCATCGACGAGAGAAGCTCAACATTCAACAGCATCCGATCCATCCGAAGTGTCTCTGGGCCGCGTGGATCGCAATCTCGTGGATCGACCCCGCTTGACTTCCCCTCCCCCCCCCCACCAGGGAAGAATCACAAGGGCCTGGTGGATACAGACTTCGTCATCGTCAACACGAGCTGACTGCTCCGGTGGATGATCTCTCCACGGTAGATCTGCACAGCTATCACAACACTAGATTCTGTGATTATCACACCCTCGTCCCTATCTTTCTGTCCGACTTCCGTGCTAGCGCTTGATTACCACCTCCTACGACGGTGCCGCGGACCGCAGCGTCCAAGATACCCCCCAGCACTGATTCGTCGCGCGACCTCTTCGCATCGTGTCTGGCACGTCTATCAATCCCATCTTCGCTTCCTTCCCTCCACCCGTTCTTCTCCCTCATTCACCAGTCCGGGATTCATTCGCCATGCCACTCACAATCATTTCCCAAACCCAACTCCGGCAGCTACTGCTTTCCCTCAACCGTGACGAGGTGGTCGAGCTGCAACAGAACCTTTCGGAAGCCCTCCGGGAATATTCCACGGGCTCCCAAGAGCAGGGTTGCTCAGCCACATACCAGCCGCGACGAACGGCCATCACTCGCTCGAATGGATGCACGACTATCTTCATGCCGGCGACGACTGGCACCACGCTTGGCATCAAGATGATCTCTTTGCAGGATGGTGCGGGGCCGGGATGTGTCATTGAACGAGAAGGGCTCGATCAAGCGAAAAGCGGCTCGGTCTCGTCTCGCTCCCACCGTGGCTCGGTCCGGGATTCGGTGGCCTCGCTATCGTCCGACACGAGTGAGCTATCGCTCGGCTCGTCCGTGGATGACGATGGCTCTATCGACACCTCGGCTACCACGACCACGACCACGACCACGACGAGCAGCACAAAGGAGGATAGTATCGCAGATGTCGTCCTCCCCAGTGGGTGCGTGAATCAAAAACGAGTGGTGGACTCCCCCTCCGCGACTCTCGGGGCCTGGCCGGGTGCTGGAGCACGCGACACCACTCCGCGAGGCAGTATCACCCTGCTGGACGCAGAGTCCCTGCCGTTCGGACTGATCAATGCATATGAGCTGACAGCCTTTCGGACCGCATTGGCCTCGCTCATGCTGTTCAACAAGCGCAAGAAGGTCAAGACGCTGTTGGTGTTCGGGGCGGGCACTCAAGCGTACTGGCACATTCGTCTGGCGTTGATCTTGCGTGGGGACGAGATCCGTCGGGTGTATATCGTCAACCGGTCCTTTGAACGAGCGGCGGAATTGCTTCGCGATATCTACCTGCCCGAGAATACGGCATGGCGCCGGGATGTGAAATTCTCCGCCGTCAGTACCGACTTTGGCGAGTATTCCCGGATTCTCAAAGCCCAAGTCCGCAAGGCCGATGCTATCTTTTGCTGTACGCCTTCCACGAACCCTCTCTTCCCCGCGGATCACCTGACTTCTCGCGAGGGACGTCAAAAGGGTCGCTATATCTGCGCCGTGGGGTCCTACAAGAGCACGATGGCCGAGATTCACCCCGACATCCTCCGCGACGAAGTGACCGTGACTCCACCCCACCGTCACTTCCACAAACACACCAAACGCAGCGGTGTGGTGGTCGTCGATAGTCTGGACGCTTCTCTCCGCGAGGCGGGTGAAATCACCCAGGCGGAGATCAAGCCACACCAGGTGGTGGAACTGGGTGAGCTGATGATGGTCCGCCACGCCACCCAAAATGCAGGCGAGGGGGCCCATCTTGACGATACCAAGAGTCTGCGTGAATGGATCGAGCGTGGCAATCTCATCTACAAGAGCGTCGGGCTCGGCTTGATGGATTTGGTGACTGGGGGCGACCTTGTCCGTCTGGCGCGTGCACGAGGAGTCGGCACCACCGTGGAGGACTTTTGATCGAGACTCTCGGAGATTGTAGTATTTGTATTCTTCCCTATCCTTTGGTTACTATTATACCCTTTCCTCTCTGTTTCTGTTTCTGTTTCTGTTTCTGTGTTTTTTTTTTTTCTTTTCTTTTTCCTTGTTTTGTATTTTTGTTTCGCTCCACGTGACATCTACATCTGCTGTTTCTATCTTGGTTCTGAGGGCGGATGTATAGGTTTGTTGTTCTTGGGTAGTCACCTGGCTCTACGTGGATTGGCTTGTATCTCCTACCTTGCATGCTTCAGCCCAATTTGCGCGCTGGCACGAGATAATTAGACTGTACATCTGCGTCGACTCGCGGTTCGCGAATAATACGAATTACCAAAGCAGTGCCCGTTCTGAGTGACACTTGGAAGATCCTGGGACCACCAAGACATCAATGCACAAAAGTACCCGACTGACCGATCAACTGATCCTGGTAAGAGTGGCATGATGTCCTGCCCCGCGACCGTCAGCCGACTGCAGAGCCCAACCTCGTGTAGCGTCGCACTGGAGAGAGAGAGAGAAGGCATCCGAGATCTCCGCGCAACCCCCCCCCCCCTCCCGTCGTGGTCGACCCCACTCGCGCACACAACGATACAACTCCACTGCGTCATCGGCGGAGGTGCGACGCAGAATTTCCTCTGCGACTGTTGTGCCTCATTACCATCCCCAATATTCTTTCCACACTTGGCCAAGGGGAACCTCTGTACCTCTGAGTGTCCAGTCGTCGTATGTACGGCTGTGCTTGTCTGCAGCGGAGATTACCATTCGAACGACTCGGCGTTGGCACTCTTCCCCGCGTAGGTTAGGCGAGGAACTTCTGTCGGGCTTTCTTTTCTTGTGAGGCCAACCGTCTTGGTACTCGTGGTGCGCATTCACGAGGCCATCATGCGCAACAACACCTGCCATTTACCAAATGGCCTCTCGTTTACGGTGACCCCGGTCTTTGGCGGAGTCACCTTCAAATCGAACGATACGCTGTCTCACAGCTCCAATGCGACATTTCCTCCCGGATGGACCATCATCATTCAGACCGAGAAAGAAGGCCATAGATCTCCTGCGATTGCGGAAGAGCGAGGAAGGACAGGACCTGACAATGGCCGGCCTCCATCCAGCGGCAGCGACGACAGCAACGTCCAGCGATTCACGACGCCGACCCTGAACCGGGACAGTCTCTATATTTCCTACATCGTCAACCCCCCGTCGAGCGATTTCAAACCGACGATATCGCCTACTCGTCAAATTGCAATGATGCTGTGGGCGACAATGTGGTGGTACTTTCACGAGCCGGAGCCCGACCTGCATCTGGAGACGGCCGCGTCGCAATCGACGCCAGTCTCCGGACGACCCCAGGGCGAATGGCGCGTGAATATCAGGAGAGAAGGGATCTTTAAAGGTCGAAATCTGCTGCAGAAGCTGGAGCGCATGGGTCTCATCGCCAGCGAAGACTCCTCCGTGGGCCTTCAACCCATGGAAACTCGGGACTCGAGCGCGTGGACGAATATGTTTGTGAGCCGACGCAGCTTCTGGCAGATTGATCCACGCATGTATCTCTTCACTCTCACACCTCGTGGCTCCCCTCCCTCACCTTCTTTGACTCCCTACCAATCCCGACATGGATCCCCCGCGCGAGAAAGCCTCGGCGGCCCGTTGCCGGCAGAGGTCTCGTTCCACACGACCAACATCGGCACGTTCACGTCCGTTGGACCTTTCACGTCGGCCAGTCACCTGCCCACGTATTATCCCCCGGCGCCCACGCAGTATACATTTACTCGGGGCGTGCGGCATCCGGTACGACCGAAACCCCCACACCAAGGGGAAGTCTTCTATGTGCGTCACGTCCCGAGCGTGGACCAGTACCTTTCTTTCCGCGTGCCATTCTTGCCCATGAGCAAGACTTCGACTACGGGGTCCAAGGACACTGCTGCTCCCAGCAGTCGTCCCTCTACCCCAACCGCCACCGTCAGCTCCGGGGTGACCAGTATCGAGCAGCATCTGTGCTCGAAGGCACCCTCGGATCTGGACATGCTCCACCGATGGATGAATGATCCACGCGTAGAAGCCATGTGGAAGGAAGGTGGTGCACGGGAGGTCCAAGAGCAATTCTTGCTGAAGAATCTTACCAGCCGGCACAGTTTCCCCGTCATTGGCTGCTGGGACGGACGTCCATTCGGGTATTTTGAGATCTACTGGGTCAAGGAAGACCCGCTAGGTCGGTTGTTGGACCGAGTCGAGAACTACGACCGTGGTATTCACCTGCTTGTTGGAGAGCAGGAGTTCCGTGGATCTCATCGGGTGGCGATCTGGTTGAGTGCCTTGGTGCATCATTGCTTCTTGTCTGATATGCGGACGGAGACGGTATATCTGGAGCCGCGGGTGGACAATGTCAAGTAAGTGGCCACCCCCAATTTTGTTTTTTTTTTTTTTCTTCTTGCCGGTCCTGTGGGCACTGGGGGAATGACCTGCTTACACAAGAATGACTAGGATCATCAAATACCTCCAGGACGCAGGATTCTACAAGGAGGGAGAAGTCAACTTCCCGCACAAGCGATCCGCCGTGATGAAGATCAAGCGAGAGTTCTGGGAGGCTCCAGCTTTGTGAGAAGTTGAAAACAGTATCCGGTAGTAAATTTGCTGTCAGCGATAACGCTCAGTCATGGAATGGTATTAGCAGAGACTTCCGGAGAGGCAATGTTCATGAGAGCCATGTGAAACGATTGGACGCATTGCGATTTCCTATTCCTCGAGTCTTGATACGACGTTCAAATTCATTCGTTTCCCCGGCGTGGAAAATGGTCTAGATTTGCAATATTCCAGCAGAATTCTTCTTCGTCTTCCACTCGGGCGGGGATGCTTTATCTTTGGATGTCCCCGTGCAATCGAGTGAATCGTCACATAATCATACATTGACCTTTCTCTGTGTCTTTATGCGAGTTCTCTATCCCACGACCACTTTGCACCCGGACATGAATCATAGACATTACAAGATATACAATCTCCAACCCGGCTCCGACCCGAGGTCTCGCCCTTGTTTACTTTTCAACAAATCTCATACAAACCCGAGTTCAGTGCACCCCACGAGATACCCCTGATACATCATACAGCAGCACCCTTGCATTCTCCCTCTCCCCAACTCCAATCACCACCCTCTATAACTTCATCTGCAACAGATTGCCCACCATCTCCCTGGCCGTAATCCGGGTGGTCGCCCACAACGTCGGGAAATCCAACGTACTCGTAAAGGTATCCGCATACCCAAAGAACAACATGGGAGGGATCCAGCCACGCGCGTACTCGAGCGCGAAACACGAGCTGTCCATCTTATACTGCTTGACTTGGCCGCGGACCAGGTGGTGGACGGTACCGGCTGGGTAGCGCTCGGGAGCGAAGTCGCCGGGGGTGTAGGCCAGTTGTTCGCCCTGGAGGATGTTGAAGTAGTCGTCGGCGGTGTGGCGACCGGTGTGGCCTTCGGTGCCGATGGTGGTGCCGAAGATGATGAGGTATTCGGTGATGCCTGGGGTTGATTTGTGGGTGGTGAGTGGAATTGCCCGTCGTGGGAGGGGAAATAAGGGGGAAGGGAAGGGAATGGAAGAAGATGGGGAGCTCTTGCTCTGGTTGAGTCTTTCTTCATAGCAGGACAATAAACATCAAAGAGGTGTCTACTCACTAGCATGAATCACATACATGGCGCCCATGGCGCCACCGGCGTTGTTGAAAACCCATTCCTCCTCGGTACTCAGGTACTTCTCGCCGACCTTGTCCTGCAGCTCCGCAACGATAAAGTCGACAATGGAGCGCGTGTCCTCGCCATGAGCCTTGATGGCGCGTTGCGACAGATCGTGCAGATGCTCCGGATCAAAGATGTAGAATTGATGGAGACGCGCATCGAGGAAGCTGTACAGGGCCGAGAACAGGGCCAGAAAGACGGCCAGGAGGCTCAAATTGCGCAGCGAGAAGCATCGGCAGCCGCAGCCTGAAGCGGCTTTTTTGTTGGAGGATGATTTCGAGGGCATCGTGAGGGGGGAGATGGCCGATGGAGGAGGAGGAGTAGGGAAGAAGGAAAACTTACAGCTCGTGTACCGAAACAAAAAAAAAAAGTCCCATCTCAACCAGATCTTTTCTCGAGATCCATGAATTTCCCCCCTGGGACTCCACTCCCCGCATAAGCCGCCCAAACATCACCTCCAACTTGAATCGTGATTCGCGCAGCATCTAATTGTGGGGAATCCCCCTGCTTCCCGTCGCGATCACTTTGGATTGTTTGGACTCGCTCAACACGCCATCTCGGATCGACCGAGTCCGACCGACTTCAACAGCAGAGACTTATACGACTGCCTCGGCATTTGCACCTGTGCCATGGACTTCTTCAACGCAAAGCTACACTGTAGCTTTGTCCAAAGCTTTTGTCGAGGTCTTTGTGTTGGAGATGGTCGGCAGGTCTCTCTCTCTCTCTCTACCTACATGCGCACAATGTCTGTGCAGGAGGGAGTTGGACCAGGTGAGAGTCATCCAATGTACTTGCAGTCGAGGATTGACATGCATCAACTAGATTCAAGGTGAGTACGTAGACCTCGGTCACGAGACTGTCATTTGCTCGATAATGTGAAGGCTGGAGAATGATCAACCTTTGGAGTATATGCACCTATATACACACAACTCGTTTCTTAGGTATTCTACCCGACGCAAGTCAGCACCTTTGTACCCGCCTAATGCATCTGACCGCCTGCTCTGGACTGACGTCACATGAAAGTAGTCATGTTCCTGTCGCAACATTTCTACTTTAGCCTTAGTCCTCTATCAATAGTCAATCTCGCTTCTCTAGCTCTGCCTAACCCCGGTTTCCTCAACCATCCTATTCTCCCCCCTTCCCCCCCCCCAATTCAGCCAATATGCTATCCCTATCCCCATCAACAGTATCCTCCTCCTCCCTGGATACGAAGGACGCCGAGTCGGCGAAGACTATCGGTAGTCCCGAGTCACTCTCACCGGTCGAGGCAGCGAGGGACTGTAATTCGCACCTGCCATTCGAAATCCCGGGTGCTGTGGTGTTGTCTGCCCCCTCTATTTCTACACTTCGACAAACTGCGAACGACGTCTATCATCAAATTAACTCCGACGCGTCTTACTCGAACCAGTTTATTATCGTGTTAAACCTATCCTGACAAGTACAGGAGCTTATCGGTGGAGATCGAAATCCTCTTGAGGTTCCCTATAGATTAACTCTCGATACACAGCACCAGCAAGGGGTTATTCGAATAATACCCTCAAAAGCTCATGAGCGCGTAACACAGTCATTTTCAAATAAACTCGTGCTAAAATTATTCGAAATAGGAATTAATTCAGACGATTATACTATGAACTCGGCCGCCCGGTACTACGGAAATTCATGCGAGAAAGAAGCCGACGAGTCTCTCACTCCGTTAGGAAATCCTTCTGAAGGAAATCCTTCTGAAGATAACGACTGGCCTTCGCTCGTTATTGAAACTGGTCTTTCTGAATCAGAGGCACAACTACGAACTGATGCATACTGGTGGTTCTCAAATTCCGGCTACCAAGTCAATATGGTTATACTCTTTCATATCCAGAGATCCCCCGAGCGCAGAGTCACCTTAAAACTCTACCACCTCAGACCTACCAGAATCACACGTGGACTACAGGCAGAGATCGAGCACTCTCTGCTATTTAATCATACGACTCCTCAAACAGTCTCCTCAATAGCGCTACGACCTCACTTAGCAGCCAAAGAGATTATCATTACCTCAAGAAGTGTTGAGAATGCTCCACTAGAGCTAGAGTTCGAATCCGTCATGCGCCGCCCGCCCGCCCCAAACACGAACGAAAGAAATATTATATTCACTGCTGAGGATCTTGCTACGTGCTGCCGCTACGCCATTCATCCTTAGCTACGTACTGCCGCTACGCCATTCCAATAGCTTGAGCATGTGATATCTCAAGAAATGCTCCACTGAGGACCTTGTTATATGCTACCGCCCTATCTTTTACCGCCCTATCTTTCCGGAAGCCCAAGCATTATCACTTCATGTATTATTAGGAATTTGAATTCAAAGCTTGCTTTTTGACAGATATCCACGTGGTAGTTTATTTGATTAGGTTCAGGACTCCGTGGCAAAACACTGGCAAATCGACGGCCAAAAACAGTCTCACTTGCGGCCGTCTCTTACAGCTTACTTGTCGCCTGCTACTTTAATTGAGTAGTTAAACACTATACTTGAGCGTGTTGTACGCCAGTTAGGAAAAGCTTTAGAAGGACTCATAAGCTTTTATTCAAACTGTCTGCGTGGTTTCAAGGATCTCAAGAGCTGGAGGGGGAAAAGAGAAAGAAGAAGAAGAAGCTACAGTACATCCCAGGTTTTTGAGTGGTGCGCGTGGTTAACGGTATCTCCCCTCCGATACTGATTTCTTCTGCAGAAGAAACCCAAGTCCGTAGTCCTCTCATGTTCTCAACAGAGCGGTCAGATTTTTAGTGTGAAACGGTTGAAAATTTTCTAATTTGAATTGTGATAAGTGAGACAAAGATAAGTAGGTTAGGATTACACTCATCTGTGACGCCTGCAGGCTCACATCTTCTTGGGGTCCAAACTGAGAGATGGGATGTTTGGAGTGTTTGGGAGGATTGGCAGGTTTGCAGGCTGCTGGGTGAGAGATAACCCACGCCTGAGCGTTTCTTCCGTTCTCCTTTTTTCTCTTCCTTAGTTTTGGAATTCTTCGTTTCTCGCCAGCCCTCTTTCTCTCGTAGATTGGAGGATTGTGTCATCCGTGACATCATCTTACTCGGTTAAATATTTTGCCTCATTTAGTATGTTAGGTCAATTTCTAAGGGTGTAAAAAATAGAGTACCTTTATACTACTCACCTGTTACCTTCCTGGAAAGATGCTCGGTCAGCAACCTTAGCACCTCTCAAGTCTGCTCTGTAGCAACTCGTCCGTGGATCAGGGCGCGATGGTCAGTTCTCTCTTTCAAAAGCGAATGACAATGTGAATCTTGAGGTGAGTGGCCTTGTTGAGAAACAGAAGAGACCGCGTGAAAAAGTGATGCTCCTGGTCGTACAAGAGTCATAGAGGACCGCGACTCAGATGGAGACGGTGTTAAAAGACGAAGGACCGCGAACAAGTCAACGAAGTCCATAGTATTCAATGTCTTGATTTCATGCTCTATCACCGTCTAGAGGCGCTAGTCAGTAGAAGACTGCTGCTGCAGAGCTTGTAGCCGTGCTCTCCACACAGGCTGCTGTCCATAGAGGTTTTTTTCTCGATGAAGTCATGATTCGGCGGAGAAGAACTCGACTCATGCATGTTGTGAAGGACTCGACTCATGCATGTTGTGACGGTGTCGCCCGCGAATGACTGGATCGAGCCGCTTATACAAGGTTGTCGACAACCTCAACGTTCGTAGTGGGCGTTGCTTCCCGGATAGGCATTTTTCCGACCTGCACGGAGTCTGAATAGACTATGAGGTCTCATTGGCGAGGGTCTCGCAAGGCGACAGTCGACTTTCTTTGGGAAGGCAAACCTCTTGTCAAAAGAGGAGAAAGATAGACTGGCGAAATAGTAAGTAACTAAGTACTAAGCACTACGTAAAAGTGATATCCGAGGTGATCGATCATGGCGGACGAACTGAATCTCCACCAAGAGGTACGGTGGTGCAGTAGTACACCAAGAACTGGGGGTAGAGAAGCGAGCTCTCTATCCTCAGACTTTGTAGATGAGGCAGCTCATACATGGCATCAATCCTTTCTTTTCTGTAAGAATAGCTCCATTTATGCGTCATGTCAGTTGTGACTGCCTAACTACTACTGTCAGCAGTAGTTGATTATCTACCGTCACTATCTCCAGCTGGTAATCGAGATCCACTCCTCACTCGCCTTGGATCAAGGCCTTTGTTTCATCGTCTCCGTGTTTTCTCCGACGAAAACAAACTCACCCTTCGACGGAAGTTCTAATTTCCGCCCTGAGCCATCAATTGACACAAAGCTCCACCTTGAGAATTTCCCGATTCAGCCATCTCCGTCACCCCCATCGAGGACGGAGGCGTGAACGGCGGACAATTTAGTGGAGTCCAAGACGGGCTTTTTTTAGATTTGGCTTTGGCACCAACAAGGTTTCAAACTTTCGACACTTAGCTTGACGATTATCTTTTCCCTTTGTACTTGAGCGGGGACGTCTTGATGGATGTTGCCTGTTCGGTGGCCACTTAGCTGGTCTGCCTACCCACCTGTTATGCTATGCTTTGGCCTAGCACGGACTACTAGTCGTGGAACGTCTTAGTCAATTCGAACACGTTTCGCCCTATCATCTTCCATCTATAAACAGCGGGGGTAATAGAAACGGAGATTCTTCATCATGATCAACCACGAGGCTGCGAAGTGTCAAGCCTCTGTGGTGGGGAACAGCGACGATGCTGCAGCACTTGGTGAGTAGTATGAGTTGAATTCCTGAAGACGTTTGCCTCCACAGTGGAGCTTGAGCCCTGGAGCCTTTGAGCGTTGAGACAAGAAAGAAAGTGTGGTGCTAGTGACTGACTGCTGTTGGCTCATCTATACGAGATCATCTATTCCAAAGGATCCTTGCTCATAAGTTGATACCCGCACAAGGTCTACACTTTGGAAGCATTATCCACTTCGGTCATTGTTCCCAATAAACGACCAACCCCCGAGGGCAACCGACTAGGAGTGCCAGATGAACCGTACGCTACGTTCGTGAAGCGATATATAAGAATGAAGACCATCGCCCGTCATTCCAGACAGCCTGCTCTATAACTTCCATCGCTCAAGGTTCATCGTATCCAACTCGCTTGCCCACCACTGCCAATCCCTCCAGTCTACTCTCTGATCTTTGACAACTCCCCATCTCCCACCATGAAGACCTTCACTCCTTTGTCTCTCCTCACCGTGGCCCTGGCTGGTCTCGGTGACGCCGCTGCTGTTTCCACCAACACCTTGACCCGTCGCTCCGACTTTTGCGATCAATGGGGTTCCGTCACCAAGGGCAACTACATCGTCTACAACAACCTCTGGGGTCAGAGTGCCGATCCCTCGGGCCATCAGTGCACCGGCGTCGACTCCCTCAACGGCAACACCATCGCCTGGCACACCTCTTTCGGCTGGACCGGTGCCAAATACTCGGTCAAGAGCTTTGCCAACATTGCGCTCAAGTTTACCGCCAAAACTTTGAAGGATGTCAAGAGCATCAACTCGACCTGGAAATGGAGGTAAGCCTGGCATGTGATTCTCGCACGCATAAGATAATTGATCCTGACACGGTGTGCGCTCCGTGCACAGCTACTCCAACACCAACATCGTAGCCGACGTCTCGTACGACATGTTCCTCAAATCCAACCCCTCCGCCAGCTCCAGTGAATACGAGATCATGGTCTGGCTGGCGGCTCTGGACGGTGCCGGTCCCATCTCCTCCACGGGCGCCCCTATCGCCACCACCACCATCAACGGTGTCACGTGGAAACTGTACAAGGGTCCCAATGGCTCCATGACGGTGTACAGCTTCGTTGCCGAGTCCACTGTCACCGATTTCTCGGGGGATCTGAAAAAGTTCTTCACCTATCTGATTGATCAGCAGGGTCTGAACTCGAACCTGTATCTGGTTGATGTTCAGGCGGGGACTGAGCCATTTACCGGTAGTGCCAAGTTGACCACCACTGCTTACTCGGCTGTTGTCGCATAAGTGATGAACTAGTTGAGATCTGAGGCGGATAAGAGGGTCGAAATATCTTTTCCTTTCGGCCGCAGCTTGATCCGGTACATCTTTTGGAAGCCCCAGATAGTGGGAGAGTCTTGAAAAAATTCAAACCATTCTCAATCCATTTGAGCAGGTGATATCATATCGTTCGCAGCAGATATCGGAAAGAAAGCCTTCCACAGCTGTACATGCGGAGCAGGAACCACGCCCGTGGCCAGTCTGGACGTCAGACGTGCGAAGCATGTGCAGAATCTTCAACCCAAGACACATCGGATTTTGATTACACCTTTGAGTCCGAAAGATCAAGCACCATGTAGAAGGCTTGGGTGAGATGGTACTAGCAGTGTGCCAGTGTCTACGACAGTACAACAGTATGTAGTATGTACTATGTAGTAGTACCTGTACTGGTGGTGGCGTCGAATCCAAATGAAGTCGAGACTAGTCCTTTAATAGCCGCCTAGCCTAAGCTAGTAGGACTGTAGTGGCTTGGAGACCGGTAGAGAGGAAAAGACTACCTTATCACTGTAGACTGTGCAGTGTGTACGATGCAGTACCATGGAAGCTCCCATAAGTTATAACCGCCCAGCTTGAATGGTGGCATTGGTGAATCAGACGGCTCTTCACCACCTCCTGTCCCTGAAACACGGGCGCGTTTCAGATTTCAGGTACCTCCGCCGTTTCCGATTAGCGGCTTTTCAGCCTTAGGTTGGTCGGGCACTTGATGGAACTTGGAAGCTTGGAAGGTAAGGTAGGTGCCTGGTAGTAGGCTTACATAAGTGACATTGGCTCGCTGGACGTGATGTAAAATTGTTGACAAATTTCGCGCATTTCTAATGTCTGTGGTTGTCTCGCTAGACAGGTACCTATTGGAATGGTGTATGATTAGACCATCGCATCGTAGTTTTCGAATGCTCAAATTATATAATTAGCAGCTTCACGGCCACCTATAGATGCAGGCGGGATTCTTAGGGCGCGTGGAAACAGGCAGCGAGCGCCGGGCAGATCTTCCGTAGATATATTTATCACGTCGAGCCGCGAGTGTATGTATTTGGGGCTTGAACGAGCTCAGGCTCAGGATTACCACCTGATGGAGGTATCCACCTAGCATGGCAGATTACAGGGAACAGACTGTCTGTGAGGTGATTTAGATTGTCCTCCTCTAAGCGCTATGTTGGCGACAAGTAAAGGTAGCGGACGTCTGGAAGCTGAATTGGAGTAATTGAATCAAAAAGAATATGACCGGAGACGCCCGTCGGGTAAAGGTTCCCGACTGCTCAGGAAGTGAGCCGTGAAGTTCGAACAGGGGAATAATAGCGGGCGCTTAATGAGTGGGACCACTCGAGGTACATTCGCTAATACTTCAAGTGTGGTGTTGAGGAAGTCACTACTGCTGAAGCAAATCCAGCTCGCAAGAGCCTGAGGGGCGGCAGCAGCTTGGAACTGAACTATAGCACATAGTGGCCCTGACTTAGGCGCTTACTACTGTACGCCGACGGTTGACGTAGTTTCGGAGCCTAAACGGGAATAATGGAGGCACGTATCTTCCATCTCTGTTCTAGACTGTTTACTGTAACTTACTACTACTTAGTACTAACATGGGAACCAGTAGTACGAAAACCTCGATCCGAATGCCCAAAATAACTTCTACCGGGCGTGTAGATCTCTTCTTTGCTTTTTTTTTTGGCTTTTTTTATTTCTTTCTTCACTCGAAAATGCCGGCGTGGATGCAGGTCTTCAATCGGTCGGGACGGTCACTGCCTGCATCATTCTAGTGAAGAGTCTAGAAGGATGATGGTAGTGTCGTCCTGAGGATGCTTTCAACCACACGGGCGCTGGATGTCGGAAGATGTAGTTACGGGTTGCTAGAGCAAGTCTGTGCGATAGATGTGTTAGGTAGATACCTTAACAATTTGGATGGAATGACTATGGCAGGTACGAGCAGATTACGTTCAAGGATCATGAATTCTTCCCAGCTCCTGGATTTTCAAAGGACAGACCAGATATAGTCCTCGACTCCTCGTACGTTGAAGTCTGATACCCCTCTACGCCAGGAGTCCGGGAACACTCGAATGGCCCAGAATGATGCTACCGTGTTGCCAGGCTTTTCTCATATGAACAAGTCAACCCCATCCAAGGACTATCCTCACACCTAGAAAGGTGCACAACTGCACATCTATTCAAGCAGCCTTCCAAGGTCGCTAGGAGCTTTCTCCCCTTCCATGACCCTTCATGCTTGAATCCCTCTCCCCGCTCCGCCCGTCCCTCCCTCGTTTCTGATCTATCCAAACACTTACTCGATCGACTCCCCACCGCGCGACCATCGAAAATGACTCGGGCAAAGGACAGGTCAACCATGGGCCGTGACCGTGGCTCGGGCGTCTGACGGAGCATGCTTTGGTGCACCGTGATCCGGGATATGCGTGTGACAGGGGTCACTTGGCGTGGCGAGTTTGGAGATATGGACCTGTGAGGAGTCAGGACTGAGGACTCATTCGCCGTACTGCAGTACCTGCGGAGCTATCAGCCACCACTGCAGCTCATGCGACTGGCTAGCAATGGGCATTTGGGGTGAGTGGCGGGTTGACTGGTCGATTGGGTGGCTGTGCGTGAGTGGACCTGAGATGCTAGGGCAGTAGTAGACTAGCAGTCGTAGATCAGTAGCAGTGCAAACTGCAAAGAGTAGAAGCGCGATGACCCAGGTGATTCACTCGTATTCACTCCGAAAGACAAGCGAGTTATCGGTAGGCATCGTCAACTGTTTCCATTTCCCTGTGTAGAAACTGCACACTAGTAGACTGAAGACAGCTAGATATGACTGAGTCTGTGTGTATAATGGATTGCTCGGTGAGAAAAGAAAGAGGTAGCGTAGACTCTTACAGTAGCATAAGGACTTACCGAGGACCATCCGCGAGGAGGAGAGACCAGCTGAATGCTGTGTCACATTGGTCGCATGAACCTTGTCGTCTGAGTTACAGGAGAACACCATGACCACGAATCTCCGCAGCTGTCACGAGCAGAGGCGAGACAGAGTTAGGTTGTGAGAAGCAGAGTCCTACACTGAGACCAATACCGAACCGCCCTCACTTCCCTTTTGATCCAATCATGACTGTGCCAAGGGTCCCCTCCTTGAATAGTTCAGCTTGACCAGTCACTGTACATTCAGTTATTCACTGCGGTTAGTGTAAAGTCTAAGTGAATGGGAAGTGGAACGTACCATAGGTCTACTTCTGCTATCCTCCTCCCCCGCGTCTCAGATCAGAAGAATGTGAGACGGTCGCGAGTTTCATGCGCGTTTCCCCATTGCCAGGCACGCACGATGAGGATAGCGCGAGTCGCAAGAAGATTCAGTTGATCTTGCTTGCTCGCCATTATCTGTGCCTCTGTGCCTCTGTGCCTCTGTGCCTCTGTGCCTCTGTTTATCATCTCAAGGAGCAGGCTTCGAGAGAGGAGCGCCAGTCACTTCGCCAGCTGGGACACCACTAGAGCTACTTGGTAGGTACATTAGGTACTGGTAGATACCCGCGGGTGAATAGGTACCTCAGAGGTGCTACAATCAACAATGGGGAACACGTCCTTCTTCAGTACGCAATTCATGATCATCAGATCAACGAGTCGAGTTCTCCACTGCGGATATGAGGTGGGGATTCTCCTCGGAGCGCCGATCGATGATTTTCTCGAGCATGCACTTGGCCACCGAGAGGACTTGTGAGAGCACGGTGCACACTTGCACAGAGGACCAAGCACAGCGCATTTGACGGACCAGGATGAAGATTCAGGGCGAAATAAAGATTTTGGAAAAGATCCTTCACTTTTCCTATTTTCTGCACTGTGGATCATTGGGAACGAGTGAATGACGCCAGTCGAGTTGACGATCGAGTCCTGAGCTAGAAGTTAGTTGTAGTATGGTTTGTGAATGCTCATTTGGGCCGGCGGAAACGGCTACAAGCGCCGACTCAGATCTTATTTTAGATCCATCTTCACGCTTTGAATGGGTAATTTAAGTCGTATTCATGAAGATCACTGTGGTGGAATGAGAAAATAGACAGTGAGACACTCTTTTCTCATAAGTGTCTTTGGTTCATTTGCCGTATACAGCTCATTTGCGCTCGAGGGAGAAACAGGGAAACGCAACATTATTATTGGGACACAGTCAACCCGATCATTAAACTCCTGTAAGTCCTGACACGCGATTGAAAACCTGCGGGCCGCGGATGCAATATTGCAAGAGGTGCATGAATCAAGGGATAGTATTAGTACCAAGTTTGGAAGGTCTCGCAGTACTGTCAGTGTCCAGTAGTAGTAGTAGTAGTAGTAGTAGTAGTAGTAGTAGTAGTAGTAGTAGTAGTAAGCCACCAGGACCTGTGTTTAGCAGGTGGACAACGTCAAGTACTCAAGACTCTCATTTAGTGGGCTACAGGGCTGTGCCTTGCAGTACCTGCTACCTGGTTCCCTAGGAGTTCCCTAGGAGTTCCCATCCTCTCTGCACTCCTGACCTGGAATGAGTCCCAAAGTAGTACTGTACTACTAGAAACTCATACTCTCCCGAATGATTCCCCGGAAGGGAGATTTTAGCTTTTGTCGTGATTCACATGGCCGGGCCAGGCGACATGGCATTCTCGACCATTTGGCGAATGGTCGCTCATCCATCGAATGAAGTGCAGGTGGGCTGGTCGAGTCATTTGGATCGCTCACTGCTACTAGCCTCCTGCTAGTACCTTACTACTTACAGGCCATGATCAACTTACGGGACTCCATAGGGCTTACAAGAATTCCAAAACCTTCAACTCGGTTGTACAAATCATAATCGACTACTCCAGTATATACCGACGACGTCCGCCCAACCTCCACTAATCATCAGGCATGGCGTCAGAAAGGTTGGGGGGTTCGCCTCCATGCAGTCATACATCGAATCATGCGTCTCGCTCCAGAAAGAGGCCGGACAGCGTCAAGATGTCCGACAACGAGTGTAGCATTCGTCGCGATCCAGAGTCCATGCATTGGATAGCATCCACGCTTGCCAAGCATGTGGGTTTGGTTCCTTTTTCACCCACTCAGTAACGAGCGACGGACGAGCTCTCCAGACATTCCAACGCGCGCCGCCAACGGTCAGTGAGCAAATCAGGGTCATGGCAACCCTGTCTGGTGGTTAACCCTGACAGCGCGCCCCCCAGCTCCGCCGCTCGTCTCAGGTTTTTCGCGCGCGTACCAAAAAGACGAGTAGAAAGCTATGGAGCAATACTGCAGTATTATGTAGTACTAGACTACTACTGCCTAAATGGAAATTTCAGTAAAATCCCCCCCCCCCCAAAAATCACCAAAAAGAAAAAGAAAAGGAACATCTTCGAGTATCTCAGATCCTCCTATGCAGGGCCATCTGCGCTTGTCTGTGACCTCTTTTCGCGCCCCTTCATAATACCTCACTAGCTACTCGTATCCTTCTCCCCTCTAGCCACATACTTTCTCGATAGTTCCCAACCATCTCTCTCTTTCTCTCGGTCCCTGTCGCCCTCTGACGCCCCTCCATACTATCCTGTCCACTCCTTCAACCTTGCAGCAGTCATCCCCAAATTATCCGAGTAATTGCGCCCTTTACCAGCCGCCCGGCGCATAGCATACCGGCGACCAACCTGCACCAACGGGTCATTATATCTACTGGGAGCATTTCCCCCTCCATCTGATTTGGGCCACTTGGATTCTTCACGGGACTCATCCACATGCTCAACATCGTCACCTTCCACTCTCTCTTTTGTCAATCAATTAAGAACGGTCCACCGGATGAAACCCACTGCCCCTCTCCATTCTAATTCCACTGCTTCATAAGATCGTCTCGTTCCCTCCTCCCCGGATCAAAGCCTCCGGCCGCTCTCTTTCTGTCTCTGTCTCTCACTGTTGCCGTGACAAGGACACATCCATCTACCGGGCGTCGATTTGTCTCTCCGCAAAAGAAAAAGGATCTTCGGTTCCAAGGCAGAAAGGACCGACGACATCGCTACTCCACCATTCACTCCAACTTGACACACACCCCTCCCATTCAATAGTCCAGTGTTCATAGACATTGTTCGATCTATTGCCTCCGGCTCACTCGACTGTCTCACGGATTAAATTCTCCGGGTCGGCAGGTCTCAGGCACGCTGCACTCCTCCCCAGTTAGGGCTATCGGGCATCGATAAGAAAGGGTTGACACGACAACCTCAGCTATCCTTACCGCACATTCCTTCCACCGTCGGGTACTACTTGACGACCACATCCTGCTGGCCAGGACATTCCAAGAGCATTGTCATTTCTCAGCCTGTCTTGTTGAACTTTGTTGGAGACGTGTGTGGTCTTCAGTCCCTTCATCTGCTTCGATCACTATCTTTCTTGTTTCGTTAAATCTGCTTTGGTGCCTCTTCTATTGCATTGTTCCATTCATCCTCATCGCCGAGAAACCCATCCCAAGGTCTGCCAAGACCAGGTATACAAACATCTCGATAACAAAGCCTTTGTCCCCACTCGTTGATCCCAAGTATCAACATTCAACGCATTGTCCACTTTCAGGCTCCTGGTGCACTCGGATTATACATAATAGAGGTGTCACAACCACGACTTCTCTCACTCTCTTCTCATTCGCCTCTGCATCCTTCACCTCATTGAGCCTCCACATCGACCATGAATTTCAATAGTGCAATGCCTACCCCATTGGCCTTCACCAAGGCCGCCCTGGATGAGTTCGTCACCCATCGGGTCTCTCGAGAGATGGTCACCTACCTGGCCCAGCAAGCATCGCAGGTCATCCGATGCGAAGCTCACGTCAACAACACACTTAGTCAACACGGCCAACCTACGCCGCCATCGACCCCTCCCATGGACACGGCCGACTCTTTGCCGCCGCTGCCATCGATTGAAGCCTTTATTGCCTCGCTTGTTGCTCGTTCACAAGTGCAAGTGCCGACCCTCATGAGTTCCTTGGTGTACCTCGGCCGCCTTCGTGCGCGTCTGCCTCCGGTGGCCAAGGGCATGCGATGCACTGTCCATCGCATCTTCCTGGCGTCGCTCATCCTGGCCTCCAAGAACCTCAACGACTCTAGCCCCAAGAACAAGCACTGGGCTCGGTACACCGCCGTCAAGGGGTTTGGTGGATTTGGCTTTTCCCTTCCCGAAGTCAACCTGATGGAGCGCCAACTGCTCTTCCTCTTGGACTGGGAGACTCGTGTCACCGAACAGGACCTCTTCACCTTCCTGGAGCCCTTCTTGGCGCCCATTCGCCACCGTCTCGAGCAGGAATATGAGCAAGAGAGAAAGGCTGAAGAAGAGCTTCAATGGCGACAACACCAGCGGTATGTGATCACTTACTCCCTGGGCATGACTTCCGTCCAATACTGACTCCTCGAATAGTCGCCGGATGGTGAACCCCGCCGAGCTTCTGGTAGGCCGCGTGCGACGCCATAAGATGGAGGCCCGTGTGGATCCTCGTCGCAACGCTGAAAGCATGGGAATGCGCCGCCTCCCTAGTCACATGTCCTGCCCGTCCATGCTCAGCACACAGCATTCGTCCCACTCGGTCGCTGACCTGGAGCGATACGTTCCTTACACTCGACACCGTCTGTCGCCCAGTCGATCCGGTCGATCGATCTCGCCTCCCTCCGTTCGAGATGTGCCGGGCCTTTCTCACGCCGAGACCCTCAACTCCATCAGCTCTCGGTCTTCCAGCATCGCTCCCAGCTCCCGTGGCACCCCCACTAGTGTCAGCACCTGCTCCTCCCAGGGCAATGACGACTTGATTGTGGTCAACGACACCTATCGGAGCCCATCCGCTTCCTCACTGACGTACAGCTTCGTGAACGTCGAGTCCAAGCCCTACGTGCCCACTCGCCAGGCCAGCAAGAAATTGAAGGTCTCCAGCCACGGCCACGGTGGGGGATTTGTCGCACGCTTCCTTGCCTCTGCAACAGGCTCCTACATGGGAAGTCGCATTGGACGGCCCCATGCGTGATTGAGCTGGTCTCGACTCACTTCTGGCTCCTCGCTTTACCTTGCTACTAATCTAATCGTCCAATTCTATCCTCCTTTTGCGCCACGTTGATCTTTCTCATCACAAGTGATCTTCCCATGATCATGGGCTTTCAAGCCTCTTCTTTTCTATTTCCTTTGTCTCTTCAACATATACCTACAATCGTTTTTTCTATTGTTCCTTGCCAACAAAAGAGCATCTCTTCCAAACTTTTCGCTTGTGACATGTCCTCTCCATATGATACACACCTCTTGAACTTGTATCGCCCATGACCTATTTTTTTTTCTGATTCCTCTCTATTTGGGGTCTCTGGCGATTTCTCTTTTTTGCATCTTCTCCACGGCTGGAGTCATCATTGAACTTCCTACTCTCTTTAACTTGCATTTGGCCTCTGTCCCCCTGAGATAGAGAACCATCCGCATCGGTGTTTCTAATTACGACCAAATGTTCTTCTCTGGTCCATCGTTGGGGGGTTGGTCTGGAGTCCTATTGCTCTTTTCTCTGCATCCGAGGCCGACGGCGCATATCGGGGTGATCATGTGGGATCTATAGACGGATGCACCTGGTTCTTTTTGTGAATGTACTTGTTCATTATGGATGCACAATTTACCGGTCGCGAAATGCTCATCGTTTCAAACAAAATTACATTTAATGACCTGACTCTTGACCCGACCTCAATGATGTGGAATTCTAGTTGTGGGTCTCCTCCGCTATACTGAGCTTCCAGCCTTCTCTATCGAGTTGTACATCACTTTCCCTGCTTATGGTGTCCACTGTCTACGAGCCCAAATCGAGGGACCCCTGAACTTGATCTTCCAACTATTGATTCCCACACCACCCGTCCCTTGCATGGAAATGCAATCTCCTGCACAACGGCCCGCTACTGCATGCTCGTGGAAAACACTGCCCCGGTGGGAAGTAATCAAAGTACAGTACTACGAGCCTACGAGGCCCCCGAGACACGGAAGGGGCGAGAGAGAAAGAGAGAGAGAGAGAGAGAGAGAGAGAGAGAGAGAGAGAGAGTATGCTCATGAGACATGATTAGTCTCCCACGCAGGGTCAAATAGACAATTTGACACTTTCCTTGCAACTATCCCCCATGTGGATATCATGGTCGTTGGTCTGGGCGCAGGTATTTGTGATACGGGTTCAGCGTCCTAGGAGGTTATGTCTCGCTTTTGAGTCCTGTGTCCGTCATGGCTGACCGCGGATGTGCGGTCTATTAGTATTGAATTGGAAACAGGCTGAGGTCGTTGAGAGCGAGTCGCTTCGTCACGTTGCGGGTAGCACTGGTCTCCCGAAGGAATTGTTCTCTGGTAATCAAGCTAGTGTTGACGGATAGAATGAATATCAGCCCATTTGTTGTGGGCTGCGTCAGCAAGTGGGTGTTCTTCCAGAGTTGTAATAGAGGAGTTGGTATGACAGGCTTCAGCTCTGTAGGCGTAGCACCAGCACTAACAATCAATCGTGAATGGACTGTCCCGGATGCTTCCACATTGCTGATGCGAGCTAGGCCTGATCAAGGCTAGTTCTAAGAGAGGCCCCTTAGGCCCCTTTGGGGTTGGCCAGTTGGCCAGCATTTTCCCCTTTTTCCCCGGCCCCGCCGGTGGTGCCCGTAGTGGAGACGATTGCCGATGAACCGACACTGGCCACTTGACTTTATCGGGAAGAAGCTTCTTGTTGATGTTGAAAATGGGGAGAGTAGTACTTGATGGGGAGAGCTGAGACGGTTTGGTTTTTCTTGTTGCTTGACAAACAGTTGTCTCCAATGATCTCTACCGCGGTTCTTTATCTAAAGACTTCTTGGAACCCCCCCCCCCCCCCCCCCCCCAGTCAAAGAACGGTTTGATGAATGGGCTTTTTCCTGCCTGACACAATGCTGGATAGATGGAGAGAGAACATTGTCCACTTAGTACTGTATACAGTAGTGCATGGCCCAGTAAGGTACACTTGACTTGACAACATAGTGGATTGTCAGCGTCTTATCACGAGTCAATGGCTTTCTTCCAGGTTTGCCCGTCGTTCCTGTTGATTCTCGTAGCTATCCATACCCTGCGCATTCTCTGCAAAAACTCCATTCAGAGACTTTGGACCAGAACATTTCTTACTCTTCCCGTCATTGTCTTTAGCAAATCTCGCGATTCTTACGGAGAATGAGATCCGTAAAGTGTTTATGTTGAAGCCATACGACAAAGAAGACCATAAGAATGATCCGAAAAAAGCACGGATCCGGCGACGTCTGCATTGACCTTGATACCGGAGCCAGTGTTTGATTCCTCTGATCCACGGAGACTCATACATCCAGTTAATGAGCCATGAATATCTCACGATACATACCCTGCACCTCATTAGGAATAGAGAGGGAAGAACGAGAGCCCAGAACCCCTTGGTTCAATTCCATAAAGACATCGTAGAGTCGCAAGCCACTAGGACAGATTTCATGCGAGTTTCCAATCAAGATCATCGCGTACTCGATTTCCGCCTGCGAGATGTAAACAAAGAGAGTATGTCCGGATACAGCGCACCGATGTGTCTTTACGCCCCTGTAAGTCAAAAAGAACAAAATGTTCAACCACCGGTGGCCGAGAATGGGAAAAGTCGCCGGTGAAGTATGCTTCTCTGCTTATGGATAGTAATCTAGTGTGTAATGTGTATGGACATCGATTTTTTTTCGTTCTCTGTGGGAGTTGAATTCTGCCTCATGGAAGTATTGCAATCGGACCACAGTACTTGGATCACAGGGCTGATCGAGTCATTTCAGGACTGAGACCCATGAACAACTTGTCATTTCGGCTTGTCCACCCCCGGGTTATCGAAACGCGATCCTTCAACCCAGAACAAAACCTTTACTTTTCCGCCTTGCTAGTCAGCGCATCTCCTGTCAGTCGACGTCAAGATTTCAATATTAGAGTGATAGAGACAGCTCTGTGATATCCAGAGAGAATCTCCTCAAGCTTGTCGATGGTGATGTCTTCGAGAGTGAGTGGAGTAATAACCAGACTACAAGACACAAGTACATACACTCGCATCTTCCCCAATCGGGTCTTTTCAACGCCGCAATTCCGCACGTGCACGGACCATGCGGGGAACGAAATTCTTCCTCTTTTTCGCCCCTCACCCAGTCTCTACATTCTTGATTTCTTGAATGTTAGGAAGGGTGTGTCCCATATTCTTTGTAATAAATCACCACCCCAACACTCACTTCTGATCTACACACCATGGCTCCCACGGCCTGTTTCAACTGCAAAGAGGCACGGGCAGTCATCATCCGACCCAAGAACAGACACAAGCTCTGCCGAGCCTGCTTCCTCCAGGTCTTCGAGACTGAAGTCCACGAGACCATCATCGGCACAAATCTGTTTTACCCAGGCGAACGTGTTGCTATCGGTGCCAGTGGTGGCAAGGATTCTACTGTGCTGGCGGCGGTTCTGAAGACTCTCAATGAACGATACAACTACGGACTCGATCTATGTCTGCTTTCCATCGACGAAGGAATTCGAGGCTATCGGGATGATAGCCTGGAAACTGTGAAGCGCAATGCAGTGCAGTACGACATGCCGCTTGAGATTCTGGGGTACGGCGAGCTTTATGGATGGACGATGGATCAAGTGGTGGCACAAATCGGCAAGAAGGGCAACTGTACCTACTGCGGGGTGTTTCGTCGACAGGCGCTTGATCGTGGCGCCGCAAAACTGGGCATCAAGCATGTTGTGACCGGTCATAACGCGGACGATGTGGCAGAGACGGTCATGATGAATCTTCTGCGCGCCGATTTGCCTCGTTTGTCGCGTGGCACGAGTATTGTCACGGCGTCTGGCGCCTCGGACATCAAGCGCAGCAAGCCGCTCAAGTATGCCTATGAGAAGGAGATTGTGCTCTACGCGCACCACCGCCAACTCGACTACTTTTCGACAGAGTGCATCTATTCTCCCGAGGCGTTCCGCGGAAGCGCGAGAACTCTCATCAAGGACCTGGAGAAGATCCGGCCCAGTTCGATTCTGGATATCGTCAAGAGTGGCGAGGACATGGCTGCACTGGTTCCATCCGACGGTTCTCAGCACAGCACGCAGTGCTCGTCGGCTGCAGCCGCGGCAGAAGATGATGTCGGCGGATGTGGCAGTCAGAATGGACGAACCAGCGGCGGCGAAATGGCGGCCATGGAGAAAGAACTGGCGCAGAACGAGTCTGCCGAGTCCCGCGAGACCGAGATTCGTCTCCCCAACAGGGGCCAGTCATCGCTCGGCTATCAATCAAAGTCTGTCAAGAAGCAGACGTTGGGCCATTGCGAACGCTGCGGATACATTTCCAGTCAGCGCATTTGCAAAGCCTGCACACTCCTCGACGGATTGAACCGAAACCGTCCCAAGACTGCAATCGAAGTCAGCGTCAGTGCCGAGGATGAGGAGACCAGTTCGACGCTCATGAGACAAATGGAGCGAACGCAGCTCACGAATAGCTGAGTGACCTCTACCGCACTCTCTGGTTCAGGGCCTCTGGTTCTTGAAACACGCAGGTAGGTAATTGCCTTCCTGAAGCCGGGTCTTCCAATTCACCTCGCTTGCGCTGGTGGGGGGTTTTTCTCGCAGGCTGCCCAGCAATCGCGCTACTCGGCTTCGATCTCGCCTTGCTCGGTCTCAGCAGTGCATGTCCCAAGCGACAAAAAAACGTCCGGGACGATGATACCGAGCCGATCCGCTTATAGGAAGCAAAGTGTCATTGAGATCATGACTTCGACTTCCATAAGCGACGCGCACGCGCAGCTCCCGCAGGAGTGCACGAGAGACTGTTTGGACCCGCAAAAAGGCGCACTCGCCTCCCTTCCATCACCTATAGACCGATTGAGTATAACTCGGTCATTATAGAATGCAGAAAGTGAAAGATGGAAATCCAAAGAGTATCTTCCCTATCTCGTTTTCGTGGAAATTCACGTAGAATACAAAAACAGACATATCCGACGTATTATCAACCTTCTCGTCGAATCTAAAAGTACAATGGGAAACCTTCCCAACGATCGCCGAAGCTGAAAAGTAGACAACGCTCACATATAACCTCCTTCCCAGCCCATCGGCAGCCATCATCCATGACTTGCAAAACAAGGCAATACACAAGGTCAAACACTCCCACCGGATGATCTTCTCACTCATTCATTCGTCCCCGCCCCCCCCCCCCCCCCCAAAGCCTCCCCTTCGGCTCTTACTCCTTCGCATTCGCACTCGGATCGTGCAACTCAGGCAGATCAAATCCAACCCTCCTAGCAGTCAACCGGATCCGCTCTTCCTCCTCCAGATTCATGCCGGGATTATACCGCTCCAACAGCTCGACGTACATCCGTTGCGCCTTGGCGTAGCGCGCAAACTGCTCCGCCTCTTGGAAGCGCAGGGCCCGCTCGTCAGCCGACAAAGGTGTGGAGAAGGGCTGCGCGGGCATGGAGCCGGCGATGGACGAAGACGACGGCGATGTATGCGAGGGAGTGGGCGCCGCCAAGGTCGATGGTGTTTGGGGTTCGGAGCGGAAGAGAGTTCGTAGGCGGTGGTGGAGAGGTGATGGGGTGGAGAGGGTTGGGCGGGGGGATTTCGCGGAGGAGAGCGCGGTAGAGGGTGCGCGCTTGGCTGGTTGGTTGGGTCATTGTGTTTTGGTTTGCCCCTTTATTTTTGAAAGCTTTTTGTGCTTGGTGAGGGTTTTGTGTGGTTGATGGTTTTGGTTGGTTTGGGCGTGAGGTTGGAAAAGGTTGAGAGTTAGGTTGTGGGTTCAGGTAGTTAGTTATGTGCTTCCGGGCTTTCAATTGGGATGTATGAGGATTTGTTTTTTTGGGGAGGTGGATTTGCGGCTTGATGGATGCTTATCGTTATCGGAATATTTCACGTGATTGTCTCCTGAGGCTGCGTCTGGGAGCCCAGTCGTAGGGTATCTGAAGTCGACTTTTTCCAAAATGAATTGTGGAATTGCCCACTGAAGTAAAGAAACAAGCTCAAATTTGCGACGTGCTGTGAAAATCGTTCGACATGTTATTCCAGGTAATTGCTATAAAGGCATAAGTTGTCATTTTCATGGCCTCTGGTCTATGGTAATTACTCATCCACGGCCGAGGTCCACAGCTTCACTCATCAGTGTTGCTCACAAGGGCGGACAAAACTATATACATCAAGAATCACATCATCGTTCCGTGTCAACGCCGCATGTCCAAGTGTAGTATATGTCATGTTTCAAGAAGCGCATGTGTAGACAACACGCGTATGCAATGGATGAAAAGGAATCAGAGACTCAAAATAAAACAACGAAAAAACAAAACACAAGACTCGTGAAGCCAGTGCTTGGGTCATGGGAGCGTGGCAACGTGAAAAGCAACAGGGGGTATGAAGAACGACAGGCTAATGGTGAATCGAGAATCGATCCGATACAATTAAGAGATGAGAATAATTTTCTTAGGCGCGCAGCCATGCAAATTTCTTGCGACTGGCCTCGCCGCCAGAAGATGGCTCCAGGTACAAGCTGCGAGCATATAGATCCTGTTTGCAAACATTTTTGAGATTAGATTTCAGACACAAAATCATCGATGGACACAGGCTTGGCTCTGACGTATCACTTACCTCCTCATCGCCTGACAGTTTGCAGTCGAGCACCAGTCGTTCAATGTCATCGTATCTCTGAGCTTGCGGGTGAGGGCACTTTTGGCTTCGCTGGATGCCAATCACCACTTCGCCCATGACCTCGAACTTCTTCCAGTTGATTCGAGATTTATTTTCGCCAATAAAGGTCTTGTTGCCTTCCTCTGCCGACACCAAGTCTCGACGGTGCAGAGGAAGGAACGGTATACGTTCGGAGAATGAATTCTCCCACGCCAATCGATAGGCGGAATGACTTCGAGACGTACTCATGAGAATGACTAGTCGCATAAACTCCTTTTGAGAGGCCACCGGGATCAATTCTCTTGTTTGCGTTAGACGGTGAACAGGGGTGCCATTGATAGCCGCAATGACTGCGCCAAGGGCGTTGTAATTATTTTGACGACGCAATTTCTGTTTGGTAGAAGATCCGTTAGCCATGGAGGAATCGCGTTATCAATCTCCTAGGGTTGCACCGAGTATTCACGTACCACTGCAATGCTCATGAACTTCTCGAGGCACCTGGCCCGGTGCTTGGGTTTGTCGCGGAGCAGGATCATGCTGGCTACAAAAAAGGCCACATGATTGAATTGCTTGATCATGCGATTCACATTGTGCAGACTCTTGATCTTGTCCTTGTCAACTCCAGAGATGCTGACATGTCGCACTAAATCACGGGGTCGGAAAGAATTATACATGATCCAATCCATGCGCGTCAACTCACGAGCAAACTCCTCGTCGGATGTGTCCATGAAATACCGCCATTGGATCTTACTGAGTGAAGTGCGACCGGTCAATTCTAGCCGAAGGGCCTCCTTTTGAGCGGCCTCGACGGTCAACAGGGTGAATGATTGATTCATCGTGCTCGACGGTTTGTCAGTGGTGGAGGAAATTGATAACGTGCCGGAGAATCGTGATGTCGAGTCGTGTGGACCTTCGCTGAGGTCCAACGCATGCATCGTACTGTAGATGGGATCTTCCTCCACATCATTGTCTTCCTCGTCATCATAGGTTTCGGTTGTAAAAGGCAGCGGCGAACTTCGGCCCGAGTGGTCCAAAAAGGTCTCTGTGGGTGCGGTCTCCGAGACGTCACCATCACTGAAGGCCCAACCCACATCGTCGTCCTCGGCGTGAATGTCGAGACATGATCCAATCTCTTTGGCCGCGAACATGTAGAAATGGCTCTTCTCCAGCGTGGACACAAAGCCACTGATCCGCTTTTTGGTCTTAGGATGCGCAAAATCTCCGGGGTATTCTGACGCCCACGAGGCGACCACGTTCAAAAGACGCTGTTGGTCCGCCATCCGAGCCAGTTGGTCTACATTTTTCGATTCATTTTTCTCAAAGCGCTCAATCAGGGCGTTGAGCAAGGTTGCCGGGGCCGCAAATTTGCGATAGAGACACAAGAATATGGCGCTGAACTTTGAGTCCTGCTTGGACATGGGCAGTGCCACCAAGCGATCGACCAGGTCGTCAAATGTCACTCCCATTTCGACGCTAGAGTTGCTTTCGCTGGAGGGCTTCGGGCGCAAAATGGCACTGGGGCTGGCGGGCGGTGCCCCGCCATCCGTTTCGTCCTCCATGTTCAGGAAAGTGCTATAGGCGTCTGAGCTTCCGCTGTTTCGCCAAGCGGGCTGCAGTCGCCGATGAAGGTGATCGCGGGTGGGAGAGATTTCTCCTTGAGCGGATGGTCGGCGGGGGTTCAGCCGCGCGCCGGTTGGCGGAGTGTGCGGTCGGACTGGGTGAGAATTGCTCCTGGCATTTCGAGATGCACCAGGAGCATGCTGTTGCGCCAGATCGGACAGGTGGATCTTGTCGGTGGGCAGACGGTGCACGCCGTTGCCATCGACCACTCGATCCGACACCGATACAGCTGAGCCGCCCGCGGCCGAAGACAGAACGGCGCTGGAGGTCTCTGAGCTGGCGCGGTTATGGCGAGGATCAGGAGGATGAGGTCCGGGCGGGAACGATTTGGTGGTGGTGGTGGTGGTGGTGGTTTTTAGCGGGGGAGGGGGTTGTGGACTCTGAGCTGACGGAGGCAGAGCAGGACGAGAGGTATGCTCCGGAGTGGTTGAATCTGTTGATTGCACACAAGGGCCACACGGTCAGTTGTCACCACAGCACACGGAAAGAAAGGCGCGGGACGATATGAGCAAGGTTCTGTCTGTTTTCCTGGGCTCTTGCTCCTCCTGGGTACAATCGAGTCCCCTTAGGAAATAGTGTCCATTGGCAAAAGAAAAGACAGGTCGACCAGGGTCCCTGACAGAAATCACCTGTCTCAAGAGTCTCGCAGACGGAAGGGTACGAGTAGCACGTAGCGAATGCCAGTCCCGCGACCCACTTAGCCCCAGCCAAAAAAGTCAGGGCCAATGCGAAGCCCGTCGACCAATTCGCCGGAGTTCAACCATGGCTAGAACAACAATGATGAAAAAGGGGCCCGGAACGTGAGAAAGAATGGGAATTGAAAGAAAAATGGGATGTATGGGTTGAGGAGAAAAGAGAAAAAAAAAAAAACTGAGAAACAGACGCATGGTGGCGGAGGCCATTAGATGGCTCAATCGTAGGCCTCAAAATGAAGAACTCACCGGTTCGATTTCTGATGATAGGCCGCAACACCAGAGCGATACACATCTGCTGGGAGCGCGGCGAGCTGGGCGAGGTTCGATAAATATGGTGCCGCCCGTGAAGTACATATGGAACGCCATCTTCGGACTCGGGGAGCTGGTCGCATTTGCAGGCGACCAGCACACATGGGACGGTAGTATCATCGAGAGCATCTGAAAGTCATCCGAGGTGAGCATGCGATCCGCCCAATCCCCGAAAGACGAGGCAATCGCGATCTACCAGGGCCGCTGCCTGGGGGGATCTGAGGCCGTGGTGATGACCCGCCGCGAACTTCATGGAATTTGGCCAGGTCGTGCGCAATGAACATACCTGCAAGTTCAAAGGTTCTCTCCAGCTTCTCCGGATGGGTCGCGTCGTGTAAAAGCAGAACGCCGTCAATGCGCGGTGCAGGTGCATGTGCGGTCGAACCGGGCCACACGATATTCAAGTCCTGATCGAAGGTGACCCGTTGAAGATCGATCTCCAGTAGGCGCACAATGTAAACCGATCCATCTAGAGACATCTTCTTCTTGGTCATGAGCGGCGAGGGAGTTCCCTTCAGGTCCAATGCCGACCTGATGAAGCTCGTCTTGCCGGCGTCATCTTCCCCCACGATTGCTATCGTCACTTCGGGGAGAGTGGATTTGAAAGGTTCCTGGGTTTCGAACGAGTTTCCGTCAGCCCCGTCTGGACCAGGTTCCCTCGAGAATTGCTCATTTCAACGGCCGGAGGTCAGTCGTTCGTTTGTGGACCACATACCTCATCGTTGCGATCTGCCGATGACATTGCGTTGGGTGTATCCTGCCCCGCTCTCTCGTCTTCTTCCAACACGGCGTGCACCGGCTTGTTCTTAGTGGCGGATCTCGGCCGTCGTCCGGTCTCCAGTCGATACAATTCGTCTTCGGGGGCCGATGAAGTGCGACTCCCCATTCCAGGGCGTTGAAGAAGCCCCGCGGGCATAGCCTGGGCTCTGTCGCTCGATGCCCGCGCCCGGCGAATATGTTGAGCGCTCATGGCCAGGAGCAGGACCCGTCGCGGACGCGGAGCACGTCACCCAAGTCAACAGCGGGGATGAGGATCTCAGACGAGCGAAGAAGGAGGCCCTGGGCCGTATTTCGTTTATTGCGTGGACTCGAAGGGTTCGCACCGTGTATCCATCGTCGGCACTTAAGGGGGGGGGGGGGGGTTGGTTCCAGGATAAGCGGTTTCCCAAGGGCTGAGGGGAGGACGATTCGGATGGATGGACGAGCGCCTCGTACAGGGCCAACCAAGAGTCCAATTGACCTGTGAAACCCGTGAAGATCTGAGATATCAGATGCCGTACGATCCCGTGAGGTGCTTGTAAAGATTGCGAATCTAGAATTGGTGATTGTGACCCAACCAGGCAGGGGACAATTGATTGAATGTTCGGAAGTGACGGCGGCTGCAGTCCCAACCGTGGAACCGGTCAAGGCGAAGAAGGGGACCAGACTTGCAGTTCTCTACTGAATTGAAAAGGAGGGAGAGTAGTGAGTGTTGAGAAGTGGTCGAAGCCTAGAGTAGGAGTAGCACCCTGAGGACTACTAATTGCGATCTAGTAGTGTGGTACAGACAAGTCCGACTACACCAGGAAATCTGTCCATTATTGATCATTTTCTGTGACAGCATCGGGGCGGTTCCACTCGACACCAAAAAAAAGAGGCTAAAGTAAAAGCCCCAAAAGCTACTCTCTCTCTCTCTCTCTCTCTCTCTCTCTCTCTCTCTCTCTCTCTCTCTCTCTCTTCCAGACTATCTCTTTCTCGATTCAGTTCACGCCCGAGGGTCCACTCCCAGTTACAATTTCCTCTGCAACTGAGCACAACAATGGACATCACGCGCGTCCAGTATGAGCTCTCCCCTGGCAGCATCCCATGGAGCAATGGGCAAGACACCAAGTGCCGGGCACTGAGTCTGACTGACCTCACAACTGTAGTAGTAGAACTAGACTGAATAGACTTACTAGACGAGTAGGAGGCCGAATATCTCAGTCTAGCTTGCAGGTGGGCGTACTGTAAAAGGCATTGAGGGTCCGGACTCCGCGTCTCATCCACTTGAGACTCGGAGAGACCCATCATGATCTTCCGTATCCCTCTGTCTGCCACTCTGGACTTGCCATTCGTGGAGCACCTGTTGATTGTCCACGCTCAAGCTGAATCTCTCAACCCATCAGACCTGGTGGTGGATCCGGCAGCAGCAACTGTTCCCGCCCCGTTGATTCACGCTGTGACGCTTACGACTAGTTTCCTGCAAACCACTTTACAGGTGTCCGCTACACAAGCAAGTCTAGTTCTACTAACAGAGTAACTACCTAGACATGAGCCGATGTGGTACAGTCTGGCTCCAATAGTACCTCGGAATCCAGAGGTAGGCCATTCACTGACTCGGTGCAAACGACGAGTCTTTGTCCAATGTCCCTAGATGGTGTTTGACACATCCATGAGCTGCCATCTTTCTTTGTTCCCAATTTGGACTTTCTGATTCTGCTCCGTCGGGTGTGTGTTTCCGCGTCTGCGCAACGTGGACTTGCAAAATGCCGGGGAGTCAGGTCACAGTGGCGCCGCCACGACCAGAGTTTCTCCAGCGTGGAGAGAGAGCTCGCAGTCTGGAAGTGGTCATCGAGCAGGGATCTCGCTCAGGCAACCGACATGTGTCGGAGCCGGCAAGTGCCCGTCAAATGATCGCACCGATGATTCGAGCATGACCACATCAAGGCCATCAGAATCTTATGGCGCGGCTCCGGGCGAAAGACCTCCTGCGCTAGAGAGAACTTAGCAGCGATGTAACGATAAATAGATGGTGATCCTCTCGGTCAATCGCGGCCCAATTGGACTGTAGGGGAATAGCGTGCATCGTGAGATCCTCGTGCAGACGTGCACGCTCCCAGTCATCATGGGCAGTGTGCGCAACGGCGCACACCAACACACTCCCAGTAGTAGTACAGTAGCTCGATTATACAATCCGAACGCAGGCTTCAGCTGAAGCCCTGAAAGTCGTCGCCCCATCAGCTGCAGTACATCCTTCACAGCGTTCCCAGCGTGTGATTTGATCCATTGGGAGAAACAGCGCACATGGAGTTCTCCCTGTTCTTCACACTTCCAGAGTGGCTCTCGAAGCGGGCGCTGTCAGCTCGCACGTCAGATTGGTTGGAGGCTTTGGGACACAGCATCTTTTGTGCCTTGATCTTCGGACCAGTCTCAGGGCAAAGCTGTCGTGGGTCTCTCTGGACTCCGGGGCCAAGCGTAGGGTGAACACTCCTCCCATGAGTCCCGCGGACTGGATGCTCATCCCACGACAGCCGCCAACCAGGTGAGCCGCACCATCGCTAACCCACTTAGCGGCCGCCGGACGGCTGTTGCGATGTCAATCTGTTCGACTCGTCTATTCGGACGCCCGTGCGCTGGGCCAAGGCGCAGGCATGGACGGAGAGAACTAACCTGTTAGGGGCTTGGCTTCCGATGGGGGGCTAGCTGAGGTCGGTCGACCATCCTGAGGGTTGAATTGAGACGGTCTCACGGAATGGTGGCACAAACACACTGGAGACAGTGGAGAGTGTTGGAAGTTGGATGTGTATTGTGTGATTTGCTCTGTGGGATTCGATAATTGACCAAGCTTAAACCTGCTGGGCGACACTGCACAACTGAGTGGTTGCCGGTGGCAAGGATGTGCTGGTGAACGACTTTCCGGGCTCATATGTAAAATATCCGTTCCGGCAATGAACACTTCCTGCGAGGACGGATAACCGAGCAAGCTGCAAAACCTTCAGTAAGCCCCCATCAAGTGGCCTCTTGCAAGACACAGCTGCAATGAATCTCGACCTTCCGACTACCTTGTCAGTCGAACCTGTGTTGTTCTTGGGATTTCCATTTTCCGATGAGCACCTAGCTTTCCAGGACAGACAGAGCTACACAGAGATAGTATCAATCAGAAAATTACGCTTGAATGCCGTGAATGATGTAGTCAAGGACTGTCTTCAGTTCAAGGCAGGGATGAAGTTTGAGAGTTATGAAGCTTAATCTATGGCTCTTTGTTGACCAAGACCAAGAACTCCATGAAAGCCTCGGCTTTGACGCCCGTCTCGCTCCCGGCTTCGCAATCTTGTCGAAGCTTGCGCACTTTTCCCAATCCTCGATTGAATCCTTTCTCCGCTGTCCATGCTCCACGGCTTCGGCGGGAGGGACCTCCTCGGCCTCCTCGGCCGTGCGGTCGCCCTCTTGTAGAAGGTGTATACCACTCTTGCCATTCATCTTCCTCCGTCGCGTGGAAAATTTCGTACAGCTGGCTTCGCAGTTCAGGGTACCGCGATAAGAGCGCTTGGACTTCGGCAGAGGAGGCGATGGTGGCGACATTCGTCCCACCGACCTGGACGGTGGGAGTATCGCCGGCGGGGACGTTGTTGGTTTGTCCAGACGTTAAGTCACCAGCAGGGATGTCCGACGGCGTAGTTGGTACATTGTTCGTAGCCTCGGGTTTCGGAGCACAGTAAATCTTATGTGACTGCGTACAGGCAAGAGAGCAGCTATGAGAGGAGCATTCGCGTCAGCAACAATGTCGGCAAATATCGAGGCGCTATTGGTGCCGGCCTAACGAAAGCAAAGACCATACCTCATTAGAGAACATGTCGGACAACGATATTTGGATGGTTCTGTGGAGCACACCTCGCAGACACCGGGCATCTTGTTGGTGAGGACAGAATTATGGCAGACAATCCTCTTCGCGAGTCGTCTTGTCACATCGAGCAGACGGTCAATCAAGCTCCGAGGCAAATTTCATGAGGTCGATTCGCCCGCGCACTGCTGCGGATAAATCTTGCCCTGAAGATACGGCTGGTAAGTGCACGAAGTGCCTGAGGCTGTACCTTGAAACCTTCAAAGCTTGGGAGTTGGCTGTTCTTTTCAGGCACCAAGGTTTGCATGCCTTGCCACCTCGGTATCAGGGTAGAATCATAGAATGGGATTGACAAGCGGTCTACTACTGCACATGTGCACTGGCACTGGTACATCCGCCCCTCGGCCGTCTCCGCCAGCATAGAGCAATTTGTCATCAATCGCGTCTCTAATCACGTGCTCTTCAAATTGCGTCAGAGCTGCATCGATTATCTTCCGCCGTATTGATGAATGTCGCATCGTGTCTGTTAACAAATTCGCCATCATGACTGCTCGAGCTACATCAACCAAGCTTATTCGACAAGCCATCGGCAGCACTCGGACGTTCCGCAACTCCGAGATCTGCGCGCGAAATGCCGCTACGGTGACATTCAGCGCATACCGAAGTGTTTCTAGCGCTGCCCGCTTGCCTATCCTCACAGCATCAGAAACTCGCCGTCGGCCGACCGTACGACCATATCAGCAGCCTATTGCTCAGAATGGAGTCAATGGCATGTCTCCGACTAGCAAGCGAACAATCTTCATTCAAACCGAAAACACACCCAACCCCGATGTATGTTATTGATGTGCTGGTCTCCTCGAAACAGGACCAAAATATCTGACCCCATACTTGCCAGGCCTTGAAATTCATCCCCAATCATCGCGTCCTCCCCGAAGATTTCCCGACTACCTTCCTCGAATACCTCTCCCCGCGCTCTACGCTCTCTCCGCCACACCCATCTCCACTCGCTGCAAAGCTCTTGGACGTCGAGGGCGTGACTTCGGTCTTTTACGGCCCCGATTTCATCACAGTGACCAAGTCAGGAGACGCGCAGTGGGCACATATCAAGCCTGAGGTCTTCAGCCTGATCACGCAGGCTGTGACCGCGGGGGAAACAATCGTGACCACGACGGAATCCGAAAACGCTGATGGATCTCAGGACGGTGTCAGCGACTCTCTCTCCTACAACGAAGATGATGACGAGGTCGTGAGCATGATCAAGGAGCTGTTGGAGACCCGCATTCGACCTGCGATCCAGGAGGACGGAGGCGACATTGAGTTGAGAGGCTTCGAAGACGGCATTGTCATGCTTAAGTTGCGAGGCGCATGCCGAACATGCGATTCGAGCACGGTGACTTTGAAGAATGGTATTGAATCCATGCTGATGCACTATGTAAGTTTGCTCTGGCACGCCCTCTGGGGAACCTGTTTTTTCCCCCATCTGTGCCCGTCTCTCTTTCGGATCAATGTTCCCTTTGGCCCTTGATTCTGACTATTGTTCGACCCACCAGATCGAAGAAGTGAAAGGCGTCGAGCAAGTCATGGACCCCGAGGAGGAGATTTCCATGCATGAATTTGCCAAGTTTGAGGAAAAGCTGCGTCAACAGAAAGGCGCCGCCGCCACCGCCAGTAGCCCCATTGACACCGCGCCCTAAGTGTGGATTTGAATTTCTACCGAGGTTGGCGAAAAGAAGGAGACTCTGTCTTCAATTCCAGTTACATTGAGGCAGTCTGTATATTAGTCTAGCACAGCGCCGATGGCGAGTCTTTAGACCTACTATGCTGTGTACAACGACACTCTGGTACCTCTAATTGATGTGTTGAGCCGGTTGGTACCTGATAAACGCTGGTCGTGCCACAGGGCATCGGCACACTGCATGCTTTCAGTAGCCTCATACCATGAGATCAGATCACTGCCCTCCCCGTCCACCTCCAACTCAGATCTTCCTCCAGCGAACAAGTGCGGTCGGCCTCAGCTTATGGAGGGACTATATCGGGTCAATGATCTCTTCTCTTTTGGGCATTCCAGCTCCATCTTGACAAACCATTTGAAGAAAGTTGGTCATCTACCATGCAACCTCCCGATTACTTCACCAACAAATACACAGTAGGATTTTTCTCCAGAAACAGCAGTGAGAGATATCAATGTCGGCATCCACAAAAATCCTGCCGTTGAGGAGCTTCTTAGCATCCACTATCCACCCTACAGTTTGGGCCTCGCATGCCCCTCAATGTGCTCTCGTTCAAACATTCCCCACCTGCGTCAAGAATCGAACCTGCAGAAAGCCTCGGCGAAAAGAGCCTCCCTCTCCCTCCTCTTCCAGGGTGAGGTTTTGGAGACGCATGTCCACGGTACACGGGCATGGATGTCAGGATTGCATGATCAGCAAGTGTCCCGTGATGATCCATCCCGTCGGCCGAACCATACCAGAGCTCAACGTAAGGCGGATAAGTTACCGGTAGGATCGGAAACTCGGGCTGAACACTAGGGGAAATAAGCTTTCTCGCAGGATAGTCGATGGAAGAAAAGAAAAAAGTGGTATGGGTGTTCCAAGTGTTTTTCGAATCTTTGAAGCTGGGCAAAGTCTAGCGTCTGTCATCTATGGCTCATACGGACCTACTGCGACTTAGGGGGTTAAGTGTCTAGGTAATTCAGGTAGGTAGGTATGAAGATCAAGACCATACCCCACTGCTTGTAGGCCAAGAAAGTATGAAATAGTATGCAAGTACAGTATTCAAGAAAGAATTTTGATTGTAGTAAAATAGTGACTTCTGCTAGCTAGTAAGTGCGCCTTTCAAGTCTCATCTCTACACCCATGGAAAGTGACGGGATCCATACTGGTCATATACTCATGGGCTGGCAGAAGCCATCTTGATAAACCTTCACGAGCACCCATTCTTTGGTCAAACATGGATCTCATATGGATTTGTTGGCCACCATCTAAGCCATTCAGGAATATTCCCTCGTGCAAAATATCATGTTGCAACGCATGACCTAACGTGGCACATTTGGAAAAACGAGTCTGGATTGGTCTGGTGAATGTAAAGTATACAGTAGTGACAGTACTCCTATATAAGACTATTTCGTCGGTGGAACATTTTGCGCAATTGCGGCACAAAGTGTGGGGGGAGGGGGACGGACGACGATCGCATGTTCTGCATGAGCTTTCCCCGCAAATTGAAATGATCCCGCGAGTCTAGACAAGATCGATTCTGGTGAACCCCTCGTGACCACGGGACTCCGCGAGCAGAGCACTCGTGACCTCCGCTTGCTTGCGACTCAGTGCCGAGTAGCTTGGATTGTTTCTGCACCATCTGTACTCATTTTTTGTTGTCTTTGGTGTACATAACGAGAAAGAACCCCTCATTTTATCCTAGGTCAAGGTTAGCTTTGAGTACTGAAGAGAGGTTTTGTGAATATTCTTTCAAATGAACGGGCCACCAGGTTGATGGGAAGGTGAGGTATCATACGATGATTCATTGCGGTAGTCTAGGCATGGTTACACAAAATGTAATCTGGACCTGGAAGATATCTCATGTCTGTCTACTTAGTAGTCCTGGGGTTGCATTGATCTCATCTAGAGTATATGCTCATAGTAGTGTGAGCCTGTGAGGGAGGCGTATAGTAGTTATGTTATTACACCTCGTAATTCCGCAAGGGGGTTAGCTCCTCAGTCCTAGGCAAATGGTCAAGACGAGGGGTACCTCCCCCACAAAACACTGAAACAGAGAGAAGTGCATTATTCCTGCATTGTGCAGATGAAATGACGCAGGCTGTGGAACGGCAAACGTCCTTCCATCAGAGTACCGTACCAACCGATACAGTATCCCAGACTAACAGACCCAAGTGATCACAATTTGGCATACATGGGCTGCTCGAGGCAAGGTAGATTTGCTGGTACTCTTGCCAGAAGAAGCTCAATTGAGCAGCGCTAAGGACCTCAAACACCAAGTTAGTGCGCTTCAAGTGAGGTTTTCTAGGAGGGACCGGAGTCTTTATGTTGTAGCGTTCCTGTATGATGCTTCTTCTTAAAGTGGCTCGTCAAAATGGATGTCTTGTGTCGCTCATCTGCATTTGCTCCATTCCCAAAGACACTTTGTGAAGAAATTTGGCTGACAGGGACTGCATGATACACATGACCCTATTTTCGTTTTCTACCTGGCTTAGGTTATGCTTCTGGTTCTTGCTATTATCTATTGTACGCCCATCGACTGCGGTGCTAAATAAGCTTCACAATCTTCTGGTATACGGCCGGTGGACCGTACACACAGGAACCCCCTCTTGACGAGGTTCATCTACCCCGGAAGATCGTCGTGGCTCTGGGACTGGCAACCGTTTAGTCTTGTGTCATTCCAGTGGCTTCGGTGACTCCAGTAGTAACGTCGGTCCCACCGCGAAGGAGGCTAAGAACTGCAATGTGATCCACACGCCCCGCTGCGACCCAGACTTTTTGACTTTGGGACCCAAATCACCTCCGATTGCGTGGTTACCCACGCTTCACAAAGTTCCTGGAGGTGATATTGTATTGCTACGGAGAAGTCCAGAACGCATGGGAGTGATACTGGTCATAGTAGGTAGGCAAACATTCAATAAGATAGGGGACTGATACTTTCTGGACAGTCACTCTTTACTACTCTCATATCTCTCTGGATAGAAATGGAGCTTGCCAGGCTGCCGAGACTGTTTTCGAATGCTGCTGAACTCGCCCGTAACCCACTCCGGGCTACTGCACTACTGCAGGTCTTGAGGTACGGTACAAATACAAGAATAATGCTAGTGTAGTAACTCCAGCTACTGCAGTTAACAGTACTACTAGTACTACTAGTACTACAAAAGCTTGAGTATGTGTGACCATCAATCATCTTGAGTTGAAATCGAGACTGGGACCATGTTGATACATACACATGCTATGCCACAGTATTACCAACTTCCTAACTTGTAGAATCATACAATTAGAATGTACTGTATACACCTTACAGTACCGTACTTGTCGATAACTTACAGTACTCAGGGAGTCCCCTTTCTCCCCATTCTGCTGCCTTTCTTCATGAACCTGATCTTTCCGTTCTGAGAAGACCGAATAGCCTCTATTCTGCTTCCTTGAACATTCGAGATCCAGTAAACCCCACTGCTTTGGGGTCCCATTGACCCACTGGGGCACTGCGCCCGTCGACGGGTCATACCTGCAGCAGTCATCAAATTCCCACCTTTCCTAGTGGCCACATTCAGGCCAGTGCCCCGGTGCCACCAAGCGCCGTGGAAGCATCACCCTCGGTCGCCTGCTTGATGGACGACCCTGGAGTAGGAGAGAGATGTCGATGGCATTAGACCACACGACGACTTCGACCAAGTAACCAACTACACCACCGTGCAGACGTGGACTATTACTCCTCCACGACTTCCTCCGTACTGGAATCGACCGCAGTGGGCCTTGGTCGGTCCGTGTCTCCTGAACCTCTGAACCTCTGAACCTCTGCACATCTGCACATCTGCACATCTGCACATCGGGCCAGTGTTGCCAGATGCGTAGAGACTAGAGAGTAGAGATTAGGTCACCACTCCACTAAAGAGGTCCCAGTCCTCCCCCGTCTTTCTTTACCCCAGTTCCGCTGCACGACTCCTCGCCCTACCATCCCCCCCCCCCCTCTTTCGACCCTCTCTCTTTCTCCGCCCTGGAGCTACAGTTCCAGAACTACTTTTCTGGACCCCCCCACCCCCCAATCCTCTTCCTCACCTTGACATTGCCTTGACGTTTGCCTTGAACACTATTTCCTTTCCTCTCCAACCTTCGATCCATTCACCCTCGTCCTCGACCATCTCGAGATCGATCATCCATCTTTGCTCCCAATCGCCTGTCCCCCACGACATTATGCGCCGCCCGTAACGGGTCCTGGTAGCTCCGAAACGTCATCCACTGGTCACGCTACCCGTTGTTCGTAAACCTTCCGAACGCATTCGAGGACTGCATCGCGCAATCATACGATCCTCTTTCCCCCTCCCTAGAACAACTGACGGTGAAGTTGGGCCATTCGTGCCGGGGAGTATCGCATCATCCTCTCTTTCCTCATCTTTACTCCAAAGCTTGTCCTCGCAAGCGTCTTTTGAACTTGCGGCACGATCCGTCTTTTCTACTTCGCTTCCCGGCGCAACACATTCACGCGAACGGAGCACGTTCGCCGTCGTCGGTCTGCGACACTCGCGCCAGGAGGAATCATTTTCATCCTTGACGAGAAGAACGGCACTCTTGGACGCTGGCCGACCCACCGACTGTTGCTGATACATTCCGCACTCTCCCAATCGGTAGTGTGGGATCGCCGATTACGTTTGGTCCGCACGACCTCCATAAACGGTGGTGAGTCGCCGCACATCGGTCCCAATTTCATACCCCACACATTCCCCCACCTAGTATACGGAGAGCTGACGGAGGTCACGACTCGAAAAGGACGGATACGACCACTCTATCGAAGCTTCCAAGACTGGAATTTGACGAGACGCTTCTCGTATTTCCCCCAACACACCCTTTCCCTACAGCCACAGCCTGGTCGACTGTCCGCTGGACCCTCACCTCGACTTGTGGGGTCAATCGTACACGAGGTGAGTTCTTGTATCCAACGGGCTGTGATTCCAATCGCGTCGCCTTCCTTGCAAAGGGTCTGGTGCTTGTCTTGCACTCGGTGTCTCTTGCTTGAGCTCTGAGACTGGTTGCCTCACTCGCCGAGAGCGCAAGCTCAGTCTCTGAGGGCCGAGCTTTTCATCCAAACCCTATCTACCTGGAACCGGGTTATCTTTCCCTGCACCTGGCGAGTCCCTGGCGGACATATTGATGTCGTGACATGCGTTTCCATCGTCCAGTCCGTCCATAGTCCTTGTTCTTCGGGTTGTGCTCAACGCGCACCTAATATTGCGAACTGGCTACTGGCCTAACCTGCCCTGCTTCCCTCAGCCACTACTAAACCGGTACTAATCATTGGTTTCAATCAGTCTTGCATGCCCTGCGCTCACTTTGGTCTTTCCGCTTACGAATTGATTGTCCTCTGGTCGTTGGCAAAAACAGGTCTCACGACCTAGTCCCCCGCGCCATCGTCTTTGTTCTACCAAGAATTACCACAAATCTCGAAAAAGGGAACGGTAAGATCCTCGCTCAATTCTCCGTTGCTTTTGCCGCAATGCGCCATAACATGCTGCGCAACTCTGCAGTCTCCGCACAGTTCCCAATGTGATTTTAATATCTCCTCCAACACCCGCTAACCCTACCGGCCCAGGCTCAGGACATTCGAAATGGCTACACCATTCGGTAAACAGAACGCCTTGCCGCAATCCAGTGCGCCGCCATCCTCAGGTACCACTGCATCCGCTCGGCTCGAACGGAGCCATCCAGGAGTACGCCGGTCTACTCCCGACTCCGATGCTTTGGCCTCCTCAGATGACGATGGCGACCATATTGCTCCTCATATCACGGTCCCTCCAACAAAACCCGCGCGCAGAACGTCATGGTTGAACGAAATCCCTTTGTCGGCGCAGCGCAAACACTCCCTGCCGGGTGGTCCTTTGACCTCTGCGCCGTCCAACCCGGTCAGTCCGGCGAGCGAACAGGGACCCTGGGCCTCCAGTACAACTAGCCCGGGCCTGAGCGGATCGTTCAATTGGAATCAAGGGAGTGGCAGCTCTTTTCCGTGGGGTAATGCTATCTGGAATGCCGAGTCTCGAAAGGAGCCTCCGTCTCGCCTCTCCGAACTGGTCCCTTCCCCCACAATGACCACCCCAAGTCTCGCAAGTAACACCATGGGCGAGGAATTGCTGAGTCCGGTCACGCGCACAATCTCGGGAGAGTCGGCGATTCCATTCTCGATTCCTCTTCATCCTACCCCGAAAACTTACCGATCACAGTCCTACTCTGTAGGCCAGATGGACCCGGAGTATCTGGTGCTGATGGCCAGCAAGCACGGCGCCAGCACCCAATATCCTGGAAACCGCCCACGCGGTCCAGGCCAACTCGCATCTGGACAACCTCGCGCATCGAGGCCAAGTGTCCTCGGCGAACTTGGTCATGATCCAGCCACCCTGGGTCGCGTCCGTGAAGATGACGACGACGAGAATCTGCACGGCTCTGACGGCGACACCAGCTTTTCGGTGAGTCAGGCCCGTACCATCGAGCAGCTCGCTCGGGAGAATGCGATCCTTCGTCAACAGGCAGCAGCCGGAGCCCTCGATGGCCGGTTCCGTGATCGTGCATCTTCGACTGCGGGCATCCTGAATGGTCTCCATGCGGCCCATCGCATCCATACTGGGCTCCCGGAAGAAGAAGAGGAAGGGGAGGCGGAGGAGGAAGAGGTGGCGGTGGAAGACCTTGGCGAATTGCGCGACATTCAGGGATATGGCAGTATGCGTGGCGGGGCGCGGCGTCGCTTTTCGGAACACTCCTCCAACGTGGAACCGCAGTTCGCGGCCTTGTCTTCACCTATCGAAAATCGAGCGCTGGAGAATGTGCGCAAGGCACATTGGCAAACCTCGCTTGGGTTCCCGGGTGCTGCTGACTTGCCTCAGAGCCGTCGGCATTCCTTCGCGGATGTCCCTGTCCGGCACAGCTCAATCGGCTCACTCGACCTTCATGCGACGGCGGCTGCTCGTGCGGTTTCGAGAGAACGTGATGATGGTCTTGGTTCCATGAATGACTATCCGGTGTCGCCCCTTCAGGCCCGTAAGTAATATTCACTCTTTTGATCCGATCATCGCTAACCCTTTTCATCCCAAAATTCCTTAGAGCCCTACTATGCCCGCGAGCAAACATTGCGTGGCGATGGTTCGTCCAGAATTCCTGCCTCGCTCAACCAATACGTCCTTCCAGGTGGCTACGGTCGTCAGCCCGCCACCTTCTCTCACAGTCCTCAGAACCAGCTTCTGTACATCGTGACTTTCAAGTGCCAGCGAGCAGATGTCTTCTATATCCAAGAGGATACTGGACTACAGGTGAAAGTTGGCGATCTTGTCATAGTTGAAGCTGACCGGGGTACTGATCTGGGAACTGTTCGACACGCCAACGTTTCTCTGCAAAAAGCCCGAGAATTGAAACAACAGTACGCAGAAGAGCATTACAAGTGCCTCATGATGTTCTCCCGCCAGGGTCAGCTTGAAGGATTCAACCCAAGCGGCACCGGATTCAATCCTCGAAGTGCCATGGGAGGCATGGGACCCCATGCCCATGGTGCCCCAGAGACCACTACGGACATCAAACCAAAACTCATCAAACGTCTCGCCCAGCATCATGAGGTTCTAACATTGCGCGATAAAGAAGGGAACGAAGCCAAGGCGAAAAGAGTCTGTCAAACAAAAGTCGCTGAGCACCGCTTGAATATGGAAATTCTGGATGCAGAGTTTCAAATGTAAGACAACCGCTAAAATTCCCAGATTGATTGTGAAAGGGTGCTAATCGAATACTTGGAATTATTAGGGACTGGAAGAAGCTCACATTCTACTACTTTGCGGATTCGTACATCAACTTTAATTCCCTGGTCACGGATTTGTTCAAGATTTACAAAACTCGAATCTGGATGTCTGCAATCAACCCAGCGTCATTTGTGACACCACCAACGGCAGGTCTGTCAGGCTCGCCCGTCGTCATGGGCAATCAGGCCTACAGCCAAGACCCAACTCACTTTGATCGTCGCCTTCAACCCGAGGCTCGGGCTTATCCTGGATCTCGCGAAGAAGTTGCCCGTGATGGAATGGCGAATCCAGCCGGTCTGGTGCGGTCTCCGTATGCCGACGCCTATTCCGCATTTGCTCAAGCTTCGCGACCATACGACGCACCAACAGCTGATCCCTTCGGTCCCTATTCGCCGACCAATTTTGGCCCCATGGATACCGGTCTCGCCGAATATCCGGGCAATGGTATGGCCCCGAATGGCCCAGTCCGTATGCCCACTTCCACGCACGGGGAATGGGTGGGCCGCTTTCAAGGACTCTCGCTAAACTCCTAATACCTGCCACCAACGTCTAGTTCCCTCTCGTTTCGAGGGACAAGAAAGTCTTGTACAATTTCCTAAAACTCGTCCCCATTGCTCGCCGACTCTTCAGTCACAACCTACACTACTTCTGTGCTTTTTGAACGTGCTGAGACAGCACTTGTTCTTAGATGTTTCTGTGCTTTACGCTCTTTCGACCTGTCGTTGGAGTCTGCGCCAGGCTTGATCATTTCCAGATTTCCCCTCAGAGGACTTCCGAATGCCTTTCTCTTGCTTTCCAGATTCCCGAAAGACCTATTTGTTTTTCATCTCGTGGGCGGGCTGCCGAGGAAATGAACTATTCCCTGATATTTTATTTCTCCTTTTACAATTGCTCTCACGATGCCATCTGAGCCCTATGATACACTGCATGCTTTTTACTGAATTCCCCCACTAGAACTCATACCCCCCGGGCTCGGATGAACGAGGGTACATACAGGCTCATGAATTATTTTGGATTTCGTATCATTTCATTCTTATCATCACTTCTATGGTGCTCCTTTGGCTTTTTACTAAATTGTTTTGCTTCCCTTGGATCTTTTATGGGTCGAGATAGATTTGCACATTATTATCTATTCAATCAGAGCATGTCGGAAATTGAATTTACATGTAAACTAGGGGCTTTGCTCTTCGAATTCGACTGGTGCAACTTTGTCCTATTTAAGGGACTTTGATGGCTGTTCTGTGAAGACGACGGAATTCCCAAGTGCAACCACGACAGACTTCTCTTCACGAGAAAATACTGAAAGGCCTGTTCGTAGGCCAAAAGTAGTATACAAGTCGTTTGTTTTTGCAAAGTTCTTTGAAAGGTCATCGGCGCCACTCGTTGGACGCAGCTATACAAAGTGTTGATCCAAAGTAATCTCTTACATTGTTCACGAGTCACAGGAAACATCGACCAGACCCAGCGAAACGTCCGAGAATAGCCCTGGCTTGCTTCGAGCTTCCAGCCGCATGCCTGGCTCAATTGCTTTCGCATGCTCTTACTCGGTTCGAATCCAGTTCACATCGCTCGATGTTGGAATGGTAGTACTGCGACATGCGCAGTACTGACATGAGACCTCCAGTGGTTTCTTGATTTAAGCCCCAATCCTACTTCCGTCACGACGAACCCCGCTAAAACTTGCGTGCGCGGCTCGCTGCGGTGATAGAACTGGCAGCGGAACAAGCCGTGGACTCTGGACAGATACATAGCAGAGTATTTCGATAGCCCATCAACGAGTGGGACTATTGATGTCGGCTGCGGTATTCGAACATGATCGGATGAAGCGAAGATTGGTATTGTGAATATAAGTTCGTAGATGGGTTGCTGTTTTCAGGCAAACTTGTCATGCTTTCCTTTGACCTTGACGTCCAGCATGACCTCGTGGAAATTGCCTTCCCGACGACCCTTGCGCAATCTCCGCACTTCATCATCATCCAGTTTTCTCCCCACAAGCTCCTCCAGTTCTTTCCGGCTGATCTTCTCGTATGCCTTGTTCTCCTTTGCGACACGGAGGCGGGGCTTGAACCGCGCCTGCATGCGGATTCGCAACGTTGTTTCAAAGGAGATCGTCGAGGCGTCACCCCGGATTTCCACGCCGCCTGTAGCTTTTGCGCTTTCTTTGATGCAGAGGAATGATTCGGAGTCCCCACCTCGCACTTGCAGCGAAAATGTGCCAGGGATATCGGGCGACGGGATCGCAAGGAAAGTTTCGTAATGGGACACTGCGGCGGTGTCGGCGCTGAAAAGACCATGGCTATCACACGAGAGGTATCTAGACAAAACAAAAAGGAGGCTAAGCTCAGCTCGTGTTCGGACGAGGTCGACGTATCCCGGCCATTTGACTCACTTTCCATGATGTCCCTTGAATGTGAACGATTCCGTCCCCGCCACTCTCGTAGCAATCCAGACCTGTCGGACATCGTGCGGTTCTGACGTCGACGGATCCCCCTCGATCAGGTTCTCCAGGACGCTGGCAAACACCTTGCCGGTCATGTCGCACGCTATACACGTCGGCTCATCTGAGGGGAGAACAAGGACCACTGGGCCTGAAATGTCGCTGGGCGCGTCCGCGGAGACCCAGCTTTGGTCCTCGGGAGGGTTGTCGTCATTCTCTGCCGCCTGCGATAATTCCACCTTGCGTGTCTTTGGGATCTTGTCGCTGTCCGAATCCCGTTGCTTGCGCTTCTTGGGCTTGTCGCCTTTGAATGTGAGTGGCTTGACCATGTTGGATTGCCGAGTTGTCGAGGTAGTTGATCGTGAGGGGAGATTGGGCAATTGGCAGGTCCATGAATGGAGTGGAACAACTTGCGGTGGAGACGAACCCACGCGCTTATCGATAGCACTTCCGGTTTTCTGGTTGCAGCGCGTTCTTATGGACATGAAGATAAGAAGGAGGCACTTGAGAAATGAGAGCTTCGTTTCTGGAATTGGAGAGGTGTAGGACCTGGTCTGATACTTGGTGTTTCGGGTACAAATTGCCTTGTCTATTCGATTTTGATTACTGAGTCCCAAATGATCTGGGGGTTTTTGCTCTAAACGCTTATTAAAAAGGTAAAAACAGAGTCATTCCATTATCGTCAAGCTACTAAGCTCTGAATGCGCTGAGCTCTCCCCCATCTCAAGCGGTGTTGATCTCCAAGTCCACACTCAAAGGCAGATTTCTACTGGAAGATCCAATATGGATTGTATATTTTCCACTTTGCAGTTTCCACTTCTGCGCAGTAACATCCCATGTACTCAAGTCGCGACGGGCCAAAGAAAAAGTGACTGGCACCGTTTGGCCCGGTGCAATAATGACCTTTTCGAATCCACGGAGCTGTTTCGGGGGCCACCGGGAATCGCAGCGTATAGCTGAGCAACTTCGGCGCCAGACCGTCGGCCAGTATTGCTGACCTCGGCCGTAACAATCGCAACATTGTCCCAGAGGTCCACGGCACCACCTTGTTCAATTGTGCCCATGGCGTAGGCAGCTAAGGTGCTATTGGGCGCGGAGACCTGGATGTTCTTGAAGGTAAAGTTCGTGTACGACAGACCGAAGCCAAACTCGTAGCGAGGAGTGATGTTGTGCGCGTCGAAGTAGCGATAGTCTGTCAGAATGCCTTCCTCGAAGTTGGACTGAGGGAACAGTCCGTAAGGAGCCACTGGCCCATCATGTATGAGAGTTGCATAATCAGATTCGTTCTTGGCAACAGTGTAAGGTAGCTTTCCACTGAAGTTTTCATCGCCATAAAGCAAAGAGACGATGGCACGACCGGACTCCTGGCCTGGAAGATGTGCGAAGACAATAGCAGTGACGTTCTCATGATCGGCAAACTGATCGACCAGCCGAGTGCCAGCGTTGTGAATGACCACGATTGTATTCGCGCAGGTTGACGCGACATGTTTGACCAGCCCGTCTGAATAGTCCTCGCGAATGCCAGGGCGATCCATGCTCTCGGTTGCAAAGGCGTTAATGAACACTAAGCATGCGTCGGATGCCTCCATCAAGCCACGATTTGTCGAAGGAACAGCGCTATCCCACAGCAGGGCGGTATTGTCTTCGTACGCTCGCTGCTGTAGTGCATCGAGAGGCGCACTGAGATACGGCCCATTATTCGCACCTGAACCGCCACCAACGGAAAGTGTACCATTGAACGCGATCTGGAAATCATTGGGGATATTGGGCGATGTGTTCACGAAGACTTGGCCGCTTTGGAAAACTGCTGGCTGTAAGCCCAACATCCAGGGATTTTCAATAAAGTTCTTTCCGCTGGGCATCGATGCATCCGGTGCTTTGGCATCGTAACCAAAGACGGAGATCAGCTTTGGCGATTTCAGTGGCAATGAGTTGTTGACATTTTTGACCAGTACATGACCTTCGACTGCGCCATCAAACAAGACAGGCTTTGCATCAGGTGTGAGGGCGTTGACAAGCTCGTGGGGCTCACTGATGTTGGCTGGCATACCAACACCAAGGGCTGGGAACTTGGCATCATCCTGTCCCATTTGATACCACGTTGCAATAATACTAAGTCCATGTCGTTAGCGCGCGTTTTTCAAAGTTCCGTGGGGAATATATATCCTACCGAGTGGCCATATCGTCCAAGCGCGTCATTGGAACGCTACCGTTGGTGAAAGCCTCGGTGAAGTTGTTGCCCCAGAAACTTGCGCCATCTGGCATTGCCATATCGAGACCAGCTAAAGCTGCACCAACACCAGCATGCTGGGCAGTCCAGTCCGTAACGACAAAGCCTTGGAATCCTAGCTCTTCTTTCAAAAGTCCATTGAGTGCTTTGCTATTCTGGCAAGAATAGGAGTTGTTCAGTCGGTTGTAGGAGCACCTATATCACAATGAGGATGAGCTTTGGACCACCACCTGAGTGGAACGTGTGAGCGTAGCGAGGCAATCAACTGACATGATGTTACCGGCACCTGCTTTCAAGGCATCCTGAAAAGGCCAGAGATACAACTCATGCATGGTCTTGTCGTCGAGATTACTCGAGATGGACTCGACCGTCTGGTTCTCTGAGTTCTTTGTGGGATTCCTGTAGAGCTCTTGTTCATTGGCGATGAAGTGCTATTATCACATATTCCGCATTAGCCATCCGATTTGGTCATCTTTAGAGGGGGAACAGAGAGTATAGGTCGTACTTTCACACTGGTGATCACGCCCTGATCTTGAGTACCCTTCACCGTGGCAGCGGCAATGGCACCGCCAAGGTAAGGATCATTCGAGGGACCTTGTTGAAATCAGTCAGTTGTCACAGTGACACTCCATAGATGGAAGACATACCCTCCCAGTTCCTGCCTCCACTGACCACTCTTCCTAAGGGTCCAACAACAGGACCCAAGGCAACATTTACACCTTTCTTCTTGAACTCGCCACCCATATGCCAGCCTCGTTCATAGGCCAGTGTCTTGTTCCAGCTTGCACCAACGTGAATTCCGCTGGGGTAGCTGTTGACAAAGTCGGTTGCCCGCACGCCGTTGCCTGCGTCACTCAGACAGAGCCCGGTGAATCCCAGACGAGGAATTGGCGGAATGTTGCCCGAGCATCCGTTTGCGGTGCTGCTGACGCCGTAGGTGAGGTTGTTCTAGAAAGATTCTCCTGTGAGTCCATGCTCCATGATTGCGAGATCACATTTTGGAACCTACCTTCTCTTCTAGTGTCATCTGCGACACCATAGCAGTAGCCTTCTGGTAAGCCTGTGCCCAATCGCCAGATCCGGTTCCCTGCGCTGTGGAAAAGACATATGACTATTAGTCTTTGAAGTAATGAAGGCTGGGTATCCCAATAGACGAAAATGTAACATACGTGAGGGATACACTGGCTCGGATTGTCCGTAGAAGTAGGTATCAGAAGTGATGTTGTTCTCGGCGTGACCCAGTCCACACATTGACAGCATGGCCAAGGCCAAGGCCAACTCTTTTGTGGCAACCATGGTGCCTGTAGAGTGATTGAGAGAATAGCTCTTGGCAGATGAAAGAATGAACTGATTCTTCAAGAGAGGCTTCGCTTCACTTTAAATAATCCTTCTTGCCTTACAAGACTTGAGCCCAAGCAAGAATGCACGGAACGAGTCCAGTTTGGTCACCATATCCGCGTGTCGGCAGTGCCCTGCCGGCTCGAGAATGAGGATCTTCCATTTCAATTTCCTCATTTAGCTGTAAATAAGGGCACCGACTCTGGACTCCGAGCCGTCATCCGCAGCAGCGGAGAACAATCCCACGCTAGCACTCACGAGAGAAAGAAGATACCCGCACATGTCCCCTCATTCTGCGTTCTTTGCAGAAGCTCAAGAACCAGGGAATGGCCAGTGTCGATCAACAGGCAGTCCGGTGAAAGATGGCGGGTGAGAGAGTCCAGCAAATCGTGTACTTGAATGGCTTGCTCGGGCCGTGTGTTTCTGGCTAATCTTCGGCCAAATGCCGTCCCACTTAAGCCACATGCCTCGTCTGGAGAAAATGGGGATAGAGTTCATGATGCTGTTGTGCTCCGCAAAGAGAAATGCTCAGAATCCATTTGAGTCCCCCAAGAGAGCTGAGGTCGATGCCGAGAGTCGGTCCAGTCATACTCATAGTCGGATGAAAATTTCCTGACTTGACACAAGTTGTGACAGTAAAGGCAAGCCACGATTGTCGCAGAGCTGAAGGACACAAACAGGCATTTCCGAGCCTATACAGCGCTATCCAGCACCGCAGCTGGTTTCCAGATGACGGACAATTATCGGCAGATACGAAATGGCCCAGATCCACTCCGCACACGGCAATCACCGGGCTTTGGGAATTTTTGCACGGAAGATTGCCGAAGCTTCGATGCTATCATAGCCCTCCCAGCCCAGACCAGACCAGACTAGGAGGAGAAAATTAGCGGGATGTGGGGTAAATTCCGGGGAAGGAACTCTTGGAACAAGCCTCGTGAGGTCCCGAGTCATGTGAGGACTCTGAAAACTCTGGTCTACGCAAGTCACAATCCTGATAGCTACCTAATCATGCAGCGCTCACCCGGAACAACGCCAGGAGAGAGCATGAAGGAAGCAGTCGCCCATCGAGGGGATCCGGCTCCACATGGCCCCGGGATCGGAGACTGAGAACACAGGCTTGCGCATTCCCAAGATTTGTCGCTATCTCTGGGATGCCGGTTCGTTTACCTTTCGGGATTACGTTCATGAATACTTGCAGAAGCGGCATGGATTCTCGAGAAACTCTTCGAGGCCCCGTGAGCCCCGGACTGGTGACATCCCAGAAATTCTGGAGCTATGCGACCTTCATTCACTGCTGAGCTTTCACGAGGAAGGTTTGAATTTCGGGCAATAAAGTCGAAAAGACCCCTTTTCGAACAGAAGTTCACTTGAAGTCTCACACAAGAATAGAGAAACGAGTCTCATAAATGCTGGCTAGCAGTCGCGGTTTCCGTGGAGCCGGCGGTGCATTTTGAGCCCTTTTCTGAAAAATATCCGACAGGGAGATTCTATCAGCGCTTCACAATCCCATGACAATAGCCAGAGACCCCGCATGTTCATGGGCAACTGATAACCGGCAGGGCCCTCAAGGGGTCTCAAACTACTGTCGTAGGACTGTGATGTACAATTAAACGCTTGGGTTGACTCCGACGAAGACTCGGGCTATCAACGCTTTCACAGTTCAAACAACATTTCCAAGCTCTTGAGGAACATCGAGCGCATTTACATGAAAGGAGTTTGATTATATCCTCTTGAAGTAGGAGCAAGGTTGCAGACCAATCGAACGGATTCGTCAGACAAGCCGTCAATCACATGGGCTGTCCAAATATTGGAGCAAAGTTGGTATAATCAGTGGAGTGACACAATGTAGCAAGGCCTACAGAATACTGAAGCAGTACCCATAGCAACAGCAAAATCCTGCTTGCCATCGCAAAAAGAAGAGACAAATTTACAGTACTCACGCAAAGTGGTTTCCTCACACCCGCAGGACCGGCCAGAGGGTTTCACGTCTCTTGATGTGAAAAATGGTGCAACGAGGGCAGCGCTAGCTAATCAAAGACAGGCTCACTTTAACCCGAAGCCCTCGCTCATGACGACGGCGTCCCAAAGCAGTTTCTCGAATTTTTGCCGAGAGCCGTATCGGTAAAGGCCAAGGGTGTTAAAGCACGTCCGAGCAATGGGGTATCGCGGACAGTCATCGCCCAGGCACGCCAGCCGAATGGATAAGCTAGTGGCGCCCATTGCAGGAATCCGATCACTTCCGGTCACAAATGACAAAATCTTACGTTGAGCTTGAGGAGAAGCCCCTTCGAAGAATTGCCAAAACCATTGCACCACCGCGACCGCCTCTGGACGCGAGGTTGACCAGTTGTCGTAAGAAGCAACAGCTCGCAACGAAGTGACATCAAGCGGCTCGTCGGATCCGCGAATGAGTAGCTCGATCTCCTCGGAGCGGAATAGAGAGAGCGCATTGCCTCCACAGACAGTGAAAAAGCCTCGCTTGAAAGGCTCAAATTGACGAGCCACGGCCGTATTGAGGAGATAGAATACATACAGCTCCACGAACTCCCGACGATTCGAATTAGTCACCGGTCGCTTTTCGCCGCCAGGACAGAGTGGCATCATCGATATTTCTCCGTACCGTTCGATTGGGATCACAAAATCGTAGCAAAAGGTTTCAGCTACATCGCCCTCGAATTCCAACAGATTACGGAGACCTCTGGCCAAGGTGGGTCGATATTCGGCGAGATCATCTAATGTGCACTTGAATTTGGACCGATGTGGGCTTGGATGAGCAAGGTTGTACTGAGGGGCAGCTGCGAGCAATTTTCGAAATGCGAATGGGGGCAAGTCAATGTCCAGAATGGTGGAATTGTAGATCGCGAGACCGAGCAAGATACCAACCAAGTAGAACTGCTCAGATGACTCAAAACAGTGTGGATTGAAGTAACAGTACTTGGAGTCATCGTCATATGTGAACAGACCTATGTATGGCAGAGTTAGTGACACCCTTCATTGCTGAAGCGTCAGGTGATGAGGGGATGAAAGCTCACCATGATCCGGGTTGAAAACCTCCCGCACAAGCAGCAAAAACCACTCCTTGCGTAGTCCACCAGCGTCAACACCTTCTTCCCCAACAAATTCAATGCGGAGTCCTTTCTTGATCTCCTCGGATCCAGTAGCGACAGATTCACTGACGGCACGTAGGCTATCCTCAATGAGACAGTCTCTTCGCACCTTGAGCACCAAGTACTGACTGACAGCTCGGTGATTCAATATGCTTTTAAAGAATGCTTCGCGTGCTTGCACCTCCATCTGGCGGCGCGCATCATGCTCCATGATGTGGATCTTGGCCCATATACTGAGCAAGAAGGGATACTGGCAGAAAGAAAACTTGGAACTCTTTGATTCCCAGATCTCAAAGTCGGCAATCAGATCCGAATAATCTAAGAGAGTGTTGTAGAATGCGCTGATAGGGGCCAAGTGATGACGATGAGATGCCATATCACGTCCGGCCTCATGAGCCTTTCTGCCCCCTTCCGTGTTGGCAGTGAAGAGGAGGGACAACATCTTTGAGCCGGCGATGATTTGCCAATCTTCACCATAGACCACTGGGGTTTCCTGTTGTTTTGCGCTTTTCTTGGTTGGACTTCGGCGGTTGTTGATTGCTGCATGTAGTTCCGCTGGGGTGCTTCCTGTGGCTCTCGGAAGAGTAGGCACTAGATCGTCTCCATCTGGAGCGGCCTCACTGCGCTTTCGACCTTGTTGACGAGTCAGTCGATAGGTGATGAAGCCACCGATAAGTTCCACAAGGCGAGTGAAGTGGCTTGGCGTGAGCCGAGAAAACCAGGAAATAAAGTGATGATGGCATTCTTCCGGTGTGTTTGACATCAGTCCCAAGATGCGCTTGGTGATACCATAGTGTTGATTTACCCCTTGGCGACTCGACTCCTTGTGCGTGATCTTGGTATTCCCAGCATTTGGCGATGGACCTTCAGTTGGATGGGAGGGACGCCGTATTCCGCGGTTCGTCGATTGTAAGTTTCTCGAATTTGGCGAAGCACTGGCCGAAGACAGCAAAGGATTTGCAAGCAATATTAACAACCATCGGGTGTCGTCCGCTTTCTTGAGAAGACGGCGCGGACGCTTGAGCAATTTTTCAACAGCCTTCATGAAGGTTCGCTGTAAATGCGTACGTGAGTCGTGAATGGCCTTCTCCAGGCGAGCCAAGTCAACAACTTCCGACCGCTTGGATTGTGCTGCAAAAGACTCTGAGCTTGATTCTTGGGACCTCTTAGCAGCCCATTGTTCCGCCCACCGATCTCCTGCTGTCAAAAGTAACTGATACCATCGGCCAACCTCGGCCCAATTTATGCGCGGGGACCTTGATGATACTAAACGAGTATCTTCCGGGGCCCTTTCTTTGGCAGGTATGGGCATGTGGCCCTCGGCTTGAGCCCACTCCGTCATCCACCAGGAGGAGTTCTCAGCCAAGTCACCCAGCAAAAGTGTCTTTGCGTCCGGTTCGAAAGCAGCTGTGTTCGAAGTTGGGTCGTTCATCATCGATGTTGGGTCTAAGTTCATCTTGGGATGATTCCCACTGCTTGCAGATCGAACGAAGCTTCGATGCGATAGGAACGAGGTATTGAGAAGACTGGTCTCCTTCAAGGCGGCAATGAGAGCCTGCTCTAGTTGCTCGAATATTCGACAAGAATAATCACTGTCCCTCCTCCCGGGCTCTGAAAGATCATCATGGCGATGAGAGTCCAGCTTTGAGCTGGACTGCAGATCTGAATTCGCTCTGGTTCGTACTGGCATCTCACCTTTGACGTGGCTCCCCCCAAAAGAATCAGGTGAAAGAAATCTTGGATCGCTTCCTTGCCTTCCAGATCGTAGGCCTGACCCAGAGACGCTTCGCGTGTGGCATTCGCGAGGATCGGCCAGAAAGCCAGTGAAGCCATTGGCTGTCTCGCCGAGATCATTCCCAAGCTTCGGACCTCCATTATCAACTTCACGGTGTCGAGCGAGTTCAAGTGCTGCCGGAGCGGACTGTAAAACGTGATCGAAATAGGCAGAGACGCATTGGTCGATCATAAAGCCCATCTGCCTAAGCGAGAATGGCGATTCTGGGGTCATGGGTCAGTGTTTCTGTGACTCATCCGCAGTAGGCTGTCAAGCATCATGAAACGTACCTGACTTGTTTTCTGGGGGCTGAGCATTTGGCGGCAATGGGGGTAATGGACGATCTTTAAAGGGATCTCTTTTAGGGTTTCCATCCACGGGATGCATATCGCCCTTCGCTGTGGCGGGAGGTTTTGACTCCGCCGGCGTGTCAGGACTCAAGTCCGTCACCATCAAGCACGCAGAGCATCGAAATTCTTTCAAGTTTCTGGGCCATCGTACAATCGAATTGCATGTGGGACACCTGGTCTCTGCAAGATCGCCCCCAGCCTTGGTATCTTTTCGGGGACCGCGGTCGACGATCTCTGATGGCAAGGTCGTATCCTCGGAGTCTGAGTCGGACTCCCACATCTCGGTTTTATGTTTATTGCGTCTCTTGCCAGCGCCTGGGAAGGGGAACGGTTGGCTAATCGAGCGGCTGTGGCCACGAGGTGGAATTGTTTGTATTTGCATACTCATTGCGGCCATAGTTTGCGCATTTTGACGGTCTAGCAGCCGCTGCCTACTTCCACTGGGGGCAGGAGTCGGGTGTTGCGATCGAGGAAGGTTCGAAGGATGAGCGGTGACGCCAAAGCGTGATGCTGAGGGTATTGGTGGTAACGGTGGCAGCGGCGGCTCACGCTCACGCTGAGAGGGCATAAGGGCGCATCCAGAGATGAGCTATCGAGAGAAGGTCAGCTAATTTTTCAAATATGGCCGGTAAATACAACCAGGTTGCACGACATCATCGAAGACCTACAGTTGATATACGTTATTCGAGAGAACTGCGGGGACCGCTGCGGCATTAACGGACCGTCCGAATGGCTTTCTTTGTTTCGCAAGAAACTTTCCAGAGTAAAGACAGAGTTGACACAAAGAACGGCAGTGACCAGCACCAGGCAATGGTATGATTATTCGAGAGGTGTCGAGCACTCCGTTGACTAAGAATTACTGGTGCTAATCAGCGGCTCATAGTGACCTTCTCCCCGACGGATCAGGACAGCCGCCGCGCAAACAGGGCGGAGCCGTCTTGTAGACTCACGCCTCAGGCATCAGACTAGGCACTGTACTGGTCTATTTTGGGGAGATTTAGTACCAACATGTCTCAAATGCTTTTTATGGGGCACATATTGGACCCATGAAGATGACTATCCTCGCGCTAAGTAGCAAGACCCAGCCAATTGAAAATGAGGCCAAAGTCCCGGGATCAATTGCAAGCGCAAGCAGCGACGCATAGCAGGACGTGTGGGAACTGAGGTGAGGAAACTGTCTAAGGCCGAACAAAGAATTGTAATACAGGCACAGTCAGTCCATCGAACACGGAGATTCTACTTAACATTCTACATATGACAGAAGTCCAGGAGCTGAGCCAGCAAGTACGATCCTACTGCGGTTACAGTTCCAGACACTGCGATCGAGTTGAACCAGTCATACTTCGTTAAAAAAAATTGGGGGGAATTCATAAAACAGAATGGCTTTTTGGGCTAAGAACAGATCTTGATGGTCTGCATAAAACTCGTACCCAGCACATTTGAAAGAGCCCGGGGGAGAATTGATCGAGAAGATAACCACATGCAGCCGATATTTTCCAAAGTACAACGCCAGACCTGTGCACTGATGCACTTAACGGTAACGCCAGTAGCTCTGGGTGTTCTGGAGCTTCCAGGTGTGACGGCGACCGGCCTTGGTGTTGTTGTAGCGGTGACCCTTGTTGATACCACGGGACTTCTTGCCGGTAGCGGTGAGACCACGGGCCTCGCGGTGCTAGAAAAGAAAAGAATGTCAATACTGCTGACATGGACATGCAAAATAGCAATTGAGCCAAAACTCACCTTGTGGACGGGGTTGCAGATCCAGTTGATGCGGGCATCGCGGCGGATAGCCTTGTGCTGGGGGTCAACACAGATGACCTCGAAGTACTTGTAGGTGGAGTCCTGGTTGATCCAGTAGGAGTTCAGGACACGCAAGTTGGCGCAACGACGACCAACACGCTCCTCAGCGGTGGCACGAAGGGCACGCTGGTACTTGAGCTGGTTGATACCCTGGTTGGTGGGCTTGCCGTAGGTGGCACCCTTGGGGGCAGGGCGCTTGCGGCCACCGCGGCGAACACGGACGCGGTAGATAACGTAACCCTGCTTGGCCTTGTAACCGAGACGGCGAGCCTTGTCGGGACGAGAGGGGCGCGAAGCACGGTGGATGACGTTCAGCTGGCGGAGCTATATTGATGCACTCTCAGCAATGTTCAACGAGTGTATAGCAAGACACAGGAGCCCCCAAAGAGGTCTCAATGCTGTGCCACAGAAAATAAATCGACCATTTCCACCAAGGCAGATTCGGTTATGAGCCGTGCAGTAATACCATAATTTCAGGCATTTCCTATGGCTGTGCACACGAGCGCTCGGCGGAGAGGTTATGGAAATCGAGGGTTGGAGGGTCCTATCTTACCTCCCAGCAGCGAACGCGGAGCAAGAACCGAATAACATCGGACTGCTTCTTCTTCTGGATCTCTTCGACGTACTTGAGGGCACCCATCTAGAAACACAGTGTCAGAGATTGTTCGTCTCAATATCGAGGAGTTATTCAGTGCAAGACTGATGCGCAATGGCGTACCTTGTCGGCTTCACGCTGTCGGTTGTCGTTGTCGCAAATACGAAAAAGTTCGAAGAAGGATCTGAAAGACGGATTGTGTGTGGGACGCTAATGATTAGCCGAGCCCAGCCACTAGAGCCAATCGCTGGACCAATGTCATGTGACCTCATGTCCACGGTGCGTCCCGCCTTTTTCTGCCAAGTCACGATTCTCTTTCGATAGTGGATACCCTAATGGATACCTAGTTAGGTAGGTAACGAGCGTAACTTCCAAAGTAGTAGTGCTCCAGCATCTACGATACAAAAGTAGATTCGTGATCACTGGGCAGCCGTTGCTGAATATTCTTAAACGCTATGTTTATACTCCGACTATGTCGCACTCAAAGTTTGAGCAGTGGAAGAATCTTGTGTTGTCGGCCCCCTTGATTGCCACTTTTCAGTTTTCGCGGTATCGCACGAGGCATCGCTCTCAGACTCTCAGCAGCGTTGCCAAAGCCCGGGACTAGGACTTTGTGCATTGTATAAAATTTGAAAAATGGACAGGAATCGCGGTCTCCTTTGGTCGAACACCGCGCTGCCTGGTGCCTACGCATGAGCTTTTCTTTGATGTCTTCGCAACATTGACATCAGAGTACCTCAAATGGTGGGACGAGGATGTCTTCCTACCTGTGCCTCCAAACTCACTCGTGACCCCTTCACTCCTTCAATTACTGAAAGTGACACCAGTTCAGCAAGGAATAAAGATAAGCGGTTTAGGCCACTCCCCCATCTTAAAGCGATAGCACATGGCTTTAAGATACATTTGCGTAGTACATTGTGTAAATTTCTAATCGGAAGATACAGTTTTACCTCGTCACCATGCCATCGTGCTTCGCCTTTTCAATACAGACAAATAGCTTGACGAAGTCAGACGCTTTGTACTGGCAAAGGCGCCGTCGGGTTCGCAATGACAACGCTTCGCTTGCATAACGGGCACTCGTGACTTCTTGTTAAGAGCCACTCGTCGATGCAGCTTTGATGGAAGACATGCCCACAGGGAAGCTCCCGAGCACAGGCTCCGGTGACGAATGGACAGGCACACACAACACAATCTTGCTCGGAATGGTCCTGTCGATAGCCGGTCGGTGGAGCTAATGTCAGTCCAGTTCTCGGGCCGATCCTCGCTCGTGACGGTTTCCGGATACCAACAGCACGTGAAACTCCAGAGCTGCAGTCCACACCATCGGCGTTGTCGATTATCTCAATCACATCATTGTCGACTTCGTTCTTGGTGACAGCTATAACAGGCGTGGTCTTGTCTCCTTCAAAGATGAAAAGGGGAATCTGCTCGACAATTTCCGGCGGTGTTCTGCTTGGAAGGGAGCGCTGTGGAGCCGCAAAGCTCTCAGTCTCCGGATATTGTGCACGTCTTTGTATGCATCGAGGTCGGTAGTAAATGATGCACACGATAGTGATGACAAAAGCAGCCCCAACCACAGAGCTTGCAATGATCCCAGAGCGAACGACATGAGAATCTGACTGTTTTTCTATTACCAAGTGAGTTAGTGGCTCAATGTTCAATGTCCGAGTTCAAGCCGCCTCCTAGGGTTGCCCACCATTGGCGATCATAACGAACAGGCGAAGGCTGCTGTCCTGAACACCAAGATTTCCGTCACCATCCGGATGAATTGGATAAGTCCCCATGTTGGAGACCCAAGCCAGGTCATGCATCAAGGTCACGGCGGCAAGGCCGGGAATGGCGTAGACCGGATATTCATTATCTGCTTTCCAATCACTACTGTCACTGAGGTTCCATGTGTCATCCTCTGCAGCTGGCGGGATGGTGGACTCATTCTCTATCAAGAAAAAGATCAGGGCATCCACATTGGCATTACTCGAAGCTGTCAGGAACGACTTCGCACATTCTGCAGACAGCCATGGCGCAATGGCGATGTGCGGATAGTCATATGCGACTATGTCTTCCTGGCGAGTTACAGTCTCCGGGATGTAGGCTTCGAGGATATCATTGCAGGGATCGTCTGAGGATAACATCGGCACAAATAACAGACCTGTTGTCTTGTGAGAGGCGGGGACGCCATTTGTTGACAAGGTTCGAACAGTCCGGTCCAAGACGAAGCGAAATCCAACGTTTTCCTGGAGAAGAAGTTGCAATGAGATTCAGATCGATCACGTCTGTCGCTTGGCATGCTCGCACCTGAACTGAACCTGTTACATTTCCAGCACTACCGGGGCCAGCGAATAGCGTGGCTACCGATGAGATCGGTTCAGAAATCTGATCCATGTGTCAATCATCAACTTTGAGATGCTGCCACAAGATTCTTTCTTCGCAACGACAACAAAAGGCAGACACTGTGTTGAGATTCGAGATTCAGTCCAAACTTGGGAGGTGTGCATGATCAGAAAATCATACTCGTCTGCTAGATTGCGTAGTAACGTCTGTGTTTTCATTGTCCAGAATCCTACATATACTGAATCAATTACTGAGCCCGGACTTTGCTGCTTTTCAATCCCAATCCGGCTAGATTGTTGATTTGGAAAGTATGACTTGGTAGTATTAAGGTTGCTGTTGTTCCCACATTAGCGAAGAGCGGCGAGGAATGTCAGCATCGATGGACATGGGTGTCCGTCCGGTCGCAGGAATGTGGCCTGCGTGTTGCACCATAAGGCTGAGCGGATACGCTGATAGCTGACTCTAAAGGTGCCTCTTCTTACGCAAGGATGTGCGGTCGCTTGAGAGATGATGAACATCGTGGGCTGACTGGCTAACTTTGACTGTGATTTCAATTTAGTGACAGAGCATGACGAGCTACTCTATGAGGATTCTTCATGTTTGGGCGGGTAGTTGGTAACTACTCGGATCAACCTGCTGCTGCTTTCGGATGAGCTGGCCCATCTGCTGCTTGCAGCACGATGACAGCGGGGAGCACGCATTTTGCAGTCGTCTCCACTCTACGCCCTTAGGAGTCTCTCAATGTCTTGTGTGCTCAGGTGCTGTATGTAGGTGGTTTCCTTAATCAAGGTGACTACTACATAGAGCATGATTCAGGTCAACTCGATCATTTCAAGTCACGCACGAGAGCAAAGCAAGAGAAGTGACTTGGTCGGGATTGAAAATATTCGAGTGAGGCGCTAAATTGGTGTCGGTATATTTAGGTATCCGTTCACTAAGCTCCCGAATCAACATTAGGTGGTGTACGGACGCGCTACAGACCAGGGAATATCTCCTAACGCCTGTTGAAATTGGATGTTTCGAATATTTCACACCTCAGTGAGCCTTGCCATGGGTTTGAATCGATGAAATGCGAAATTCAAGCCTTTCTGAAAGTCGTTTAATCCACACTATTCAGTAGTCACGACAATGTCAAGAACTCCATGATGAGTGGTGCCTGGAGGCAAACCGTTTCTATCCTCTAGTCTTGTGTAAACATGGTGACCAATCAACTGTTCGGCATCTTATGGCTAGGAAAATTGATTATCCGACCCACTACCCCAGACACAAGGCGATAGTAAGCTATCGTGTACGGCAGACGGACGGTGTCTTCAATCTGTACGGCGCGCGACATAATCGACATCACCTTGAACCTCGTCTTCGACTCGCTCTTCGAAATCTCGAGTCTTTGTTGTCCTCCAAAACAGGGACCATCCCCTCGAACCCAGGTTGAGTCACACGGAAAGTGCTTGGACTGCCAGACTGGCAGCATGCGCTGGCTACAGATCGTCCAGACCTTCAACTAAACCAAGACCAAGAGAAGCATATTCGTCAGCAATTCTCCTCACGACCTCACCACAAAAATTAATCAGAGATACTGCTCATTATTCAAGAAAAGAAAAGCCGCTACCATGCCCTCGGCATCCAAGAGCAAGGGAAAGGGTCGCGATCCTCGCCAGTCGCGCAGTCGCAACACCACCCCATCTACCTCCGTTAGCATGTCCACCACATCCGCACCAGCTCCTCCAGCGCGGAAATACCTCGAAAATGATGTCTCGAATCTTATTGGAATTGCACAAGAACAATATGCTAATGTTCTGGACCTTGTTGGCGGGCCCAACATTCCAGAATCAAGAACACTCGAGAGTCTCGTCGAACACTTGAAGAACCTAAGTGATATGGCTGATGCTCGCGGCGAAGTTTGCAATGCCGGGATGCGCGAAATGTCACAGAAGAGAAAAAATGTGCTGGAAGATCAAGACCTCGACCGCGAGAATGGCGAGCGTAAAAAATTGAAACGAGAAACCGAGGACGACGACGATCCGGTGCACAAGGGCAAGCTCAAAAAGCGCAAAGAGCGATCAAGCGCAAAGGAAGAAAGGCCACTGAGCCACGGTGCCCACGGCGTGGCTCGGCAAGATGGCGCCGAAACCAGAGTTGAAGGAGGTACGTTATGTCCGTAGTGGATTCTACTGTTGAGCTCCGCTGCGCGCCTTTCCTGTGTACGATCCATGCTCAGTGGATCTGATCACCCACAACCAACCAGTCGACTAACAAGAACCAGCGATTTCGCCATTGTCTAAGCATGCCAAAAAACAAGGCTCCGCGGACAGTTCCTCCCTATCACCTCCAGCCATGCTTTCGCCCAATGGCGCAGCGACCGGGGCCAACGATGCCGCAGATGCTGGATCCGACTCAGATTCTAGTGACGATTCTCACCAACCCGAGCCCCAGCCAGCAATTCCCCAGATCCAGGTGTTTGGAGACAACCCGCTCAAATTCGATGATCCGACCGTGTACCATATTCGCGATGTGACACCGGACATGGGAGATGATGAGAAGAAAGAGATCTACAGCGTTGCCAGCTTTCCCAAGAGCGACCTTGCTCACATGTTGGCTGGAGTTCCACCAGACAAGGACTTCAGCAACGCTAAGCCATCCAACCAAGTCAGCGCGAATACCTTCCTCACATGGGTAGAGCCATATGTACGAGCTCTGACAGAGGAGGACATTGCATGGTTGAAAGAACGAGTAAGTACCCCGAGGACTCTTCAAACAATGTGTTCCCTTGACTAACTTTTGCGAAGGGTGACCGGATGGGTCCATTCATCATACCACGCCGTGGAAAGAAGAACTATCGTCAGATCTGGGCTGAGGAGGATGGGGTCACGTACGACCCGAATTCAGACGATAAAGATCAGCTCCCTTTAAATCAGGGTCGCGGAAATATCGACCAGCTGACGGATGACAAGACCGACACTAATGAGGTATCTGTTGGGCCACTTCTCAGCCGCTTGATCTCCTTATTACGCTACGAGCACCGCACCCTGCCGGAAGAGAGCAACAACTCCATCAATGGTGACGTGCCCGCTTCCGAGGGCTTGAACGGCGACGCGATGGAATTTGACCAACCTACTGGAAACACGGACAACAGATCCTCTTCAGAGAGCAAGCCTTTACCCGCGGCGACCACTTTTCGAGACTCGTCCCCGACTGGCTTCAAACAATCCGTTGCGAAACTGGATCACGCTCAGCTCGATGAGCGTGCCAAAGCCGAGCTGCGGTATATTGGCTTCCTTGGCGCCGACGACAATCCTGAATACGACGCACACTATGACGATGAGGTAGCCGAGCGTCTCCGTCTTTTGCAAAACGAGCTCAAGAAGCAGGTAGTCACAAACAATGCCAGAAAGGCACGTGTATTGAAAATCGCGCAAGAGCACATGGCTCTTCTCGAATTCTCTACCATCCAGGACGACTTGGACTCTCAGGTCCAGCAGGCCTATCTCAAGCGTACACGCACCATGGGCAAGAGCAAGAAGGGTTCACAGGGCAAGAACCGTCCTGGCGCCGGCGGTGCCGCTGCTGGGGTCTCACGCCCGGCTGTTGGCGATGCTGCCAAAATTGTTATGGACCGAAGGAAGCGCTGGAACGAGGCATTCCTTCCCATCTTCGAAGATATCAAAACCACAATCCCGTCCGCCGATGAGAGTATATTCGATGCGGAAATCATGGCTGATTATGAAAAGGCTGAGCTTGAAGCATGGGAGGACGACCAGTAAACCCGTTCAGTTTGGTTGACGAGAACACCAAGGGTTCACAAGCGGTAAAGGCTCGGGCAGCCTTTGGACACGACCTTGTTTCCTTGTCACTTTTGATGCCTTTGCAAAGTCTTTCTTTCCTTGCGCATAAGATACCTGAGTACGGCATGAAGCACATGACGGAAGTGGAGTTATGGTGACTTTTGATTTTTGAAACCCTCCACTACGGGTTAACTCTTTGAGTAATAGGGTTTCAATTCAATGATGATTATGAGAGGCAGTACTGTTCATTTGTCATGGGATCCTGCCTCCAATTGCCAGCTTCCATGAGATTCTCTTGCTCGTAATTTGCGAAATCTTTCGTTCGACGACTTACCAATTCATCTGTGAGTGGGACATACCGTCTTAGAGGTCAATTGCGTCCAAGTCGCATTTCACGACTTGTGGGCTTCAGTCACATTACGTGCCACCCGAGGTCTCACCTCTTACCACTGAAGATTGGACAAGCGGAAAGTCAATAGAACAAGCAAAGGTATGCGTACTATACAGCATAAGTTCAAATGGCCAATCCGGCAAGCGAACCCAAGTGCACTTCATATCACTAGAAAATTCCAGTCAATTTTCATCGATGAATGATAAGAACCTCCCCCGGATACTTCTTCAAACGCTTCGTTAACTCGCGCTCGCTTATCTCTAGCTCTGTGCAAATTTGATCAAAGCTATGCGTTCCGTCCAAGTATTTCGACAGTGTGCGATCGTCAATCTCATCATCATCATCATCTTCAAAGACTGCAGACGGACCGCTGCCGACAGGTACGTGGCCGCGATTCATTCCGTGATGGGTAGAAATTGGGGCGTCTTCACCGACGCTCGATGCCGCGTAAGGCGTGTTGTGTCCCGTGGTTGTACGTGAAGATGGCCCGGTCGAGGAGTTCACATGCATCATAGAGGACGAAGAGCGCGTATTTGGAGCCGGCTGGCCTGTTGCGCACGCATATTTGTGCACTCGATAAATAAACCCTTTGATAACGCCAAATGTGATAAAGCGGCGAATATCGATGTTCGCGAGCTGACGACTGTGCTGCGAGTACCATTGTTTGACACTCTGGCCTTGCCTAAGGGCCGCATACAGCTCCACGATACCTACACCATCAACTATCCGGGGACCTTGACCGGCAAGAAGACCGTCGTCTTCGGGTGCTTCGGTGATTGCTGCGGCTGAGCCATCTTCCCGATCGCCCATCAAGGGCCAGATCTCTTCAGCATCGAAGTGAATCTCCTCGCGAGTTAGACTCGTGGCAGGCTCATGGGGCAAGCTTGACAATGGCCCAGCTCCGGGGGAGTTCGCGCTGGTGGTGGACGATGCTCTGGGTACCAGTTGAGGTCGAACGGGTGTTCGAGGACCGACTGGTGGGTGTGGCGCAAATCTTGTGTTCACATATCTGGCGCACTCAAGTTGCATCGCCTCATCCGACCCAATCGTGAGACTGAACTGAGCAGTCGGCGCGTATATGGCAGAAAAGGAGAAGACATCCAAGAGAAACAGACAGCCGTAGTATAGCAAGTGACGAATCGCTCGACATGTCAAAGAAAAGTCCGTGTCTGCGAGGACTGAAATGATACGAATACTGTTAACACCGTTGATGTGGGGGACAATCTTGAAGGTTTGTTAGCCAGCGAATCACCATACAATGTAAAATCGACCAGCACTCACTCGCTGCAGAGAAAGATCCCAATTTTCGTCCATGAAGGCCTGATATCGCACCGTGAACAGGGGTACCTGCCAAGCCTTGACAGATGGCGGAGACGGATAAATAGGGAACAATTTGATGTTCAGGGTGTTAAGTTCATCTGGTATCTTGTCAGCGTCTTCTCGCCGTTGTCTTGAAATAATTTAGCCGGGGCCGGCGACGACCGTACCGATAGGAATCATGCACTCGCAATAGTTGTTTAAATCCTCCATCAACATCTCGCAGAGACTATAGACTTTGCCTTCGCCAGTTTTCGAGAAGTCCCGGGACAAAAATCCGCTCTGCTCCTCCAAGGCATGCATCAAATCCGCCAGCTTCTGGACCACACTTTTGTACTGACTGAAATCGTCCTCCTCCGCCAGAACAATGCAGAAATTGAAAATGAACTCATTGCGGGCGTATCGGTCTGACTTCATGCAAATTGGGTACCCCAAGATGCGGTAGCCATTTGTGCAGACCTGTAAAAGATTGCCGCACAGTTCCTGGCGCGGAATCACGAAGAATGAGACGTCGGAGAAGGTCAAGAAGAGAGGCTGGGCGGGCGCGGTAGGCGAGGGAACGATTGCGCCATCGGGGACCTGATGCACGACTTTCGGACCTGGGAATGAATCATTTTAGAACTAGGGCCCGGTGATCTCCTTGGGATGCAGAGGTTACACGAGCGAACCTTCAGTCGTGTCGAATTTGCTGTAGAAGATTGCCTTGATCATGGTGAAGCTGCTGCCCGCCTTCGAGCTTCTGGTGATCCAATCTGTCGCGTGCGCAGAAGACCGGCGAGAGGCAGATGGCAGAATGTACCCCAATACGTATTCAGGTATCCATCGTCTCCTAACTCACCGCAGGCGGCCACAGCAACATCTGAGAGCAGTTGTTGATCTTGCGGGCCCAGATTTTTGACCCGTTGAAGTTGCAGACGCGGGGAGAAGTCCAAGCTCTTATCCGTGGGCGGCAGATCTGGTCTATCAACCCTTAGAGGCCACCGCTTCAAAGGGAGCTTAGGGTTGGATGTTTCCTGCCTCGGTCTTAAATTGGTGAATGAGGCCATTTTCAGAGCTGCTATCATACTACATGAGTGCTAGGTCGGGGGTTGCTTATGAATCATGATTCGTTTGTAATGGCCAATCAAAAAAGTCTTCAGATTTCGGGGAACGAAAATTGTGAGAAGATAAGCTCAGGTAGTTACGATTACTTGAGCAAGGATGTGAATGAGAAGGATGATGCGCCGAAAAAAGAGCCACAAGCTAGGATGAGACACAAGCCACGGGACATTAGTCTTTCGATGCTTCGGCCGCTAGTAAGTGAGAGACTGCGCCAGTGAAACTTGAGAAAAGGGCAAAAGACAGGCAATGAAAAAGGGCAAGAAAACCCCCCGAGGAGAAGCCAGTTCTCGTCGGGGATGAGTGGCAAGGGGGAAACGCCAATGATGCAGTTCGCAAAAAATGAAATGAGATCGCTTGTAACAGTCAGTCGTAATGAAGTAGTGCTTTAGGAGAGTATGGTCAGCGAGCAGTGTTGGAACCTTGCGACTGATGGTGCTGCGGAGCAGGGTTACCATTCCTCTCGTTATCCGCAAAGAGCCCTCCCCAATTGTAGTGATTGCGAGGCCCCAAGCCGTGTTCAAACTCTGCACTCTGCACCCGGAGAGGCTCGATGGCATGTGCATACAACCCGTTCGAGGTGGTACTCGGCTCGCTTGCAGAAAGTGGCCGGGTTTCTTCGTCGGCGAGGACGGCCTCCTCCTCGCCGCGTCTCTCCCAACCGCGCAATTCTGTATGCGGTGAAACAGAGGCTAGAGGTGATGAAGCAGCCGCCTCTGGGTTATCGACGGGTTGGTTGGTACGAATTGCCGCCACCATCCACTCGTAGCCACCGCGCTCATTCACATCTTTGAGCCATTGTTCGTAGTCTTCGTCGAGGGGAACATCTGCTCCTCGAGCTCGTGCTGCAGTTGCAGCCATCAGACGATGATTCAGTGCCACACCACAGCTCTCCATCTCATCGTCACTGTACTCCTCATCGCCCAGCGAATTGCGAACATTGCTGGTTACGCTCGAAGTGCGCGAAATGCTAGCTCGGACAGTGTCTTCACTTCGAGTTTCAATAAAGGCATCCAGATAGTCTTCTTCGTCTGATTCTTCAGTCAATGTGTAGAAATGAGGGTGCAGAGTCACCGTCGGGGAAGGGGCTGCTGTCGCCCTGCGAACCGTATCCCCTGTTGTGTCCCGCACTCGGATGTTTTTCTCCAGCTCATAGCGCTGCCTTGCGGACTTGGTCCCCTCCCAGCAGCATAATTCTGAGATCTCTTCTTCCGTCAGTTTGAGCTCATCGAAGGCACGAAACAAACGACGATGCCAGGGGAAGCGACTCAGCCGCAGGCGATGGGGCGGATGCGCATAGTCCAGGCCAGGATATTGGGCTTCAATGCAGTCGAGAGGCCCATAGAACTGATTCGTTTCGATGCGCACCTCAGGCACAAGATTGCGCGTGACATGAGCTGTGAAGGACCCTGGGTCCCCTTGGCGCTGTCGAGGGAAGAGGATTTCGTGAACCGCTTGGGAAAGTGATGGTTTCCGCATGATGGAACCCGCCCGGATTACTTGATCGCGAACAGCCGAAGCGACGGACAGAGAGAGAGCTATGTGGTCCTAGAGCCTCACGACTCAAAATTTGCTTGTGGAAATGCACTCAGAGGGATTTCTGGGCAGGGGCAAGCGGTCTCCCCTGCTTCGCAGCCGGTGAAAGTAAGGAAAGGTCGCTTTGACGCCCAAAAGAGGTACGGGGATCCTGATAGCCTCCCGACGGGCGGTGGGGCGGTCCAAACAACAGACAGATTAGACCTTAGCGGGGGAACCAAATGTAGGAGACCTGGTAAACATGTCAGTAGAGAGGGAGCACATTGCTAGAGGAAAGAATTCCATACTACTTTGAGAGATGCGAGGATTGAGCTTGTGAGGACTAAGCGACGCAGAAGTGACGTGAGATTCCGTGAGTTGACGTGGTCAGCTGCGTTGTCAGTGAGCCTTTGAGCACAGTTGGGACGAAAGTCACGGGCAGACGCTTCTTAAATTCACCCACTCCGAAAGCTGATCCGTCTAAGTGCATCACCGGGACCCGCCTCTCGACCGACGCTCGAAATTGACCTTCAATGTCCTATTTTGGACGTGATATCCCTCAAGGTATTGATGGATTGCCCCGAATCCACTGACTAGTCGATCGACTTTGGAATTGACGTCTGGCTAAGCATTGTATAGGTCCATTCTCCCAGGATAGACGTGCATATCAACTCCGACTCTCCGTCGGACGTCCACATCCTCGAGGCAGAAACTGCCTTCATGTCCTATAGCGCTATCCACGTTTGAGGTTATAATCGCGACCTGAGGCCGACGTACATCGACGACTAAGCGCTTGACCCACGTTTGGATAATCAAAACTTTTGGCAAAATGAGATCCAACAAGTCGGAATGGCTTCTCATCCTCCTCGCTCCTGCGCAACTCTCACCACGACAACAACACCCGTTGGCTTCGTTCCTCAACCACTCCTATCTCCGAGAAAAGCGCATCTGAAATCCGTCACATCCATCTTCATCAATCTGACAGCATCAGCCGTCACTCCAAGTCATCATGTCGACCTTTAACGGAGTTGTAGAAGGTAAGGTGGCCCTGCCAAAGCGTTCCGCTTATCAAACGACCTTGAACCCTCACGTCTGACGTCTGTTACAGAATTTCCATACATTCAGAGTAAGCGTCGCCGCTTGTGATATAGTTCTTTCACGTCAGCTGAGTAGGGCCTTGATATCTAGTCGACTATTTTCGAAAGAGCGATGACCGGCGTGCACCACTTGCATGCTTTCTGACCCATGTTCACACCGACCATTTGCAAGGCCTCGAGTCCTTCCGCTCGCCATTCATCTACTGTTCCCCGGTGACTCGCGAGGTAAGAATGACGACTCCATCATTCGTCGCTGAACCCTATGTAGCAAGTCATCTGATGAGGTACGGGCCAGATCTTGCTAGGAATGGAAAAACAGCCCGCGCGAGTCAATTATGAGAGAAGTACCCTCGAGTTCCGTCAGAGGACGTACCGTCACCTCTCATCGCTCCTGGTAAGTCCTGGCGGAATCGCCCCAGCACGGGACCCAACCGTCCTTTAAGGAGGGTTTACTCAGCTTCTGACTACTGTCACTAGCGTCCGATTCCCCTGAACACGCCTACAGTGATTGAACCGAAACCTGGTCATCACATTCGGGTGACTCTGATCGATGCCAATCACTGTCCTGGCAGTGTGATGTTCCTTATCGAGGGCGATGGCAAGACGATCCTTTACACCGGCGACATACGGGGTAGGTGAAACTCAAGTGAATGTCATTTTGTCACTCTTCGCTGACATCTTAAGCAGCGGAGAAATGGTGGGTTGACAGCCTTGTGCGAAATCCCATTCTGATCCCCTTCACGATGGGTGGTGAGCGTCTTGATAAAGTCTACTTGGACACGACTTACGTTCGGTCTGTTGGTCGGCCGCTTGACAATTTCCCATCCAAGGCTGAAGCTATTGCGGATCTTCTGGATATCGTGAGTCGCTATCCAAGCGACACAGTTTTCCACTTCGAGGCCTGGACGTTTGGATACGAGGAAGCCTGGCTCGCACTCGCCACATCTTTGGATACAAATGTAAGTTCGACTCTGTTCTCAGCAATATTAGATGCACTGTCGGGTCTCCTTGCTCACGTGTGTGTTCCAGGTGCACACTTCCCTGTACCTGATGGGTCTTTTCCAATGTCTTACAAATTCAAGACTTCATGAGGGAGCGGCCCACGCTGGTTACCGTCTGGGAAATGAAATCCACCCTGGATGCATGTCCTTGTCCCGCGAGGGATGCCGTATCCACCTTTGTGAGCCTCCCTGCGAATTTGCCACGGGACCAGAAGTCATTTCCATCCGACCTGTTCTCAAGCGCCTCAATAACGATCTTTGTGCCTCGATACCTGACGTGGGTGCCGGGGGTGGCGCGGGAGACGTGCACCTGCACCGCGAGATCCAGTTCTCGAACGAGACCGAGGCCCACAATTTTGTTGAAGCTTGCTTGGGCCGAATCACCGACCAAGTCGTGACCGATGACATCAAAGACAAGATGAGAGAAAGACTTCTCGCCGATGTCGAGGTCGATGGGGGTAAAATCACCCTCAACAAGTTCGGTGTGATGCTCTGGGGCACAGATATGGAAAGAGACCTCGCCGAGGTTGCCGACTCTCTTGTTGAGCAGGTCTACTTGTGCGAGGTCAATCAGGTCAAGGATGACATGGCCATTCATCCCTCAAGTGGTGTTCCCAAGCGCTCCGTGATCGTAAGTCGAAGAAAGATTTTCGTTGTCTCTGAAACGCAGTACTAACTGTTCTCACAGCACTTTCCCTACGCAAGACATTCTTCCTACTCGGAGCTCTGTGACTTCCTTTCGGTCTTCAGGGTGCAGGCCATTCATGCTTGCGTCATCGACAAGTCGGACTCGTGGTCGAGCCACGAGCTTGTCCAAAAGTTCTTTGGCTTTGTGCTGGATTGGGATTTCCGTACCCAGCTCTCCATGACAGAGCGTAGAGAACAGGTCAAGACGCAGCAAGATGCTTGGGTCGCTCGGATGTTTGCTGAGGAAGAAGACTCTTCTCCGCATGGCATATTGGTCCCCGAGGTTCCACAGAGATACGTGGACTATGTCAGCACGAGCAGCGATGAGGACATGGAGCCTGAGTTTGGCTTAGAGGAGAGCGAGCCGTATGAGTCCGACTCGCAGGAGGAGTTGTCTGATTTCGATGGTGAGGAAACAATTGGACCTCACGAGGGTACTATCATCGAGATCCGTGATGAAGATAGACTCCGCGATGTCCTTCCTAGAGAAGTGACGGGTGAACTCGGCCGTACCCATTTCTCCGTGCAATTGTTCGACATCATCCTGGATCCGGATGATGTCATGGCCCTGGATTCCGAGCCTGAGGACGATACCTTCGGATTCAACGGAGCAGGCTTCGGGTATGATGGCGCAGGCTCCGGATACGGTAATGCGGAATTCGGACTCGACGGAGCCTGCTCGCCGCGTCGATCAAAGCACCGCGAATCCAACACGCAGGAGGAAGAGGAGGACGGTGCAGAGGAGAAGGAGGGTGAAAAGAAGGATGGCAAGGGCAACGAGCAGGAAGAGGGGCCCGACGATGATGAGGATGAGGATGAGGACGCGGACGACGAGGAGGATGACGAGGACTTGACAGACGACGCCTGCGCCATTCCACTGTGGGCCCTTGGTCTGAACTCTGCCAGGGCGATGGGCCTGATGCGAACTTCTCTGGCCAGACGGGAGTCAGTCCCCGACTCCGTGATTCTGTCCCTGGCCGTGCCGGGCACCACGGGGCTCACCGAGGAGCGTCTCCAAACGCTCAACCGCGTCCGCTCCTTGGAAATGACCGTGTCCGAGCGTAGACGTGCTCGTGTGGCGGCGTGGGTTGCCGATTGTGCGGCCCTCCAGGAAGAGGAGGCCGCCCTCCGTCTCACCTTGGGTCCTGAGCACCAGGATGGGTCGGAAGCGGAGGAGGAGGAGAAATGCGAGTGAGGCAGAACTGAGCTGGTCCTTCTGCCGGTTCGATCTGGACTCTGAGCGCATGGCGGATAATGAGGTGAGACGGACTCGTCTTACCACGTTTTTCGTTTCGCCTCATCTGTTGTGATCAGAGACTTTGGATAATGGGACAGGATCCTTCAATGGGGATATTCAGGTAGCATGCCGATGGAGTTGTTGACTATTTTCATGACTCGGAAGCTCCAATTGCCCTGATGAAGCGAGCTTGTCTCATTGTCTGAGGAACCGGATCGAGGGCAGTGGGAACAGCTTAGTGAAGCGTCGTTCGCATTCGATGAGCCGACTCTGTCGTGGTTGCGTCTGTTCTTTGCCTTTTCCGTTTTTCTCTGTCTTTTGCCTTTTCTTTTTCCTTTCCTTTTTCTTTATCTTTTTCCTTTTCTTTTTTCTTTCCTTTTCCCACTCCTTATTTTCCACGATCTCACGAACTGAGATGGAAACGGACGTGTACGTGTATGATAGTATTATACAATTAGTGTTATGACCATACTTATTATGAATACCTTGCAGCCGCCACTCACTAATATCAATACTTCTAAATTCTAACCCTACATCCTGATATCCACAGAAAGGGTTCAGAATCGTACTGTCATCAGAAACTCATCCATCATCACCACCGGCGGAATAAAACAACATGGATATCCACCCATGCTGCACCGATCTCGCTCCTCAAAGACCCTTGCGGGCCCTAATAGCCCACTTGTTAAGATTCACCTCGCCCCCCTTCGAAAAGAAAGCCAAAGAAAGCCGAAGAATGAAAGATACCGATCTCCGTAGTAGTTCCGAGTTTTGGGGATGCGTCGCTGTGGTCGGGACTTGATACTAGGTAGAATTCCTCGCATGAGAACAATAGACACTGGAGTTTTCACAAGAAAAAGCAAATTGCTCTCGATGGAAAAGAGTCAGTAAAATTTCAAATGTACTCAACAGATCCTCTTGGAATTGTAGGCGCTTTCTAGGTATATCAGATGGAATCAAAAGCATATGAAAAACAAGCGACTTTCTCCCGCCAATAACCAGACGACGGCAAGAAAGAGAGACAAATCAGAGCAAAGTGATGCGCAGAAACTTTCAAAAGGATACCGTGAACTATCATCATACATCACAATTCTGTCGAAATCATTCTCCGACGAAACGTACTTGTTTCTCGAGAAAGCTGCATCAGAAAATGAAATACGCCTGCGTCAAAGGCAGCTCCGACGAGGGTTCCGCGTCGCATAGCATGCCATCAGCTTCGACAGTCTATCCAAGTTCCAGATATCAGCATTGATCGGTTCTCAGCAATCCTCGTCGGCAATGCCCTGCTGCGAAAGAACGCCGGATACACGGTGTAGGGAATGAGGAAGAGACAGAAGAGCAGGTAACTTACATAACTCTCCGGGTCGACCTTCATTTTTGGCATCGCATCGTTGAACTTCATGTCCTTCTTGCTGACGGTGCGGCAGCCCTTGACGGCTTCGACGCGTTTGCGTAGACCGTAGCTTTGTACGACGCCATTGTCAATTGAGGCTTGCGAGACGAACATGATTGATGTACTCGGTAAGCGTGCCTACAATTTTTTCCAAAAAATTTCATTCATTAGTGTCTTTTTGCTCTCTTGACCCTGTTGACAGCACAGTGGGTTCATGATGACTGTCGAACAATAAAGGGCTGAAACGTACCGCAAACATAGGACGCATGATCATCGGCTCAATGGTTGGGATCGAAGCGTTCGGATCACCCTGAAAAGCGCAACGGTCAGTATTGACCCGATCCTCCGCAACGTACAAGCAAGATCTTGTCCGAAAATGATCGAAGAACATACCATATTCGCCATGACGATCATCCCACTCTTCAACACCTGCAGCGGTTTCGTTCCAAAAGTGGCTGGTTTCCACAAGACCAGGTCCGCCACCTTGCCCACCTCCACACTTCCAATTAAATGACCCATTCCCTGCGCCAGCGCCGGGTTGATCGTATATTTGCTGATATATCGCTTCACTCTGAAATTGTCATGATCGGTCCCCTCGTCTTCGGCCAATTTGCCCCGTTGAAGCTTGTTCTTGTGCGCGGTATGCCAGGTACGGAGGACAACCTCGCCGCAGCGTCCCATGGCCTGCGAATCTGAAGACATCATGCTGATTGCGCCCAGATCGTGCAGGACATCCTCGGCAGCGATGGTCTCGGCACGGATTCGGCTCTCAGCAAAAGCGACGTCTTCGGGGATGTTCTTTGACAGGTGGTGGCAAACCATAAGCATGTCCAGGTGTTCGTCGAGTGTGTTGAGTGTGAAGGGTCGAGTTGGATTAGTGCTGCTGGGGAGAACGTTGGGATGTTCTACGACGGAAATGATGTCGGGGGCGTGTCCACCACCTGCACCCTCGGTGTGATATGTGTGGATGGTTCGACCTTTAAATGCTTCAATGGTCTGCTCGACAAAGCCCGATTCATTGAGCGTGTCGGTATGAATCATACACTGGACGTCATATCTATCGCATACAGACAGACAATTGTCGATAGCCGCGGGGGTAGATCCCCAGTCCTCGTGCAATTTAAGACCGGCAGCACCAGCCTCGATTTGTTCTTCGATGCTGATCGTACCGCAGTCATTGCCTTTACCCGTGATGCCGAGGTTGATGGGCAAAGAGTCGCAGGCCTGCATCATGTTCTTCAGGTGATTGGGGCCGGGTGTGCAGGTCGTCGCGTTCGATCCAGTACTAGGACCGGTCCCGCCACCCAAAAAGGTCGTAACACCCGAGGCCAGCGCTTCTTCCACTTGCTGCGGGCAAATGAGATGGATATGCGTATCGAATCCGCCCGCCGTGACGATCTTGTTCTCACCAGCGATCACATCCGTTGAGGCGCCAATGATCAAGTCCGGGTGTACACCGTCCATCACATCGGGATTACCCGCCTTCCCAATACCCGCAATCATACCATGCTTGATGCCAATATCGGCCTTGTAGATCCCCGTGTAGTCGATGATCAAAGCGTTCGTAATCACAGTGTCCACGCATTCGGCCGCAGATCGTCCCGAGGCCTGTCCCATTCCCTCGCGCAGTGTCTTACCTCCTCCAAAGGCGCATTCATCTCCGTAGCTGGTCATATCCTTTTCTACTTGAATCCACAGGTCGGTCAATCCGAGACGTACCAAATCCCCCGTCGTGGGACCGAACATGCGCGAGTACGACTCTCGGTCCATCGAGAAGCTCGTCACGAGAGCGCTATCAGCCATGGGCTCCGAAATATGTGCAAAGCCCGCTGCCTGCAGCTTGCCCACGAGCTCCTCGGCTCGACTGAGATCCACGGGCCCGTTGGCAAGCCAGTTTCCTCCCCGAATGATCTTATGGCCGGCGATCTCAACCAGCGTCACGGTCTTGGTATCGCCTGGCTCAAAACGAATCGATGTCCCGGCGGGAATGTCCAGACGGTAGCCGTACGAGCGTATGCGATCAAAATGCAATTGTGGGTTTGTTTCGATGAAGTGATAGTGAGATCCAACCTGATACCATCCAGTCAGTCTAGGGCAGTTCTGACGAGCGTCACCAATGACAAGAAAAAGGAAGAATAAGAAAAGAGCCATATGTGTCCATTGTCGACTGTGGAGTGCGCACTGGCCATCGCAGGCATACCTGGATCGGTCGATCACCCTTACTCATGACCTTCAGACGAATCCGTTTGCGCCCATCGTTCAACACAATGCGCGTCTGCTTGACCGGGATCACCGCACCGGGCATCTTCTCCGGCATAAAGTCTTCGGGATCCGGGTCAGGAAACGCATCGCGATGAGGCACAGGCAGAAAACTTCCATACAGGGCGCGCTCGAGGTCTCCTTCATCGCTACTGACGGGATGATGTACTGTGACCAGATACGTGCCGGACGGGAAAGTTCCTTCGACTTGGAGTTCGACTAGAGTGGAAACGACGGAAGGGAGAACGTGGCGACGACCAAGCATGGTCTTGCCGATGGACATGAGATCGGCGACCGAGTAGTGACCATCTCGGATAAGCTAAACATCATGCGATGGATAAATAAGCTTGAATCTCAGGAATTGATATATCGTGGCCATGGCATGGGACTTTCTCTTTCTTTTCTCGTGGTTTCTACCCATCTCTTGGCGCATTGTCCGAATTTCTGGGGGAGCAGTAGTCTTACCTCGTGAATCACACTTGAAATCAGGGCCTGTCCAGTATCAAAGAGAACAAAAAGCGTCAGCACTCCTCACAAGCGCGATTCTCCTCCGGGTGATTGATACAGATATGGGCTCGGATCGCAGCGAACCCATCATGCTGGTCTCAGACTCGGACGTACCGTCGCCTCTGCATGATTCAATCTCACACCTCTGGCCAAACGACGTTGGGCCAGAAACCCCAAATGTGCGATTGTGAGCTTATCGAGCTAGATAGTAAGAAATGAGAAAAACATCACGCAGATCAGCGGGATGATCGATCAAGACAATGAGCACCAGGTCCGGGAATGCAGGGTGGCGCGTGCACAATGACTAGGGTCATCGTCGCAGGAAGCTTGGCCGGCCGCGATCGTACCTCTCTCGGAATCAGCTGCATTGTGCCGGTGGAACCTCGTGCTTGGCGTGGAGGGACTAGGCAATATGTATGGAGGGGTCACTTTGCTTGCGATTCGGGAATTGAGCGAGACTTGATTTCGAGGTTGTCAAGGTCGAGTCAGAAGAAGGATGTTAAGGCCTCGGAGGGGCGTCGGATAAATCGGAAGGAAGACGCTACTCCAATACTCTTGACATGAACAGAGGGGAGCAAACAAGGCCGGATCGTCTCACAATTGCCGCAGTGAGCACGCGTGGGCTGTCGTATCCCGCTGTCAGGACCTGAGATTGAGATGGTTAAGAAAAAAAAGGAAAGGAAGAGAAAGAATGTGGGGAGGGCACTTCATGCCGGGAGTGTCGCTGTTCTTAAAAGAGTCATTCTACTCAGTGCATTTGTTCTACCTTTCTCGGCATAAGAGTCTAGTCTCGTGCTTGTCTATGGGGCAATGGATTGCTTTTAGTCTTTCTTTTTTCTTGTTTTTTTTCCATCACTCTTTTTCTTCTACTTCTGTCCATTCGGTGGTCGTCTTTTCGTTATCAATCCGCATGTCAACTTTGGTCTCCACTTTTTGTTCGATTGAGCCTGTGGTTCGGCGGGGGTTGCGATAAGAGCTGCAGCTGGGGATCTCCGGGAGCTTCGAGAGGACGCCCGTCGCAAGACTTTTAAAAAGGGACCAGCCCGTAACTTACCCAAATCTCAGTTGGAGCGCATCTACCTAAAGTCTATCAACAGGTACCGTCGTACCCTGTGCACCGTGCATCCCGAGATAAGCTTGCCGATGAGCGAGTGAGCGACCGTGTTGAGTCCAGGGCCTCCCCCGTGTCCCCCGCATTCGGCCGTGTTAGTCACGGCATTGACCGACGAAAATGGGCAAGCTGGAGCCGCCCATCTCATCTGGAGCTTTGACCTGACAACTCGATAAGCTTATGGAGGATAAGTGAGAGTGGTCATCATACAAAGGTATAAAAAGTCAATTGATGGGACACACCATCTCCACAATGACCTCCACGACATCAGGTACGTACGTCAGCAGCTCTACTACTTTGAAAGAAAAGATAGGGCTCCCCAGCATGGGGAGGCCAACGCATACTTGGTACGTTGTCTTGAGGTACATCAGGAAGAGGAGCTTCTCACCTACAGTAGCCTACCTCGTAGCACCTAGGCAGGCATCGCCTGCAGTATTTCTCAGTCATAGGAAATGACAGTATCAGGAGAGTTGCCTTGAAGGAACCCGCTTCATCCATTCACTTTCTGAGTCACGGAAGGAAAAACCGAAGAAGAGTAGATTGCGTTCAACTCAAAACAACCAATGGTAGATACGGTCCACAAAACTACATCAGATCAAGACATCGTCGCACAAGGCACCTCAAATACCTGCTCCGGCCCGACAAGTTATCCCGAACTCATCTCGGAAGTAAGAGAACAAGACATCAAGAATCAGAAACCCCATGCCCCGTGTTCCGCGATACAAAAACAGACCAACATGCAAATGGAGAGCATTCAAGTCGAGACTCCCTTGCCCGAGGGCGGCCAAGCTCGCGCTCCTTATAACCCAAGTCGCACAAATCAAAAACCCAATCACGCACTCCTCTAGCCAACACGCTTTTTTCTTTTCCCATCTTTTCATGCAATAGAGCCCTGTCGTGCAGCGAGCACTCTCAGGCCTCGCTCTTGCGCTTCTTGCTGCGGCGCTTGGACTCGGCCGGGGTCGACTTGGCCGAAGCGGGCTCTGCAGCCTTGCGGCCACGCTTCACGGGCGACGCGGGCTTGACGGGAGACTCGGCCACTTCCTTGACGGCCTTGATGTCGCTACGACGGCGCTTGGCGCTGGCACTCTTGGAAGGAGTCTTTTGCTTGACGGGCACCGGGGAAGGAGACGGCTCGACGACCTCCTCCTCTTCCTCCTGCTCCTCCTCCTCGGATTCGGATGATTCCGAATCGTCCTCCGGGGACTCGTCAGGGGCCGCGCCGGCAATTCCCTGCTGCAGTTGGTTGTTGGCGGCATCATCGTCGCCGCCCTTGTGGCCGGCCTTGTAGGCGGCCATGTCCCGCTTATAGGCCTCGTAGTTCTCAAGATACTGGGTCTTGTAGAGTTCCTTCTCTTTGGGATCCATGCTCTGCCAGCGACGAGTTCCCTCGTCCGCCACATCCTTGGGCTTGGCACTGCCGCCCAGGTCGGCGGCGATCTTCTGACGGTTTTGCTGCATGTACAGGAAGTACGGCGTCAGGGCCCGCTTGGGAGCATTGGGATCCACAGGCGCACGCTTGCGCTTCTTGGGTGCATCCGCCTCGGCCTTGGGGCCGGGGCTGCCCGCCCGAGCTTCCATATGGCTCGAGAGACTCGAGGGCATGGCGGGGATGTCAATGGTGGCCGGACCGCCCGTGATCACGTTGTTCACGTGCTCGACATAAGCCTTGCTCAGGTCAGCAATATAAGACTGCAGAGCCATCAAGCGCATAATGACCTAGTTGCAGGTGTCAGCCAAGGAATTTCCAGCATTCAGAGAGTCATTGTCAAGAGAATCAAAAGATGACGAATTAGAGACGAATGAACACAAAGAGGAAGCCATAAGCGCAGGATTCGCGTAGATGAGAATCCATGATCATCAACCAATGCCGCGTGCTAGTGCTAGTGAAGATGAAACATGTGAAGAGCCCGTGACAAATCGACAGGTCTCATTTCGGGGGAGGGACGGGTGAGCCAAGCAGTCGTACACAGTCGACGGGGGGAGAAGGGATCCTGCATGGATGGCTCGGCCGGCCGGAGGGTTTGGGCGCCCCGAGAGGCATGACACGCGTGGGGAGATGCAGGTGTCAGAGAGTCCTCCGTGGACGCGCCACCCGCAATAGAGGGAAATTGCAGATGAAAAAGCTCTCTTCGAATACAGGAGACATGGGCGACACAAGAACCAAGCTTCATCGTTACAGATTGACATGCTTTTGGTGAACGCGACAGCTCTGTTGACGGCGCGACGCGTGCGAGGCCGCGCCGGCGGCCGTTGGTGGGCACTCGAGAGCAGCACAGCGCGCCCGGGCGGGAAAAACACACAGAGGAAGAAGGAATGAAGAGGATATTTGAAGGTGAGAGATGAAGGCGAAGAGGTGACTTACCGCATCTTTGGAGTTGCGCAGCTCCTCGATGTTGACGGCCACAGTGGCCTCGGAGTCATGCTTGGAAGACATTGTGATGAATGGGGTTCGTGGGTGGCGGAGGGTTGCTTTTGGGGGGGGAGGTTGTTAAAGAGGGAAGAAGAAAAACCGGGAGATGGTTTGGGGGGTGCGGCGGAGAGGAAGGGAAAGCTGGTGGGAACGAGCTTTAGGGGGGGGGGGGGGACGCTCGAGAGGGCTTTCACTGGAGCAGAGGCCCACCGAGTGATGAAGCAGAGAGTCTTTGGACTGTTGGGTGTTTACTGCCCGACACCGCCCATCATCTCCCGGGAACCCTCGCCAGGACAAGCAGGGAGCTCGTCCCCCACGGGTGAGCCCAGCCCCGGCACGGTTGACTTCCTCCCGGGCAGGATGGGGGCTTCAGCGGTGCCCAGAAGGGCACCGGCAGGCGCCGCCCACTCCCATCGGGAATGGCGAGACCCCTTTTCGGGGCTTGGATTCTTCCCCGCAGCTTTGGGCATGGGCCCCGTTGCCAGACAACCCGCCAGGCGCGGGCCACTGTTCAAATGTTCAGCTGTCCAGTTGTCGAGTTCAAATGTCCAGCCAGAGTTCCCCCCGCCCAAAAACAGACTATCAGCCTGATTAATTACCTGTGGCGGCGGCTGCACATCATCGGAATTTCATGCTTCTCTTTAGGCAGTCCTAACATGTGCTGGGAAGATTCCAGTTATACCTATTTAGACGTTTACTGTTGACCTTCGACGTCCACATGGATGATTCTGTGCCTAGTCAACAGGTAGCACCTAGTGGTAATGAAAGCGTTTCTCAAGGTTGACGATATGGATAGGAGGCTATCTTACCTGTGGCCCACCTCGTTTCAACTGTGGGTGGCCAGGATGGATCATGGTCAACCCCCAGGTCGGGCCAAATCTCGGCAGTAGAGTAAGGATGACCTCCAGCGACGACTCCCGTAGAGTGTCCAGTGTCCACTATCCACTCTCTTTGAAGGTAACTGGAAGGGTAAGGTAGGTTAACCCGTCAGACCCGCACTTGACCCCCCGTTGGATACCCGTCCCGCTGAGGTTCAAAGGTTGGGGGACGAGTACCAACTTACTAAGGACACACTCCACAGAAACGGTACCCGTCATGGCGGCCGAACCCGGCCGACCTCAGGCCCCGGAAATATATCTTCGGGACGGTCAGCCCGGCAAACATACGACAGGCACATACATGCCTTACCTGCTAAAAAAGACCTTAGGTACCTAAGGTAGGTTAGTAGGTGATGCCGGTACCTGTGATCTGGTCGTCGGAGCATGTCGAAGTTCAATAAACCAGCTGTATCATACTCAGGGAGGTAACGGACTGGAACAACCGAAACCTTTCATTGTCCGTGAACATGACGATTGAACTATCCTACCTATCTGGGCTGCTCATCCTTGTAAGATACCTCTGTTGACTTGCAAGTAAATGCCCTTGGTCCGCAACACATATTTCTTAATCCGATTCACGATGATGTTGCCCCGTTTGTCGACCCTCGCCCGCTCGATTTGGACGTAATGCGCTTGATAATATGGAATGCCCCCAGCACGGGATGGATACCGGTATATGGCCGGGGCTATCACGAGCAGCCCTGAACTTTAGCCCACGACCCCCCGCCATGGCGCCGCGGCAAGGCATCCACTGCAGTCGTCTGTCACCTTGACACCCGGCGTGCATGCGTCACCGAGTTCTCGGCTCTCGGTTCTCGAAGCAAAGCTAGAGTCTCGAACATCTGAGACGCCGGCTGGAAGAGTGCTATTTCGGTACTCTGGTCCTCGATTGTTTCTTGCCGCTTACCTATTGATCTTTAGGGTGGCGTGAGCTTGTGCACTGGGAAAGCGAAAATAAGAAAATGCCGGCAATGGGGGAAGGGGTGTCTTGGCCCCATCAACCCACACGAGAACAAGAATACAGAGTCCGCTAGATATATTCTCAGAGCATAATTATATTGCGGATATTCTATGGTAACAATGGTTGGAGATCGGCCACATCGCACACCAGAAGCGGTAGAGTAGGAAGGGAGGAAGAAGAAGAGGAGGAGGAGGAGGAGGAGGAGGAGGAGGAGGAGACAAATGCGCAAGGACTAGTGTGACCCGTACCCTGGGGACCAATGCATGTATATACATTTGTCGTTCTGCCATTTACTTCGCTCATGAAGTTCAACCATAAAAACCGGAACGATGGATTCCCCGTGGCGCCATGCATCAGTGAAACATGAGATCTAGAACTTGAACACCTGGTCCTTGGAGTAACCCAACTCCTTCAGGATTCCGGTCAGCTCACCCTGATCCTTAGGGCTGACCTTGGGACCACTGATCGCCTTGTAAAGACCAGGAGGACCGCAGACAAAGATCTTGATGTTCTCCTCCTTGGGCTCCGGCATGACAGTCTTCAGCAACTCCTTGGTGATGAAGCCCTTGCCGCCGGTCCAGCCCTTAGGAGGGTTGTCCAGAACGTAGAAGGCACGGAAGCGCTGGGGATAGGTGTTCTCCAGCTCCTCCAGCTCCTTCTTCAACAGGATATCCTCCTCGCTGACGTTACCGAATACCAGGGTGACCTTGGTGCGGTCATCGGGGTTCTTGAAGATGCGACGAGCCAACTGGTACATGGGAGTGATACCAGTGCCACCGGCAATCAGGGTGATGTGCTGGTGCTTGTTAGCCTCCCAGGGATACTTGGGAAGAGGACCCTTCAGCGACAGACGCTGATCAACGTTCATGGAGTGCAGGTGCTCGGACATGGGGCCACCGGGGTAGGCCTTGACGACAAGCTCGAGATAACCGGGAGTATCTAGCAAGGAGATGAGAATCGAGGCATTCAGACAGTGAGCAATCTACGCCAAGGGATCCTACCTTCATCGCTGGTGGGGGTGTAGGGACGGAGGACGGGCTTCTCGGCATCCGCGGGCTTGTACTTGGCCAGCAAGGCAGCTGTGGGATTTCGACGTTAGCATGCGCGCGGTCATCGAGTCGCTAACCGGGCAGGACCTTACAGGCAACAGGAAGACCAGAGACAGCCTCGGGGTCATCAAACTCGAAGCGGAAACGCTTGGTGTTGTGGCTCAGGATCTCAATCTCAGCAAGCTTCAGGTCGACCCAGTCACCGGTGAAGACCTTGGGGCGGTCCTCGAGCTTGATCGCGGCAGGGAGCGAGCTCGAATCGGAGCTGTAGCGCCAGAGACCTGCACCGACACCGGCGAGACCAACAGCGACGTAGACGGGAGTGAGATTGGCCTTCTTGGGCGCGCTCTCGGTAGAGTACTTGCGGAAGCCCTATAAATTATGCAAGGAATTGATGAGTACAACTTGGTCTCTTCGTCGCGAGCAACTGTTTGTCAAAGGCTGGCAATGGACGTCTCGTTACCTGCTTCAGGGGCTGCGCGCTGCGGAAAGCTTGACGAGCGAACATCTTGAATTTGAAGTGAATGAAAATCCCGTTGTTCGTAGTTTGAAAGCTGACAACAGAGCCGGGTTTGGAGAGGAAGCAGGTAAGCGACCGGGGAAGATCTCGGATGAAGGCGGACAGACGGCTGCCGGTCTGCACCCGCTCAGAGGGAATGACGCAATTTCATGGAAACCCACTACGATTGTAGACCCCAGCCTGGTCCTAAGAGACAACTAGCCATTCTGGGTATGGAGTAAGCTGTCAGAACGGCAATGTTACGTAGGTAGGAATAGATCATAGTGGGTTGTCTCGCGACAAAACGTCCATTGTCGCATTGATGTGATGAGGGATCATATAAGGTAGGTCGGCACACTAAGCACATGGTCTGGAAGGAACATGGCGATGCACACCTGTCTATCCTGAACAAGCCGCTGGAACAGTCCCGATGCGCTCGAATAGCAATTTGATGGGGGAGCACGATAAAGAACGATTTTTACAGTATACTAGATGGAACTTCCTCTGCATCTGACAAACTTGAGCGATTCGCGATGAGCATACACCTGAGCAGACGATCAGAGGATCACCTACATGATCAACGCTACTCTGACGGGCGGTTGTCACAGATACTCTAAAATTACAAACTCAGAATTTGAGCCGCGATAGATCGTTGAGGTGACAGAAATTGAACCCGATGATTTTTTGAATTTATCCTCAAGACGCTACTACACGGGTCTAGTAACATCTAAACCATCTTCCCACGACTGGGTACACGCAGGCCGTTTCCACGCGACCGGTATCTTTCATGCATACTGTTGGCCATATCGCAGTCATCTCATTGCTACACTCATTTCCCTCAAAACCCAAGATATCACATTTAGGCAAAGGTGGAAGGACGAGAGTAAGCGTACAGCTTCTTGCCGGGGTTGGCAGAGCGGTGGGGCAGGGGGAACTTGAGGTCCTTGGTGAGGAGCTGCTTGATGTAGGGGCGGCGGATGCTGTCATTGTCGGTCACCTCAACAACCTTGAGGATCTGTTGTGGAAGATAATGTCAGTATGCCGCAAGAGAAACAAACACTGGAGAGGGAACATACGTGGATGGAACCGAAACGGGCACGGTGACGGGCAGCCATGTCCTGGTAGAGAGCCTCAACGGCCTCGGTGCGGGACATCTCACGGAACTCCTTGTACATGTTGTGGGTACCGGAGCGGGAGTTGTAGCGGAGCCAGATACCGAAGTTCTTGACCTTGAGAGGACGCTTCTCGGTGATCTATATGCAGATATATAAGTAAATGATCTTTTTTTTCCCCCTTCATCATCGCATTGCCTGGATGCTGAGAAGTTTCCACATACGGTGTTCAGGCTGACAATCTCGCCGTTGGCCTTCTTGAGCTTGCGGAGGGAAGCCATGAAGTACCAGAAGCGGGACTTGGCCACAACAGTGTTGGGCGCAAAGATGCGCATGCGGTACAGCTTGGGCGTGGGGTTCGCCTCGGTGGGCAGGTGACGCCCAATAACCTGGTACTCGTTAAGACGCCCTGTTTCCGTCATTAGTCTAGGCTCCGAAGGGATAATGAACGTTGATGCAGTGGCTGATTTCCTCGAAACTGAAACGCAGTGGGCGCGACCGTGATAGAGCGATTCAAAGAAGGGGTACTGATTGGCGATATGGGGTTGAAGAATTTTTCAAGTCAAGATTCTCGTTCGGTGCTTTTCGCATAGTGTAAGTCTATCGGCGGTTCGTCTTGCATGCCCCTGTCGCACAATCGATCAAATCCTCTTCCCTGGCCAATCTCCCCAAGCGGTTTCCAAATTGTCGTTCACCGAATTTCGTTTCATGAATTGTTTTTCTGGTCTTCGCACACATCGATATCGTTTCGAGGAAATCGCCAAAGCATCGAAAAATTGGTGAACGTACCCATCTGTTCGGCACCTGTTAGCAGTGGTCTATCGTAGGGTCATAAAATGGCGGTACGTACTGTGATTGTCGCTGTGGTGGTTGAGTCGTTAGTGGTGCCGTCGGGAGAGAATTCACAGATTGTGTTGCAATGTGGTTAGGGCTATCGCCCTTCGGTTAAGCGAGTGGGGCATCGTCGAGAAGGCTAACTCGGATAGGAAAGCCCTGCACCAGCCACATCATCGGGACAATTTGGGAAAGACACCAGCCACACGGTCGCCCCCACTTCTGTCTAGCTCCGTCTACATCCCGCGACTGGAGTTTGATCCACTCGTTGGAGTGGTGTTAAACGTCCAACTCCGTTAACAAAGCTCCTTCATTATTGACAACCCCTGCGCAGATCGTGGACTCGGCGAACAGAACGGACGCGAGATCCTCATCCTCTAAATTCCAAGATCAGTCCTCAGAGGAACGATGCAATTGGCTTCGGACTTCCGACATGCCTACAGCATCGCTTCAGGTCCCGCGCTTGCTGCGGTCCTAACACCGATTGCAACTGCCAGCAACCCGCAGCGACTGAGATCCTTTTACGAATTCACAAATGCGCAATACCTGACCAAGGATCTTCAATCAACATTATTTCACGGAAAGAGTATAAGAGTCTCCAAGTCTGAACAAGCTGCTTGGGTAGACATTTTCGCGGCATACTGGGAAGCAGTCGGGGAGGTGTTGAAGTACGAGGAAAGGTACCCTGGGGCCAGCGCGGTTGATATTTTTATCGCATGGAAAAAGGTGTCCAATGCTCTGATCAAGGGCTACGCTGGATCAAATGGTCTAAAAGCATGGACATTGCCCTGTTTATACACGGTCGGCAAGTTCCTGCGAACCTTTGCGATCAAAGCGGACTTGGAGGTCGCGGCTCGGGGATCCACGGAATATGGCTTCCAGGATGACCTTGCGGTTGACGTTGAGAAGAATGCCAACTTGGAGGAGGCTGCTCGCATTATCAATCGGATGTTCACCCTCTGTCTGAGCGATCGGTTAGTTGGCCTCTCGTTTTGCGCCCACCACGCCTCTGTGCTAACGTGGTACATCTAGTGCGCCGATTGAGGACTCTAGAAAATGGGGCATCTACGAGACCACAAATCTCCTCTTCAAGACATACTTCAAGGTGAGTTATATGCTATGTACCAGATATTGTATCGGGGCCCATTGCTGATTCGAAGTAGATCAACTCTGTCGGTCTCACGAAGAACTTGCTTCGGGCAATCAATGCGCAATCCCACGAGTTGCCTTCTCTTGACGCATTCCCTAAGTCGCACATTGTTACCTTCGAATATTACCTTGGAGTTATTCACTTCCTCGACGAACAGTATAGCAAGGTACCTTGTCTTTTTCGAGAAACGATCAATGAAGGCTGCGAAAGACTAATCTGACTGCCTTTGTTGCAATTAGGCCGAGGAGCACCTGACCACCGCTTGGCAGATGTGCCATCGTGATGCTCACAAGAATAGAGAGTAAGAGTCGCGTTTTACTCGTGATCAACGCAGGACTGACTCAATAACCAGGCTGATTCTCACATACCTAATCCCATGTCACATGGTCACGACTCACACCCTTCCCAGTAGGCAATTACTTGCCCCTTTTCCGCGCTTAGAGCAGCTATTCAGACCCTTGTCCAACTGTATCCGCAGAGGCGACCTCGTGGGGTTCGATCAGGCGATGGCCGCTGGGGAAGCTGAGTTCGTGAAGCGACGGATCTATCTTCCGTTGGAACGGGGCCGCGATATTGCGCTGCGCAATCTATTCCGAAAGGTCTTCATTGCTGGTGGATACGAAGAGCCGAAGGATGGTCAGCCTGCGATCCGGCGCACCCGTATACCGGTGTTTGAATTCGCGGCAGCATTGAGAATTGGTACTCACGCGACGAGTCGCATGGGTGTAGACATCGACGAGGTCGAATGTCTGTTGGCTAATCTCATTTATAAGGTCAGTCCTCCTCGTGCCGCGGAGTAAGGTAGCCCCTCGCGACGAATTACTAATCATTATTCTGCGTGGATAGGGCCTGATGAAGGGCTACATTGCACGAGAACGCGGCATGGTAGTCTTGAGTAAGAATAATACCGCGTTTCCCGGCACGGGCGTCTAGGCAAAGTTCGCAGTCTACACAGCAGGCCGCATGCTAGCACACTACCACGTGCGCCTGGATGCATGTTCTCGTATAATGCAGTTTTCCCTCTACACACACTCTTATGATTGCACACGAGAGACGAGCCCATCGTCGAGCTTGCGCTTACCTCGTCCGAGGCCCTCTTTGCAGCTTTTCCACATTGTTACGATGACATGAATGCAGCTGATACTTTACCCTATACGCCTCTTTCTTACTCCCCAGGTGGTCTGCTACTGTCCCGGATCGATCGCAGATTCCATTGGTGTATAGTATACATATCCCTAGAAAAATAACTATATTACAGCAAGCCCTTTGACTCTCAAAGCCCCATCCTCGTCGTGCCCGGGTAACCTAGAATTGCATGTATGAGCTGTCTCATCAATGATGTCTTACCGTAGTCAAGATTTACCGAGCTAGATGTCGGGGTTCTGGCATGGCCGAACTACAAACCGACATTGCCGACGGAAATGCATCGTCCTGTGGGAACATTCCGATTAGCCTTCTTCGAGACAAGGCCAAGGCCGACCAGAAGCACTTCTTCCAACAGTTGGACAACACTTTGAGAACAGCTCGTCAAACTCACCATATGATTACACATCGCAACGAACAAATCAAAGAACAACCTCCCACCCTTCTCCATCTCGGCTTGCATCGTCCCACTGCGCTTGAACGTGCTCCGGCAACGTATCATCAGCGCGAGATAATGCGCCCGCAGTCGCGACTCGGTGTCGGGCGTATGCGCATACGCAAATCTCGCACTGGACAAAATTGTCCGGCATGGAATCCCCATTTGAAGACCTTGCTTGCGCAGAGCCAGACGCGCCAACGACGGTAGCTTATACGCAAGTGCGGAGCAATACACTGCCGTATCGCGCAGGACCGGCCCCTCCGCAGCGTGATGCCAGATCACGGCGTTCGTGGAGGTATTTGTGGTTGCGCTGGCCACCGAGGCAACCATTGTGCCTTGCGGGGCGGGTGCATCGGGAGCGAGAGTCCACGTTCCTGTGGTGGGATTGTGCTGTAAGCGCGGAGTATAGTCGCCTTTGTATAGATACTCCAGCACGCAGGAGAAGACCTCTGCGTTTTCATCGGGGAGATCGATGCGTTTACTTGGGGCAGTGATGTGCGGGTGGGATGGTGGAGGAGGGCTAGGAATCTGCGAAGAGCATTGGGCTGCGAAGATGGGGCAAGCGCTGAGGATGGATTCATGCGCGGCGAAGAGACGTTGTTGAGGGCCCACCCGGAGCATTACAATGGGTGATGATGATGGAGACCGGGCTGGGCTTCTGAAGCAGGTGTCAGCCAAGTCCCACTACTTTAAGGCTTTTGTTTTCGAGCGACAAAAGAAGGCAGAGAATGCGACGACGTCTCGCGAGGGAAATCGGACGTTGCTCTCTAGGTACCCTGGGCATGCGACACAAATGAAACCTGCATGGTGATAGGTGTGCTCTTCACTTACGAGACATTGGGCGGAGCCATCGGTCTCCTCCTTTCTAAACGTCTGAAGCTCCCTGAGCTAGAACTTTGTCTCATGCGCCTTGACCGTACCACCGAGGCTTTGGCTGCTCGATATCGGGAGAAACATGCATTGGGCGCCGGCGCAGCAGCGGGTGCTGGCCTTCTTGAAAGCATTACTCGTTTGCGAAGTCGGTCATCCATCATTTGGCTTTGCCAGGCTTGTTGGAGGTGGTTGGTTCTCAATTGGTCAGGAATGACAGTGTTAAGTGTGCCGAGGTCCGCGCCTGGTACTGTAGGAGAGGCTGAATCGTACGACGATTCAGGGGGGGGGTGGGGGGGGTCAAGGCATCTATTTATGAGCCCCCGTCCGGCCTGGGGACTGTGGAGTTTCTTGGGACGGGGAAAGGAAAACATGGCAAGAAGATTGCCTCTTGGCACTAACTCAGTCAGGCAAAGCTTTGCAGCATGTTTTGTCATTCTCGTACGAGAACGATGAAGTTGACATTGTGACAGCCTGACCTGAGGCCTTACCCATGGCAGTAAATGCCATAAATACCCCTGAGGAGATATTGCGAGTGGCGCTTCCAGCTCCGGTCTATCCTGCACCATCCGCCAGTCAATATAACCCCATCAGGCAGGGTACAAACCTGGCGACGCGTCATGACATGTTTGAAACGCGTACGGCTGGGAAGTGGACGAAAAAGCATCGCGAAATGAGCGCGTGGTCACGGGGATTTCACTAGTCGCGAGTAGCGTCGTTTGGGTGAGCCAGTCACATGTCCGCTTGGAGTCCCGCCGGTCTGCCATTTGAGAGCTGTCGATTTCCGCATCAACCCGACCGCCAGTCAGCGCCTTTTTAGGGGCAGTTTGGCCTCGTCACGGAGTCACGCCTGATCCGAACGGGAGCGCCAATGTGGAGCCTGGAACATGAGATGATGTTTAGCCAGGGCATATGTCTAGTGCGATATGCGTCATTCTGTGGTCAAGGTTGGCTACACTAGTCTACCTTAATTCTGTCGGTCCAAATGTAAAACGAGCCCAATCAAGAGCCAAGGGAGGCGCTTATCGATAGCATGCGGGAGGTTGTCATCCACAGTGACCTCGAAGACTTGAGTTGTTATGCTTGACCTTGACCTTGACCTTAATCGAGCTGGGTCCGCCCAGATTCCACCCACAAGTCCATCTCCGCTTCCGAGGGCCAAATACATGGGGTCTTGAGACACTCCGGTGTTTGAGCCGATCAGACTACACATGCAGACTAGACAGTACGAGCATGTCACGAAAATGAAGCAGCAACACAGATTGGGCTGCGGCGAGACATGTGTCAACTGACCAGACTACGGTAAATACGACCCTCATGTTGTCTCTGCCCTGCTGCAGAGGTCGCAAGCTCTCAAAGGGTTCTTTGAGTCTTGTCTCCAAAACAGAATATACGATACTGAACCAGTCGTCGACCCGGAGCGTGTATGACACGACTCAAGAGGAGAAAAGCACGGACTAGAGTAAGCCACAAAAAATGAGCATGCACGATGACAGCTAAAGAACGCCGGCTGCCAGGACCCTGAACGCCAAATCAAATCGAAACCGGACCAGAAAAATGAGTGTTGGACGAAGCCCCGGTGACTCCGTGTGGACCAGCCAGCTCATCACAGGAAAACCTTCCGAGCATCCTTCATGTGGCTCTCGTTCGGACAATAGGGGCACTTGAAGCGGCTACCCTTACTGAGTCGTTTCAGGGACTCCTCGGCGATCACATGCCCGCAGGGCATCATCATGGGCGGGTTTTCATCAGTGGCCTGTTCCTTTGACACGGGACAGACAAAAATGGAGTGGAAGAGATAAGATGGGGGCAGCGGAATTTCCACCTGTGAATCAATTTGGTGTCAGTGATGCTCACTCCAATTTCCCGCAGCGAGAAGAAACCTACCGGAAGCTCATTCTCACTCGTCCACTCGGTCCGTTTGGCCTTCATGATCGTTTGGAGTTTGAGGAGCGTCGGCAACGCAATCGCCCCGGCCGTCGCAGCAATGTAAAGCGGCGAGTCTGCCGACAGACCGAGCAGCGAGCAGAATTCGCGAGTGAAAAACTGGGCTACATCCTCCCATGCAGACGTATTGTTGAAAATGGCAGCATATGGCGAGCCCGGTAAATTTGGGCAAAAGGCCATAGCGCCCATCAACTGCTGTACCTCGCGGAGATATCGCGGTACGAATGCATGAAACTCCTGCTTGGCATAAGCCATTGCCGCACGCCAATTTCCAGGGATTAGACTCGGGATTGCTCCCGCCGTGTCAGGCTCGCCATGATAGAGCCACACAAATTGCAAGCGACATAGCTCAAATTCTAAGTTGCTGCCACGAGCTTCCAGCGCCTCTCGATTCTCGCGAGCCCATTCAATCGCCGGAAGAAGATTCCGACGCTCTTTGAGCTGGGACAGTATATAATACATGGATGCGAATTCTTTGCGAATTTCCGCCGATGGAACCTCGTCGAGGTCCAGGAGGCTTGGCGATCCGGGAGATGCGGAGCTGCGCTCATTACTAGTCATCAGGGCCTTTTTCTCGGAGATCTCGGAGAGGAAGCTTGCTGCGACGGAGAATTGACCCTCTCGCAGGAGATGCATAGCGATGGCGCGATTGATGAGAGATTCTTGCTGGGAAAGGACATCATGTTCGGTGCTCGGGAGAGGTCTGTCTTTGAAGAGCTTCAAGTCAGGATATCGTACATTAGCATCCATCTGGCACAAAGTGTGGGGATCTTGGAAGAGACCGAGGGCTAATCGAGGTACCTTGTCAAGTGACTTGGTATACTTGTTGAGGCTACCATGGGTCTCCTTTAAGCCATCGTTGATGGCGTTGAAAGATGTCTTGATGGGATTCTGAAGCTTTGCAAGGGTAACAGCGGCCTGGTTGGGATCTTTGCGGAAGGCTGTCAATAATGGACCGTTTCCCCGCTTTCATAATGTTCTCTTGGCTCGACTTGGACAATCAGAACATCGACTCACCAGCTGCAATAGCATCTCGGGCGGACTGTAGAAGATCAATTGTGGCTTGGACACTGTTGATTCCCTGCGACGACCTTAACTTCTTCAGGAGTCGGTCATGCTCCTTCTGAACCAGATCCATGGCGGTGCGGTGGCTCAAGCTCCGCCCGGCGGCGTGTACTAGATGCGGAGTAGATCAGATAACCGCCCACCAGAGCATCACAGTGCCATAAAGGAGAAGCAATTTGAAGCGGCCGAAAGAAATGGCGACCAGCTTTGGACTGGAGTAGACTGGATGATTGGCGATGCAGGTGTGAGCTTGGTGGGAGGAATGATCGTGACTCCGCAGTAGGTCGATGTCAATCAAAGACGCAACAAGCGGCGTCGGTGGCCGGACCAAGCCTCGAGCTGTTCCGAGAGCGATTGCCGCTTCTTACGACATCCGCACGTGACCGGTCATTCTTATGTGCCTTCGACTGCACTCAGCACTGAAGAGACTAAGCAAGGTACTGAATACCTACCTCACGATGGACATAATTCCTTCCGTGCATTTCCGGAAGGTTTCGTGAATCGTGGAAGTCTGGACATACTATGTAACTGTACATCTTCCGCTTCCCTATTTTGTTGGTCTTTGAAAGCCATATAATTCAGGTTGCCACAGCTGCGAGAGCGTTAGCGCAGAAGGAATGCTCAATTATCCATCTCACGCTCCAACCGTTTCTTATACAAGAGTAGCTTGACTGTCTCTTCTTGAGCAATAAACATGTTTTCGTGCATTCTGTTGGCTAATTGTCTCAAAGCCCTCATTACCATGCGCGCTTTTCCGATGATTCAAATTCGGTTATCCAGGAAGTATATGAGCTCCTCCTACTCAGCAAACGTGCTGAGCGGTAACAAAGTTTCCTGCGCAGCAGTGGCTGAGTGGCATATGGGTCAGCCTATGATTTCAATTGGAGATTGATGAACGGGCATAAGCACACACTTCAGCTAAAACCTGCCTTGTCCATATCTGATCCAACCCATCAATGAAGGAGTAGTTGTGGTCGCTATTATACTGTAAAGTCTATCGAAGGGAGACTAATTTGAACTCATTCAAAGGTCGCATCTGATGGCCCTACTCACCCATCACACCAGTCTCAGAATCTGCACTTACAAGACACGTTCAACCTCACGTGACTTCACATCAAGAACTTCGAGGTGTTACCGTTAAGTAACAGCTGGCTCACTACATAACTAACTATTACAGTACAATGACACGTTCTGTTAGGATTAGCTTCCATTTTCGGCTGGGAAATCACCTTCTGCCCGGGAGCTTTGACCAATTATTGTTTGCTATGCCAGGGGGCGGCCCCACTCTCGCTTACACTAGGCTCTAGAGAGTGGGTATAAATTGCCGGTCCCCTCCCCGTCCTTTCCTCTTCTTTCTTCTTTCTTTCTTCATCCTAGTGCACGGGTTTTACACGTATCAGTGAGGAGACATCCGAGATCGTGTTTTTGCTAGTTGAAAACTATCAACTTGACTGCTCTGTCTGGTCTTCGGATCGGGCAGGAATTTTTGAACAAACAAAGTTGCCCAAATACCTTGGTCATCATCGTATTTGCTCTGGATCTCACGTGAAGGCATGCTCCTTCATGTGTGAACTGATGTGGTCTTCTTTTCACCGTCGAGCTACCCAAAGTTGGTGGCGCATGGAGAAGAGAGTAATATACGTAGTCTTGGTCCTTCTAGTGCAGCATTCTCCTCAGTCATCTCCTCTCCGTTGTGGCATCTCGTCCACCGTAGATCCTCCTTCCAGGTGTGGCATGTTCGCCGCGATCCTGCTACGTAGTTAATGAGTCGACCGTCTGACCTGCGGGGCACCATCCCTCATTGTCCGTTTTGTCTACATAGCACGAGATTACGCTGACCTCTGTAAAAGAATGCCGGGCACATTTACCTATCTTCCGTTCCTGAGTGCAGGAGAAGACGTCCCTTCCCTGGAGGCAGGCCGAATATCCCCTTCCATAGTCCTCTTCCACTTGCGACTGGGCTGGTCGTGGTCACCGCCCCGCCACCGGCTGAGTGACGTCGCAGATTCTGCCCGTCGGCGATGGTTGTGGACCGCTGCCTGGCCCGTACTTGGCACGGTCGTAGCTTGCTCTTGCCCAGCGACTGTCTTGCGGACATTAGAGACGCTGACTCAAACATGCTTCGAAGACGCTTTACCGATAGCCCGCGTCAAATAAGGAGCTCACCCTAGACCACGAAGGGATCTGAATTCACGCCATCTGCGTATCCTCGATTGACGGTAAAGCATGCATGACGCCGGGTCCGCAACCGTTGTCTGATACGAACACATGCCCAGGAGCAAATTGGCTTGGTCGCAAAAAGACTCACTCGTGCAAATTCTGACAGTCAAATATTATAAGTGGAACTCCGATGCAGTCTGCCACATCATCCACACCGCTGGCCGGTGATCATGAACCCGCCAAAGCCCTCGACAGCATGCGAACGAGCCCCGCAGCCACGGCTGGCCGCCCACGAATGCAAGGTCGTCAGAGAATCGTCTTCACAGATCCGGTGGCTCTTCGATACCTCGAAGAAGATCCCTCGACAGATGTACTGCATCGTCGTGAAACCCTTCAAGGCTACGAGATATACATTGTTGAACAATGGGCCTGCTCACGACAGCATCCTACGTTCGTGATTGCCACATACACCGGGGAGTTGTCTCACAAGATCTTTGTGGGGGTACTCAGTGTCCCAACAGATGAGTCGGCCTGGTCGCCTCGGCTGCGGATGTACTTTGGTGCTGTGGAGCAATGCTGTGCGCGCAGGAAGGAAACACCGCTGGGTACGATCATGATCACTGATCTCGGTTCATTTTCATCCGCCTTGACGATCATCCTGGTGCCTGAGGGGGATATCAAACGACATCGCGACGATTTCATAGTAAATGAAAATCTGAAACGGCTTGGATGCGCTGGCCGCGCCGGCTTGAAGCTACAATATCCCTCAGCGGCCACCAAGGCCAAGTTTTACCAGCTTTATCGCACGAGCGAGCGGGTCGAGCTCTACAAGGCCGTGGTGGAATTGGTCAGGCAGTGTCAAATCGCCTTGATGGTATTTGACAAGCTGATGCCCGAGTACGTCGATGGCTTGCTCTGCGATGTGACTGAGAAGGCCATAGGAGACTGGTGGGCGGACATCGGCACAGATTTGTATAATGTTGAACCGAGCGATGGTGCCCTCGGACCGACCAGTGTTGCGGCACTGTTGGGGACATTCCTCGGGGCCCGTAATCGCCTACACGCATACGGCGCACCTGTTGCAAAAGATGCCTTCGACATTGATAGTTTCAAGAGAGGGATTGGCAGTTTCCAGAAATCCCAGAAGTTGCCTCGATCTCGACGACTGGATCGACGGACAATCGACAGATTGCACCGTGCCACCGTTAAAGCTGCAAACTCTGAAGGTTGGACAGATGCCATAAAGTCTACGATGACGGAACTAAGTGGGCAGGGTGGTGAGATGGTCATGGGTATGGTGCGCGGCCGCGAGAAAGGCGGAATTGCCGATGTTGAGACCCTTGACCTCGACAATTTCGTGCAACGCGTAAGCGGATCAAGAGCCAAATGGCTGTGGCTTGGAAAACGGCCAAAAGGCAGCGTTGAGCCTGGCTTTGCGTCCAAGGATGGTCCAGACGCCGTCTTCACTGCAGACGATCAAGGTGGATATGTATGGACAAGTCGCAAAAAGAACTCAGCGGAGGAGCTCCACGCTGAGCGCATCCCTACTGGCCCCGACAAGCAAGCAAAGCCAGGGGAGTCGCCTGTGACCGAAGAGAAGGAGCCTCGTAAAAAGGGCATGAGTGGGAGAGTCTCTGATGCTCGAGCTGGTCTTGGGCGATTCAAGGATGCCGTCGGACTGCCTGGTCTTCGCTCGAACCACAAACAACCACGTGAAGCAGCAGAAGTGACTCATGATATCGCGTATCAGCCCCAAATTGAAAGCGATACCGAGGGATCTTCATCAAAGATCAAAATCGATCCTGGGCGCTTTGTTGTTTTGCCGAGTGCAGAAGATAAAATCCATCCACAAGCTGAGCAGAGCGCTGCTCAGTCTGCCATCGCTGGGACTGAAGCTGAGGTCAAGCCTCCCGAGATCCATGTTGAGAGGGTTCTCTCTCTTTCGAGAGAAGAAGAGCAAGCCGAACGTGCCGATCAATTGAAGGAACTACAGCCAATTATAACGATTGAAGACGATTCAGATATCGAACGTGTCAGGAGTCGGTCTACTGCCGCGTCCAGCGAGAGGGGGCAAGACCGGGCCGATGCCAGCTCAAGTTTAGCCATGATGTCTCTCCGGCATGCGCAGAGCTGTGAGGAGCTACGCGAGGTCGAGAACGAGGAACAGCGATTGGATGTTCGCTGTGCTCGGCACTTGTCGTTCAGCAACGCGGAGGAAGTAATCCTCATCTGGAACCCACTGGGCTCACAGCCCTTGCCGAAAGACACAACCGTTCTTGAAGAAGCCATCGCCCAGGAGGACATGCTTGCGTCTGACGCGCGCATTTTCAGTTCTCGCATCCTGAAGCTTAGTGAACATACCGTGCCATGGGTCGAGCGGCAGGTGGAGTCGGTCGATGGTTTGAATCGGATTCTATGCGAGCGTCATGAGGAGCTCAATGCCGTCTACTTGGATCGTTACGGAGACTACCAGCGCCTACGAGAACGATCTACAGACCTTGTTACGGATGTGCATGACCATCTGAATGACAGTGTGAAGCGCGTGGAGCTGCTGGGTGCTAAAATGGACTACGAACTCCATGTTCTCGAATCAAAAGTCGTAGACATGGAGGAAGGATTGAACGATTTTGACCGCCACATTGAGCATGTTGAGTCCCGATTGAAGGGTCTATTGCAAGGCGAGGAAGAGAATAGCGTTTCATGGTCCATGTGGTTGTTGCGGTCTATGGGATTGATAAATCAGTAAGCAGGTCTTGTCGGGTTTTTCAAGCTTTAGTATCCGGACGTGGCTGGTCACACGCCTGACTGCTTTGATTGCAAACAAGTCCATTTCCCTATTGTACATATAAAGTTTGGCGCTCCGCGCCGATCAAGCAAATTAATGATTGCAGATGGTGAAATCATGTCGCAAGCGTCCATTTCCCCCGTCCCGGAGCCTAGAGCCCAGAGCCCAGAGCCCAGAGCCCAGTTGAGCTGGACGCTTGCCCTGGGGTCCTGGTTCACAGTCATGGAGACATACTCAAAACACCTTGAATTCAGTCATGATATTTGGCGGTGATAAGCCAAATTTGTCGGTCCCTTGTCGGGATCTGGCATTCTTTGAACATCGTCTCCTCAAGTCTGCAACGAACGTATACCATGAATATTTTACATCATACCCATACCGCCGCCAGCGTTCTGCTGCATCTTCTCGCTGACCTTGACGTTGACCTCGAAGAACTTGGACACGCAGCGATCCAAGCAGACGGACTCGCCCTTGTTGAGGTCGCCCTCGCGGTAATCGGCCGGAATACACTTCTTGGTGCAGGACTCAGAGAGACTGCAGAGACATTATGCCATTAGATGATATCTTTCCAAGTCTTCTTGAGCAAGAACGCATCGTGAATTCCCTTACCGTGTGAACATGTCCGTGATCATCTCAACCTCAGTCTCAGCGGCAGCGATCTTCTGCTCGGAGCTCATCTTAGGCTGGCCACCGAAGAGGAACGACATTTTGTAGGCGGATAAGAGGTGCTGTTTGGCAATTTCTGCTCAGCTCAGGCATCATCATTAGATCGACTTCGACATGAGATAGTAGAGTTCTGCATTTTCCAAGCTAAACTCACAAGGACTTGAATGGGTTTCCTGTATTGCGATCAAGCTGAGTTGTTGATTTACACAGCGGACCCGGAAGCCTTTCGACGCCGTCGAAGGTCGGAAAGCTCGGACCACTTTCACTGCTCTCTCCGCCCGCGCCGAGTTTTCTTCCACATTTTTACGCGCCTGGGTTTCATTCTTCCCTTCTTCCCTCACTCACGCAATGTGAGTCGGAAACAACTGCAACTCTCATGCATACAATTCGCCTTCGGGCCGTAAGAGGACTAGAAGGTCTGCACAGCGGGTAAGCTTTTTCTCAGTCATGTCTATGTCTGCTCCTGAGCATTTGCAATTCTCTTTGCACCAACCACAATGTCGCATTTATTATGATGAGATTATCCCCTCTGCTTCAGAACCGCTGCAGTTGATGTCCTTCGGGACATATGAACGAACCGGAACTCAATTCCTGATTACAACATGCCATGATATCCTTTGAACCTCCAATTGCCATTGTTGATGGAACGAAAAAGCTGACTTCCATGTCGCAGTGCCCGATTGCGTCTCTCCACTCGTCCAGTTTCACTTGGACTAGGTCAGCCTCTACTAACATCTCAGACTCCGGCTACCCGATGCGTCAGTTCGAATACTTCTCCGAAGAAGGCTTTTCAGGAGCGAATGCAAGAAATTCGCAACGCATGTGCCGATCCGTATCCTCGGCTTGCAGTAGACTCGCGTACTCTGAGTTGTGCCGACTTTCGCACTCGCTACGCTCACTTGAAGGAGAATGAAACAGTAGAGGAAGACTCAATTGTCATTTCTGGTAGGTCGTCTGTTTTCCGGCCGCATGAACCAGTGCCATTGTACTTAGATTAGCTAGGTAGGATCCGTACCTATAGACTCGCCGGGAGCAAATTGATCTTCTTCGATATCGTGCAAGATGGCCACAAAGTTCAAGTGATGTGCAATAAACGACAGCTTGCGAATGTCGACGGTTCCGAGTTTAAAAAGTTCTATCGCCTTTTGCGCCGCGGCGATGCATTCTGTACGTGCATCAGTGGCAACTTCTTGTCTTTGACAAGCAATCCACGGCTTTCGGTGATGCTCCTTGACTAACGGGACCCTTTCTTTCCAAAAGCTATCACCGGGCGACCGTATCGAACTGGCCGTGGTGAATTGACCATAGATGCCACTGAGCTGCCGCAGCTGCTCTCACCATGTCTACACGATGTGCCTATTCACGATGCCGCCCACCAAGAGACCTCACCGTACCCTCGCCATGTTCAATTCATGGCTGATCCCACAGCTGCCGACATCATTCGAGCGCGAGCTTCGTTGGTGCAGTACCTGCGCCAGTTCTTCCTCGACCGCTCCTTCATGGAGGTCAACACACCGATCATTGGCGCAGGCGCCGGTGGTGCCATCGCTCGACCGTTCAACACGTCGGCCACAGAATTCCCTGATCGTGTGCTGTCCTTGCGAATTGCACCCGAGTTGTGGCTCAAGCGACTGGTCGTGGGCGGGTTTGACAAGGTCTTTGAGATCGGCGCGTCTTTCCGAAATGAAGGTGAATATCTGATCCATGTGGCTTCCCCAGTCTCGGTTTCGTTCAGTATACTAATATTGTGCAAGGTATCGACAAGACTCACAACCCCGAGTTCACTACTTGTGAATTTTATCAAGCCTACGCCAACTTGGAAGACCTGATGAGCATGACCGAGCTGTTGCTGTCCGGGATGGTCGAGCATATCAAGACCTTCAATGTCAAGGGCACTCTCAATCCCACCACGGCCGATTTCCGCAGGCCCTTCCGGCGCATCGATTTCATCACTGGAATCGAAGGGCAGATCGGACGCGCCCTGCCCGATCTTTCCTCTCCAGATGCCTTGATCCAACTACATACCCTCTTCCACGAGCTTTCTCTCCCCCTGCCGTCATCTCCCAATCTTCCTCGCCTTCTCGATGAGCTATGCGCTACTTACCTTGAGCCACTCTGCGTCGACCCGACATTCATCATCCACCCGCCTGAATGTCTCTCTCCGTTGTCTAAATCATTCATCCACCCCACCGCGAATCAAGTCGTCGCCGCGCGTGGTGAGCTTTTCATTCAAGGCAAGGAGGTAGTCAACACCTACGAGGAAGAGAACTCGCCTGTGGAGCAGCGACGCAAGTTTGAGGACCAAGTGCGATACAGCAAGGGCTCTGATGAACCTGCTGAAGTGGATGAGACTTACTTGGAGGCGCTCGAATGGGGTCTCCCTGCCACGGGTGGTTGGGGTTGTGGCGTGGACCGACTGGTGATGCTGTTCACCGGTGCGAAGCGGATTGGGGATGTCTTGCCGTTTGGCACTTTGCGCGCTGTGACCCGGCGGCCCTCTGTCCTCCCTGGCCTGACCGGCAAAGAGAATGTCCCGGCTAAATGAGAAAGCGTGGAGAACTGTATTCTCTGTGGCGAATATTGTATGATAAGGTTTGAAGCTGTACTAGTAAAGAGTGAAAAGCGATCTTGTGGTGCATCTAAATTGAACCTCTACCATAACCCAACTGTATTGAGCAAACTTTTATCTTTTCGCCTTCATTTCTCAGGTCCTCATCTGAAGCTTATACAGTGGTTGACATAGAATTACATCTGATGTCTTGCCTGTAATACATACAGCCCGTAGCAAAGCATTCCATGCAAAGCTCGACTCATGCCTGCGCAATATATATACCAGAATGAAGCCCACCAGCGCTTTGTGTCAATGATATGGAATACATTCTGCGCGCAAAGGATGTGGGGACGGAACGGCAATTGCAAAGCCAGTTCTGGCTTTTGTATCTCACAATAGCAACAATATCATTCTCCTGGATCGTCATGGAAATTATCAATGACCTCAAGTATAAACCAGTATAGAGTATCAACCTCGTGTCAAATACTTTGCAGATAGAAACGTCAAATTGGGCCGTCGGCATCGCCCGTCGCTACCCGTCTCAAAACCCCCCGGTGGGGGAGATCCGATTCTACCTTTCTTTTTGTTTCCATTTTGTCTGTTTTAAACTTCATCTTCACTCCCCACTCTCTCTATGGTCCGGTAGCAGACTTTGTTCAATTTGGTGATATTTTACTAGAGACTCACAGGTTCTTCGTAGTACCTGAGGCATCACTGCGCCGATCATACCACTATCAACGTTTGGAGTAGGTACTCCAGTCGGGTAGGTTGAGTCTGGTCACCCGCGGGGGAAAACAGACGTCTATTGTTCCACTTCAACTGGGATTTACAGTCTTTGCTTTTCCATCTCTTCATTTTCCCACTCGCCGTTGTCCCCACGCACTCGGTCTATATACTGTCCGCTTGTCATTTCTAATATGCAAGCCCCAATCGCTCAAGCGGTCACTGTAAGCCTGAAGGAATTGCAAGATGGTAAGTGAGGTCGGTGGCTCACCTTGTCCGACGAGTGTGTCTGTAGTCTCTACAGGTTCCAAAGCAGATGTTGACTCGTTCTTCTGCAGGAACCGTGTCCTTCGATAGCCTCACCGAGGCCTTTGGACCCTCGTCGTTGGGGATCATCATTGTAAAAGATCTTCCCGAGCAATTTCAACAGCTCCGCGCGCAAGTCTTATCGCATGCATCCTATCTTGCTGCGCTTCCCTCCTCGGATTTGGGTGAGCTTCTCCGGAGCGGTCCCATGAGACAGTCACCGCCAGCAGTTCACTAACATTGCCTCTCTTTCTCTCCACTTGCGCAGAATCTCTTGAGAGCCCTGAATCTAAATATCTCGTCGGCTGGTCTTGTGGCAAAGAGACCCTGAAATCGGGCACCTTTGACACGCTCAAGGGCTCATATTATGTCAACTGTGCCTTCTACCAAGATCCATCACTGCAAAGTGCTCCCGCAGATGGCTTTCCTGATCTTCCTCAGTACACCGCGCCCAATATTTGGCCTCCAGAGCGCAAGCTGCCAAGTTTCCGCCCTTCTGTCGAGGCCCTCTGCTCGTTGATCATCGACACCGCTGCACTCGTTGCCCAGGCCTGTGACCGCTATGCCGAGGCTAATATCGAAGGCTACAAGCCCGGTTATCTCGCCCACGTCGTCAAGGGCAGTCTCACGACCAAGGCGCGTCTGTTGCACTACTTCCCCGCTAACGATGCCCCCGCCTCAATGTCCAACCCCACACCCGCTTCAAAGGAAGAAGAAGACGACGATGACTGGTGCGCAACACACGTCGACCACGGCTGTCTGACCGGTCTCACATCGGCCATGTTCCTCGACGAAGCAGCCACTCTGCCCGTTCCAGAACCCACCCCTACTACCTCTCTCCCCGAGCTGCCCCAGTCTCCCGACCCGGCAGCTGGTCTCTACATTCGCTCACGAACCGGAGACGTGGTCAAAGTCAATATTCCCAAGGACTGCCTGGCTTTCCAGACCGGCGAGGCGCTGCAACTGATCACCAAGGGAAAGTTCCGTGCCGTGCCGCATTTTGTAAAGGGAGCACGCGCGGTAGGTGGCAAGCAGCGCATTGCGCGGAACACGTTGGCGGTGTTCACGCAACCCAATCTCAATGAGGAAGTGCAGGAAGGGTTGACTTTTGCCGAATTCGCCCGGGGAGTGGTCGCGAAGAATTACGACAATGACGAGAGTCAGAAGTGACTCAGAACTAACGGCAAGAGTCGGGAGGGATCTTGATCAGGTCTCCCAGGAACACTTGATGTGAGTAGTCAAAAGTCTTTTGAACGTGGAGAATCTGTGACCATCCAATAGCATATTTCCTTGGCCGAGGAGTCGGTTAACTAGGGGACACACCCTTCTGTCCTTGAACGAGTCAACGACGACGTATGAATCTACTTTTTCAAGAATTCTAAGAAGACCAGTCGCCAAGTATGAATAATACGTCATTAATGAATATGCGTGCCTATCGTAATGTGCCTGGACCAGCCTCGCTCACCCCCAGGAAACAAAAAGGGTATCCAATACAAATTGCTTTAGAAACGCCGCTCGGCCCCCACGCACCAGCAAATCTCAACAGAGATATTTTGTGAGTAAATCAAGATATTGATGGATATCGAAAACGTCTCCGTTGAAGTGAGTGACGGCGAGAGACAACCCAAGAACAACTTCTCTTGCAGGAAAATAACAGAATGACCCCAAAGAACGTCGGAGGGAAAATTGCAAAAGCAAAGGAATTCCGAAGTTGACATCTTCAGACCTGCCGCCCTCTCATGGTACATATTCTGGCCCTTCGCTCTGCTCACGGAACGGAATGGGAGCCATCAATTCGGTCTCGGAGAGATCCATGTCAGATGGGTCACTATCCGCGGTGTTCGATGGTCCCTCGCCGCTGTCTTCGTTCTCAGTCATGGCGCCAAGTCCGGTACGGACAAGCTTGCTGTTCTTGCTGACCGCACTGTAAGTCTTCCTTGCGCCGCGAGGACGACCAGGGCCTGGGCCTGTTCTGGTGATTCCCAAATCCGCGGTACGATAGTCGGACTCGGAAGTGCTGCCTTTTAAGATGCGAAGGATTGCCTGCCAACGCAGAGGATTGTCTCGCTGGTCAGCTGCTGGTCCCACGTCAATCCCGTTCATGGTGGCCAGGCCGAGTGTCTCAACCCGGTTGTCGCCCCAGAAGAATTCCAACCCCGCGGGAATACGTGCATCTACCTGCACAGAGTAGCGTCTGCCGCTGAGGATGCCGTGCAGGTCATAGTCCAGATCCGTGGTGCCAAAGTGCAGCTGTGTGGCTTCCGGTTCATAGCATCGCCCAAGAATCATGCCCGGCGTGACAACGCATGTTTTGCCTGCCGCAACACGATACCAGCGACCGTACACACGCATTCCCACTTGTTGAAACGCATCGTCGACCTCCTTGGGAGTGAGCTTCTCCAAAGGGGCAGGATCGAAGGGCATGACTCGGTTCAGCCGATGAGGATCACGGGTGTACACCTTTCCGGCAATGAAGGGGACCATGCTCCTGGCAAGCTGCTCGCTGTGGGGGTCTGCGTCGCAGTCTCCAAGTTCAAGCCAAATAGCCTCGATGACCATCACGTCATTGAGTGGAGGCTCAAGGCCTGACTTTAATTCTCCCTGGCTAGTCTCCATGTCTTCGGCCTTCAGACCAAAGGGCTTCAAGCGTACAGTGTCTGCGACAGCGAGTAATTCCGGCCCGATGTAAATACCCTTGCAGCCGATTCGAGCATTTGGCCAAGTGCCCTTGAATCGAACCTTGTGTAAGAGACTGTAGGATGCCATCGTCGTCATTGCATTTTCAATAGAGGGGTGCAGCTTCTCTCGGGGCGTGGGCCAGAGCCAGCGTTCGAATGATCCGAAAGGTTTGATGCATCTGAGGGGTACATATTTGTAATGCAACGAGTAGGACTTGTCATCAGCCAAAGGGTCAGGGAGCGTCTCCACACGGAAACCGGAATACGAAATTGGCTGCTGCTTTTTGGTCTCTTGGACAATGTCCAGGAAGCTTGATTCTTCCTCAGAGACTTGCGTGACAACACCGGCCCTCCATTCCGGCATACCAAGCCAACGGCCGTCCTCTGCACGCATCTCCACAACGTTTGTTTCAGTGTTGGTTTCGAGTCGGCCTTCAAGAGAATAAGTGAAGAGCACGACCTCGCCTATCCGGGGGACAAAGGCGGGCTGCAGTGGAAGACGCACAAAGTAGTCTTTGAGATAGTCATGGGTCAGTACCCAGTCAAGATTGAACGGGTGGTCGATCTCTTCATCAACAGTGCCTTTCTTTTTCAAATCCATGACATGAATTTTCCAGTAGTCAGGGCCGTTAGCATCCTCTGGTAGCTCCTGAATCATCTCTCGAGGTGGAGGCCGGGGGCTTCTGACAAGCTGCTCGACGCCTAAAGCCTTCAGGCGATCAGCTTCCATTTCTGCCTTGGTACGACCTGACGAGACGAGATATCAGTTTGAAAGCCTCCAGACAACATTGTTTGTTTGGATCAATGAGCATGAACTCACGTTTTCGGGGTTTAAATTCACGGGGTTTGAATTCGGAAAGTGGTTTCGAGCTCGACTGCACTCGGACACAGAGCTTGCACTCGCAAGGCTGGGCTCGATCAGTCATGAGCCAGTAGAAATGGGGAAAGAACGTGACGCGAGACTGATAGTATCTGCCACTCGGGTGGCCAAAGAGGAAACTATCCCGCTGTAGCTGGTGTCAGTGACTGTGGACCTCTTCTCAGAAGCCGCCGAAGATCATTATAACAGGTATGCAGCAAATGCCTTGATCTTGAGTATTCAGCAATCCTACCGTTTTCTGATCTGTTCCCCGAGGCCGATCCACAAGGGCATATCCTTCGGGAAGCGCGTCCAGGATATACGTTACGCCTGTTATGAAAGAGATAGAGACAGTCAGCTGATGGAATTCTTCGGTTGACAGCGAACTGAGAGATATGCAGATGTTATTGCTGTGATGAACGAGCACTGTTCCATGCTTTATCCAGAAAGGTCATCAGGATTTTCAAATGCAGGACACGCATGTCAAAGCAAGTTTTGGAAATGATCTTAATATCAAGAAAGTGGGCCGTCATGCTCGGGTCCATGCATCCTGCAGAGATGATTGTTGCAGCCGCGAGTTTCACGAAGACATGCATTCTCTCAGAAGCTCACACAGCGCCATCAGCATCTTACCTTCTTCTTGGATTGGCATCTGCTTCTTGACCCACATTTCAGCCAGGCCAATACGCCAACTCTCGTCGTCACGGAGTCTATACTCCCATCGCGGGTCCGAGTTGTTCATCGGCCAAACAGCCTTGTTCCCGTCACTTCGTGAGTGATCAAGAGCAATGACGACCCGGCTGGGGTCGTCATTTGTCTCACTTTCGCTTGCCATCCTCTGAGTATCAAATGACACCGCAGTGGCCAAGCTCAGGCGAGCGCGGGCAACGGTGCCCCTTCAGTGATGCAGCGTCCAGTGTTCAGATAGTCCCAGAAAGAAAATCTCGGAATTACAACCTGCAGAATGCATGCGTATGTCTGGAAATAATTTGCAATCTGGAATCAGATCACTCAGATGGCCGTAGTTTTTGATCGTTCAAAGAGTCGAACAATGATGCTGGATCACGTGTTTCAGTAAATGGTATCGGAGAGGATGGTAAGATAAAAATCCACGTACGTGGGAGGCGGTGTGCTGGGTATCATTCACAGATAAGGACGGGTGTGCCCACTGTTGATAAGGTTAGAAGGCTCCTGCAGGTACCAATATCACCCATCTACTGTACATTTGTAGTGTTGTACAATAGTAGGTCGTGGACAGTGACACTAGACACTTGCAATTCGCACGCGAGTGAGAGAAATCGAGGAGAAATCTAAGAGTAATTGCAAGTGATGTCAGACTGCCTATGTAACACACAAGAATTACTGTGTGTCCACAGCTATAACCAAGTTGTAAGTCACTCTAATACTCGATTGGATAATCGAGGTCCGAGGATCATTTCACCTTGCGGGGGATTTTGTTTCAACGCCACCGTAACAGCCAGCTATATGAGCAGTGTTTCAAAAAGGGTTTGAGGTCAGCGCCCCGAACAGACTACGTTTACATCCTACAGCGACAGATTAACAGGCTCTCGTAATCTGGTCGTTCTTTTGCAGACGAATTCAACTATCCCAAAGAAAAAAGCCTTCTATGTACTGTGCCAGGGTGACAAAGAGATGACAGATACTCCAGTATTAACGTCTTCTGTCGCTTACGAACACAAGATTAGCTCTGCATTTCCAACTAGATTGAATATCAGACTACAAGGCTTCCAAAAATGTATGTATAGTTCCAGTGTACCGAGGCTAAGACCCGAGCTCAAACAGGGGTTAGATCACAATACAAGCAAAGCAGAGAAAAACTGAGGAGCACACGAAAATATCAAGTATGCTATGTCATATGGAAACTCCAGTAACACCTTGAAGATGAGGGATGTACCGATCAGTGTGATGTCAAGAAATGGTATGGATGTCATGCACCGCTCGCAGCCTCATCAGTAGAAGCAGCAGCAGCGGCTTCGTGTGGCAGCTTCATGTCCTCCTCTTGGTAAGGGGGTGGTGCAATTTCCCCTTCATGAGTCCAGACTTTGCCAAGTTCAAACTCGATTTCTTCTCGACGCTTCTTCCATTCGTCCACCTTGTCCAGTCTCTTTCGAAGTTCCTGGATCTCCTTCTCCACTCCGAGTTTCTCTTTCTCAGTGCCGATACGCTCAAATTCCCAAAGCTCACCCTCTTCGCCGAGGCCAATGGAGAGATTGTAGGTATGGTACTTCTTGAGAGATGCACGGGTTGAGATCGTGATGAGAGTGATGCCGCGTTCCTTCGCTCGCTCATAGAGAATACCTTCAACGTCTGAAGAAACCGCAGAGGTACCTTCGTCGATGAAGGCGTAACGAGGTTCGTGATAGAAAAGACGAGCCATGGCCATGCGCTGTTTCTCGCCGCCGCTGAACACGTCTTTCCACTCCTTCCGGGCATCCCATCCCCCTTCACGCTGCGGTAGGTACCCCAGATGTACTGCATCGAGGATTGTCTGGAGATTTGAGTCGGTCTCGCCGGCCTCGCGCATGTCGATTTCGGTGTGCGGGTAGATAACCTGATCGCGTAGGGTACCGACGCTCAAATAGGGTCGCTGCGGAAGGAACATGATTCCATCAAGCCCGATCGGTCGCGGCCGGCTCACGAGGCCCCGATAAACAGGCCACAGACCAGCCATGATTCTTGCGATTGCCGATTTACCCACACCATTAGGCCCCGAGATGAGAAGATGATCGCCCGCATGGACGACGAATGAGAGGGATTCAATCAGCTCGTCGCCGCCTATAGGATATAGAGAAGGTGCGACAATTGGGACTTGCTCAAGGCGAACGCCGTCAAAGCCATTGTGAGTGGTTCCCTGGGCGTCTGCCAGTGAATAAAGTTCCGGGTGGGAGCCGCGGGAAGGTTGGTAAGCACTCGCATGAACGCGATGCAAAGTGGCAATCAAGTTGTACACACGCGACGTATATCCCGCAAGCTCCGAGATGTCCTTGATGCTGTACATCATGCGGCCTCCTGCATCAGCCAACGAGAGCATGAGACGCTTGTTGGTGATAAACTCTTTCATCCGACCACGCTCTCGATGCAAATTTTCTGGTATATCTGCCAACTCCATTGCGCCTCCGAGACCACCCCAAGCAGGGAGAAAGACTGGTAGAGACGTGATGAGATAGCCGAATGCGGACCAGGAGTACTTCAAAATTATATCCTCAAGCATGTTGTATCGAATCTTGAGACTGTAGATACCCTCCATCCAGCGCTGCAACTCCTTGAAGCTTCTTACGAGGAAGACACGTTCCGTATCTGCTCCGCCGTAGAAAGAGATCTCTTCAGCGTTGGCCAGAAGTCTGGAGTGTAGTCCTCTGAAGTCCCCTTCTTTCTTGCCTTCTACCGCCTTGAGCTTTCCAAATGGCGGAGACAGCTTCCGAAGTACCACAGCAGTACTGAAGTATCCTGTGAGAATGCCGCTCAGTGCAAGCGGGCCCAGGGATCGATAAAGTTGATAGTTGAAGACAAACAAGTCTACCGTCGGTTTACCCAGCGACGAGTATAGGGACGCCGCAGCCGAGCAGAAAAGGGTGAGGTCTTGAGTAATGAACTGATCCGGGCCTTGGCCTATTCCGCCATCCAAATTCATCAACTTGTAATAGTTCTTATTTTCTGTCAGGTACAGGTCGTGGATGTACCTTGTCAAACGGGTGCGGAAGGCAATCGACACCTTTGACTGAAGGAACTTGATCATGGCGTTTGTGTAAGAGGCAAGAGTGCCAATACCACACCACTTTAAGATTCCCCACAGAAACGACTTCCCCTTGCCAGCAACAAGGTCTCGAACTATCTCACCGTCTAATCTTGCGATTATCAGGGAGAGGTATGTACGGAGCAGCAGGAATACGCCGTGGCTCAGGAGCAGCCCAGTCTCTTTACTGCCCCATCGTGGAACCATGATACTACCCAGACTCAAGAACTGGTGTATGAAGGCAAGATTGAGTCCAGGTTTGATTGACGGTGGAGGGATTCGGCTTTGTGATCCCTCTTCCATGCCGCGAGCTGACGCTGGAGGGTTCAGGAACAGTCGCCGATGAGCGTCAAAAGTGGTTGGCTTAGTCGGGTGAATCAAAACTTTCGAGGTCCTCTCCCCTTTGTAGGGGACATAAATTGTTCGAGACCCGTCTTTCCCTCTGATTCCCGAGTTCCTGCGAAGCAAGCGGCGACCTCGGGCACGTTCGTTCGCTCGTGCACGCAGCCACTTATACCCGCCATAGCTCGAGCTGATGATTGAGAACAAGATGGTGATAATGGCAATCAGTCGGGTGACCGGTGTGGTTCGTTTTATCTGCGATCGCAGTAGATCTGAGTAATGAAGATAGAGCGCCATGAGGGGGTCCTCCGGGCGCCGGAGGGTGGATTGCGCCGCCATCTTCCAAGCCAGTATCGCCCACCGTCCTCGAGAGCATCAAGCCTAGGTGGCTATTATGTAGATGTTGAAAGCACCATCAACACAGCCAGGGTCCAGCGCTCCAGTGGACAATATCGACAAGAAATAATACAGACACGGTATACACGAGGTTGAAGTTTGTAGGAAAGAGGGCGTGTTGCATCATTGCATGTGAACCTCGGGATTGCGGAGGCGGCACGTGTTCCGGGGAAAGCTCCAATGGGTCCACCCTTCACACAGGGCAGTGGGCCACTCCGGGCACACCTAACACAGACAATCATACCTCGTTATCGGCCGTGCAGATGCGTCCTATACGAATGGGTATAGTTACTTCCACGATCGATAACAAGAGGTCTATATTGTGTATAATGTGGCTATCTTGTGTTACTCGGATATAGCCTGTACTGAGACTCGAGATACTGTTTCTTCATAAGAACATAGGATATCATAGTTAGGTAGCTCCAATGGATGCTTACTCGTCATGTAGCTCTTCATCACAAAACGAGGACATTAAGCTACTGTAGAGCCTACCATATAGTAGCCCAGTATTGAGGAGCCTAGAAGAGCTAGCCTGCGGCCTTCAGCGCAATGTTGTCTGTGTGCCCACAAATGTATTCTCGTTGAACTGATGCAGGTGTGTGGCTACTTAAGTAATTACACCCTAAATATATAACTTAGATGCTTCTGGGCCGGGGAAATGAATTGTTTCGGATGTAATTTCACGGCAAATACTCTATAGCACACTATTTTACTTCTCGCCGCCAGGTGCTACAGTTGCCGCAAAGACGTGACCTCGTCTTTATTTTCAGATGGTTGAGAGTGAGAGAGACAGAGTGCATACTGCATAGTAGGACCCTGCAGGAAGTCGGTAAGTAAGCTGCAGGAAGTCCAAAAAGGCTCGAAAATCACAGGCATAGTTAATGAAAAGGTAGTTTACTATGCAAATTCCAAGATGGACTTCTTGTGCAATGAGAACCTGTTATGGGAAATAGCCGGGTCTATTAACCAAACAAGCCAATAGACTAGAATATACCAGAACGCGTGTTCTGGTATGCCCGGGAACGGTATAAGTATCGCACCGTTACGGCTTGCGGCTGGCTGGCTACGGCTCTGCGTAGCCACTAAGCCCGCAATCCGCCGTAACGATCTCCGCCACCGCGCCTAGATCAATAATTATCCAACAATCCACCAACGTCTGGTAGTTGCTTGCAGTTATGGCGCCAAGGTCTAATCAAAGACATAAAAGGGGTATCCAGTAGAGCAAGTACTATCATTTTACAGCGTATACATCGTACAGGGTATATCCGTTAGCCAGCGATTTAGGTATTTAGCAGATTGAGGTTCAGCTAACCCAGCACTTAGGGGCTGGTAGCCGTTCCTCTGTACCTCCTGTCTTCTCTGACAACATCGAGCTTTCAGTCCACCGTGGGAAGTTTTCCAAAGATAACAGTATGCAAAATGACTTTTCTGTTGAACACGTCTATTGATTCTGCGTAGAATCTCGGTCGCACTGGTGAATCGTTGCATGTTACCTATTGTAGTAGGGAATCCGGTTACGTGTATGTAGAGCAGATGGCTTGCAGAGTTACGTGTGCCTGATGGTGGCCTTGTAGTCGGGAGAGACTATTTGGACATGACGAGAGGGGGTCACTCAACTTGACAACCAGTGAACCAAGGAAGAGAACAACTTCATGGGATCCGGGAGACCCATCGGAGAAGGGAATTGAGAGTTCAGTACAGTCTTTACAGTCGGGTTCTTTTGCATTGCAATGACACACTCCTTTTGATCTTCACTTGTGCCTCTTGACATCCAACGGATAGGTGTTGTACGGTCGGGCTGGGAGATCTCTGGACGTGCGTGCTGGTGGTTGTGGTTTGGTTCCTCTATGACTCGACCTGTCTGGTGAGATCAGACTGCCTTGAGCATTCCCCTCTACACTATGTAACTTTATTAGATCCGCCCATCTGATCACGATTATGTTGGTATGGGTTTCTTTCCAGAGGCTACCAAGTCATGGTGGTTGCAGTTGCGAGTTCCACCGTGCCTTTTACAATACACTAGCGTAATATACAAGCCCTTCGCATACTGTGTAACTTTACAATTACAGTATCTATGTAAATTGTATGTAATCACCTCTTGCTTTTAGACTTGGCAGCTACGGGATTGTGACAGTCAAACGGCACGATCATAATTTACCGTTCCAAGTATTGTTCGTATGAGAATACCGGGCTCACGGCGTGACGGCCGGTCCCACGGGCATATGAGATGCTCGTCCAGCCCGCCAGGGCCAAGATGGTACTCCGACCAAAACTCCGGCCGGTGTGATTCAAGGTGATATCGCGAGCGTAGCCGCCGACAAGCTGATGTCGAACAGAACGCATATTCCGCTATACTACTGACCCACTTTTACTACGTGTCTTGGGAGGAGATTAGGAGAGCAATGCATCTACATTTCGGTCTGAAGCTACGCATTCCCTCAAGACCAGTACAGACCCCGGAGCATACACTACTGCTTCTGCAGGTCGCAGGAACGGTCCCGGAAGACGACAACCTTGTGTAAATTAAAGTAGCATCCTAGTCAAAGAATCCAATCTAATGCACATATTGTCAGGGCAATAAAAGGTTCTGCCAGGAAGAGACCAGAATAGCAAGGCTTCAGTGCTAACCGGACCTTTTCGAATGGAGAGAGCTCCAGAACAAGCGGCCCACCCTGAAGGAACCTTTCCACCTCTGGCCCCAATCTCCCGACACGTGACATCCCCGACTCCTCTCTCGCCCTCGCCTATATCGCCATTCGTCTGAGCATCACCCGTGTCGCTATCTGCCTTTTGCTTGGGCTGCTCCTGTCAGCCTTGGCCTTACTAAGTCGCCGGTCTGTTCAGAGGCAGAAGTAAAGAAACCAGCTCACCCAACTCTGTCTTGATTTCAAACGGCGTGTTGACCAGCCAAGCCAGCCGCATTCAGACCTCCTAAGCTCCTGAGCAAGCTACATCAGTTCCATAATAGCATCGGTTGAACCTGAGCTCCCACTGGACTGATTCAAACCCTCTGTTTGTGGCTTCTGTGTATGAAAGAAGAGAAAATCAAACACACGCCTTCTTCATTTTCCGACTCTGAGCTTACAGGCAAAGACCCCATGACCACAAGCGCAACCAGCAGTTTGGACCAAGGCGGTAAGATAGTCCCTCTTTATGGTTGCTCAGCAAGGTGAAGTTGAGTAGGTCTATACTTCGTAGAGTCACGGTCACTAACATGGGCTTCTTCTCGCAGGTTCGGACTCGGTTCCCAAGATGCCAGCCCCCAATGTTGCTGAGACCCCGGCTGCCAATGATCGCGCCACCTCCCAGCCAGCCTCTTCTTCCAGCGCACCGACTTCGTCTACACCAGCCATGGCTGCTGCAGATGCCCCGACCAAGAAGAACCGCCTACACCTTCCGTTGCCGTCTCGCAGGTCTTCCAAAACCGACCAACAATCGGCATCGGAGAAGGCCGCGGAGGCGACTCAGGACGATCCCAGTCGGAGAGGATCAAGAGTTAGCATGTTGAATCTCGCGAGAGAACGTAGCCGGGCAAGCAGTAGAAGGTCGCGGCGGACTCAGCAAGATGCGACTACCGTCGACAAAAGCCCAGAAACGGCTCAGCCAACTTCGTCTGGGACCAACAGTCCTTCGAAGCCCTTACAGAAGAAAGGATCTAAACTGTTCTCGTTTCTGAGCTGCTGTACCTCTCCAGAAGTTGATGGCGATGACAATGCAGTGCCTCCCAAGAAGACCTCTAAACAGGCGGTTGCCTCCAACCGGCTACCCGCGACAGACAAGACCGAGACCCCTGCTGGCGACTCTAGTACAGCAGTGTCCAAGGAACCGACTGACTTCGGGGACGAGAAAGCTGCTGCACTGGCAGGCGACCAGTCCCGTTCTCGCGAAGCAGAACCTTCTGCTTCTACTCTGACCGGCCCCCAGGCCGACGGAACCTCCGGCGATGTTCTTACAACTGGGGTCCCTAATGACGGCTCTCAGCGGCACGAAGAATCTGCATTCGCAACCAACGGTGTGGCACCAGAACCTCGAGAAGGTATGGCCAAGGTTGATGAGGAAGATTCCTCGTCGCATATCCCTACGACCGCCGAAAGGGCCCCCAAGGCAGTTGCTGGTGAGACGGACGAGACCCCTTCGCAAGCTGAGGAGGTTTCTCAATCAGTCACCGTTTTGCCTCCTCCCCCACCCCCACCAGTGCCAGAGGTCGCCGCGGAGAGAGGGCAGCAACAACAGTGGTTGCTGCCACCTGCGCTGCCCCACCTCGCAAACCGCAAGTGCTTAGTCTTGGACCTCGATGAGACGCTCGTGCATAGCAGCTTTAAGGTGTGTGAGTCACTCGAACATAAAGCGGACCTCCTGATGCTAACCAGGCCACATCGATAGGTGCTCGAGCGGGCGGACTTCACGATTCCGGTCGAGATCGAAGGACAGTATCACAATATCTATGTGATCAAACGCCCAGGTGTGGATCAGTTCATGAAGCGGGTTGGGGAGCTGTACGAAGTCGTCGTGTTTACAGCGTCTGTTTCAAAGGTGAGTTCCAATGCACTTCCCGTTTCAGTCACTAGCAAACAATTGACTTATCTCGCGCACGTCGCAGTACGGTGACCCTCTACTGGATCAGCTGGACATTCACAATGTGATCCACCACCGTCTTTTCCGGGAGAGTTGCTACAATCACCAGGGAAACTATGTCAAGGTCAGTAGTAATGCTTTAATATTTCCCTCTTCCTCCGGGATGAGAAAACTCATTCTAAGCATCTACCACAGGATCTTTCACAAGTTGGCCGTGACTTGCGAGAGACCATCATCATTGACAATTCGCCCACTTCGTACATCTTCCATCCTCAGCACGCTATTCCTATCAGCAGCTGGTTTTCTGACGCGCATGACAACGAACTGTTGGACTTGATCCCAGTTCTCGAGGATTTGGCCCAGGCCGAAGTTCAAGATGTCAGCATGGTACTGGACATTACCCTATAACATCCACGTTCTGACCAGATTCTTCTTATGCCCCGAGATTCCCCCATCAAGCGAGTCGTTCTTTACCTGCCCCGAGTTTCCTTAACTTTTGTCTCAAGAAAAAGCACTCTTCTACTTGCAGCATCCGGTTCGCCCAGATAACGCACAATAACCCAGTTTCATTTCCAAGCACTTCTTACGCAAGCCCACAAGGTTTGTCGATTGGACTCCATCTCTCTTTTCACCACTTCGTGTCTCGTTCCCAATTACATTTCGATTCGCTTCCCCCAGACTTTATATGCGCTCGGAACTGGGTTTTCCCGTCTCATGGTCCCCATGATGCTGCAACCTTCGCCCTCCTTGTGGCCTACTTAATCAGCACAGGACTGTCCGCTTAGTCGGCCCAGCCACTACATTTCTTCATGCTTGTCCTTGGAGGCCCTTTTCACTTCTTCTTTCTACCACGTCGAACGGACATACCGGTCGCAGTGCTATGGCCCAGTGCCATGGTCGATTTTCCTCAGTCCTTCCCCTCACTGTTTGGGATGGTTCTTGTTGCTCACAAATCTCTCCCTGCGCTTCACTCGATTCCCCTGCCACGCTATCATTTGATTATTCTTTTCCTAGTCAGCTGAACCAACACCGTATTCTATCATCACCTGCATTATTCCATTTGTCACGCAGGCGTTTCTCATGCTTATTTCCCTTCGTCTTCCCCTCTTATGTATTTCTGACTCACCCAGCTTACGTCCCTTCGCGACTCCCGTACCTTATCTTGCCTCTGCTTTGCTGCCTCCAGCTCTCTCGAATACATACATCTGTGCTTTTACACATGGCAACTGTCATAAGTTGAGGAATGGGGCAGCTCATATCGAGTCCTTCTGTGCACTGTTTCAGGAAGAGGTCATTTGAGAGCTGCATCGTGGTTGGTATTGCGCCGTGCCCATTCAGCTGTACATAATCCCCTGGAAACAATTCATTCGAAGGCATATCAGTCGTGAAAGAGACATCTCAGTGTATTGTTCCCCCCTTCCCCCAAGACCTGTCAGTGCAGTGGTGATGCCATATCCAGGCAGCCAGGCCCCTACAGTATGGCTGGACTCACTCCGTTTTCCAGTGCGGAGATCTGCAATCAGACGGGACGTAACCCGGACTTTGTCAGCTCAAAGACGTCAGTCAATCTTCCTCTTCCTCACGACACTCCGAAATCTGTAGTGCTTTCACTGCTTTGCGCTTTGAGAATCCTTGATTCCGTTTTCAGTGTCTAGGACTTCAAAAGGTCTCTATCCGCGCCGAATTTTCCATCTTCCACATCTCGACTTGGGAGTTCTCTTTCAGGACGGCGGACTGGCGCCCCTCCCCGCAATCGCATGACAGCACATCCCCCCCTCCGTCTCCAAAACCGTACCGCCTTCCCTCATCCAACCCCCACGATGAAAAACAAAGAAGGTTGGGACGGCAAGTTGAGAATGGAGCCGAAAGCCGTGATCACAAATCCAGAGGCACTCGAGGACTCAGATTACTCTGATCCCGAAGCGCCGCCCGTTGAGGAGATTGACGCGGATGAAGGTAAAGTCTGGGCCGGAGCGCATGTGCCGCGGTCCCTTTGCGGCATGAAATCCGCAGCTGACTAGTGTTAGAATTGCTCGCCGAGGAGGATTCGAACGCGGAGGTCAGTACAAATCGTCATGCTTGGTGTGACGCTTTTTTGATTGACGTGCGACCCGTCAAGGATCTGAGGATTCAAAAACTGATCGATCTGTGACATGTGAACAGGATCTTGACGTCGTTCATTGTCGCGTCTCGTCTATCGCTGCCCTACACCTGGAGCGATTCACAAATCTTCAGGTACGGCTCTTCTCTCATTCTCATCGGGGTCATAAGGACGTGGTTCTCGAAGCGAACGTTCGTGAAACGTCAAGACCAAGCTGACGGTCGCGCATATCCCAGAGACTATGCCTTCGACAAAACCAAATCACGCGTATCGAATTTCCCTCTAATGTCGCCGAAACTTTGACAGAACTTGACCTCTACGACAACCTCATCTCGCATCTGAAAGGATTGGACGAATTCCAAAACCTGACGAGCCTCGATCTGAGCTTCAACAAGATCAAGCACATCAAGAATGTGGACCACCTGAAAAAACTGACCGATATCTACTTCGTGCAAAATAAAATTTCACGAATTGAAGGTCTCGAGGGTCTCGATAAGTTACGGAATCTGGAACTGGGCGCGAACCGCATCCGGGTCAGTCAAGTACTCTGCGCTGGTTTGACGTGAAAGATCGTGTTGAACACAATTGACGTATTCTTGAGGGTTACAGGAGATCGAGAATCTGGCAACACTTGCGTCCCTGGAGCAACTATGGCTTGGAAAGAACAAAATCACCGAGATGAAGGTATGAATGATATAAACCACGGTATAGAACAGGACCTTCTGGGCCGTATTAATCAAACGCACAACCTACTTCTAACAGAACCTGGACGCCCTCTCCAACCTGCGTATCATTTCCATTCAATCGAACCGTCTCACGAACATCACCGGCCTCGCTTCCCTCCCCAAGCTTGAAGAACTTTATCTCTCCCATAATGCGATTACCGATCTATCTGGCCTCCAGTCTACCACTACCCTTCGAGTCCTCGATTTCTCAAACAACCAGATCTCCCATCTTGAACACCTTGGGACTTTGAAGAACCTCGAGGAACTCTGGGCTTCCAACAACCAGCTCGCGAGCTTTGACGAGCTCGAGCGAGAGCTGAAAGATAAAGAAAAATTGGAAACCGTGTACTTTGAGGGCAACCCTCTTCAGACCGAGGCATCAGCCCTCTACCGGTACAAGGTGCGATTGGCGCTGCCTCAGATCAAACAGATTGACGCTAGTATGTTATATGCAAGCCCTTCCGCAAGTCCTCTTGACAGTATCGAATACTCTATGATCCGTGAGCGATTGACTAACACTTTCTCTTTTCACTGCGACAGCGTACGTACGAGTTTGAGATACCCTCCAGCGGTAACGTCTCTTTTATGGCGAGGGAACTGCGACGCATGTGTATTCAGTTTTTGCTCAGTCTCCACTAAGATAGGGTTCCGATGAGGAATGAGATATGCTTGCTGGTCCTAACCACCTTCACTTTGCTTGCTCTCTCCAAGTTACATTCAAAGCGCTTTTCATTCGTTGGTCCACGTCAGCGAAGTAAAGAGGTGCTCTTGCTTGCTCTCTTCAACAACCCACCGCTCGAGTCGTAAAGTAGTAACGGAGATTTTAGCGCAACTACTTTGTGTGTTGTTCCGAGTATCAATACGTCATCATCAGCAGGAAGTTCGGGACTCAACTACTCTCATTCAATAGTTCCTCAAGATGGTTGTACGGAAGCATGAGACCATCCTGTCTTACAGAAGTCCAAAGCATCTGATAAGACCCTCCATAGATAGTATTGTACACCCGCACTTTACCCCCGCCTAAGAAAAAAATGATCGCTGGTCAGAGTCCTCGCGCAAAGTCGCCCGCAACTCTGCCGCAGAGCACACACACCGTCCACCCAAGGTCATGACCGTTCATGAGTATCAAATTTCTTCGTGACAGAACCATCCAGCTGAGCCCCAGGCTCTCCAGACTCGGTCATATGCCCCCCATCCCCATCCTCATCACCAATGTTCTCACTTTGCGCAACTCTCGCAGTCCTCTCCGCTTTCCCCTTCCCTTGCCGCTCCGCAAAACCCTTCTTCCACAACTTCATCAGCGAGTCCGCCCCCAAGCGCTGCGCATGCACACGCGTCCCATACCGCTGCGTCGCAAAAGTAGGCTTCTTCGTGCGCTGCAAGACATCAGCGAGCTCAGGCAGCGGGGTCGCGGTTTCTTCGCTGCGCATGTCCTTGTATATCGGGGAGGATTTGTCAATGTTGAACATGCTGTAGAAGGGGTTGCGGCGGGTGGCGCGCTCGTAGTTGTGGCGGGATGTTTCGATGGTGCATGTTATTGACGGTGCGGGTTGAGTTGAGGTTGGGGTTGGGGATGATGCTGATACTGAAGGAGATGGTGGTGAGGATGACGCTTTGGAGGATTCTTTGGAACGGGGTGGACCTGGTATCGTGGCGTAGGGGTTTCGTGGAAACGTCGGTGATGTTCTTGGTGGTAGGTCGACGGTCAATGGGGATGCGGCGATGGCACGCTCGGCGGCCTCGTTGGAGTCGAAGATTGCGAGGAGGGGACGTTCGCGTTCGGTATCGTTGAGAATGTCATACTGGAGGTGGCAAGGAGAGAAAAGTTAGTCAATGACGAGAGTGTTTCAAATGGCCCTTTACTACATGTAGATACAGGGGCGATGGCGCATGGACTTGGTCCTCCAACCTTCAAGTTCCGAAAGCTGATAATCTCGCCATAGCGCTGCAGAGCGGCGAAGATCTGTTTGCTTTCGGCAAGATTCCTCGGCGGAGGATGTGCGCGAATGTGGACTTGAGCCGGTAGTCGAGTCAAGACATTCAGAGCTGGTTTTTTGGTCATCTGATCGGCTTGACAATGGCCAGACGAGACTGCATAAGAGTGGTAATTGGGCAGGTGAAGGAAAATAAGAGGTGAATCATGATCAAAAGAGGCCCGGCGGAGTTTAAAGTGGGTGCGGAGAGATTCTGATGGGCTTCTTGGCGGCTAAAACGGACGGGAAGCTCCGATGGGCCACGGGCCGAGTGTCTTGTTTGCATCACACAACTCGCGAGCAGCCTCTCGACCGTACGAGCCACAAAAAGGAAATAATGGTCAAGCAGTAGAAAGCCAATGGTGATTACTGCAGGGACAATGGCGGGTTCTATCAATCCAGTTGATCTATATTTTCATTCATCTCGTTAAGACACAATGAGGTGCCCGAAGTTCATCGAGTCGGGTCTCATCAGGGTATGTACATGTGTCCAATGGCATCGCATCCTTAAAAAACAAAACGTCGATTTTATAACCACACTTCTTCGGTCATTGCTTAGAAGATGGTGACATCGAGGCCGTACTAAATGAGGAAGAAGGAAAAATGTTAGCATAGCTTCTGCGAGCGGGCAGGATCGTGGAGTGCTCCGGGCAGTATCAACTTACGTTCTGGGGGTCGTTGAAGCGGAGGTTCTGGTTCAGGTTGCTGATGGACTCAATCTCGCTCTGGTCCAAGTCGAAGTCGGTGACCTGGAGGTTCTGAGCCAGACGGGTGGGGTCGTTGCTCTTGGGGATAACAGCGATGTTGCGCTGAGTAGCCCAGCGCAGCAGGACCTGAGCGGGGGAACGGTTGTGCTTGGAGGCAACGGAGGTGATGGCGGAGTGCTCGAACAGCTTGGGGGTGTCCTTGGCGTTCTGCATCTCCAGCTCGATGAAGCTGAGGGGACCGAAGGAGGAGTAGGCAGTGACGGCGATGCCCTCCTTCTGGGCGTAGTTGACCAGGGACTTCTGGGTGAGGTAAGGGTGGTGCTCGATCTGGAGAGTGGCGGGGCGGACGCGAGCATAGCGGAGGAGATCCATCAGCAGCTGAGGGCTGAAGTTGCTCACACCGATGCTGCGGGCGAGCTTCTTCTCAACGAGAGACTCCATGGCGGTCCAGGTGTCCTGGATGGTGGCGTTGGAGAGCTTGAGCTTGTTCTCGGCGTTGGTCCAGCCGGGGGGTAGCGGACCTCGGGTGCCACGTACTCGAGGGCGACGGGGAAGTGGACAATGTACAGGTCGAAGTAGTCGATGCCGAGGTCCTTGAGCTGCTTGCGAGCAATGGGCTCGACCTGCTCCTTGTCGTGGAAGCTGTTCCACAGCTTGGAGACGAGGAAGAGGTCCTCACGCTTGACGAGACCGTCCTTGATAGCACGGGCGACACCCTGGCCGACCTCGACCTCGTTGCCGTAGTCTAAAGTGGTAGATTGTAAGCACCTTGAATTGGAAGTGATGTGGGCGCAGGCGCCCACATGCTGATGCAGCATGCCGCGCAAGACGAGTACAAGTCGGGTTGTTCACTTACCACAGGCGCCATCGAAGAGGCGGTAACCGGCCTTGATGGCGTTGTAAACCTGGTCGGCGCAAGTGTCGTTGTTGACCTTCCACAGACCGAAGCCCACGAGAGGCATCTCGTAGCCCGAGTTCAGCTTGATGGTAGGAGTAGACATGTTGAAGGGTGTATGGGGTGTTGGTGGGAGGGAATGGAGAATGAAGGAGAAGTAATAAGAAGAGTGGTAAAAGAAGAAAGAAAAGAGCAGAGGTGAGCTGAGAGCGAGCGCAATTGAATTTAAAAGAAGCGCTTGACGCCCAAATCGACTGAATCCACTAACAGAACAAGGTCATAAAACAATAAAACCTAAAATTTAAGGGCTCATCCCAACACTTCGATTTCTTTCCTCTTTTCTCTCTTTTTTTTTTTTCTGAGTTTTTGCTCTTCTTCTCCATCGTCTGTCTTCGATTGCCCCTCACCCAAATTGCCGTCTGTAATCGTCCGACTTGGGCAGTCGCCGTCCCTCGTCACGTCTCCAACGGAGGTCACGCACAGGCTAAAGTCCGAGCTCACCTCTCCACCCTCTTCCCCTCCATTTTGCCCCTCTCGACTCACTTTCTCCTTCTCTCATCCATACTCTGGTCACTCACGACTCCACCAGTCCACAGGCTATCCAAAATGACCAACTGCTACTTCTGCCGAACCAGGAGTCCAGGACCACGAGGTGACCTCGTACGGATTCATTGATGAGCCAACCTCTGGTCCAAAGGTCAACGACATACCGGCGGTGCGCAGTAGTCATCAATTGTCCAGCCATTCATCATGCATCTCACCTGCAACCACTTGGCTTTTTTTTTCCTTCCGCCGGCCGTGCCTTGCCCCTCGTCTTCCCCAGTTCTCCACTTTACTGTTGGACCGGCCCAGCTTGAAAATGCGTACTCCCAACTTGTCCCAAGTCCACAGCCCACTTCCAGTCCGGGGGCGCTGTCCCAAGTTGTCTGACCCTCGACTCCACCAATCCCCAGTGCGTCGGCTAAAATAGTCTGCGGCTAAACTGCTCCCGTCTTTATCCCTCTTCGGGAGTACAGCGAGCACTGGCAGACTGGCAGTGCTCAATTCTTTGCTCGGTATGATTCCAGCGTCTGAAGTCCCCGACCAAAGAGAGTAGCGTGGTCTTAACACAGCCATCATATCCCACTTTCACGTGCGGGGTCCCAGTCCCTTTGCAGACGGCCATGGGTCTTTAGGAGCGCTTTCCAGTCATTATTATGATCAAAACATGGCCGTCAATGATGTGCTGGCAGATTGCAATCAACCGAAAGGGTACAGTGTGTTCCGCCCCCAAGTTTTCGAGAATTGTCCGTGGCTGTGACATGCGCGTACTCATTTGTAATACACTGCTGTAGGTTGGACAGCGTCTGCTGCCTCCTCTATAGGCCAGGACTCCAGGAGACTCAAAAGTCTAGAGCGTCCCGACGGGCGGCGAGCAAGACGATCGGGTCAACCCTCGGTCTATTCTGCAAACTCGCCCGGTTCCCCCACCAAATGGAAGCGGCAGAGAGCAAGCGCTCGCTCCAACCGACGTCATCGCTTGACTGCACTGTCGCCCGAGGGCCGTGCGTGGGGACCCCAAGACTCAAGGCACACCCGACAATGGCCTCTTTCCCAACCCGGGTGAAAGGCCCACTTGATGCGTCTCGGGCCCATTGTAATCGCCGGCGCCGGCTATATCAGTAGGAGGTGCTAAGAGAGCACACGTGTGTATAACAAGGCCAGCGCTGTCCCAGGGCTCCGACACTTGGCCGCTATCTCGGAATTGCATCAGCGACTTTTGAGTCGGACCCAACATGAGCTGCAATAAGGAAAGGAGGAGGAAAGTGGACACCGGCATGCCGATGTCTTTCGATAGGACTCCCGGCCCAATGATGGTTTACCGCCCCCCCAATTTCCTGTTTTGGCCTAAGCACTGCTCGAGTGATATCGTAGTAGAGAGCTACACACTACTACACTACGCAGGCTTCTCTTGCACGCACATTTGGACCGGTGACAGGCTGGGCCCTCACACTATTTTTCGGTCGCTCGAACGCAATCTTGGTATGTCACTCAAACAAGCCTCTGATGTCGAATAGCAACGTGGCCTCCGTCTGCGCACATCGTAGTAGGTGCTCGCATTCCACCGACATATCCCGCTCACGATATGCATTCACATGGCTCGGTTGTCAAACTCCGTCAAGGCACCCGCATTGTGCCTATCATTTAACCGACGCTCGATTGCGCGTCGGTGATGGTACATCGAAGTGGTTCTTCAGCGGACCTCCACCCGGTCTCCTCCAACGAACCGTCAGCCATACACAATTCTCATGTTCCATGAATCGGTTTCTTAGCCAATGAGGACATGGCCAATCGGATACTATGCGGCTTGGAACAGAGGTGCCCGATTTCATCTTCAATTTCTACGGTGCCTGGCGTCCATCGGATCTTGAATAGTAGAACCGCGGGCAGCAAGTGGCGGGAAAATTTGGAGACACCCTTTCGCTGCGGGGCTACTGTTTTCTCCAAAGAACAACCCCGCATTGACAAGTCGATTGCGGGACAGCCACCGCGAGCGAGAATTGGCAACAGAGTACGGACAAAGTAATCTTGGAAATGGAAAACACGGTCCACGGCTAGGTCTCCAACTACCGGCTAAATAAAAGAACTCGGATTTGTTCAGTTCTTTTCACCTTCCTTTTCAGACCCGTTTGGATTCGCGGAATTGGTTGACAACTGGACTTTGACTCCAAATGTTCAAGATTGGCAATAGTGTCTGTCGTCACGGATGATCACACTCCTTTGCCCAACCATCCACAAAATATCAGTTGAACAGTTGAATGCTGCGATCAAAACCTGGCCTCACGAAGATGACTCCTCTGGACAACCTCCAGCGCTGAGCTTGTGCCCGGATGCCGAGACATTTGCGTACCAAAACGTCAGGTAAACAAACTTCGCCTCGATTCTGCACTCTTTTGCGACAAAGACGGCGACTCTGCAGTGTTCATCGAAATATTGCGAAAAGGGAGATGAACAAATAGTCATGATTCGCACGAAAGGGTGCGCTCAAAAGAGTTCACGAAACCCTTTCGGGCAACACCGATCGGCTCAGCCAGCCCTATCCCTCAACCGAATGTGACACAAAACAGTCGCGGCGGTCGGCCGGCAACCATACTACTGGCGCGGGATTCTACCGTCCTCCTCGTGCAAATCAGCTTCTGCAAGGGGTGCTGTTTTTTTTTGCTGAGCGCGCGGCATGAAACCCCAGCCGCGTAGTGACTTGCAGAAAAAGCGCACAGAGCAACTCGGACAATTACATACATACCCGCTGACAAGTCATATGCAGAGGAACAGCAGCATGCATTTTTTTTTCTCGGGTTCGGGCTCGGGCGACCGCAGACGACAGAACGTGCATCATGCGAGTTGATGTAATGCCAGTATACACGCGAGGAACTACCTGCATCAAGACACCTCTTGCAACGAAGCATTGGATCGAATATAGTCTCCGTTGCTATTATTATCAACTCTATCGTATTATGCCTTGGAATTTCAAGGGGCGGCGCCCGCTGTCACACGAACGCGACGCGACGCGAGTGGTCTGCGATCGACAATTCCGAGACAAGACATGCCCAGGGCGGAGTTGCACCGAGATATTCTGGCAATACAATCTGCGTGAACTCGAGGTCCAAGGCTCGCGCTTCAAGGGAAGCAGCATGCATGAAACCTGAATCAAAGTCTCTCAAGTGCAGCTAAGGGGTTGAGCTAATGGGTCACTGCCAACATTTATCGGAGTTTACTTCTCCCGTTCCTGATTACACATGCAGCCGCGTGGAAGGTCTGATTGAACTTGTAGCTTTTGAAATTGAAATTATTTTCAGAGAAATGTGATATCCCGTAATGACTAGGGCTCACAAAGGATTTAGAATCGGAAGTGAAGATAGAGGGATACTGAGAATGAGACAAATCACACGTCAAAAGGTCGAAAGGCTGGGATGCAGCGAAATTGGTACATCAATGACCGATATTGAGAAGCAGAAAATGTTGCAAACACAGGAGGTATAGTAAAAACAGACAGATGATAATCCAAAGAAAAAGAAAGAAAGAAAATAGGAACAGGCAATCAATAAGAATTATCATTAGCAATAAACATTGGTGATATTTTGGCGAGCGATGCCCGGGGATAGAAAAGAAGAACAGATCACACGCCTTCCACGCTGCCGGTCTCGGCGTAGGTAGTGCTTCCATGCTCAGGGCCCGCCCCGTGCATGCTGGGATTGTTGGACATGCGTCCGACAAGCTTGTCCATGAGATCTTCGGACGGTAGGAGGCCGTCAAAGTTATGTGGTTGTTGGGACTCGCGTGGTACGGAGGCGTGGTGCTCGGATTGGTATGGGATGTGGTGATGCTGGTGGTGGTAATTATTTGTACCAACGTCTCCGGCGAGGGAGGACGAATGTGCAGCCCAGGAAGCCTGGCCGTTGTTCATGTCGTCCAGAGACTGGGTGTTTCCACCAAAGAAGCCGTTTAACACGTTGTGGCTGTCCTGTAGGTGGACATTGTGCGACTGAGATGGCACGTAGTGGCTGCCATCGTGGCTCATATAAGGTATCCCGGAGTGGGAGAGCGGCAAATCATGCATGTTCATCATCATGGACCCGCCACTAGATACATTGAGAATAGATGCCTGGGAAGTTTCGGGGGCGAGCGTGACAGGATAAGAGTCGAGTACGGACGTCACGGCTGTCTTGTCACCCATGGTGTCCTCGGGTTTGGTGATTGAGGATAAGTAATCGAGATGACTAGATGAACTGAACATGTTTGTCACGTTGTCGTGAGAGGACGAGTACATCGGCCATTGTGATTGGGCTTGGCTCGGCTGGTGATGTTGATGATGATGGAGAAGGTCATGGGGTTGTGGTGTCTGGTACACGCTCTGTGGGGGCTTGTTGAGCAGGATTGAGTCCAAGGACAAAGGGGGAAGATCCACGCCAGAGTTCGGGTGAGGGCTGTTGGTTGTAGCGCGCGCTGGAGGCGGAATCAGGCGCCTCCAGGTGGTGGTGCCGACGTCTCCAGGTCGGGTCTGGCGGAACTTCCAGACAAGAATCGCCATACGCTCGCTCTCAGAAGCCTCGCCTTGGTATTGGTTGGCGAGGCGGCGGGAGCTTGGAGGAATGGCGCGGATTTCCTGTACTGCTGAAAGAGAGCGCAGGAAGCGACGAGTACGTTCGTCGTTCTCCTGGATGCTATCGGGTTGCCCAGAGTCCTCGGCAATGCGCTTGTCTTGTGTCAGCTCGGTGAACAGTTTGGCCCACCAAGATGACTCAAACAAGGGCTTGACTTTTGTTGACTGCGGCTGGGAGAGAGGTTGGAAGCTATCTCGAGTCTCCCGACCGTCTTGATATACGCGAGTGTCACAGGTCCAATCCTCCATCTGGTTCACCATGGAGACATCTCCTGCAGTAGGATGACCATAGTCCAATTCAAGCTGAATGCCAAGCTTAGAGCCCGAGGGTGGGAAGTCTGTCATGAGCTGTAGGTTCACCTCCAACATGATGATGTCACAGTCCAAGGGGCCATCGAGCTGATCAATCAAAGAAGCCAGATGAGGGAACGAAGAACGCCAGCCATTGACGTTTTCCAAGAGCATTGGAGGAGCACTAGGATGGTGCAAATCACCTTGAAGGCGTGTGTATGTGTGAAGAGCTTTATCGATCCGATTCGCTTGTTGGGGTGCACTAACCCACATGTCGAAACCAAAGCCATGAACGTTCTTCGTGCTGACCTCCTGCATAGAGGACGGCAGGGTGTAATGAGAAGGTGGTAGATCCCCATAAGGCTGCATTGCTCTCATGTGATGGGAGTGGTACTGGGAATGACTATGGACACCATAGGGATTTGCTGTCGCCTGATGATCGACGGAGGCCCGCCATTTAGGGCCAGCTGCTGACATGTGCGCGCTGGAGCGCTCAGTAGACTGTTCACGAACAAGGCGCTCCCCTGTTATATGGTAGTATCAGTACACTGAACATCGTTCCGAGCAATTAGCTTCCATATATGGGATTGTCACTCACAATCCGGGTCACCCTTCAAGAAAGAATCAAGTACTTGGAGATGACTGGAGACCTGTTTCCTGGTCCTTCGCTTGCCAGTCAACTTGAAAATGTACTCCGCAATGAGCTCGTTTCGTCCATAGGATTTGCCACGCTCAGACCACTTTCTCCTGCCCATGGGGGGATTGGCCTCCAAAGCTATAATATTGTTGGAGGTGTCAGTACGATGGCACAGGTCTCGTTGTGGGTTTGGACTTGAGTCTTACCTTGCTGAAAAGCATCTTCCAGTTCGTCGGACCAGACAGGCTCGCCGTCTTTACCAGTGTCTCGCCGAGGACGAGCCCGATACTCCAAGTATTTTTGGGACTTGAGGTAGCTTCGTCGTTCCCGTCGAGGTGCCATGTTTGGCCCAACGGGGTTGAGTCGACGGATCCTCCGGGCATGCAGTCGAGCGGCCACAGCTTGTTGATGAGCCGGATGGGCAGCAACTGAATGCTGAGGATACTTGTAGGCCAAGTGCTGAAGATGATCATCTCGGCCAACATGATTGTGGACAAGACCGTCTGAATATGACTGAACATTTCCAGACGTGTTCTGAAGGGCCCGCTCTGAGTGGCTACCCACGCCCTCCAAGGACGATTGATGCTGAGGCACAAGGCACTCGGGTTGCCAGTTGGCAGCCATGGAGCGTGGCAAGGACGGGCTTCACCCAAAAGAATGACAGATTCCAAAGAGGAGGGGAAACTGAGAGGCGCCGCCGAATGCTTACTGCCTGGTGAAGAACGCAGAGGTTTGAAGAGAATGTCAGAACCTGGGAGAGAGAATGTGAGAGCGAGCGCGATGGTGTTTATAGGGAAGCATACTTCCCACCCCGTTGGAGAGGGGTGGTACTCCTCGTCCCAGTGGTAGCATTGCTAGACTGCTCTTCAGGTTCGATCAAGCCTGGCATCACGTCCCTCGAACGCCAACGTTGACCCTCCTAGAACACCGATCCTGTGTACCACCGAGCCTTCGTCGCGTCCAGGCACTCAACGCGGAGCAGACTAGGACGAAACTCGTTGTTCATCCTTGCCGCAGCAAATCAGGAGACCAGAAAGGGCACGATTTGAAGGAAGTGCTCCCCGCACGCAAGGGATGCTTGGACGGCCACGATCCAGTCATGAGCGGTTCGGAGATTTTGCAGAGCACGAAGCAATTCTCGAGCACCATCTCCCTGGCCATTGTTGACAATCATCAACTCATCCCAGTGGCAATTGAAGGTCAACAGGAATGCTGAGCCATGGACGAACACTCCCTATTTGCTCGAAAGGTCAACTCGAAAGATCAAGAATGCAACACCACCTCAACAGCAATCGGCGCTGGAATGTAGGCTTTCCCCAAAGGACCATGAGATTGGTCCGCTCACTATCGTATAGCATTGGTCAAATCGCTCATCTTGCTCTTTTCCCCATTTGACACGATCGGTGGATGTGTGCTCTTCGGTCTAGAGTTTGTGAAGACGGGGTTCAGTGAGGCAGGCAGTAGGACTCAGGGCGGGAGACCTTGACTAGGAGGGTTGTAAAGGGCAAAAAGGGAATCCCGCAGTAGGGCACGTTTAGAAAGGCACACGAGCTAAGGCGGATCTCAACTAATGCGGGCGTCAACTTGACAGCCGCAGGAACGTGTTCGGGGGTATCTCTTTTCTCTGAATAAAAGTGCAGGTACATAATTGACAGGATCCAAGGATTAGTCCAACAAAGCGTGGATTGTGTGTAGAGAGTCTCGTCCTTCTTCCCCCACCACGCAAGGGATGCTCCAGTTTGACCGGCTCTTGACCAATCCCAAATCCCCAGGGCGATCTCTCTCCTCGAGGAGGAACTGGCCTCAAAAGGGTCAGGACAACGGAATTTTAGGCCTCGTCCTCCTCTCCTCCCCCCTACAGTGAACTTCTTACGGCCTCCGCTGGTAAGTTGTTGGAGCTTGACTCGGTCCACCTGCTCTCCCACCTTCTTCTCAATCTTTGCAATCTCCTCCTCGGCATCGATTGCTTCTTCATTGGCGAATTCCAAAACAAGTCGGCGGCCGAGCAAATGCGTGTTCTTCAATGCGTCCATGGCGTTTTCGGCTTCCCGAGCACTGATAAAGTCTGCAAAACCGAAACCGCGAGCCGAACGGTCAAACTTCTGCGGTACTCGCACGGAACGAAGTTGACCATAGGCTCCAAACAACGCACGGATGTCTTTCTTGGTGACTTGGAATGGCAAGTTCTTGATGATGATCTTAGTTCTTCGGGCGGCAACCTTCTTGGCTGTATCCTCTCGCCTCCTTTCTTCGGCGGCGTCCATGCCCTTGTGAGAAGCGCGAATGACAAGCTCATGTTGATCGAGCTTGTATCCATTCATAGCCGCAAGAGCTGCCTGAGCTTGCGCCTTGGTTCTGAATTCTGCAAATCCGAAGCCCATGCTGAGTGTTTGGCCAGGCCTCTTGGGGTCAGGCTTGGTCTTGATGCGGCCGGTGACAAATCCATCCAGCGGACGGAAGACCTCCAAGAACCGTTCATTGGTAGTTGTAAAGTTCAAGTTCTTGACAAACAGAGTAGAAGTGATGCCCGTGTCAGGCTCATCCGCGGCAAAGGTATCTGATGTGGAGAATCCTTGCGACTTGGCCTGGACCTCGGGCACAGTAGATGTTTGCGCAGTTCCGTCGAATAGGTTCTTCGGGGCCTTCTCCAAAAAGAGGATAGAATCGCCGATTTTCCGGTAAGCAAGGCCCTTGAACGCAGCTTGAGCTTGGTCGGGCCTGGCAAACTCCACGATAGCGATGGTGCCGCTCGGGGGCATGAGAAGCCGAAGGATCTGACCATAAGGCTCAAACAAGCTTCGCAGTTCCGCAGACTTGACGCCAAAGGAGAAGTTCTTGACCAGAATGGCGGTATTCCCCCGCTCCCGTTCCTTGAATGCGTCGATGTTGACACCGTTTGACGCAAAATAGGCCTTCGTTTCTTGGATGACGTGAGTTTCGGCGTGCGCCTGTTTGACAGCGGCATCGGAAGACGTTGGGTCGAGAAGTTCCGCTTTACTGACACCGAGCCTGTCGGCGACTGAAGACATGACAGCGTCGGCCTACACGTCTATTAGTATATAGCAGGACGTCTTACGGACGGAGGCTAAACTCACATTCATGTACAAAGAATTCCAACTAAAAGTGGACGAAGTGGCACCCAATTTACGTTTTATTTGCTTTTGTTTCTTCAAAGGGAGTTTGGACAGTTCCACATCGTCAATTTTGTAGGTTTTCTTTGCCGTTGCGGGCAGAATGTGTAATAAACGACCCTGAAAATGCTTCCCATCCAGAGCCTGATATGCCTCGATGGCCGCATCAGCGTTCGTGTACTGGATGTACGCAAAGCCTTTGCTGGTTTCAGTCCGAGTGTCAAAAGCAACGTGAATCTATCTCATAATCAGCACACGATCCGGAAGGAAGTTTGAATCGGTTGTTCAGTGAGGTTGGAATAAGGCTCTTCAGCAAACCGAGAAGCATCTACTAAAATCTCTCGCCTGGTGACATCATTTGCTTTTGCATAAGCTGTCCCTATCAGGATGATCATCATACGAGCACTCTGCCAGAGCATGCGCGATTGCACATGGTAGCACGACGGGGAAATGTGGGTAGGGGCATTTGAATCAGGACGAAGGAAGGGATCACAAACCTCATCAAGTTTCCCAAACGGAGCAAAGATCGGCTCGAGGTCCGCATCAGTGATATCGTACGCCAGATTCCGGAGAAAGAGACGCGCAGAATCACGAATGAGCTCAACGTTTGGGTCGGGTTTTCCGGGCTCAGGCGAGGGCTCGCCAGTGTCAGCGTCCTGCATGGAGATGTCCTGACGTTCCGACTGAGGCTGGATTCCTGCGTCGAAGACGGTTGTCCGAGACTCCTCCTGTTCAGAAACCGGTGATTCAGCGGGCCGGGTAGCCTTCTGCTGGTCAAAATCAGCCTGCTCCTCCTCGTCAAGAAGACCGAGGAGACGGCTGGTCTTGGACCGCAGCCAGTCACTGTCTGATACAGGAGCTGCCTCCCCTGAGGCAGACTGCGATTCATCAGGTTGTTCCGAGGTTTCCACAGGACTTCCTTCTGAATCGATTTTCTCTGGAATTTCGACTTGACGATCCTCCACTTGATTGACTGGTTCTTGCACACGTGCCTTTTTGGGCTGTGAAGGAAGTTCTTCAGTCGGCCTAGATTCAGGGATCTGTGAATTAGTTGGGGTCGCGGCTTGCTCGGCCGCCAAAGCCATTGCTGTGGTATCATCATTTGCCCATGTTCTTGTCTTAGAAGCCTGTGTCAAGGCAAGATACTCCTGCAACTTGGGGTCCTGGCGCTGAGCATCGGCCTCACGTTTACGCTTGAGCACATTCTCCACATCATTGCTGGCATCCATCCTTTTCGTAGGGTGCGATCGCCCTGCAGGTTGAGAATCAATCTACGGTCATACTGGTCAGTCTCAAGAAAAACTGAACTGGTCAGCGGGGAACGCAGGCACAAAAGAGAGGGAGAAAGACATGAGGCAGCGTCAGCTGGCGGAAGTGGCCACATACCGGTCGAGCAAGATCTACCGAGATCCTGGACATTTTCATGTACGTTCTGTTGAAGTACTTGACGGCCTCCAGGGCGGCTTCATTGCTTTTGAACCCAACGAATCCCATTCGCCTCTTGGGCAAGACATGAGCATCTGTCACTGTGAAACGGCCAGCAAAATGACTGCGAAGCTGCTCATTTGAGCAGGTAGGCGGAAGCCCACTGACAAACACCCTGGTATTCTCCATGATGACTGTTCGCTGCTGCAAAAAGGCTTCAGCGAGTGTGGTCGAAGGCAAGAAGCAAGCAGAAAAAAAAATTCTTGCGTCTTGTACGCCGCGGGCGGTAAGACGGGATCCACCTACTTGTGGAGCACTAGCCTAGAATATTCCGGCAATTAGTAGTCACCTGGGTCGAGGCGGTGAACCCCAATATCGGTCGCGACGCTATCACGCCCGAAGCGCCATTGAGCTCTCCCAAACGATAACAGCACCTTCCGACAAGCGCAGGTTCTGCGACAACATTTCAAAAATGGCAACCGAGAAGAAAGAGAAGATGGAGGGTCAGTCAAACCTGAGAAAGTCTGCAGGGAACGTACTAACCGGATTCTAAACAGCTCAAATCAAGTCCGTCGACATGGTATGCGAAAATAAACCGTTGTGAACTGGGGAGTCTGAGGTCTCACAACTATTCATTAGACGGAGGACATGCAGCAAGAAGCTATCGCCCTTGGTATGAGCACGATCAATTGTTTTCTATCGGGAAATCCTCAGCTGATGGAGTTTTAGCGATCGAGGCCATGGAGAAGTATCACATTGAAAAGGTATGTGCGCCCTAAACTCTCAGGCGCTCTTTGAAGGTGGGAACGTGAGGCTAATACGACAACCTCGCAGGATATTGCCCAGTACATCAAGAAAGAAGTTCGTCGCCGGCCATCGTACACCTTCCCGTCGTTACAGGCGCTGATGAGTAGTCCAGTTTGATTCGCGAAAGGGCGCTACTTGGCATTGTGTTGTCGGCCGCAACTTTGGAAGCTTCGTCACTCATGGTCAGTCCAATGGTATCATGATGAGGTCTTGCGATTGTCAGAGCTAACATGCTTGCTGTACAGAAACGAAGCATTTTATCTACTTCTATCTCGGCCACTGCGCGATTCTACTTTTCAAGACCCAATAAACAGACACGCTTATTGTCCAGAGATCAACACCCCGTTTGTTCCTTGGCTTGTGAGCGACCGATCCGAGTCTACTCCGCTGCCAATGATTCCCTTTCCCGTCGAAAATTTTGTAGCATGTTTTTCTCGCTTACATGCTAAAATAATCCTTGTTCCAAACCCCCCACGTTGTATCTGTACACACCTTTCTCTGTCAAATTTCCAAATACCACGTTGATCAATATTCTGAGACGAGATTCCCCAAAATCTGTCTTCGCTTTGTAGCATTGTCTGTCTATTGGAGACCTTTCTAACCTGAGGCATACATCAAATCTCTGGGACTATCCATAGATGATCGTCACAACTGGCTGGATCACATGGAATCACGTGCCGACCGCCAAGTAGCCAAGCCACCCCGAATGCGTTACGCATCCTCCCCTAAATATGGACAGCGCCCAGCTTGATCCTGCCTGTCCATCTTTAGCCCTGCACCCTCCAACATGGCGATCTGCATCACCTTTGGCACTCATGGTACGTCAATATTTGTAGGCTTTGCTTCGCACATAAAACATACCATATGCTACGCAACAGCCGTGAACTCTTCCCACCATCAATTTAACATGTGGATCCGATCCACCGGCGCCGCCCTCCATATATGTATCGTCCTTGGGTTCATGATCTAACTCGTCGCAGAGTTTACCTCCATGCTGGAGGGCTATGAAAATGTGCGAGCATACTGTTACAACTGTGAGTACAACAAATGTCTAATGGGGAAAAGCTATACTGTGTGATGGAATAAAGGTGCCTGCTCGCCGCAGTTGCAGTACTTGACTAACGGGTTCGGAAAGGTCAACACTGGAACGGCCACTGTCTGACCCGATGGTGAGTGATGCAATGGAATGAATCTGGCCGCGATGCCCTGCGCCGCGGTCCCGTTCTCGTCGACTCGCTCAGTAGGCTGAACTGACGTACGAATTCCAGGCCCTGGTTCACCGTTTGCTTCATCGTGAGCATCAACCTACATTCGTAATTATGTATGACGAACGACCGATACTAATTCTCACCGGCACGGCTCTTTCTAGCCTCTGATCCCTCTCGCCACGCACAAGTACAAGGTTCGTATCAAACCTCACTCGACTCGACTCAGACTCGACGCGGCTTTCGCGTTCCTTCCCCACCGGAGTATTCGTCCGACTCGTGAAAATTCACAAACTGTGATCACTGACCTCCCTCACAGGAAGTCACGTGCTACACTTGTCGCTTTACCCAGGACCTCCGGTAAGTAGTTCACTCGTGTCGGAAACAGCGAGCAAGCTGGACGATAAAAAGGGATTCGAAATTCTCACATTCGGTCTAGGGATCGTCCAGATATTACTCCGGATACTCGACCTCCGCCTCACATGCAGTACGGACCACAACCTCCTCCTGGAGCCCAGTGGCAGCAGCAGCCTCCGTTACAGTCACCTCCGGTAGCGCACGGGGCAAAGCCTCCGCAGGCGAACTATCAATAGCGAAGAGCTAGCAATTACCACGAGGGGAAAGGCTTCAAGCTGCAGCCGCATCTTTTTATGCGGTTCACCCGTGCTGAGTTGGAGCTTACGGAACGACAGAAAGCTCGGAAGAAGGTCATGTTTGGGTGTCACTTGTTACACGTTTATCCGTCGATGGAATTTCGTCAAAATGTCGTCTTCGTTGTGTCGGGCCTAAATTGTCGCGTTGCGTTCGCCTGTTGTTGTCCATGTTTTATCATTTTCCTACCTCGCCTCGACTTTTTCTTTGAACAGGTTCAATCCAACCCAGAAAAAAAAAACAGAGATTCAATGATTCAATTTCACCGAGCGCAATTACGTGTCGTCAAGGGGTATAAAATAAAGCACAACTAAAACAGTCCAAAGGCCGTGACCCAAAGTAATCAAACACCAACCTCAGACGACTCCTTGCCCTTCTCCCCAACCTGCTCCACAGGCGTAGCTACACCCGAAGCCTGCGCGCCATCGCTCTTTTGCCCCCGATAAACAGCCGGCTTCCTGCCCATCAAATCCAGACTCATCATTTTCACCACTCGCACAATACTCTCACGCCCCTCATACAACGGGAACACGACCACGCCAAAGAGCGTGCAGAACAGCCAAAGGATACCAACCACCACCCAGCCCGTGAAGAACTTCTTGCTGAACACGTAGGAGGTCCCGTACATGGGGATCGGCCACAGGATCATCAGAGCAAGGGTCATGAAGATTGTCAGGGTGCGGGAGTAAAATGCTGCGCGGTTGAGCTTGCGCATTTCCTCTTCGGATTCGGTATCAGGCGTGTCGATTTCGCCGGGGATGAGCTCGAGATCGACGTGGGCTGCGGCGGCGACCTGGGAGTCGTCGTTCTTGCGAATGGCGCGCATGGACTCGTAGTCGTAGTTCTGGGGCCCGAAGATGTAGGTAAACAGGGGCACGAAGATCATCGGGCTCAGGAGAGCGGCCACGTTGCCGGCGAGCATGGGATAGCTGTAGAACGAAATGCATGGTCAGTTTTTTTTCGTTGCCGCGGGATTTCCGAGAGAACAGGGAAGAAATGGAGATGATGGGTATGGCTTACTTGGAACCAGTGGTGTCGACGGTCAGAGTCCCGTACTGTTTCTTTGCGGTAACCAGCCAGGCGATCAAGGAGACCATCAGGCCCAGAGGCGGCGATGCCGCGGCAGCAATCCAGTTCTGCCCCTTCCAGAGCAGGGTCATCGCACCTGGAATCACGGCCGAGGAGATGATGACACCCATCAGGAGGTACAGGTAACCCATGCCAATGCCGGCGTAGAAAAGGCCTGTGGCAAAGCCTGCCATGACGATCGCATAGATCACACAAGACAGGTGAGACATCCAGACCAGCTTCTCGCCCTTGGCTGTGGGGTGGATATAGGCCTGGTAGATATCGTAGGTCCAGATGGAAGAGACGGCGATCAATTGGGCCGAGAAGGCAGATGTCACCGCCATGAAGATCATCAAAGTGGTGGCGACGGCACCGCTGTACCCGAGCAGCTGGACGGCGGCAAAGGGAAGGACCAGGCCCGCAGTGACATCTCCGCTACTCATGCGCTGCGATCCTTCAAGCGCCAGGGCCGAAATGCCCATTGTGCTGGCGCACAACCAGGGAATGGCGAACCAGCACAGGCCACCAATGACATATCCCGGGAAGGCATGAACGGGGCTTGCCGCAATGGCCTTGTTGTAGTATCCGTTGTCGAGGAAGACGGTGCCAAAGTTTCCGATCAGGTTGATGATCCAGAAGATGCCCCCTTCCTTGGATCTCATGGTCAAATAGCTTCCCTCGGCATTGCCCTCGACCGGGTGCGCCTTGGCTGCGGCGACCAGGGCATCATATACCTTGCTGGGAGAGCCCAGTTCCGAGTTGGTTGCATATGCGGAGAAGGCGAACAGGAAAATCACGACCAGAATGACCACAGTGTGCATATAATCGGTGATGAAGGTCGCCTTAATGCCCCCGAAGATGGTGTACAGGACTACGCCAATGGGGAGCAGGAAGCACGCCGCGGCCGTGGGCACTCCTGTGAGGGATGTCATGACTGCCGATCCCCCGGTGAGCAGCATCGCCGTGACAAGGATATTGGTCATCAAGCAGAAGACGATGAACACAACGTGAACAGTGGTGCCATAGCGGGCACGGATCACCTCGAGGAAGGTATGGGCATTTGGGGCCCGGCGTTTAAGTTCGATGGCGATTGTTGCGAAAAGGAGGATTTGGACAGTTGCGCCTGAGACAGGCCAATTTATATCAGAATGTATGTTCTCCAAGTTGAGACAACGTATAGACCCCCCGAGCAGGAAGCGGTAGTAGGGGGAAGGATAGCGTACCAGATGCGTAGTAGAACGGGCCAGACACTCCGTACTTGTATGCCACAGCCGACGATTGAAGAAGAGTGGCAGCCCACGTCCAACTGCTGACCACCGCTGCTGCCACCAACCCGGATTTGACGGATCGACCGGCTGTCGAGAACATCTCGGATGTTTGCACTTCATGTTGGTATCTATGAGGTGATAATCCTCGTGGGTCAGTGATCTGTAGAGAAGACTCGACTGCACCATTGACGAAGGGAGGTACATCTCATGCGACGACTGACCGTTTCAAGGCCCAGGTGATAAAGATCATCACCAAGGCAAAGGCGAAGCCCAGACCGAGAATGATCCCGTATCCGAATCCCTGCGAGAGAGGGGCCTCAAAAACGGATCCTGATTCGGACATGGTTTCGATGACCCGATATATGAATCCCTTTTTGACACTTTTTACAAATCTGTCTTGGAGAATCAGGAGGTTGAGAATGGCAGTATAGCAGTACAATGAGAAGATGCTCCCGATGAGAGAGGCTTTGAGATCCTAAACGTCTTTGGCTCGGTGGAATTGAGAGTCAACTCTAGCAGAACTGGCCCGCGTAATTATATGCTCTCTCGCAACGCTGGAGCTACATACTCGTGGCACTGGCAAACGTTCGCTCCGATTTCGCAGAACTCGAACCCCGGAATATTTCGCAGGCTAAAAGCTAAGCTTAGATAGCAAGAGATAGGACCCGCTCATCCCGAACGCGATAAGCCTACGCGACGATCTCGTCACTTCGTCATGGCTTGTGCGCAGTTTCCTCCGGGGTTGGAGTATGGAGGGATGAACCGCTGGCTAGACTCTTGAGAAGCCTGGCAGACAGTCGAGTCGCCTGGTGGAGAGTCTTGCTCTATGGGGGAGGGGGCAGTCCACCCCCCCCCTCCCCCATATTTGCTTCTTTTCCGGGGGTCTCTTCATTCGTTTTTCAGGTTCGAGGCTTTAAAGAGGAAAGGATCCAGGGACCATGTGAACAGGCGAGGTCCCCAGACAGCTGGACAGCTAGAGAGGGCCAGCGAGGATGGATTTTCACATGGATTCGCGAATAGAAAAGTATCTTACGTCCGAGATAAGTGCGACTCCAGAGTCTCCAGTATCCTCTTCACTTCAAGCCTCAAGCCCCAAGCCTCAAGCCTCACGGCTCACGGCGCAAGCACCGAAGCTGGCTGGATGTCAAGTTGTCAACTCAGGTGTCCAGGAGAGCTCCCAAGTCGATGGGGTTGCGATTTGCGGGAGATAATCACCACGCGAGACTCGAGACCACAGGCCAATCATGGCCATCGGAGAGCTTATCGGGGTCTCCAATTGGCTTTGCCTGAAGCGACGGCAAGATAACGGGAGAGAAAGGGCGCGCGCCATGGAGCCATTCAGCAGCCCTCAGTGATCGCTGATAAGGCGGGTCATCTCGAGCTGTCCGGAAAGGACAGGTCAATGCCAGGTCGAGGAACCTCAGAAGCGAGCCCTTATCGGGTCGTGGTCGTGCAAGGGGAGGGATTGCATTTGGTGTCATTTTGACACAATGATTCTCGCTGCGCACTCGAGATAGGGTTCGGACTCCGCGAACCCAGAGTTGAGGTTGTTGGACTCGAGAGGGATCGTTCGTCTCGGCTTGAGCCGTTGTCTGACCAGCCCGATGTAGATGCATGTGGTCGCGCATGACGCGAGAGAGGACCGTCGATACTCGATAGTATTGCTTGGATTGTCGAAGGCGACAGAGAGATGACCCAGTCTACTCACGTGATGAGGAACGATGATGGTTCATGGTTCTCTGTCCGTACGGAACAGTTCGCCCACCAAGGGCTCAAGGCGCAGCAGGGACTGAGCCTCTCTACCTAGGACGAACTCATTGCTGCAGACCGGCTCTGCTCACATGCTCGAGGCCCGAAGACTTTTCCACTCGAAAAGAGCGTACATTGACGCATTCAACGTGTGCGGCGCAAATCGCTTCAAGTCGTGCGGGTCATGGGACCCAATGGAGGTCTCATGTGCTGAGTCCAGGCCTGGATGAGAGACGTTCTTGTCTTGCACGAACATGCTGATCCGAGCCCGAGGTGACATCGGCTACTCTGAGGTTAGTAGGGACCTACGGCCAAATGCCAACCTGTCATGTGGACTCGTCAAAGCGCCGTTGGTAGTGTTGGTCTGGTTGGAAGGTAACTCGACGTGACTGCCAGATGACCGATCGCCCAGTCCTTCCAAAGTCAGGGACGCATGTTTCTGAGAGAAGAAAAATCGAAGAAATCCTACGTGTCGAACAGACTGGAGCTTCAATACGAAGGATATGAGCAAGACAGCAGCCGTAAAGAACGCCAAAATCATATAGATGACAATGCTTTCTGGCCATATAATACAGATAACATTTGCACCGGCTCTCGATCACCGTCAAGATCTCATCTAGTCTGCTCAAGTTCACCGCAGCTTCGAAAAGCGCGCAGAACCCTCTGCTTGGCCCAGACGACGGTCGTCGAGGCGTCACTCGAACCAGTGCGGCTCAGCACAACCTATGCAGCTGATAGGTCCTTCTGCGCTCGCTCATTTTCGTAGGTTAAGAAAGAAGTTGATGCGCCACGTGAGGTAAACAGGAACAGAAAAAAAAAAACCAGAAAACACCAGACGTGTCAATATGAGAGGGAAGATCAGGCAGCACTGATGAAACTGGAAATGCCCCCCCCCTCCTTCCAACCACAATGGGTTGAATATTTCCAATGGACTAAGAATATTGTTGGGTATAGGAGAAAAGGATGGAGGCGGAGATGAAGAGACCAGGCGGTTCATGAGCAAGTCAAAAATATCATGCTTGGAGACTGTGGGCTTTGGAGGTTGGATCACGCAGTTGAGTAGCTTCGCTTATGCGGAGAACTTGCGAGTGATCTTGGCAATGACTGCAAATCATTTTGTTAGACTACCGTGGATCCCAGAAATTGAACAGTGGCTATGTTCATTAGTTGCGGAAGACTCACCATGCAGACCAACAACGGAGAAGATGAATCCAAGACTCAGGACGAGCACCACGACGGGGTCGACACGGAGACCGGGGCTCTCATCGGTGTACAGCTTCAGCATGGTGCCGGAGGAGCCGCCCGCACCGGCAGAGCGCGTAGAGGCTGGACGAGCATTGCGCAGAGATTCCTTGTGGTCGGCAGTGGCACGACGGCGCATGGCCGCACGGGGGCCGCCAGGAGGAGTGGGAGATGAAGGACGGCTGATGGATGAGCCGGAGGCGGCAACAGCGCCCGCAGACTTGGAGTCAGGGCCGGACTCGGCACCTGAGGTGAGAGGCGAAGCAGGACGAGGAGAAGCCTATGCCATTCAAGACCATACAAGATTAGCTGGGCTGTCAAGGCCTGGATGATCAGGAAAAGGAGGCATCGGGAAAATTGTCGGTTGGGGCCAATTGCTTGGAAGTGGGATTTTGTGCGCTGATCATCAATTGAGATTTTCACCTGATTACGTACCATTGTGATCGGGTGAATGGGAGGATGTGAGGACAACGCAAAAGAACGGAGGCGGCGAGAAGGTGTCGAGAGTGAAGAGGGTGGCTTGGGGTTGAAGGGGCGAGGTCCGAAAGCTGCGGAGTTGAGGCCACGATCGCGGTTTCCTGATGGATACTAGCGCCCGTATTCGTATGGTTTTGGATGACTTTCTTCCAAGTGCCCCGTGTTCTCATAGTAATAAGGTGTAATTTACATTGCGGGGCCACCAATCAAAGAGTTCAATAAGCACTCAGAGACTCGGAGTGGATACTGGATGCAAGCCCGATACCTACCTATGTAACTAGCAAATTGCAATTAACTACATTGACTGAACTACTGAGTGTCCAAAGCTGCATGCCAATTTGTAAACGACGTCAAAGTTCAAACAGCTCCCCAAGGCTGTACGAGTTGAACTTGATTGACTTCCGGACTTTTGACTACAGCAGCAGTTCAAAAGAAGAGTAAATGCACACGGCAATGCTTCCTTCGCATGGAGACAATTCAGTAGTTTCTCTTGAACCAGTAGCAATTTTTGATGGTAGGCAATTATCAATTCTCGATCATAGAAAGTAAAATGCCGAGAGGCAATCGGTCATCAGTCAAACAGGCAGGGCCGAAACTTGGACGACCCGGGAATCATGGTCGGAAATAAGATAAGAACAAAAGTCAAGGGATTGCATAACGCCATCGGTGCACTTCGTGATGGAAAAAAAAGAAGCGAAGCGACAGGGGGTGAAGGCTGAGCTTGTAAACGGGCTTCGGACAATAATCATGTTCGGTGAGATCACAGAGATTTTGGCATCATAGGGTAGGAACACGAGGGAGAGCCAGTGATGTACCTGTGGGGTTGGGAGGGGAGGGGAAACAGAAAGAAATGGAACAAGGCAGATAGCTTGATATAGATGAGAGTTGGCGCCAAAATGGTATCATATCGAGAGGGCCAACATAATCAGACACGCGTGGAAGGTTTCAGGCTCAAATGATCGAGTGATCCGACATAACTTATATAAAAAGGCGGAGAAAAGAGGCGAGAGGGTCAGCGAAATAGCCCCGGAATGTTAGATGCCAGCCCAACAAGTGCTTCGTTTTTTTTTTGGTTCTGTTCATACGGATGGTCAAGTACCTGTTGTATTTCGACTATACACAACGCTTAATCGATCATCATGCGCGACGGCACCTGGCTGACATTGTCAGACAGCTCAGTGACCTTCTCGTCGGGCCGACCCTTTTTCTTGCTGATATGCGGCTTCAAGCCTCGGTGGAAATTGTGTGTGCAGATGCAGGCGTTGACGATGGTGATGACGATCAAGGTCAGGGTGATGACGGCGAAGAATGTCATCGAGGGTCGAGCAGGCAAATACTGCGCATAGGTACGAAGCGAGTACATGCGGAAAAGCTTGAAGCAGAAGTAACCCATAGCCGCGAACAAGAGCAACTGTGGAAAGGGATGAGTCAGATGATGTTTGCCTTCCCATTTTTGAAGGATCGACAAGCGCGTGGGAGAAACTTACGATAATCACAATCATGCCCGCGGTGGATTCGCGTCGAACGAACCACGCCGCAAAGACCAAAATAATGATCGTCACAGGAACCGCGATAATGGTCAGATAGAACTCGGCATCATGCTTAGATGATGACACGACGACCAAGAATTGGACCGTGAAGCCCAAGAAGAAAAAGAAATCGAACTTGAGCAGAGCGATGTAGATTTGGTAGGTCAGATATCGGCGTTTCATGCGAAGATCCGCGCTGATGTGCTTGTAAATGGTCCACGCAAATTCGTCATACAGCTTCCAGGCGACGAAGACCATCAAGACCGATCCGAGCGCAACGATGCATGGAATGATGATCAAGAAAGGCTGAGATTGAGCCCAGACGATGGGACTGATCATTTGGTTGTCTGCCAGCACAGACACGGCATCCTTGATCTGTCGGACCTGCACGGCACCGTAGATCAACAAACCCAGATTACAAGCGCACAATCCGATGACTTGAATGGTATTTTTCATCCGCAGGGCGTCGTAGACCAGGATTAGCTCGTAAATGAAACCGAAGCCATAGAGCGCAAGGAAGGTCGGGATGGTTTTGGAAGATGGACTCTCGTTAGGCTTTTCTTGCATCTGGAAATTGGCAAAAATATAACTGGATGCGACCGTTCTCATTAGCTCCCTCTGTCTCCTGCGTCTGACGTCTCCGGGGAGGAGGATCTCTTGGCTCAGGTGTTGGCTTACCATTCCAGCCCTAGCGTCACGACCGTCTGGACTAGGGTGACGATGGCAAAGGACCATGTCCATTGCGAATTCGGCATGTACATCCTGGTCGGTTTGGGCTTCTTCGCAAGATTCGCATAGCCTTCCCGACCACGAAATCCGCCAGGCGTGGGTCGAAAGGATGGGTCAAATGCGACGCCTCCGAAGAGGGAGGCCCTCGACTCGTGAGAAGGAATCTTGCCGAAATGCTCCGAAACGGAGCTCGGTTGAGAAAGGTGATCGACTGGGAAAGACACGCTGACGGTGTGGGCCACCGGAAGGGGACCGGTGGGAAATGCTGCTGTTGAGAAGACGACGGCGGCGGCGGTGGTGGTGGGAAGAAATCAGGTGATCCGCCGCGAGAAGCGAGAGGGTGTAAAGTTGACCGCAGTGCAGCTGATCTGGCGTCCTTGCTGGTGATGATGCCCCGAAGTTTTGTGTGCTTGCTGGCTCGGTGTATTCCTCGATCGTTCGCGGGCAAGTTGAGGTTGTCAGGGCGAGGCTTCTTATTGAAGCGGCACGAACATTGAACGGTAGTGATTGGATCAATTCTGCACTTCTCGAGCCAGCCGAGAGTGTGGGAATGAATAGTCGTCGTGAAGGAGACGGAAACCGGATGTGAAATTAATCTGCCAGTCCGTTTCGGAGCCTGGGAGAGATTTCCCTGCTGTGGGAGAAGGAGTTGCTGGGAGGGGATGTCACGACACTGAGCGGTGGACTGGTCCCGTGTGACTTGGCTCTTGAGATTGATCGGCGACACGACCAAGAGGAAGCTTGCGCCAAGATGTGTACCTTTTGATTGTCGGTCTCCAACCTTGCAGCGAGAGCGAGAGGGGGGGGGGGAGGTGAGGTTGACGAAAAACCTGAGGATTGAACGAGTGACCAGGTAGGGGGAGGGGGATTCGGGAGTACGGGCGCGTGAGACAGTGGCTACGGGCGGATCACGGGCTAACAACAGAGTAACGAACGGGGGCCACCGAGGCGAGGTGGTCTGAAGGAGGTGGAAATGGTGGGAAAGACAGCGTCGAGGGGAGTTAGAGCGAGCGAAAAAAAGACAGAAAGGGGAGCTGTCCGGGGTACGCTATCCACCACACAGAGACAATAATGCGACTGTGGTTCTTCTGGGTCAGGTACAGCCTCTGAGCCTACAGCGTAGTCCGGAGTGGTGGTGGTCGGTGAGATTAGTGGAGGAGTGTCGACTAAGGTTTGGAGGTCAGAGAGAAAGTCGATGGGGGGGGGGGGGGAAGAAATGCCCGTGACTGAAACTCTTTCTGACCTGAACCGAAGTTCGGGGCACTCGTGGCCTCGGTCGCGGTGGATATGCTGAGGGTGGGAGAAGGCTGATTGGGTCAAGGGACTCCTCTCTGCTCCACTTTGGCTGGTTCCCGTTGGTACTTGGTACCTGTACTAGGCAGTCAGGTTAGTCAACAAAAGGTCGTGAGGCCGCGAAGCGGAAGCACTACTGAACCGATGTACTCTGTACGGGGGTGTACTCAGAGTACGGTGCCTCTGTGTTGTGATCATGTCCGGTGACAATGCGTTTATCGATGGCGCACATGTAGGAAATTTATGATCGACGAGGATCAACCTCGAATGCTCTTAGAGTGACCGAGGATCAGATGTACGACCGTATAGACTATGGACTATAGAACATAGACTACAGTATCTCCTCCGAAATTCACTAACTCAAGTGCGCATTGAATCCCGTGCTTCCATCACAATACTTACTTCCATCCATGTAGTAGGTACCTAATAACTTAGGTTGTAGGTTCCTAAGGTAGGTACTACTCTATCTTGCGCCAAATCAAAGTCATCATCAACCTGCGAGGGTTATGGTATAGATTTTATCTCGAGGCAGACTGTCCGCGTCCGGCTAGGATTTTTCACACTCTGTTGGACCACCTGCAGCTCTATATTTCTGTCGAAGGACCGTGATCACCAACTCCAGTACAATTGTGGAGATTAGGGTATCTACTACCTCCTTCCTTCAAGATCAGTCTCCGATCAGTGCTACCCACCTCATACCTACTCATAGTATCAGACTATCAGTAACTCGGTTGCCATAGAGAGCGGCTGGAGTGCGTTGTGTTGGCTGCCTCCGAACTGCGTCGCCTCCAGGCGCCCAAGAGACCGCTCACATTTACACCTGACACAGTCGGAAGAAATGCTAGTAGTCACATCACTCACCCCATATGGGTAAATCCTGAAATGTAGGTATATACCTCTATTCTACTACTGTACTGTGCAGATGGTGATACTCAGGTAGTACTGTTCCTACTGTAGTGCTGCACTGCTGTACCAGTCCCCTTCGAGGGCCTAGACACGGCCGGGTGGCGACGGCGGTGGGCTCTCCCGTGAGTCCCGTTCTGCTGTGCCTGACTAGCAGTCAATCTGGGAAATTCACTCAGTCTAGTCCCGTTTAGACGGGTCCGGTCCGGAACTACGGGCAAGTCAGGAGGCCGCTGGTGGAGCCCGCCGACCCATAATGACCGAGACAGGTACACACGACACACCAGTGACACCACGCTTCTGGGGGCTAAGCGTTCCAAGCCACGGAAACCGCTCACATCACACAATATTAAAGATTGCGGATCGGTTGGGAGGAGCCAGCTGACAGGCCAACGGTGTCGCTTGTCAAGTTCTGGAGGTGATGCATGATCGAAAACAACCTTCTCGGAGGAGAATGGCTCTCTCGACGGAGCAATTCAGGGACCTTGGCCTCTAGAATTTTCCACTGCCGATCATGATGATTCTGCACTCTGCACTCTGCACTCTGCATTCTGCAACAACTCGGAACGCGCGCCTGTCGACCGACTCAACCCAGGTTGCCGGCTCCCGTCATGATAGTATGACTGACCTGATCTGACCTAATCTGACCTAATCTGACCTGATCTGACCTGATCTGACCTGATCTGACCTGATCTGACCTGATCTGATTCCCTTGCCGGAGGCCATGCTGGCCACGTCAATCGATCTCGGTCTAGATCGGATCCCTGCTTGGCACCACGCGGTCGGAAAGTCTGGCCCAAGGGTCGCCCGGCCCGCAGTGCGTCCAGGAGTTGAGTACTCAGTAGAGTCAGGAGTCAGTACTGTAGTGAAGAACCACATCGGACTGCATGACTGCATGGTCTTCGAATCCATCTCCTACACTTCCACCTTGGGCAAACCCTACTTGTACTTGAGAGATTGGCCTCGCGGGGGATGACCCCTTAACTCTGATATGACACCGACGCAGCCCAGTCCGACGGTCCAGGGTCTCCGGGAATCAGCCCGCATGATCGAGGGCGGTGGCTGAGGTGGGATCGAGGGCCTTTTTGGCAACCTTGTTTAATTGAGCATAGCCTCCATCTCGATCCGCCCGGCTAAAGCGTCTCTGATTGCAACCGTTCGACGCCTATGCCTCGCAAAGATTCACTTGCCTGGGTGCTTGACATGTTGAGAACTTGAGACTGACCGGTAGATCGCAGGGGTTCATACCGGCGTATCTGCACGTATAACCCAAGTGTCCTCTCATCCGGCTATCTTTGGTATTCGAAATTCAGTACGTGGGTTCCTCGTTCCTCGGCGTGCACCGTCACGACACTGTACTCCCGTGGTGACTGCAGTGTTTATCGTACACAGGTCTCCTTCTATCTGTCCGCCTGAGCTGCCGTATCCTCTGGTTTTCTCACTCTACCAGACGGCACAATTCTCGCCATGGAATCCCCATTGCCGTTGCGATCCTCGCTATGGCTGACTAGATTGATGTTAGAGGAAGCGGCACTGTGCACCATGGTAAAACCCAACCCACAAGAAGGACTTTTCATAGCAGATTTCAACAATGTCTCTGCAAGCCTAGCCATCCACTGGTGCTAGATGAGAACTGAAATGCTACAAATTCTTAAAGCACTTTCGCGGAACTCGTGGAACGAACCTTGACATGCTCCGATGCGGGTCATACTCGAGTTGAGTCTCACAGACCCTTCAGGTCTGTGAGATTCGTCTCCAATCCAAATGTCTACACGAATGACGAGACTCATATTGATGCTCTTCTCCAGGTCAAGCCCTTCGATGTCCCTATTCCGATAGCAATCAGGTTGAACAATGATATGGTCCATCTCAGTAAGATAGCACAGGGTTGATCGTCGTGTGATGACCCCACCCAACCCAGATAAGGTTAACACGCACTGGCGCCAAGATCAAGATCTCTCCCAGACAAACAAGGGAAAGCTTGGCATTGGAACACCCAGCCTGATCTCGATTCAATAATGGGGAGAAACGCTCTCCTGCCTCGGTCCCTGCATGGTGATTCGAATCATGAATCCGGTTCCAGCTTCGCAGTCGGCAACGTCATCAACTGTCAGGATTCGGCGCGTTGCGGATGGCAGCAACGTCACAGGTCCCACCAGTACAGTAGCCAGCCGAGGAAATTGTTTCTTCATGAGAATTTCCTCCTGGCCGAGTGTCTCTGAGAGAGGACCATATTCCCCATCTGAAGAAGCAATGCAATTATGATTCCCAGTGGGTCTGGGAATTGTGCGATTGATTCTAACGGTTGGATCAAATCCCACTTGCGTGGATCATATTATGTAGAGTATATACATTTCAAATGGACGGACCGGCTTGTGGAAATTGATAAAAGATGCTTAGCGGCCGAGTTATTTGATCTAGAGGTGGTAGGAACTTCGTCATCGCTACCTAGACTGTTCAACCAGGTAGATGCATCTTTCCCCCCGCACGAATCTCCTCGCCAATAGGAGCGACACGGCGAGTAGACCTCCATTGTGGTTTTTCCAAGATTCGACACCGAGACAAGCAGAGAGGCAGTTACCTGGGGCGATATCTGTTTTCTGCGACGCCGGTGCTTGTGCTCTTTCTTCGCTTTTGATCTGAGATTTCGCAACATTCGAAGAGATCTCTCACGCGAGAAAAGAAAATGTCCGACCCTAATAATCCCAATATCCAAGAGAGAACCACTCCGCAGTGGTCACTCTATCGACGCGAGGCCTTTTGGAACACAAACCATGGCCAATATCCTCCATTCAATACTGGTACTGTGCCTGATCCTGCGTCTTAAGAAGAGTCGCGAGGAACACTAATGTCGGATCTGATCGATTAAGACCCGAGTGAAGTTGAAAAACTTGCCAAAGAGAAGCTGTCTCAAGGTGGATGGTACGGACTCGCCCTTGCAGAAGGGAAGCTGTGATGAGAATTTCTCTGTGACTGACCATGCTTTCCACGTTTCCAAGGTACTATTCTGCTTGCAACGCAGGAATGTCATGGACCCATCTTGCCAACCGCCAGGCCTTCTACCGACATCGAATCATTCCTCGCACTCTTGTCGACACCAACCTGAGAGACACAGCATGTGAGATCTTCGGCCACAAAGTTAATGCGCCCATTGGATTTGCTCCTATAGGCATCAACCGCATCTACCACCCAACAGGGGAGCTCTCTGTTGCAAAGGTCGCAGATGAACTGAAACTCCCTTACTGTTTGTCCTCCGCCGGCAGTTACAGCATCGAAGACGTCGGCAAGGCAAATGGAGGCGGTCCGCGATTCTTCCAGCTCTACCAGAGTCATGACGATGAACTGGCCATCTCATTGATGCAACGTGCCTGGGACTCTGGATTTGATGCCTGCATGTTGACCACGGATACATGGTCACTCGGGTGGCGCCATAATGACGTGTTCACCGGCAACTACGCCTTTTACCATGACCATGGAGCTGGCGATATTGCGTTACAGGATCCTGTCTTTATCAAGCGACTAGCAGAAGCGGGGATTGACCCGAAGAGGAACCCCAAGGAGGCTGGCGCCAAATGGATTGACGAGCATATCTGGCATGGAAGGGCGCATACTTGGGAGAAGGTCAAATGGACGATGGCGCAATGGAAGAGAATCAGTGGTGGTAGACCATTCTGTTTGAAAGGGATTCTTGACGTCAACGCGGCGAAGAAATGTGTCGAAATGTACGCTTGCATCATGTTGCCTTGAGACGTCCTCCGAAGTCCCTGCTAACACGCTCAAAAAGGGGTATCGATGGGATTGTGGTCACAAACCATGCTGGTCGGCAAGTTGACGGCGCCATTGCTAGCCTGGATGCCCTCGAGAAGATTGTCGACGCGGTAGGAGATAAGATCTATGTAAGCTCGACCGTCTACCATGAAACCCCAATCTTGCGAGTCCTTTTTCTGCGTTAGACCCCTTCTAACGATCAGAGTTAGGTCATGTTCGATTCCGGAGTACGAACAGCAGCCGACGCTTTCAAGGCTCTTGCATTGGGAGCGAAATTCGTGTTTCTGGGCCGTCTTTGGGTATGGGGCCTTGGCATTGCCGGCGAGCACGGTGTTCGCCACGTCATGAAAAGCTTCCTCGCAGAGTTCGATCTGCTCATGGAGGAAGCGGGATTCCAGACTATCGATCAGATCGACCGCACGGCCATTGATAGTCTGCCAAACTCGGCGAACTTGATCGCTACTCATGCTGCCATCTAGACCTGCTAAGGCTCAGAATAATTGTACTTTTAAAAGACGCATATGACATGGACAAAGGAAGACACGCAGTCTCACATAACTCCGATCTGCGCTGGAGTTGAGCGGACTTTGACGTTCTACGTGAGGCTGTTCTTTTCCAACACCAAACCAATAACCTGGCGATTCTAGGCTTTGCCATTGAAAAACGAACATAGGTCGCCTGGAATATATGAGAGCAGCTGAACGAGCTACCTACCTAAGTAGTAAATACCGTCTTATCTCATACACATCCAAGGATAGATAGCATAGATCGCTATCTCTGTAGCGGTGGAGATCACCTGCAAGAAGATACCTAAAAAGGCCCGCGATGCGGGGTATGAGGGGAACAAAAAAGCTAATCCCGGGAGCCAAGCTGGGACGGTTGCTGAATGATAACAAAAAGCAGCGACCATCCTGTTATCAAAACTTCTTACCAATTGGCGAGTGAGCCCTATCAGACGACTTGTAGATCTTCCTGGGCAATCCTTATCCTTCATCCACCCATCCAACATATCTCCCGAACCTACACGCAGTCCCTATCATGGCCAGTACTGGCAACCCGACCACCTCTACCTGTCGCTACTCAACGCGCGTATCTCTACGATGGCTCCCAGAACCTGCACATGAGACAACGGACACTATCGTCATGTCCGTGCAAGACTGGTATCTTGACCTGCGAATGGACAACAAGACCGGCGACATTGACTGGGCCATAGCAGGTCAGCGGGTGGTCGAAAGTGAAGAACCATGTGCGTTACCCAATCTCGTTCACTACGTGCCCTTGAGATTCATTCTATGCCACCGCGAATTATCACGGAGACATTTCACTCACGCTCGTATATAGTACGTGTCACATTTACCCATGAGATTGATTCGCACAACGCATTCGACAGTGTCGATTGCGGCACATTCGTCACTTTGCCCAACGGCGACGATCTGGAAACGGGCTCGATGCCTCGCCCAGATCTGCCTGGTGCTCCGGAGACCGAGTACGAGGAAGTGTGGCGGGAGCTACCTTTTCGACCTGGGCCCGAGGGTGCTGACAAGGGGATTTCATGGGTGCTTGAATCCGATGACGGAAATCTAGATGAAGAGGGCGATTTCACTGTGACGAAGACTTTCCTCGGCCGGCTATGGGGGACTTATTTGGCATTGCAGCAGACACAGCTGCATTCAAGACGAAGAACTCCATCCGGTGAATGGATTGTGAAAAAGTCAGGGACTCATGTCAGTGCAAGGCGAGAAGAATGGGATTCGGACTGGCAGGATCGATATGTGGTCGGATCCACGGGAGACAATCTGCCGTCGATGAGGAGTGGATTTGACAGTGGAAGTCAGCAGTCCTGGTCAACGCCTGGGGAGAAGATCATTATCCAGGGGAGATCCTACGTCGTGCGTGCATTCGAGGAGATGAAGTAACGCTCGGGCTTGACCTTGAAGATTCAATCAAGGAGTAGCAAGCCTGGCTTCAATCCTGGTGCACCGGATACAGAGATATAGAAGTAGAGGGGTGCATCACAGAGTTGCGGTCCATATATATCATTCAGCATTTCTGCATCGCGTATCGCTTTCCAGTTCCTCGCAGCCTCGTTCGAACGTGACGGTGCTGGCGCTTTCGTCGAGGTCATACAAGAAAGTCGGCAGTGGCACACTTCAGCCTCAGTCATCTTGCACGTGCCCTGCCGTGGGAATTTCCCGTGCGACCCCACACAAGCTGCGGCAGAATGCAGTTTGCTACCCCCTAATACCGCAAGCGGTCAATCCGATATCCCACAGCTTTTCCTATTTTCTTCTGCCCGCACGACTACAAACTTCCTTCTTCTCTTCTTCCCTCCAAGCGCCGTCCCTGCCAATGCTGCGTTTCTTTGCTACACACGACTGTGGAGCTCACGCTCCCAGTCCTCGGCTGTTCTGGGCTTCGTCCCAGCCACGAGATCATTTGCAAATGAGAAATTCGGAGGAATCTTCAACTACCCCAACCCGCCCTCTCTTCGTGTTTCATGCGCGAAGTCCGAGGGCCGGTACTGCCCGCGAGGGCCTGGTGTGACCTACTCGACACACTTGCATTCGGCATCAGAAACATCGGGGGACCCGGGGCCCGGCTGTGGCTTCCTCGGATGTTGCAGCTGCTGGTCTCGATACCCTATGGGAGAGTCGGTGCGAAGATTGTGTGTGATGACACTTTAGTGCAATACGCAGCATACCTTGCTCTTCTTGCCTTTTTTTTTTTTCTCATTCTTTCTTTCCTGCCTTCGGTGGGGTTGGAGGATGAGAGGGCGAGAAGAGCGGTATCATTCGATTCCGATCATTCTGGCGGGGACGGCGCTTCACCCTTTTTTTCTTCCCAGGTCAGTGTTATCTTTCCCCCTGCTCCCTGCGATGCCTTTCGTTGTACTGCGCAGCGGGATGTGGGTCTGGAAAGGATTTTCTGTCGGTGGTGACCTTGCTAATTTGTGGGGTCGTGGGCTTTGCTAGCCTGGGCGGCTGTAGGTTGAACGGGCTCGAGGAGCATCTGTCGATGATGATGTGGACGAGTTGCTAGGCTGGCAGATTTTGTTTCGGTGGCTATGCGCTGTTTGCAAAAGCGATGTTTGTTTCAATAGCTATTTCCATTGACTTGGAATCACTCTTTCCTCTACGTTCATCAATCGTTATCTCCCTGTGCCTCAGAACTTAATCTACACTTTAGAATTCTCGTAAAGCTCGAATCACGGCAGATAGGAAAAAGGTTTGGTATAGAGATGAAAATGCACGAAAACATGCACACATCATCATGGTAATGGTTGTGGTAATCCCTTCTATTCGTTGGGGGCGGGTCATATTGCAAACAAAGTCAGAACACAAATAACAAACATTCAACAAGTCATTGCCTCTCAATGCTCGCGAGATCTCCATTATTGTAGGGGAATCATTTTAAGTGGTGGTAAATTTCTCTATGTCGCTTATTCCTCATCACCAATCTGTTCAAGTCGGGAGATTAGTGATAGTTGTACAACGGTCAGGACAGCGAATCGAACGAACCTTGGGAGCGAGGTAGAAGCGCAAGTAACCGCTGCCGAGGGGATACTCCACGAGCAGGGGCACCTCCTGAGACAGGTTCAGCCTCACAGATGAAGACAGGATGGAAGCCTTGCAGAAGTTGACCAGGTACTTGAGAGAGAAGGTCAGAGCGACAGGCTCGGACAGGTCAATGGTCACGTTCATCTCGGGCTTTTCAACATTGGTGTGCTGGCGAATGGTAACTGCACCATTGCCAATATCACCAGAGCAGGAGAACTTGACACCTTCCTTGCTCGCCTCAATAACAACTACCAACAAAAAGAGACAAGGGTCAGTTCCAGACGCTCTAAGAGTATCATCCTGGCATGTTGAGATTTTCTTACCAGACTCGGACAGGGCATTCAGATCACGACAAATGCGCTGGAACTCCGCTGAGGGCATCTCCACGGTAGCGGCATACTCTGTCTCGGGAATGGCCAGGTGCTCCTGGTCAATATCCATGAGCTTAATATCATACTCGCTGAGACGATCGGTCTCAGCACTCTCAAACATCAAATTGACAACATCGGGCGAGTCCTCAGCCTTCAACGTCAAGATGTCCTCCAGCTGGGCAGCACGCAGAACCTTGGTAAGTGAGACCAGGTTGATACCGAGAGCGATGTTGCGGTCACAGCGGTAAGGAGAGAAACCCTCAGCACGCAGAAGCATTGAAACCAAAGCAACGTGCGAGTTGTCCATAGCTTGAAGAGCAATACCGGAGTCATTGCAGTCGAAGTTGCAGTCCTGCACCAGATCCTTGATGGCGTCGACGACCTAGCGGGGTAAGATGTAAGCATGTGGTCGTGAATGGGGTCAACCGAAGCTTCTGCCAAGTGCTCAATACTTACGCGCTTCAAGAGGGAAGCCTGTTCCAATCGTGCCTCAAGCACTAATCCATCGGGTCAGTCAAGTCTGGTCATAATTTCGGTCGGCGTGTTGGCTCATTGACTTACTGTTGTATGTTGGGTGAGAGTAAGTGTGGGAAGAGAAGACGACGAAAGGAGATCGGAATTAATGAAGGTTTCTGCGAGTCAATGCCCCAAAGGTTGTATTATGATGAAGTGGACGTGGCCTGGAAAGAGAAGAGAAATTTGAAGGTGGAAGTAGCTGTGACGGAGGCAGAAAGAGGTCGCGCGGTCTGGTTCTCCCAGGCGAATTCGCGTTCGAGGGTTAGTGGGGAACTACGCGTGAGCGCGTTTGGCGATATGTCCTAATTGGGCTAGTCTTGGATCCCAAGGCAACAAGGTGTCAGTGTTCATCGCCTTGGAAGGATGAGGACCAATATGGCATAAACGGTCGATGCTGTGGAGCAATGAAAGCAGAACAAATCTAGGTCTACAATCAAGGGCTTTTGTATGAAATATTTCAAGATATGAATATAATATACAGATTGGGCGAAAGAACATATTGAAGACACAATTCCTGGATCCTAATGTGTAGAAACAGGGTCCCAGGGCTCACTGTTAACAAACTACTAGCAGCACATATGGTCGGCGCAGTAAAAGGTACAAAGCTCGTCGCCAAAGATGCCGGGGCAATGTGAAAATGATCAACAAAAAAGAGCACCTGAAAAAATCGCTATCTTCGCCGGATCCTTCTAAGAATATCATGGGTATCATGTCAGCAAAGCAGAGTGACGTGATAGTCGACCTGAGTTTTGCGTCTGCGCAGAAGTTCAAAAAGAGACGAAAGGGAGGAAGAGAGTGAAAATGTTTGGATGTAGAGGCACACGAGATCCAGCGAAGTCCTCACTAGATACTTGTGACTCGCTTAGAAGCGCCGTTCCGAGGTCTTTGTTGTATGACCATCTCCAGCTCCTTAAGCATGTTAGTCTTCGCGTTGGCTTTTTCTTGGACAACGGCTTTGTGTGCACGAGCTTCTCGGACACGAGCCAGCCGCTCGTCCCGGGTCAACGAGGCCCTCTTGTTCCTAGACGCAGGCAACACCACGGCCTCGAAGATCTCTTCGTCATCAAAGCTGTGTGTCAAGTCGGGCCGTTCACCATTGAGTGCCTTGAGCGCGTCGGTGGGACTTCCTTCCACGGCTGTGGTGCCGCCGAGACTGGGCGTAGGCGAAAGTGGGAAAGCCATACTCGGCGGCCTTGACAAATCCGCAATACTGGGCCGGTCGGGATTGTTGACAAAGGCAGCTTTTCCAAGTTCCCATTCTTGGAGTAAAGCCCTGATGTCGCTGCCGATCGAATCGTACTGCATTAGGAGGCTTGCCTCAAAATCACCCCCATCAGATTTATCAATGCTGGCACTAGACTCCTCGCTGATGATGTGCATTTTTGCATGCAAGGCCCGCACGCCTTGCGATAGTGAGTTCAGTCGTCGAAATTGCGCACGCATATGCTCCTTACTTGGAGATGCCGATGGCAGTGGAGAGGGAGGAATGAGATCGCCTGCAATTGTTAGACTCAAAACATTACACGTAGTCACTTAGGATAGAAGGTAGATGACTACTCACGATCTTCTTCGTTCAAGATATTGGTCATCTTCGTCATACTTGAACCGGTGACTGTCGCGAGCTCGCGCATCTCTTCCACAGCGGAACTCCACCGAGCAATATCAGATCCCCCGCCATCGGCGCTCAACGCCAGTAAACAGCAGAGAACACTTTTCCTCACGGTGTACAACTTGCCGAACGAGTCCCGTAAAGACCGTAGAGAGCACGGATCATCCAAGGACTCTTGTGAGATAGTCGACTCTATAACGGCCAGGTCTTCAAGTGCGAGATCGTAGATGTCATAGTATTTTGCGAGGTTTGTCTCGTTGGTCAACGGTCGCAGTACGTTCTGTGATTGGATATAGCGACTGAGCATGGACGAGAAGCATTCAGAAACCGCCTTGCGAAGTCTCATGCATCGTCGAACTTGAACTTGATCTTCGAGTCGACTGATCGGGGGAAGAGGTGTGCTCCTAGGGGGACTGGTCAATTATGCAATTCACGGTTCTCAGCCTGTAGAGGAGAACTCACAGCCGATAGCCTCTGGAGACAAGTTCCACCTCCTGAATGAAGACTACTGAGGCCGATGCAGCCGAATCAAAACCTTGCGCATTCCCCACGAAAGCCCCAGCCGCTTCGACAGCCTGATGTCGCAAGTATTTCAACCATTGTCGTTTGGCAAATGCATAGAAAAAGACTCCGAGGACGGGGACCAATATCAAGAGAATTCCGAATCTTCGCACATTCAGCCCAGATCCAGATTTCGATCGCCCCCAGTGTATAAGCCAGACAATTGAGAATGATGTCGAGGCGGTAACTACGGCACCTTGCACACCGAAGGTGGTGGAGAGCGATGGAAGTTCTGCAGGTTGGGAGGTCGTGATCACGTCCGCGGCGGAGGTATATGAGGGCGCGCTATGCTCATTCAAGAGCTGGGATGCGACAATGACGTAGCCAAATTGTTCCAGGAACCGCTCGTTGTCTCCCCGAGCGATGCGCGCGTTGAGGGCGGTCTAGTGTCCGAAGGGGTTAGCAGATACAATGTGAACAGGCAGTGTGCAGGACCTCCATACCGAGCAGGCGGAATAGAGCTTCTCGATGAGAGCTCCGTGAGCCGAGTTGCGCAGGTCAAGAGGCTTCGGAAGCTTGTTGCGAACGCGTTTCTGGAAGCGAGAAGCTCCCCGAGGCGCGAAATCAGAGGCGCGAACCTCATCGTCACCGTCGCTAGGCATGTCGTCGGCGGGCCATGTCTCCACGCTGCCACCGATTCCTAATAACCAGAGGCACGTCAGTATGGCGAGCTGGTGTCTTCACACGCAGATGCAGGCAAGACGGACCTTGAAGGTAATCGTCCAGAGGTGAATCCTTAGGCACAAGGGACTCCATGGCCGCGGATCATTCCGGTGACCGACGTCAAGAATGAAAGGTGGAGGCGGCCGGCTAGCCAAAATGGTGATTTGCGAAGGAGGGGAGAGGCGGAAGCGAGCTGAGCGGAACCAGTATCAGAGAGCAGTCCGCATGCCCGTGAACATGTCGCAAAACAGGGCCGTGGTCGTGGTAGGCAAGCAAGGAATAGTGCAGGACGGGAAGCGCAATGTGAAGTCCAAGCAAAATGGACTACAAAGTTGGACACATTGAGGAAGGGAGCTTGGATCGCGGGCCACGTTGACTATCTGGGGAAAGGAGAAGTCACGAGAGGTTTAATTTGACTAAATTAGATCCTCCGATCCAAAGAGACCAGCCGACCCACACGACCATGTATTCGCCTCCTTTTCTGCTTATCATTGTGCATTGCGCGAACCGAGGTTATGCGTTCTCATGCGATTTTATGTTACATACACGTTTACAGTAGATTGAACACCTATCAGTGCCCACTGCCTGCTCCGCTCATCAAATTGCGGTAAGCAACCTAGCTCAATTAAAAGACAAATGAGTTTGTGAATGTTCGAGTAGCTACTAGCTAGATATCCATGGACTTAGCAAATGTGTACAAAGCTCCACGGCCAGGAGCCTTACACATGCTACGCAATCCCTGTACCTGATCCAAAATATGGATATATCTGCTGTCCAGGTCACCACTAGGTTCCCAAGCTGCTCAACGGCTCGTGACCAGGCTACCATGACAAGGTATCGAGTATAAATGACCACGAGTCATGAACGGTTGTACAGTACATCAACTGTATATAATTTACGCCTGGAAAATTTACACTTTCCATTCCTTAGTCAATAGACCCAATTTGTAACCTTGACGGTAACCACAGCAAGCGAAGTTACGGGCACAGGCACTGGAAGTAAGGTGTGCTGAAGTGTTTATGCCGAGATTACATGTAACGTGTTCCTACATGTAAGGCAGGTGAAAAGGTTGGCACACACTCACAGCAGGCTGACCTTACTATTGAACTGGAGACTGACTTAATAAGATCATGATGCTTGAACACTCGTGCAACGTAGTAAATCAAAAAAGGCCTGACAGGTTGCTGCGTGACCAGGCTTCCCTTGTGCAGGGGCGTGTAAGTGTGGATGAGCGATGCATACAGTACTAAGCAACCAGTACTCCAAAGGCTTGCACGCCTGACATTTTTGTATCATCAGTCTTTCCTCTCAAGGCCGAGTAGAGAAGCCGTCCTACGGGTTGGGTTGCTCCTGAAACTCGATGGAAAAGGTCGCTCCACAGCAAGCTGACAAAGTATCACTTTGTTGCCTCAGGACCCAAAATCGGACCCATTTCTACGAGTTTCGTCGTTTTGCCAGGCATTGAAGCTGGTTGCCCCGGACAACGTATCCGTTAATCCTACCGGGGTGTTCTATTTTGAGAAACACGATCGAGAATGCGACATTGTGTATCACACAGCGGCAGTCTTGAAGTATAACCCCGCATTCTTTGTTATTTGACGTGCCCTCCTCGTCGCGAGGGACGTCAACGCGTCCAGATAGGTCAAGGACAACACATTTTAGCCACTCCACACCGCCTCCTCCCCTTAGATTCAAGGATAGCGCGAAAGACGATCGTAGTTATCCAAATCATAACAACATCAACGTCTTACTCATGGATCTTTGAATTCCTCATCGATTGACCGGACTTTGATAAATCACTACTGGTTTCCTCCACCCGATGGGATCTCGAGTCCTCATGTATGAGGCTCTCGACCTCTCTTCCCGGTTCCAAGGGTCAAAGTCGAGAGAAGATAAACGACACGGCACCTTCCACATTTTCACAGATCAAAACAACGAAAAGCCCACAAATTTCACGAATTCCATTCGAGCGTCGAGGCTAAAAAAGAAAAGCTCTCAGCGAGTCAACTCTCTCGCGGATAATGGTGGTGAGAACCTGGCCATAACAGCTGGCGATTACAGACGTAAGGAATCAGTCACGGAAGCCAGCCACGCTTCTCCTCGCAAAACATCACCACATTCTCATCCCACCCAACGTACTCGGAGTGAAATTCAGCGCAAAAACGACGCCCCCCTCCAACAGGTGTTGTTGAAGACAAATGTTCGAGGTTCCCCAATATCAGCTGGCAAGAAGCATCATCCGCAGTCACAGGGCACAAGGGGAAGCAAGAGGGCATGCCTTGAATCAACGGATCCGGCTCAACATGGACCGAGAGACCCCTCTAGTCTCCATAGGAGACTTGGTCACAAGTCGATAGCTCGATCTCTGGGATACTCTCAATCCTCCCCTATTCGTCCTGAAAGTCAAACTAAATGGAACACGAAAGTCGTGCCTGCACCTCGGCACAAGGTTGCTTTACAACCAAGCTCTCATGTCACGCAGCCGCCTGTGATTCAGGTGGATGTGCCCGGCAGAAATGGAGGCAAAGAGAACATACCACCTGGTGCACCTCGCCCCATGTTGACGAAAAATTTCGATGCAGTAGTGCCTTTGAAAGAATATACTGATGTCGCAGAGGATGACCGGCAGAGTATAAGAAATGAGCAAGCGGAGCAGAGGTCGGGAGAGTCGCTGATTCATGCTCGCCCTTCGGAGTGTGACATTGCTCCGAGTCGGGTAAGGGCAGTCTCCCAAAAAGAGGATCTTCCTCATCGTGAGCTCCACTCGAAGCTCAAAAAGACGCCGGGCACCGTCACGGCCAGACGGCCTGCCGCTGTTCTGACCCAAAGTCTGTCAAAGCCGCTTCGGCACGGAATCGAGGATTCCTTGCGCCTGAAGACCATCAATGCTCAGCCCATGAGCTCTCTTCCAGAAGATGAAAATGAGAATTCGACGGGCGAATATTCGACCGGTGAAGTTGTGGAATTTTGGCGTCCATTCGATGGTGGGCCCTATCCGACATTGCACAATGTCGACTGCAGTGCCAAACTTCTCACCTGCGACATACGACATCGGGTACAAATGACCAACCTCGTCGATATTCCCGTGTTCACATCGAGACGCAAGCACTCCCTCGCCCACATGAGACCTGTAGATTTTTCAACTTCGGAAGAGACCCGGACACTCACTAGACAACTGAGACTAGTCCGTGATCGAACCACAATGCTTCACAACGTACATATCGTATTCTCAGCTTTGAGCTCATTCGACTTCTCTCAATACATTCCGTCGAGCGTGAGCGCGAACGATAGCGTGGATGCGAAGTGTCAGCAACTTACCGCGTTGCTATTGACACTCATCCGAGCTTGGAATCTTGCAGAATTCTTGGACTTATATGATTTGCGGAATATTTTCATCACACAAACCTGCTCTTGATGCTTCGCATTTCCACTCAGAAAGAAGACATCGATCACCTCGAGGAAGCCTGTCAACAAGCTGGAGCTTTCCCCGTCGGTCATTGGATGGAAACTTCAAATGCGGCAGGAAATGACGATAGGTCAGCAGTGTAAAAGACCGACTTCGCCGTTGGATGCGTCTGTTTGGGGATTTTCGTCTCACATGAGTCCTTTGTCCCGGAAAGTGTAATCTTTCACGAAGAAATGGAATGCACTGCCCATCTCGACGAGTTCTCAATTCTCAATGCAACTACCGGGCTGCGGCCTCCAAACTTTGTGAGTCCACCCTCGATCCATAATTATCTGCCGTGTCCCTGGCTGATCGTGAGGGATAGATCTAGCGCCCCCAGTCACTTTCAACGGACATGGTCTCAGTCATGACATGTTGCCACCAACTTAATTTTGGATACGCCTGTTATGGTGTTTACACGCGCCTACTGACAGCTTCGAAGCAGTACGAGTAGCGAGGGTGGTTCAGAAGTACCGACATGTGCGAGGCGTGAGTGCAGCCAAAGGAAAGGGAATCAAGTCACCACGTGAAAGATGTCAGACAACGATGCGGCGGAGAAGCTGCTTGTGTGGTCGCACTTAGAGTGTTGTGGGATCCTGCTGAAGGTTCAGTTCGGCCAGCTCAGAAGGAGGGGCTTCGAGAGCGGCCTTTATCTGGATAAACGCAGGAAACAATTTGGTTATGCGAGACTCTTGGTGGTGCCGTTTACTAGGGAACCGCTTGTCAACACTTGGATGGGCATGCACGGTGATTCATCTCAAAATAGATTAGTGTCAACACCAGGATATGAATCCACGACACTGCTTCTAAGGGAGCACCATATGACTGATTATGAACGAGCTTCAGAGGGGCAATTTGGAGCTTACTGAGAGGCAAACTCTCAGATGAGCTTAGCATCAATTCGACATTCAGTCTTTTCATGAACTGCGGGAGTAGTGATTTTTCTCTCTCTCTCTCTCTCTCGGTATTGCGTGGAGTCCTAAAATTCTAGCTCATGTTGGCGCCACATTGTTACCATAGTACCTATGTACACACTGCTCTTTCTGACGTTACTCTTCGCATGAGCTTACCTTTTTCTTTTCGGGCTCTACATATCTCAGTCGACAGAATGTCTAAGAGTCCCTTCTCGACCTGTGAAGATCTGATGTTATCCAGCGGTAGGCAAAATAGCTTCATTTAGAAGCTCCACGACATTCTCGCAGTTATAGGTGCTCTACCTGCCTATCAGCGTCGAAGTCGTTCCCTCCCGCTATGGATGTTAATGCTCCTATGTCTCATCACTGATATGACATGAAGCAAACACATGATTATCATAGAATTAATTGATCAGTGTGTTGTAGCATGTATAAGATGGGTCTTCACAGACTTTCCCACTCGTCGTCTCAAGCCTCATCCAGATGCTTCCGGTTACTCAGATTGGTGCAAAACAGCGGTACTCCCGGACATCCCTGTACTACTCGCTTCCTGGCTCTGGCCATCTCCAACGAAAAGGGATACAAGTAGCTTCGGCAGCTAGACTTGTTCTCGAGGCTAAGAGACGAGGCTCTTGAGTGGACCCTCATATTGCCTGCAGGCCTGGAATGGTGCGGAGAAGGGCGACGTTCGACGTTCAACTATGTTTGGCAATGATATATAGTTCACGTCAAAGTCTCTGCAGATAATAATCTTGATATGAACAATGTATATAGGCTAATTAGTAGAAGACAATGTATGGAAAGTATGAGCAACAGTAGAACTGATTCTGGGTAATGTATATGCCGTGTGAACAGGTGACACAATTTAACGATGACAAATGCACCCCGAGTCGAATTTGGTGGAAATTGTATAAGGGAAACGACCTTCTCGAATCGGTATTACAGTGGTAAGCTGGTGCCACTGTATGAGGACATATCTGCGGCTGGAGGCAAAACCGTTGATACACCCTTCAGTCGCTGTTCCAAAATGCTTAGGAGAGCCGCAAGAGATTCAATGGGATATGCACGCCGACTTCAAGACCCAGCATACAGCACTATCTTACGTGATAACAGCATCCTCATCACCATACTCGTCGAAGAAGACTGCCGACTGGCGTCGTACCTCGTCGATCAGACTGCCTCGTCGCGAAGAGAGGCGGGATGAAGCCGTTGAATGAGACAAGCCGTCTGAGAGGTCAAAGTCACGAATATCTCCGGTATCGTGTCTTTCAGGGAAACTTGCGTCCAGCCTCTGTGAGAGCGCATCTGAGGGCTCGAACTCCGGTGCCGGCACACGACGGGACAGGATTGGAGAAAGAGAGCGACCTCCTGTCGCCGAATGCTGCTGGAGGCCCTTCATGATCGCGTTCTCGATATTGAGTCGGTTCTTGATAAATTGTATCTTGGGAAAAGCGCTTTGCTGGCCCACATGGATCATGCGGGCAAGTCGCTCCGGTGTTGGGTCAGACAGGATATGATAAAAGTCGGAAGGAATGGTTTTGGGCCAGAGGGTAACCGTGCCACTGAACTTTTGAAGCCAGATCTCGCTCCAGTCTTGTCCCATCGGCCGTGGTAGCAGCTCCAGATGCCTCAAAACACGCAACCACTTGTTCAAATCCAGCTTGATGTATTGTTCAATCGCAGTACCAAGGAATCCGCCTCGCCAACCACGGCCTTTACGGTGGGTGACGGGGCGACCAACTGTGCCTCGAGAACTGAAAAAGAACAGGTTGACATGTGGATTGACCTGCAGTGGAAAGTCCGAGGTCAGGAAAATTGAAGGAAGATATGCAAGAATGAGCGAAATGGACACACCTGAGACACGATTGTAAAGTTGACATTGAAATGTAGGTTCAGAGCTTTGATAGGAATATCGGTTCGCAGACTTCCGTCTTTCCACTTGTGTCCAAATGAATACGGTGCAAGAGTCCCATCGCGCTTCTTGGTCATCAAAACCACCGGATTCAGAATTCCAGGCACAGCCGCGGAAGCGAGGACTGCACTCCAAATTACACAGTCCGGGCACGTCAGATAATTAGCCAGGATCGTAGGCGAGTGAGGGTCTGATGGCACGCAGGAGACATTTAAAATTCGGCCGGTTCGCTCGTAAGCTTCTCGGAAAGTGGTCGATCCTCTGCAAAACCAGCTACACTGTCGGGCCCAGTGAACAGTATCAAAGCGAGCACCTGTCTTCCACCAACGCTGAATCCATGTGGTGAACCCTTCATGGCAGGCACGAATGCGGTGTGCGAGGGCCGGAACCAAGAGTTGTTTCAATTCATCATCCGTGCGAGTAGCAACCAAACCTGCGACGAGTGCTCCTCCAGACGTTCCGGTGATAATCTCGGGAAGCACTCCATTATCGAGTAATGCCTTCACGACGCCAAAGTGGTAGTATGCAAAAGTAGCTCCCCCAGAAAGACACAGCGCCGTCCGACCGAAATTGGTATCGAGGTGCTTGAAGTGCACATACTTGGCCTGCTTGTCAAGTTCCCGACTTTCCCCTACCAATTGAATGCACCTGCGAACCTCATCGATGTATTCCTGTACCAAGTCTTTGGTACCCGAGTACGCTTCACTATACATGCGCGGGTTCTCCACGCCTGCGAAGTTGTTCTTCACACAGGCCTCAAGCAGCGATCGAAGTTCGTCGATTGCGGGCGTTTCTGTATCACCATTGGCACCTTCTCTCTCTTGCTCCACCTCGTATCTGACTTCCTTCAATTGGTTCACCACTTTGTTGATGGTCAAGTGATCATAGTAGGCATACTCGTCGGTCTCCTGCCACTTTTCATTTCCAAGATATACGTCCAGCGCACGGGCAGCTTCTAGCCAGCTGGGATAGTCTGTCTGTTGCCAGAGCTCGCGTCGAAGACGCTGTCTCTTTCCGCGCCACGACACCCACTGCTCATACAGCACAATGTATATGCGAACCAAGGCATAACCACAGCTCAGCACGGCCAGCCATGCAAAGACAGTGAAGAGGAATGGCCACTTGAGTACCGTGTAGAGCACACCTTCTCTTGTCTCATCCTTGCTGCGCTTGGGTGTCTTGCGACGACCGCGGTTCCTTCGTACTCGCTGGTGGATAGGGCGCCAGTCGTTGATGGCGACGAGTGGAGATGCCTCGGGTGCGTTTAGTGCTTTCTCGAAAGCCTGCAGTTCTTCCGGCTTGATGAACTCTCGGTCAAAATCCGGCAGACCGGACGGGTCATAGTGATCCAATAGTGGTGGTTTCTCCGCGTTGGGCATTGTTGTCTTTGATCTTCTCAAGACATCGTGCGGAGTAGTGTGTACTGTGTACTGTGTAGTCCGTGTTGGACGACGGTTCACCTAACCACTCTGCATAGGGGAATCCGGTTGGGGAAACAGCCGCCCACCGACGTCAGCATCACGTGCCTTCATCGGCCTCGTGCATGCTTAAAAGTGGGGTTGGACGTGGCTCAGAAACTGTGTGGCTGGTGGGTTTCCATCTGCAGTGTGTCTTTCCCAGCCCCGCATTTGCTTATCTGAATTCAATCTATGGACTGTCAAAGGGAAAGGAACTTTTTTAACTTTGGCGACCCTCCATGGTCATCTTGTGGCTGGTACACTGGGAAACAACTCGACACAATCGATGGCACTTTGTTTTCTACATCGCTCAATGCTGCCTGATGAGATGGCTTGCTGGCATCCGCAGAGACTGTGTACGCCCAAGTGAAATAGGCACTCCACTCGGGCAACGATGACATAGTATCCAGGCAGCACCATCGTCATCACAGTGCAAACTACCGGGCTCCTTCCACACGTCTCGGTTCTGAATCGTGGGGCAGAGCCAGATACCCGTTGCTCTTGACTGTCAAGGCTCAAGTTTCTGTCCACTCCTCCGACCAACCGCCAGCCTCCTCACTAATGCACGGCAGACATTGAAGGCTTGCACATTGACTTGCATACGCATATTTCGCTTGCAAGCTCTGGCAGCCAATATGCAAGGAAACCCCCCGTAAGTTTGTTCTACAGCATCAAAGAAAGCCGAGTCTTACTGCGTGTCATACTTCCTTGACACTGGCCGAGCTCCTCGCTTCAGTGGGATCCGGATCCTTCGTCGCCATGGCCACGCTTCTGTGTTGTTGTTTTTTTTTTTTTTTTTTGGGGTTCTTGCCTTCCCGTCTCTTCCTCCCCCCTTTGCTGGTCGTTACCCCTCCATTCCCCTCCATCCGACGTAAAAAAATATCATTGTTGAGCAATCAGAAAAAGGAAATGTCACGGTGATCTGTGGGGTAACACGTCTACCTTGTCGATAGGATCAGATTGTAACTCGCATCCTGGCAGTGGCGAATAACACGGCTTGAAATATAGGACCGTAAGTCGCAAGGAAAACTGCAACCAAAATTTTCTATGAAAAGGCTGTGGAGCTACACGGCACAGCTTCACCGCTACATGCTAGTTTTTTCTCCGATCAAGCAGTAATCTAGTGGTAGCCGTTCTGATTGGGTCTTTATTGGTGAGCTTTTCAACATTTCATGTCTCAATCGCTGGCTCTCAAGGGCTGATGAATTTTGTATGTGGATCTGAAGGCTGCCAGAGATCCACTCTATCGGCAATCAGCTCAGATCAATTATCTCTCGGGTCATACGGTCTTCAAAGTTGCACTCGATGAGGACCCGTGAACTAAAATAGGAGAGAATAGATCGGATCGCGGGAGGAAAGAATCAAAGGCGTCTTTTAGCGCCGAAAAAAACCCAGCCATTTCTTGGCCTCCAAGGACCACGAGGCCGCTAAAAACGTCATCTATGTCCGGTTGCCGCTAGAATCACGATTAAAGATCACGATCGCCGTCATGGACGGAATCACAAATCCTGGGAGTGGATGCTGTGCCCCTCCTAAGAGGCCCGTCAAGGATCAAGGTTGGTAGATGGGAAGTGAAGCGTCCGCGAGAGGATTGTCCGAGATTTTCCCGCAATGTACGCGATCGATGCTAAGACTCGTTGGCTTACGGTGGTATGTTCTCAGAATTAGCAGCCAATACAGCCTCACGGGAGCAAGTGCAATTAGCGGGCTTTGAAAGCATAGCTATAGCCAGGATAGAAACCTTCGGAAATCTTCGGTCTCCGATGACGGACGTATTGTCATACGAGTGCTGAGAGAGGTCGCCAGTACGACTCTCGGTTGGTACACCAGGTTGTTGAGCGGCTCTTTCACATCCTCTTGACTGACACCGCCACCATGGATGGTATCTGATATCATCCTCAAGAAGAAGTCATGCAGGATTCAACATACAGACCGCTAGAAAGTCGATCTGTTGCTCAGTTTGGTACCTTCTGCTAAGGTACCTACAAATTGGGTTCTGTATACCGAACCTCCGGCGAGGTTGTGGCGAGTCTGCGACGGTGTGCGTTAAGGTTACAGTAGGATTGATGGAGATAAGTGGGTGGTACCTAGCTAGGTAGTGAGGTACGAGGGAATGATAGGCAACTAGTTATAGTTTTTAGTACCTAGGTAACTACCTAAGGTACTGGTGTCGGTGGTAGAACTGGAGGCAAAGATCGACCAATTCACTTTAGTAGAAATGAACCCTAATTTTGACAACGAAACAGACCGAATATGTACACAAGTTATTCAACACCGACGGCATAGTATATAGCTGTATAATGTATATTGCATACAGACTCTACCAAGGGCAAAAGAACACCTCGTCCGTGAGTTGCCCATTCACGAAATGATGTGCAGCCGTGCATGTCAAGTCAAACTCCACTCCACCATTGACGAGGCGACATGACCTGCGAAGAAGCCAGTTAAACTTTTTGAACCCTTCACTTCCCGAGTCATCTGTACCGCCACGGCGTTGATCATGCTCGACCACTAGGATGAATCAACGCACGCAGCGACTGCCATGATCCATCTACTCACGAAAAAAGACACACAGGCCGGGAACAAGAAAGGAAAGAGGGTGATCAACGGAGCTTAGGGGCCGGCGACTCCTGACTTGTGAAGCTATCTAGTACAGCAGTACTATCTAGTATCACTATCTACTGACTGCTCAAACTCATCCGGCTCACTCGACTCTTAAAACACAGACCAACAAGTCTTCTTCCATGGAGCGGGGCATCACTGTACCGAGGAGTTAATAATCTACAGAATGCCTGTATCGTGAGAGTTCAAAAAAGGAGATACCACCCGACGAAGTGGGAGAACCTTCTTTTATTGTTTCCAATTGCGCGGTAGCCGCCCCTTGATTTTAGCCTCCTTGTCGCGCATCAGAGCTTCGTTAGAGTTTTAGTCCAGGGTCGCAGGGCAACTTAGGGGGAAACTCGGCGGGGAGGGGAAAGTCGACAACGGCAGACGGGGTACCCATGTCTGCTGGAGCAGAGGGGAGAATAGTGCTGAGTGCTGACTCGCTGAGTGCTCAGTCCACTGAGTTGTATAGAAGTACTTTATGCCTTCTGGACAAGATACCAAGCTGGAAAGTACCAGTAGGCAGGTAGTCAGCAAAATGCTGCATCTAAGACAGTCGCTACCTCCATGAAACACCGTCGACGATTGGCATCTTAATTTTCACAAGGTCGTACATATCGCAAGCCTTACAAGATATAACTACTTGGGGAGTCTACAGATGAGGTTATCATTGTGAACTGAACTGGTCGACTGGTTCGAATACACACGCATCCCCCCGATTGTACAATGAACAACTCAGGATTGGAATTCCGTAGACAGCTGATGAGAATCAGCTAGCTCCCTAATTGATCATCATTGACTATTGCTAATTCCCCAATCCCTCACCATGCAGGAGCAGCTCGGCTTGCGAGCAGCTTATCCTCGACGGGTCATCTTCCCGATCGGGCTTGATGCATGTAATTTAAGTGCGCCCTCCCTTCCCCTTCCAGTATGAGCTGCGCACGGTTTCGCTGCCCGTGTAGCCAAACTCATGAGTCGTGCTGGCTTGGCGATTGGTCCCCGCGATCGTCTTGAAATACAGTGGGCGCTGATAATCATCTGTGCCCCATGCTCGGTGCTTTGTTCCCTCTGTCCTACGTGCTCCGTGCTCGGTGCTCCGTGCTCGGTGCTTCACTAACCTTTACGGGTAACGTGTTGTCGTTCGTCTTGCACCAAGTCCCAACGGCGTTGTTGATGCACGGTCGGATGATGCAAGGGAGTCAAAAAAGCCACACTAACGGTCAAACAAGGACCATCCGCAGCAAGATGATCAGTAATTTCGTACAGCAGTGTTAGTGTACAACTGTATGTACATACTTGTCCCAGTAGTGGTACCAGTCTCACTCTCGGCCACTCTGGTACGGTATTCGGCTCCTCAGCTTGGTTTCACAACGGTTGACTGGAATAACTTTATTAGATGATGGCGTGCTTTTGGTCGCAGTCATGTTCGAGCGCAACCTAGTCGAGTGGCGCCAATCAACATGACACATGCACGCTCACATGTACAGAGTACAGTCCCTCGTGCTGCTGTAGCCTGTTGGACAGATCATCCGCACGAGTAAAGAGGCAAATTGGGGGAGCTGCAGGCAATCCATTTCCGAGTCTTGTGGTCGTCCGCTTTTAGTAGCTGATTGGGTGCTCCCTCATATCTTATGTGCCGCCTGTTCTTTAATTTCAGGTCGTCGAGTTAGCCATTCTCTCGCTTGGCCTTCCATTCTTAGCGGTCGACGGAGAGGACAGCTTATGTTGGCAATCTCACCTTCGTGGTCGATGTGATAGGTGTGGTGTGTGAAGCTCACTCCAGGGGGAGGGGGGACTTTACGGCTGAAGAGGCTGAGGGTGTATATCTTGCGATCGGATGATGCGCATTCTTAATAAGTCAAAAAGCAGAGCATCAACGTGCCCAGCTGTACTCATTCAGCTGGCACTAGGACGAACACCCTTTGTAGTTTGTGAAGCAAAATGAGAGGCATACAACTATAGAGATGGTATGACTCTTAGGACACGAGCGTTATCGCAGGTCCAATGCTTCCATCTCACGCCATCTTGATAGAGGCTCCGATAGTGTCATTGAGCATTGTCTCTCCGCTCCCAGCCATATGCTCACCCTCCCTGCCCATGGCAGCAGTAGTAGTATAGCCGTAATCCAACCCCTGTGTAGACTGTAGCCTTTGTAGAGGATTGAGCATGGGTCATACTTTTCTCCAGCAGGATCTGTGAGACAGGCAAGTCCCACGATCCTGGAGTACTCGGTAGACTCGGTACTATATTCCCCCTTTTCGTTTCATTTGCCAAATACTTCACCTTTTTTGTGAAATCATAAACATACACACAGGGCA